CATGGTCTGGATAATCATAGGTACCTTTAGTAAGTCGGTTTCCAAATTAGGAAAGTGACTAAGCAGACCTTCTTGCCGTTCACCACAGCATTACAAAAGTGATTTGTCACTCAAATCTTAATGAAATTGAATGCTTTAGAGTGCTACCTAGGTCTCTTTTTTTGGTTTTAATTCAATAATGATGGTTACAATGCATTAAACTCAGTACAACACTGCATAAAACGTAATTTCAATGTTCTCTGAGATAGAGCTGTTATCTGTTATTTAATCTAAGTGCTGTAGCCAGACATCTGTTGATGGTTATTTATACAAGTCGCACCGGTTTTCAATACAACTGTTTTAAATGCCCATCTATAATCAACTTGTAGTTGGGCAAGAAGAGCCAATAGAATGTTTGTAGCTAAGTTCTACCTTCAGGATTTTTCCACAGTTTGGGGAAAAGTGCCTCACAGTTCACCTCAGCCTTCAAAGGTCCACCACATATAAAAATGATTCTCGTCATTCCTTAGGAATCATAATTCCAGCTAGTCAAAAGTCAAATTTCATTGCATAATGATCAGATGAGATTTAGATCTTGTTTAACTCAAATGATATTGTGAAAAGATCTGCCACTTTCATATCAAATTTGAAATTTAGATGGCTTCTCATAGAAGCTGCTTCTTATTGTTGTAAGTAATAGAGTGGCTGGCTGAGGTATAAAGAAACTCTAATGTGGTTTGTCATAAAATCTCCAACATTTACAGAAATTGTCATGGCGTAAGTCTCATTAGCTATCTGTTTTAGACAAAAATACTTATTACTTTGCTAGTCATCTACATTATGATAATAGTGGTCGAATAACTGAAGCAAACCTGTAATCATAACATCTTTTAATTTGCCCTGCTCAAGGAATGTGTGTTTAATTTAATATACTGTATAGACATTATCTGGTCCGTGCCTGATGAAAGCATAATAAAGGCTATCAGATTTGTAAACAAAATGAATATAGAAGAAGATTTCCACAAATTATTGCTTGTGCAACCTCATCCTGATGACTGAGTGACTTTTGTCATTTTTGTGATTACAAAGAAGGTTATAAAGATGCTATGTCAGAAATACCTTCAAGCTCAATCTTATCAGCTCAAAGAATTTATCATATTATTTGTTAGCTATTCACTCTCAAGGACAACTGCAGGATGGATGCTTGAGATTCAGATGCACTATATTTTATTACAAGGCAAAGAACATCCATTTTATCCAATGAAAAAATCAGTCAAGAACAAATACACTTACTACTCATACACCTCTACCACTATTACTGTCCCTACGCTGCTATTAATTCCTGGATTCCATGAGAAATTCTTCTCAATCAGTGGTCACATTTCAGATTTCAGACTTGATCATTACTATCAAATCAGCCAACAAACTAACATGACATTCAATTTACTTATGTTTATGCAAGAGAAAAATCATAACTATCTTACTTGTGTGAAGTGAGTCATTGCTTTACATGCAATAATAATTCCTGAAAAGTTTTAGTAAGGTATTTCTGAAACTGTACTAATTTGAATTGGTATATATTATAAGTTTAGTATGCATACTATAATATTATAAGATATAATTTGAGAACTTTGTTCTATAGTTGCATGATCTTATTTAAGGTAATAAGTGTTTAAATAAGTGTCAATAAGTCTGATTTCAGACACTCATATAATATGCATTATGGCCCTTTTAATTCTTATGCTCTTAAATAAAAATTATAAGCCTATTTAAGTCAGTTAAGTGCCCTTTTAAGTAAAAGTTAGATTTTGCTGATGAGTTGGGCAAGCTGGTGCTCATCTCAGAGATTGCCAATGAAATTTTCAGTAGTAGATTTTGTATGCTCACACTGATCATTATACATTGAGAGAGAATTTTATTATCACTGCTACATCATCCGTTACTGCTTATGCAATAGATTATAAGCCCCAAGCTCTAACATCCTAGTGTTTGCTTCTTCTTACTGCTTACATACCCTGCTTATTTTCTTGCTGTGCATTCTCAAATCAATCACTAGCAACAACTGGTAGTCATACTTGCAACTGCATTTCAGCCCATACTCTCAATTTTTGACAGTTACCTTTAGCTTGCACACTTAGCTACCAAGCCATCTAATTATTTTTTATTCATTCTTATTCTTATTCTATTCTACATCAATTTTATCAGTGGTCACCATGTCAGCATATTTGTAAAAGGTTATTATGCCTGAGGAGAAGGAGCTGATAGTCAATGCGATACCACTGAGGAGGTGATGAATCATGTCTTTGAATATGATTCCCGCTGCTCCTTCAGAGATATCATTCAACAAGAGATGTTGGTAATTTAGTGAGAGGACCAAATGGAATGACAGCAAAGAAGAGAAAGCATGAGCAGGCATACTCGAAGATTTTGACAAATCTCAGTCCCTCACAGATGGCTTTTGTGTTAGATTTGGAAAACTCCTGAGAGTTATGGGCTGCACTTAAGAAAACTTATAGGTCAGCTTTTGTTAACTCTGTTCTGTCATTACATGACTGTTTCTTCTGGATAATGAAAGTCGAGTCTAAGTCAATTATGACTTGGATTTCTCATGTTCACACTGCTGCACTCAAGCTCAATTGCACCCCCTATCTCACCACTGAACTTAATAGCATCATGGTCATCAGTGATAGCCTTCCTGATAAATATTAGCCCATTGTCACTGCTCTCAACAGTCTTCCATTCGAGGAGCTCTAGCTTTTTACTGTCACCATATGAATCACCATTCTCGAAGCACAACTTGCTCATTCTAAGGAGAAGACTTTAGAGGTCACTGTTGCCTATGTTGCACAGTCCAGAAGAGATAGAGATGGATTGTGAGATGGAGGAAAGCAGGAACCTGGTTGACTAGAGGTCTCATGCTACAATTGTGGAGATTGTGAACATTATTTAGATGAGTGTCCTTCCCCTTCTCAAGATTCCTCTGGTCATAGTTCAAGTCATGCTCATGCTCACACTGCTATAGTGAACTCAAAGGATGGGAAGAATGAGGCTGTGATGTCAGCAAGAGTTCAGAATGACTCAAAGGAGGTTTTGCATTTGTTTTAATTTTTTTCTTTTTACTTCCTTGCTCTTGATGAGTGCTCATCTTGTGGGAGAGTATTAAAGGTGGGCAAGCTGGTGCCTACTCATCTCAGAGATTGCCGACGAAGTTTCCCATAGTAAATTTTATATGCTCATGCTGGTCATTGTATATTAGGAGAGAATTTTATTGTTACTGCTGCACTATCTGTTGCTGCTTGTGTAATATGCCACTTGCATATATCAAGTGATTTATGCCACTTCATACAGTTGATCCATACATATGCATATACATTGTTTCACACTTAACCTGACAGCATTATCAGCTTGCATCAATTGTCCCAGTTACTGAGATTGTATGTAGCTGTCATCTCATACCAGTGTGGGGTAAACAAATAGATCAGACATTACAGTCTTATACTACTAGTCAGGAAAACCCAACTTTTACTTAAAGGTGTCCTTATGTGACTTAAATGCACTTATGGACCTTAAATAAGGTAAAAAAGGACAAAAAGTCCATAAGTCATATTTTCTTAGAGACTTAAAAGTTGACTTTTGGGAACTTATAGGCCTTAAATAAGGCAAAAAAGGATAAAAAGTCGGAATAAGTCTCATAAGTAAAAGTTGGGTTTTTCTGATGTACACTGGATGTTTGTACAAAGTTCTATGTAAATCCATACTTATGCCACCACGATTTCATTCTATTCCAAGACTATACAACCAATCCAGATGATCACTGGTCACAGGTCACATGAATTTTCAAAAACCTTGCTAATATTTTTTTCTCAATTTATGAGATTTTTTGAGATTTTTTGAACTATTCAAAAAAGGCAAAACCCATCCAGATTGGTCCAAAATCTACAGTATATGGTAGACAAATCTTTGTAATTACACAGATGGGTTGCAGTGATTCCTCACTCAGTGCAAAAGCATGCACACCATTAAGATGCAGCAGAATGGAAATTAATTCTGAATATATGGTCTCCTGTAGGGCTGGCCTCTTCAATGTACACTACACAGCACTACAGAGATAGGACACCAAGCTACGTGACATCACAATCAGGTACCTAGACATTGAGGAAGGCTACATGCACTACATGCATCTATGTAACTCAGGCTGTGGCTACCTCACCCAGGCTTTTTTCCTGACATGAGGACACCCAGACTCAAAAGATACTGATCTATGCACGTCAATTCCGTGTGGATTAAATAGGGACAGGAGATAGAATATTAGTAAGCTTGTAAGGAAGATGCGGGCATAGACGAGAACAAGAGTAGGTTGTACGGGCAAAAACTGTGAGGTTCTTCGACCAGAAACATCAGTCCGGACCTATGAGGGGGGAAAATTCTGAGATGAGCTGAGAGGGGGGGTGGGCCCGCACAGCGAGTGAAGAGACTCCGGAGTAGGTCGCGAACAAAAATGCGTCGAGTCAGGTAACTATAGGGTGAAAATGTTGCCGATGAAGGTGCATGCTGCGAAGAGGGAGTTGCGGGCGGGTGAAAAAGAGAGCTCCACTGCGCGAGAACTACGTGTACTTCTCAGCAGTTAGCCGTGTAACGAGCGACAGTTGTGGTAGGAAGACGAGAGCACTCAGCCACAACTGCCTAATCCGTGCGTAGACTAAATTCTGCACTCCCGCTCGTTCCTCGTGCTCACATAGAATACGATCTATGCATGTCAATTCCGTGTGGATTAAATAGGGACAGGAGATAGAATATTAGTAAGCTTGTAAGGAAGATGCGGGCATAGACGAGAACAAGAGTAGGTTGTACGGGCAAAAACCATGAGGTTCTTCGACCAGAAACATCGGTCTGGACCTATGAGGGGGGAAAAGTCTGAGATGAGCTGAGATACCCAATGACTAGGAGCCCCGCGACGCATTTAAGCGAAGTCTTAGACTCCCCCATACTAGGAGACGGGCGAACGTACATACCTGGAAGCACTACCGAGGGGGCGGCATTGTGTAGTGCGTGAATGGCTCAAGAATCGGGGTGTCTTGTAGGTATGGAGCCATCACTACTGCATGCTGGCGCAGATATAGCCTAAAGCTTTCCCCATTCCATCTGCCGATAGATTTGATGACTTCGAATGGGACTCCCCTGAGTAGATACTCTAAGGTAGCACCAATCCGAATCCCATGTCCCTTGAGTGAAGGAACATTGAGAATCGCGGCCGCAGCCTCGAGCCGTTTCATAAAGTCAGTCTGCGTTAGAGGTCTGTTGCCTCGTTGATATCGCCGAGCAAATAGTGGACCTCCTAGGGGTGGGTCATTCACTGTGAAGTGATTAGCGAGAGCAGCTGCTGGGTCTGCCAGGCCATCCTGTTGTGCCCAATACACATCTTCACCATCCTGTGGAGAACACTTGGTTCGTGGCAAATGGAAGACGGTGACGCGAAGCCCGTGCCTGTCTTCACCAAGACGAATGTTGGAGCGTTTGACATGGATTGTGGTGTTGAAGGCACCGAGAGTAGGTAGGGTGAATTCACCCAGCCGTGCTGCACAGAAGAACGTTGTCATCAAGCATGCATAGACAGCAGCGTCAAGTGGTAGGGAGAGGTCCATGGTCAAGCGCAGAGCAATGATGAAGTCAATGGTGAATGGAAGCCGCTTTGGGCGCTTTGACGTTGGCGGTGCGAGAATGACGGCGCCATCAAGCACTGCCTTCATCTCTGTATGGTTCATTTCCCAGGGCTGTCCGTGGAGGGTGTGCCACGCCTTTACTGCGAAGAAATAGTTCGCGAGTGTCTTCCCTGAGTATGAACCCGCGCAACTTGACACGAATGTGAGCATCAGTATGGAGCTTGCTGGGCAGCATTGTGACTCTGGAATGTTACGTTGATCACAGAAGATGTGGAAGAGCAGCAATCCAGCTCCGTAAGTCTCACGTGTCCCTTCTGCCCAAGATACTGTGATTACCGACAATATCCGTTCAAGGTCTGCCTCTGAGAGGTTAAGGTGCTGTCCACAACGGTCTCGTGTTGAACGAGTGTCCAATGGTTGCCAAAGCCGGAGACGATCGCGCGCGAGGCAATGTGGACGGAGTGCGGAAGGGGCTGGAACCAATCCTTCACGATATGCACGAGGTCTACCATTTGGCATTGTGACAGCGGGCAAGACAGCTGCGAAACGTGAGTTCCTGCTAGTCATCCCATCTGCAGCTATGCTTGAACTGCTCCTCCTGGCGTCGGTCTGCATCAAACTGCTCCCGCGCACGAGTCTGCTTGAGAGCGAGATCAATGCACTTTGCGGTGGCTGCCGGATAGTGCCCCTCTCTGTGGAGGCGAAGTTCGGTGGTGGTGTAGGGCTGCGTTGCGTCAATGATGAACCGGTCAAGCCCATGCGGGAGCTCAATTGGGGGAAGGAGAAGGTCTCCAGGAGGATAGATCCCTCTCGATGGTGCATCAGCGGGATTTGAGCTGCTGGGAACGTATGCTGCATAGATGGACTCGGAGTTACCTGACTGTTCCAAGTGTTCATGCAAGCGTTTGAAGACAGTGTTGACGGAGCTGTTTCGGCTCCTACCGTTCCACCAGCCTTCAATGACAACTCGGTTGTCACCGTAGATCCTAAGGTTGCGACGAGTACATTGAGTCCGGGTGATTGCGAGGACACATAATTCGAAGCCAATGGCTTCGGCCCAAGCAATCTCTCTTTTTCCATCAAGGGTTTGCCAGCCGGGTATGAGCCGCTATGCCCTCCATTGCCCATTGATGACAATGGCAATCCCGATGCCAGAGCTTGCATCCGAGAATGCTCCGAGGTCAGTGAGCTGTACGGGCCCTGGAATTGGTCTTGTGAGCACGGCTGATTGGAGAAGGGTACTCCACCATTGGAGATCTGCACTGATGCCTTTAACGGGGGAATAGTGCACGAATGGACGATCATGGCATGTCCCGAGCATGGTCTCCAGTGTGGTGAGGTAAGCCCGTCCCCTTGGTACCACCAGGCAGGCGTGGAGAAGTTTCCCGTAGATCTTCTGGACATCATTGAGTGTGTGCATCGTCTGTTCTTGCCAGTCGTGGATAGCTCGGAGATATTTCTCTTTCTTCTCCGTCGAAAGGCTGACAGTGATGTGTTCCAGGTCCCATACCAAACCGGTGAAGACTGCTGTTGTTGCAAATGGTACGTCCTTACTGCATTCCCACGAAATACCCAACTCCTTGGACAGCTCGTTGATGTCCGCAAAATTGTATGTATACTTTGCATCATCTTCTGATCTGGGTAATTGTGCTGACAGGTCGCGACATGGGAATGCGCAATCTTCATCAAACTCTTCGAGCGTGCCATCCTCGAAGCGCCGTCCACCGTACCATATTCGTCCTCCATTGTGATGTCTTCCCCACTGTGACAGCCCGGTGTGCCAAATCTGACGTTGCTGATTGTACCATGCAAGGTGTTCACACAGAACGCAGACGAATAAGTGATCATCGACCCATTTTGATAAAGGTGACATGCCATGAGATCTAAATAGATCAGTGCCAGCATCTGCGAGATAGCCATATACGCCTGACGATGGGGAGACACCAAAACATGTGCAAGTATCAAGGCATAGTTCACGCTCGTTCGTCCGTACCACACTTCCCGGCCATTGACTATAGTGGAGTGGTATTGTACGATAAGCTTCGGCAACATCTCACATTGCAGCCTGAGAGCCCGGCGGTAGACGACGAATGAGTAGGCATATAGCATTAAAGGTTCCCCAAGTGCTTGGAAATAGATCTGAGTCAATGGTGGAGTTAATGGACGGATTGGGAAAACGAAGGGATGGCGTGTGAGGGAATGAGTAATTCTGTACAATGCGAAACCGGCCAGGCCGGCCAGGCTTTGGGATGATGGATAAGGGCGATGATTGGAAGGGTCCAATGAGGTGCTCAAGATCTGTACGGGAGAATGGTCCAATGTACCTGCCTTTGGCGATCTCGGCATTAACGATCTTAAGGAACTCCGGAGCAAATGTGACGATCGATTCCTTATTTGGAGGGTCTTGAGTACGAGTGATTTGAGGAATGTTGATCCTGAAACCAACTCGTAACCCGTCCGGTAGGTTCTTGTATCGTCCGAGAAGTCCTGCTGTGCATAGTTGACTCTCCCACGCATTTGCATTGTACGGTGTAAGTGCTCTATGCTTTCTCTGCTCGAGGACATTGCTGAGCGCCATGTGTGTTCTGGCCACACCCTGAACAGATGTGACAATTGTCGTGTCTGGTGGCAGTGCATCCTTGGACCCGCTGCCAGTCGTGGCAGAGCGGTCGACCACCATCTCGGAGTGAGAGCGCCTTGTTGATTCTCTGTGAGATTGTGGGGTACGTTTTGTTCCAGATGACGATCTCATTGCATTCCACAATCTTGTGTGGGTGACGTCCGAGACAAACGGCACAAGCGGAGTACCCGTTCCCACTTGCGCCCGCCTGAAAATGTGGCTTTCTGGCTGGGTAAGGCTGCGTAGATGGTCTCACCATGTTATCAGACGTGGATGATCCATTATATGTCTCTGAGCCACGTGAACTGGCTGGACGGCTCCGCGGAGTGTTAGGGGCCGCAACGGCTCCAGATGTGTATCCTGCCATCCGTTGGTCTGCCTATGGAAGATTGAAAAACATGTCGGAGGATTGCAGGGGAGCATTTGTTTGGCATGGAGCAAACGGAGGCATGCATGGAGCAAAATGGAGGCATGCATGGAGCAAAGAAAGGCATGCATGGAGCAAAGGAAGGCATGCGTGGAGCAAACAGAGGTATGGATGGAGCACGCAGGCATGCATGGAGCAAACAGTGGAGCGGAGGAGGATCAGATTGCAGCATGTGATGAACAAATTAGCAGTGTAGGCCATTCAGTCATTCAAGGAGGCGTACGAGGAGAAGATATGAAAGAATTGTTTTTTGGTCAGTATTTCAGATGTGAATGCAATTTTGTCGACACGGTACGCACACGAAAATCTCTCTCATTATCCTTCAGGTTCCGTGCTTCCCAGTAGACGCGTTCTTTGACCTTTCGCATGATCTCATCATTGATCCGCGAGATGTTCCATGCACCTTGCGGTGATGGTATCGCAAGGTGCCATGCCTTCCGTTGTTCAGCTTGATAAACAAGGAGAGTCTTCTGGTCCAGAGGATCACGAGAGGAGCGAAGCTCGTGGATCTGCAAGTTTCCCCAGAATTTTGCCAGCATTGCCACTCGATCCTCAGGCCAGCTGGCCTCTTCCATAGCGCGAATCATGCGAGGGGCTGCCTGACAGAAATCCTCCCATGTGAGATCCTTATCTTCGGTGACGCCGCGAGAGTCTCGGGCAGAGGCTGCCGGAACCCAAGATGTCGTGCCGTTTGGATTCTGCAGTAGGATCATTGCTTCATCATCGATTGTGCTCGAGCCGCTCAGCGCCTCGTCTAGGCCCTTATTGGTGTAGTAGTGCATCTCGGTGTAGAGGCCTTTCTTCATCTTTCGAACTGCATAGGTTGCCGGGAGAATCGGTGCTATCGTCGGAGCATCTCTGTCTGGAATGAGTAGGTACTTCTCCTTGTTCTTCTTTAGCTCTTCCTTGTGGGATAGCTCTTCCTCCTGTCTCAAGGTGTCTAATCGTTGTACCTCTGCTTCTTCTGCCAGTCTGATCTGATCGGCGACATCAGTTGCATCGTCGTTCACCTGCTGCTCCCATGCTGCCTTGTCTGCATCATTCCCGGCCTTCCATATGTTCTTAAGAAGCTGAACAGCTTCATCCTCAGTGGTATTGGCATTGATCAAGGGAGCGCGAGTCACTGCATACGTCGCGGAAGCATAATCTGGGCATTCTGCCACTGTGGGGTTGACAAGAATTCGAGCCATTCTTTAAAGAGTGTATTCTGTAGAAGCGAGTGTCTAGATTCAAATGAAAAAGAGAGCTCCACTGCGCGAGAACTACGTGTACTTCTCAGCAGTTAGCCGTGTAACGAGCGACAGTTGTGGTAGGAAGACGAGAGCACTCAGCCACAACTGCCTAATCCGTGCGTAGACTAAATTCTGCGCTCCCGCTCGTTCCTCGTGCTCTCATAGAATACGATATAAGTTCAAAAAGAAAATGTGATCTTTTGCTGATGTAGTACCGGTGACTCGAGGTGCGCCATCAAAAGCTCTTCTCAATCTTGTGACAATTCCCAAAGCTTTTGACGAATTCTCTACGAATCTTGGTTTTCGATTCTCTACCCACTTGTCCAAAGAACAGTCTGCCGGTACAACGATCGTGCTTTCATTGGCCCGCTGACGTCACTTCGATCCTCCTGTCTGGAGACCGTCCAGAGTATTGATGAAGTCGAGCTGATTCACAAGCTAGGCCAGGTCAACCGACGATGTTCTGCAGTCAGGACCGAACATTGTACACATATTCAGCAAGATGATAGAACTTGAATTGTACTACAAAATGCACGCAATACAACGAAGTAAAGCAGGGGTCCAACGATGCGCGCATCATCCATTCCAAGTCTGTCGAACTGTTTCTTTCTTCTGACGCTGTTTGTGTCGAGTTTAAGACGCCGAGGGACGCGGCGTCCACCCAGGGTTATTGAGAGCGATGGCCCCAACGCCGCCCTCAATGACGGTGTCGACTTGCAATGCGAGCGTGGGCGAGACCGGGGTATCTTCCATGGACCAGAGGGCCACGGCGACGGTGCTGGACAACTGGTCAGCATACACTTGCGAACTGTCGGGCGGGGCACTCACTTTGTGCCGCTGTAGTTCAGGATACCCTGGGGGACGGGGAAATTAGTCTGCGGGCCGAAGTTCGCGACGCGCTAGAGAACCAAATTGTCATGAGAAGGGGCATCTGATATCGCACACATCCAAGCACGCGCACCTTGCCGTAGTTCCAGCCATTCACGTATAACTGTGCGCGGTACGGCTGGCTCGACGTGTCGTACTGGAACGACATCAGTACGTCCGAATTGGCGGGGACGGCGAGATCGAACGTCGTGACGAAGAAGCCAATGCCGGGTCCACCGCCGGGGAGGCCTTCGGTCAGCTCGCGAGCGGTCCAGCTGGACGTGTCGAAGCCGGGCAGATGCCAGCCTTCGCGCTCGCCATAGAAGCCGCCCTCGTTGAGCACGCCCCGAACCTTGTCGGGGTAGCTGCAGGCGAAACGCGTTACAACGGGGGACATGCAGAGAAGGACGAGACTGACTTCATGTAGCCGCCGAGCTTGCCTTGGACCTTCCACACGGTGAAGTTCCCACCGTTGAGTTGGAAGCCGGGAATGCCGCGGGGTGATTTCTCTGCACAACAACGCCATTAGACTATCTAGTCATGCAAAGGTAAAGAAACGATCACCATTGGCATCTTCGTCGTTTCCCGAACTATCCTACATCCGATTTTTAAGCTCAACGTTTCACAAGAGAACGGCCTGCACATACCTGCACGACCGTGATGACGTTGTCCTGCCCGACCTGCACGGAGCCCGGAGGGAATGTGTACAGCTCAGTGGTCTGCTCCGCCGAGATGTCGTACGTGGAGTTGAGGAATACATCATTCAGATATACCGTAGCGCCAAACGCTGAGAGAGTGGGCGCTTAGCCTATCGTAGTGCCGGACTCGTGGAAAAAGAAGACACACCGGTGCCGCCGTTGATCGTCAGATTGACAGAAGTCTCGGATCCGGTACCTTCGAAATGGCCGCGCCAGAGGACGGCATTCTCGCAGCTAGAAGGTTGTTCAGCACTCGCACCAAAAATGCAAAGATCTCACACCACACTCACTATCCATAGTCACAACCTGTCCCCAAGCATCAGCGCGCCCTCGCCACGCACAAAAACGGAAGACACGCACCATACAACACCCGCCCGTCCCCATACAACATCGCCGGGATGTTCGTCGTCGTATGGTTCGCCACGACCCACTCTGCATCCGAATAGTTACTCAACACCTCAGGTAAGCTGTCGTTGTAGCGCCACCCGGTCAACGCGGGTACTGTCACCTGCGCCAGCGCCGTGCTCATCTGGAGAGACCCTACGAGCACCCCTCCCTGTGCGCCACCGTCGGCCGAGGCGAACTCGAGTTCGACGGGCACGCCGTTCCACGACACGCTCGTCACCTCGGGAGGGGCGACGACTGTGAGCGGGACGCTCGCGTTGAGGTCCCCGCGGAGCGCGAGCTCGCCGTCGGCGATGGACGCGTTGCGCACGAGGTAAGGCCCGCCGATGAGCACGGTCTCGTTCGTTCCGAACTGGAAGTAGTTCGGGAAGTCCGTGGACGCGCCTGCAGTGGGGATTGCAGGCGCCCAGAAGGTCGCGGTCGTGATGGGGTCCGCGTACAGTATAAGCTGGGTTGCCGAGTCCCAGACTGTGACGAGCCCGGTGATTCCGGGGAGGAAGGTCACGGTCGTGATTCCCCCTGCTCCTCCAGCGTTGGAGTAAGAGACGTCTGACGCTTGAGCGCTAGATCCGTTCAGAACGAGCGCGACCTCGTGGCTCTGGTTGGCGTCGCCGTAGAGGAACAGCACGTCGCGCGCGCCGATGGTACCGGCATAGAATATACTCGCGGTGGAGTACAGCACGCTTGACTGTGCACCGAACGCGTAGTCGGTCACGATGACCTTGCTCTGCCGCCCGTCGAGCGCAATCGCGCCTGACGTGCTGGGGATCGTGAGTGTGCCAGCCGAGGTGGGAACTGTCAGGGTGAAGTTAATATTGGTCCTGCGTGCAATCGCTGTCAGTGGCTATGTAGACAGCGCACTAGTCCGACTGACGTAGAGGTCGAGTCCGCTTGGCGTGCGATGTAGAACCCGGTCCCCGTATCGTAGTTGTACAGGAGGGTGACGTACGCGCCCGAGCCGTTGACGGTGACGCCAGGGATCGTAGTGCTGGTGTCGCCGACCCAGTCGGTCTTGCGGAACGAAGGCGAACTGCGGAGGAAGATTCCCTGGCGCTTAATTTCGTCGTACTTGTCGCTCAGCAGCCGCGACTCGCGTATCGACGCGCCGTAGTCGTAGCTGCGTGCGGTGAACGTGGTCAGTCCAGGAGGAACATACCAGAACCAAAAGTCACCTTGAGTATACCGAAGGCTCAGGAAGTCCTCCCCAGCTTGTGCCACTGAAAAGGGTGGAGTCAGAATGGATAAGGGATGACGCAACGAAGGTCATACCCGTAAATCATGTAATAGGATATGAGCTTTACGTTCGACGCCCAGTTCTGCTTGTAGAACACGTCCATGAAATCTGCGCCCGTCAGAATTTCGCAGTTGTTGTAACCGGGACCACCCCACGGGTCGAACGCGCCGCCTGTCATGTCGAAATGAGTTGCCACGAAAAAGACGTGAAAGCATTGTGCACGGCACCTTGGAACTCGGGCATGTACCACGGCTCGCCTGGGTCGACCTCCTCATGGTACTGATGATAGTTCGTCACGACAGATGCCCACTGCTCAGGATGGGAACAATCGAAGCCTTGTGGGTACGAGTCCTACGAAGTAGAGCATTAGAGTCGGCATGAGGAAAAGCAGGATGCGCACGTACAAGTCCGTAGATGTTGACAGCGCCTGTACCGTTGACGAAATTGCGGCCTTCGCCCGGATCGTTGTACGTCCTGTTCCCGCCTTTCAGCCTACTATCTAGCTTGCACGGATTAGCGAGAAACTCACAAGGGGATGAGAACACCCGCTGAGCGGTACGCCGCCTCGAGCTCGGCGAAGTATTCCCCGGTGACCGCATCCTGATAATACTCATTATCTTCACCGTGTCGACGTCAGTGTCAATTCCAGTCTCCTCTCGAGCAGCATACTTACCGACCTGTACGGCGAGGATGGGCCCGCCGCTAGAAACCTGGTTCGGGATGACATTTTCAGCGATGCCGGCGATGTACGGCTGCCACGCGGCCTCATAATCCGACGCGTTCGTACGGAGCTGACCCGCGACGAGACTCGTGACCCAAAGCGGAATGCCGCCGGCGGTGGTCTCGGCATTGATCTAAGGAGCATTAGCGGCACTGTGCGGGAGAGTGACAGAGATCTTACGTATGGACCTGAGCGCGAGAGGCATTAAGAAAGCAAGGGAACGATGAGAGAGATAAAACGCGCCTGGGCGCAGCACGATCCAAAGCCCTGCGAGTTTTGCAGCATCGAAGAACGGCTGGAGGGCGCGCCAGTCATTGAAGTCGAGCACGCCGGGAGCGGGATTCGTCAACCCCCAGTGAATGTATATGCTATGGCGCGCCAATGTTTGAACCATGGAACACCAAGAGGAAATACAGATTTATCAACTCACCTGACTGCGTTCAAGCCGGCAGCGACCATCTTCTGGAAGATGTCGAGCCAGAGGTCAGGTACGGGGAGACGAAAAGTATGGAATTCGCCCGAGCTGAAGCGCTAATGTGCTGAGAACACATAAAAGGAGCATATATATCTTAACACTGACTGCAAGAAAATGCGTTGGTCATAGACAAAAAGCGAGTAGTTGTCCCACTGGACAACGTCCGTCAGGTTGTCCGATTTGAGCGTGGGGGACGCAGCAGCGAGGTCAGCATATTCGGCTCGGGTTGACGCAGCTGTCCGGAGCGTGAAAGGCCAGGTAAAAAAGACGATGAACAAGGAGAGGAAGGCTGGGAAAGCCCACGAAGAACGGCGATGCCAGAGCATGGCGAGGCGTCGAGAGAGGCCCGGGAGTGGGAGCTGGCCGTCGTTTTTATGCGACAGAGAGGATTCCAGTGACGAAAGCACATCGTCCGAAAAATATGCGGTGCGCATGGTGGCGGACCGGGACGATGGTCGCGACAAATAGGAAGCGCGAGAGCGTGAGTCGATGCGCGTGGGGAAGCGCGGAACGATCACGTGTGTCCGCACCTGACCACGTCTTCCTTTCGCCAGCGGTCCGCTACATACGCGTCCTCTCTTCTTCGGTGCCCACGACTTTATTCCCCCCAACCATCCCTGCCAATCTTTTGTGCTGCATGACAAATTCACGCGCGCGGAGAGTGTCCGTAAATAGGTGAGTTCTTCGAACGTTCATCCTTAAATCATTTTTTTCCAACGTGAGCTAAAGACGCCAGGATGGCTCACGCAGGTCAGAATACTGCGCTACTTGTTGCGGTCCCGCACGTCCATGTCTCCCCAAACTCGGTCTCACAGACTCATGTGCGTATGTATCACGCCTCCACTTAACTTCCAGGAAATCAGGGGTGCGAAGGACCGAAGCCACCCCAGCAATTGCCCAGCTCTCTCCTCCTGAAGGATATTCTTAGGCAAGGACGTTTTTACGGTGAGTAGCTCGGCAGAGCTGGGCTATAGGCATCCCGTCTAGCCATTGTGATCGCACCGGGTGTCCGTCGCGTTCTGGAGTCTGCCTTTGATATGCCGAAGAAGAAGGCGTGCTACTACTGCTTGGACGATTACCAGCCGCCGCGCCGAAAGTCCTGTGTTTGCCGGTCAGTTACGCGCTCCGTAAGTTCCTTCCCCCGGATTTTTTCTTAATGTCCGGTGAGCAAAGTTGAGGCGCTGCCGACGCACTCGCCGTGTGACAATAGCCGTGCGACCTTCGACGTCTGGTGAGTAGGGTTAGGACGGGCACTATCCGTGCTCGCCGTGCACATCCGTCGCTTTCACATCCGGGCATGAATGCGATGCTACTTATTTGGGTTGTAGTATGTAGTCGCTTTACCTCTTCCCCTGATTCTGACCGCGATATCTCCACTTCGAAGCCAACCATCTGGGCGTGCTGTAGTCCGCGACAGGACGACGAGTGAGGTCTAGAAGAGCTTAGCATGGCTAGTACTCTGAAAGTTCCATATGACATTTGTGCGAATTTTCCAGTCGAGAACATGTTCGTTCGAATCTGATGGAACATCGAACAGCTATCCTTGTCGTGAATGTTGAGTAGCTAGGTGTACTGTATCCCGAATCAATAAGGCAACACCGCTGCAACAGAATATGTAAGATGGCAAGTCTATATACCAAGTGTGTTCGAACTACGGAGAAAACGAGATTCTCGACCGACCACTGCAGTCCGGACTCCCCGCCTCTCCAAAAACTCTGCAAATTCGTTGACACACTGGATGGAAGAACCCGGTGATTCGTAGACGTCCCCCAGCGTCATCGTGACCTCCCGCAGCTCAGAGAACTGCTCCGACGTCACCACCTCGCGCAAGTCCTCCCACCTTTCTTCGATGGCGTGCAGGCGTAAATATAAGACGCGCACACGGCAGCAGGGGGAGAGAAAGCGCAGTATCTCTGCTAACGGCACGCCACCCGTGTTTGCCATAGAGAACGTGCGCAGTGCGCTGCAGTTGTTCAGGTTGAGGAGGCGCCCTGACGCACAAAATCGATCGTATTGTATAAACGACGAGCGGAGAAAGACGCGACTTACATTCAGCAAGAATAAATTCCTCCTCGGGTTCCACCTTCAAACGCTCCAGATGGGGAGCGACAACTTCAATTGAACTTCCCGCGTAATCCAACCCCGACCGAGGTACCGCTAGCTCTAACGAGCGGACGGACTGCGGAGATGTCGTAGAAACGATGTATTGGTAGACGGACCACATGGACCGCATGCGGCTGACGAGCGAGATATGCGTGAGTGGCGGGCAAGACGTCCACGGGCGGCTGAGAGGGTAATCCGACTCTACTTCATCATCGGAAGGAGATACACGGTCCCACATGAGTACGCATTGCAAACAGAGGCGTCTCAAGAGGGGGAATGCCGATATGATATCTCTGAACATCTCAAGATTGCGGAAGGTGCACCCGGAGAGATCGAGTCGAGTGACATTCCTGAACTGCCTCAAGGTGGATACGAGAATGCCAGCATAGCGAGATTCGGTCTGCTGAGCAATGAATGCCTGTAGGGATGAGGAGCTGTTGCCGAAAATATCAGCCAGCCGACCCGTCCACGGGGGATTCCAATAGATCCCTTTGAATGTCAACGAGCGCACTAAGTCGAGCGGAGGTGCACCGTTTGAGTAAGAGACATCTACGAGGGATCCGAGCCGTTCATTCTCTTCTACGTGCATGTTGCTAAAGAGGTGAAAACGGCTGCGCGGGAGCCATGCGTGCGATGTGAGGGAGCAGCTGCGTAGAGAGGCGTGGTCGTCGGATAGGTAGTCGATGATACGGTCTGTCAGCTCAAGTGGAAGATCGTGTAACATCTAGAGGTAGCATAGAGAATTCACCAAAAACGGATGGGTCAATTAATCAGTGTTTATAGCTAGCAAGTACAAACGCACTTTTGTCTAGGGTATTTGTCTACTAGTAGGGTGACTGAGCCAAAGATGCATGACTCCGAGAATCCCGGAAAGTCATCGGAGACGCCCGTCGATCATCAGCCTGTCACCTGCCACTCGCGCAAGTTCAAGCAAGACTCGGGAATGCCTGCAGTCTTCGTGCCTCGTGCACTGGAAAATAACGCGTCAACTCATGGATTGATCAACTAAGAGGTGAAGAGTTCATAAATGTATGGTTAGACTGCTGTCGTGGTAAGTAGGTCATATTCCTAGCCCTCCGTGCCTAGGTGCAACTCCCCGCTCTGCCTTGTCAGATCATTTCCTGCGCTGGTCGAAAGGCATGCCGCCGACCTCCCTTACACGAAGGTAGACGAGCTCGTCACCAAAAATGATGCTGGTCCTCATGTTCTAGCGTAATTAGTCTCCAGAGCGTTGTTTTGTATTGCACAAGCAGCAACAGATGGCGCAGCGGCGACGATAAAATTCTCTCCCAACGTACGACGACCAGCGTGAGCGTACAAAATCTACTATGGAAAACTCCGCCGGCAACGTCCGAGATGGGCGCCAGCTTGCCCACCTTCAACATTTTGTACCTCCGTATCCTATGTAAGGTAGTATTCGTATCGCGCGCTTCGTTGGAACCGATCATTCGGAAGTATAGACATGGTCAAAATTTTCCGCAACGTTAGTGATTGCAATTTATGTCGTTCGCTGGAGAATGGGGAGACATTGTCGAAATTATGATTGCTCAACTGAATATTACAATTGGACGACATACTATGGCTTCTCAAAAAGTATTCATCAAGTGCTATATTACCCGTCAAACTAAGGATGATTTATGCATATTGAACGGCACGACAAGGCAATCCACAAAACATTCATTGCAAAGGATGTAGAATTGAGCAGCCTCAATAGTGCCAGTACAATCATGCATACACGCACGGGGAACGATTAATGTAAGTCCTCGGCAAATCCTTTCCCCTTGCTACTGATTCTTCTTCTCTGCACTGATCCATTGCTTGGGCGGGTCGTTGCGTACGGGGCTCTGCACGCCTGCGAGAGCATACACACCAAAGAGGACGAGAGGAACCAGCACGCCGAGTGTCAGGATTAGGGCGAGCAGAAGCGCTGGAGTGAGTAGCTGGTAGCGAGCGAGAATTCCTCCACTTGGTAATGCGTTTGCAGCGGTGGAGTTCGAAGAGTCGAATGGGTTAGGAGATGAAGATTGGCGTGCGAGGTTTGAGCGCGACCAGCCGCTGTAGAGCACGAGGTAGTGGGGATGGGTACGTGCCAGGGTAGCAAGCGCGGAGGAAAGCTGTGATTCTATTATAATATTGAAGTCAACTGCGACGACACTGACGCAGGATTGACAACGTACCATGCTTTGCCATCATGCTCTTCCGTGTAGCTCCATGAACACCCTCCAGTGAGGGCATCCCCATGCATACCACGTGCTTCTCCTTTGCATCCCCATGCGCAGGCATTGGCATGTCGTCCTCATCTATACTGGTATGTATAAGGCGTGCGCCGCAGCGCAGCGCGAGTTCATCCGCAAGTTTCTCAAAGGGGTTCACGCCTCCTGTGCGGCGTACATATGGAAATTGGAAGGAGGCAAAGGCAGACTCGAGGGTATTTACGAGCCCGCTGGACGGTGATAACGTGTGCAAGTCCGCGGCATGCAGCTGGGAAACGTCAACTTCAGTTCAAACAGAACGACACGGTCAGATACTTACATCAACTTGGTTGATGAAGACAACAGCGTCATGTGAGCAGATATCTGGAGCCTTCAGGAGGTTCTTTGCAAAATCTGAACCTTTAGATGAATCAAAGGCCAAGCTTGGCGAGCTACAGGTACAAGTGAGCTGTATGTTTGCCAGAGGACAAGCAGGGAACATACCTAACTGAAGACCATATAAGGAGAGGGTGTGTATCTGAGAAAGCTAAGGCAGCTACCGGCAGCAGTGCCAAACTGATGAGATGCATGGCGAGCACTAGGGTAGAGGCGTGGGTGAACGAGCGCTTATTCAAGACCGCTCCTCGGCAACTGCCTGCACTCCGCAAAAGGTAATCTTCCTGAGGGTTGGTCTTGCTCATCCGCCACGACCCACAACCTAACTCTTCTCGTCCTCCATGACACCACCGTTAGCATCAATTCCCCCTCAGCCGCGTGCAAAGGCATTGCGTGCATGCTTACTCTGCTCTATCATTCAAACCCCCGCCGACTTCCGCAAACATGGTTGTCCTAATTGTGAGGAAATCATGCAGGTGTGTATGCTACCTTGTCGGGTAGGAGACCGTACTCATTGGGTAACAAACATAGATGAAGGGTTACCCTGACCGCATTCAAGCGTGCACTACTACTCATTTCGACGGTGTTGTCGCGATCATCGAACCCGAGACTAGCTGGGTCGCCCGCTGGCAGCGTGTTTGTGAGTTGTGCGCTCGACAGTGAGATCACGACCATTTCTGATATTTGACTCAGCAAAATATGCGCGTGGTATGTATGCTGCCCGGGTGAAGGGTCGCATTCCTGACGACGTCGAAGCGGAGCTCGAGAGCCGCGGTATCAAGTATCGACCTCGAGACCAGACGGACCTGGACTAGAGGATTGTCGACTCATACCCTGCCTATTTCATTACGCGTGGATGTATTGTGTCTGTTCGAGTCATCCAAAAAGCCTCATCTTGCTTTCGGCTGTATCATCGCACGTTTCTGTCCCCCCGGTACCATGTATTCCTAGATGCAAATAATTCTCACCCAAATCCCTCTGTAGGCCAATGTCAGCTATCTGGATATCATGTGTATCGGCGAAGGCAACACCTCCAGGACATTCTCATCTGGCGGGAGATTGTTAAGATTATCCTGACCTGCAAGTTGCACCTACCGCAAAATGCGACCATGCCAACGATGCAACGCCCTGCAATATCGAATATCGAGGGAATGAGGGCAAATATTGATCTAAATCTTCTATGGCTGCGTCGTGCTGCTCGCAGAATAGAGTGATCGAATTGGCAGAGGGCGTTAAAGTATTTCGTGGCTGCCGCGTTCTTATACGCCTCACATCGATACGTGAGCGCTAACTTGTGATGTGGGAATTGGGATGGAGGCCACGCCTTCTGAAACTGTCTAAGATAAGTCGTGTTCCGTACAGTTACAAGTGCTGAGGGTAATCGCCAACTTCGCTAGTTCATCCAGTGGCATCTGCACTAATGGCGACTCCTTCTCTGAAGACTCGGACGCTCTGTGAGGTGCCGCTTAAGTGGACAGGCCCGAACGAACAACCCCTGGACATTCTTTCCGAGGCCACTCCACGCCGATTCCGCCTCATCGATTGTGTCCAACTCACCCAGAACAAGCTGCTGCGCATCGTCGAGTTTCCTGACTACTGCTCAGTGCGATATGCTGCTATCTCATACGTCTGGCGCGGAAATGCCATTGACCCAACCTACACCAGCCGCGTCACAACGTTTGGAGTCGTCGGAGCAGAGGATGCTGATCCTATCAGTGTTGAAGTCCTCAACCACACCTGTATTACTGCCTTGCACAATCACGCTGACTACCTCTGGCTCGATCGCCTGTGCATCATGCAGACCAGCCGTGATGACAAGGTCTGGCAGATCGAGCACATGTATGAATATTACAAGTCTTGCGGTGTATGCATCGTCCTTCCCGGAGGGCTCCAGCGCATTGTGCGTCTTGATGAGGAAACAGCGTGGATTCATCGTGGATGGACACTGCAGGAAACGCTGGCTCCGGAACATGTGGTAGTCTTATTCGCGTGGAAAGGTGGTCCAGGTTTGTCGTTGCGTGTGGGGCAATATGTTCCAGGACTTTTACACCTATTTTTCTAGGTCACATTGTCAGTCTCAGTGCCGAGGGGGCCATAACAGAGGTCATCCCTTCCCAGTCCGCCATTTCAGCAATAGCAAACATTGTCAACGGTTGTGCTCAAGGCTACGCGATCTTCATTCCGCGTAGGAAGCCTAGGCTTTATAAGATTTTAAGATTTCAGATCAGAATCTTTGGTAAGAATTTACCCAATCTCCTGTCACTTAGCGCAGCCATGGACAAGCTGCGCAAACAGGATTGGTCCAGGGATATGATAGAACATGCCATCTGGAAATGTGCGATGATGCGCACATCATCTCGTCCTGTCGACATGATTTTCAGCATCATGGGCTTATTTGGTGTTGTACTTGACACCCGTACATTCGGGAAGAACGATCGGTTAGGTGCTACTATAGCCCTTACGAAAGAAATACTGCGAAAGGGTGGTAGCGCCAGTTGGTTGGGTGCTTCTATCCATTTGCCGCCACACAGATCTCTCTCGACGTTTCCTGTCTTTCCGCAGACTAGCGTATCTGGAAAGGCGCTGGTGCGCACCGAAGACGGGTTGCAAGAAGCGGCGATGTTCATGAATGCAGAGTGTCCGACCATTTGCATGCCGAATGGAAGTATGGATGATGATGGGTATTTTACATTCTCTGGGGCGTCGGTGCCCGTTGGGCGCAAACAACAACAGCTGCCACTGGAAAGTGTAGTGAGTGTGTAGACCTCAGTGGAGAGACGTCTGCTGACGTCTTTCAGAATCCCTCCCTTCCTCAAGTCACCAATTTAGAGACTGTGGATGGCACGGTCTGGGTAGTCTGCAACTCGAGAGAGTCTGAAACTTCAGCCTCGGACAGTCGCACTTTTGCAGTCGTCCTTGGTCAGTTCGGTCAATACCGCCCTCCGGTGTATGCAACCCAGACTCTCAAACACCATACCAGTTTGAGGCTCATGCTGATAGAGGAGCATGGGCCTGGCAAGTTCCACTTGGTGGACTTTTGCACATCGGAGGGGAGCTCGGACGATCTACCGTGGAAGACCCGACCGTTCAGTGTCGGCGGACCTCTAACCCTTACTCAAGATATGGACCAGATAGTCTTATGCAACAGACTGTCACCAAGCCGAATGAACAGGTGGGTCGGGACAGAGAGGCTGAGAATAGCCGAAGCGGAAGAGGCTCTATCCCAAGCAGCGTTAGAACGCTTACTTGCAGTTGCTTACCTGCAACGCAACAACACGAGTGGTCGGGCAGAGTCTTCGGAAGGTGATGTCGACTCGGACACGGACGACGACGGCAATCTTCGCATGTCAGACGAAGACGATTGAAGGTGCTTGCCTTCAAAATGATACGGATACTCGTGCTTCGCTACTTATACGGTTTTCTGGTCTCCGACATTGTCCAGCTGAAAAGTTTCGTCTCGAAAGGTGGTGAGCGGCGAGCAGAGTACTTACTGTATGCAAAAAATATTTACTGCACGTTCGACCCCTGCTGTTTCGTGAAGCTTGAACTTCGATCGCAGTCCACAGTAAGCCCTTAGTTGTCCACCATGCCGACCTCCAACTGCGTCTTTTCCGGGGTATTCAACAGGAATAATATATGCACACTGTTGCTCTACGTACTTTAAGAGAATATTGCTTGCTCTGCCTTGAGTCTGCCCAAAGAGAGACTACGAGTTGCCGAAGAGAGACAATCTGCGGCCCGAATCAAGACGGCTTATCTTATCTCCTGGAAACTTGATCTCAGCGCTCAGACTTCCTGCCACTCTGCTCCGACTGAGTCTCCGACCAAGTTAACTGGTCTCCCTCCCGACTCTCTAACTATTTCTTGTACTCAGAAGGACTATAGCTATAGGTAGGTAGGCTAGGGGAGGCGTGTATCTGGGGAGCAAGATGAAGGAATCAGTGTCACATCAGGCTCCCAAAGTCATGTGCGTTTCCCAGCTGCTTCATACGCCTTCTCTGACCGTATATCAGCAAAAAACTCCAGTTCAGTCTCCTGAACAACCAGGAGACTGTCAAAATCTCCGAATTTGAGGTTACCCATCGCGATCTATACACTCCTACTGACCGTCTACCAGTCAAGGATGGCGTGCTTGACCGTCGCTTGGTGCGCTAGACCGATCACTCTTCTACGAGCCCGTTTGACATGTAATTTAGGGGACAACAGAGAAGAATGCATTTTGTGAGACCTGCGGACTGTCTTCCGTCGACTGTGTTGGGCACTACGCGTACATCAAGCTCGTCGTGCCGGTTTTCCACATAGGTTACTTCAAACACACTATCAGCATTTTGCAGTGTATCTGTAAAGTAGGCGACCGTGATGCAAACATTTACAATGCTGATGATACTCCATAGACTTGTGCGAGGGTGTTGCTAGAAGAGCCTGACCGACGAGGATATCTGAAGCGGTTCCGTCGACCAAATTTGGAGAACATTCAGCGGCTTGCACTGTGCAAAGCTGTCAATACGCAAGCCCGCAAGACTGTCTACTGCCCTTACTGCTCGGCAACGAATGGTGCGGTGAAAAAAGCAGGTGCGCTGAAGATCATTCATGACAAGTTCCGCGCGAAGAAGACTGCGGACGAGATGGAGCGGTGGAAGAAGACGTTTACTCCCGCGGTCGAAGCGCAGAAGGAGCTTGGTATATACATCAACAAAGCAGTGCATGAAGATTTGAACCCTTTGAAAGTGCTAGACCTCTTTCAGCGGATCTCGGACGAGGTGTGTGTGCCGCCGCCGCTGTGGACGTTCCTCACTGGTCAGTCAGGATTGTGAACTGCTTGGACTGAGGCCAGAGTTTGGTCGGCCGGAAGAGTACATTTGGCAGTATATCTCGGTGCCCCCTGTCTGTATTCGTCCCTCGGTAGCGCAAGATGGCGCATCGAACGAAGACGATCTTACAGTCAAACTCACAGAAATCGTATTCACGAATGCGCTCATCAAGCAAGGTCTCGCGAAAGGTTCGCCGACCGCGCAATTCATGGTCAGTCCGCCCATACTGACCTTCATCATCTCCTATCTCATTATTGCTGTACAGGAACAATGGGAATTTCTGCAGCTCTCTGTCGCGATGTATATTAACTCAGAACTTCCTGGAGTGCCGTCGCAGATGGGCTCGAAACCAATTCGCGGGTTCTGTCAGAGGCTGAAGGGTAAACAGGGACGTTTTCGTGGCAACCTTTCAGGGAAGCGCGTGGACTTCTCTGGACGCACAGTCATCTCACCGGATCCGAACCTACGTATCGACGAGGTCGCTGTGCCCGAGCGTATCGCGAAAATTCTCACGTATCCTGAGCGCGTCACGTCGCACAATATCGAGATACTGAAGAAGGCGGTGCGGAATGGGTGCGACGTCCATCCTGGAGCAAACTACGTTACTGCCGGTAGCAGCGGCTTCAAGAAGTACTTGAAGTTCGGTAACCGGACTGCGATCGCTGATGGGCTTCGGATCGGCGACGTGGTGGAGAGACATATCGTTGATGGAGACATTGTACTCTTCAATCGTCAGCCAAGTCTTCACAAGGTATGCACCATTCAGTTTTTCAAGAGCCAGCAAAGGTGCTCATCAAGGCTTAGCTGTCCATCATGTGTCACAGAGTGCGCGCGATTCTAGAATGACCCCTATTTTGTACTGAGTTATCTTAGGTGAAAGTCCGCCCATGGCGGTCATTCCGTCTCAACGAGTGCGTGTGCGGCCCGTATAATGCAGATTTCGACGGAGACGAGATGAATCTCCGTAAGTACTTCACATGCCGAATGCACTTGCACTAAGTAACCGTATCTACGCCTTAGACGTGCCACAAACGGAGGAAGCGCGGACAGAAGCACTCGAACTAATGAGCGTCAAAAATAACCTCGTAACACCGCGCAATGGTGAACCTGTCATTGCTGCCATCCAGGACTTCATTACTGCTTCGTTCCTGATCTCTCGCAGAGATCGCTTTTTCGACCGCCGAGAGTTCACGCAAATTTGCTCATACTTCGGCGACGCAGATATGCAAATCGACATCCCCCCGCCCACGATCTGGAAACCTGTGCGGCTATGGACGGGCAAGCAGGTTTTCAACGTGCTGATGCGGCCGAACAAAAAGTCGAAGGTGCTCGTGAATGTCGAGTCCAAGTGTAATACTCAGGAGAAGCCTGATCCGAAATACTACCCCCGCATGTCACCCGCATTAGATCTGGCCCCGAACGACGGCTGGCTTGTTATCGTGAACAGTGAGATCATGTGCGGAGTCATGGACAAGGCAACTGTCGGCAGCGGGAAGAAGAAGTCAGTGTTTGGTGTCATTATGAGAGACTACGGTCCCCAGGAGGCCGCGGCTGCGATGAACAGAGTCGCTAAGCTATGTGCTCGCTGGTTAGGTATCGTGTTTCACCAATGATGGCGAGTAACTCTGGCTTACTGGTGCGGCGTAAATCCCAGCAAACTACGGTTTCTCTCTAGGTATCAACGACGTCATTCCTGGGCCCATCCTTTCGGGCAAGAAGGATAGCATGGTTGAGAAAGCTTATGCTGACTGTCAGAATCTTATCGCAAGAGCGAAGAAGGGTCAATTGGAAAATAAGCCAGGGTGCGATCAAGAACAGACGCTGGAAGCTGAGATTTCAGCCGTACTCTCTAATGTCCGTGAAAATGTTGGGAAGATCTGCATGAACGAACTCAGTCGTCATAATGCTCCTCTTATCATGGCTACCTGTGGATCCAAAGGTAGCACAATTACTTGCATATAGCATAGTAACAAGCTCATTTATTTTTCAGGTTCCGTCATCAACGTATCACAGATGGTCGCTTGTGTTGGTCAGCAGATTATTGCTGGACACCGTGTCCCAGATGGTTTCCAGGACCGTTCGTTACCACACTTCCCCAAGAAGTCGCGAGAACCGCCTTCGAAAGGATTCGTAAGGAATAGTTTCTACTCCGGTCTGACACCAACCGAGTTTCTCTTCCATGCCATTTCCGGCCGCGAAGGTCTCGTCGATACGGCCGTGAAGACTGCGGAGACGGGTTACATGCAACGGCGATTGATGAAGGCTCTAGAGGATTTGGTCACCCACTACGACTCCTCGGTGCGGAATGCTGTAGGCGGAGTTGTGCAGTTCCGATATGGCGACGACGGTTTGGATCCTGCATGCTTGGAGGGCGACGCCCAGCCCGTAGAGTTTTTGCGAGCCTGGAGTCATGCCTCAGTGAGCATCTGTCTTCCTCCTATCCCGATTCTACTCGGTTTCTCATTGATGTTCGATTAGTCAATTGGGTCGCGAAGCTCTCGCGGGTTGCTTCCTTTCGAGATCATGGAACTGGTCGATCGTGAGCTGTCGAACCGAAGGTTCACAAGCGAGTGTACCGCAGCGTACATAGCAACAATTCGCGGCTTCGTGATGGAGCATGTCGCTAACAAGCTTGCCGAAGTGCGAAAGAATCATGGGATGTTCGAAGCTCTAGAACGTGAAGCCGAGTGGGACGCAGATACAGATCTATCACTCGGCGCTTCTGGTGAGTGTTTCGCCAAGAGTTGCAATTCTAGGTCATAAACTCTTCGGATGTGATCCAGATGCTGATAAGGCCACCGTGGACAATAAGGCGAAAGTAACTGGAGAGCAGGTGCTAACATTCTTGAATATATGTTGGACGAAGTACGTCAAGGCAAAGATTGAGCCAGGTGCGTAGAGTTTGTGTTGCTCTGCAATTCATGGTAACTCATATTCTGCTGCCCAGGATCTACCGTTGGTGCCGTTGGCGCACAGTCCATAGGCGAACCAGGAACGCAGATGACCTTGAAGACTTTCCACTTTGCTGGTGTCGCTTCCATGAACGTCACTCTTGGTGTCCCTCGTATTAAAGAAATCATCAATGCTGCGAAGGCTATCAGCACGCCGATCATTAGTTGCAAGCTTGTCACGTCTGATAGCGAGGCGTCCGCTCGTATCGTGAAAGGGCGTCTGGAGACGACACGTCTCGGTGACGTGGGTCTACTTTTACATCGCAAAGGACGTTCGAGCCCAACCACTGCGTATGTAGATTTCATCCGTGCTTGAAGAGGCTTGGGCCCCAGAGTACACCTATATTGGCGTTATCGTGGATCTCAAGACTATCCAGGACCTTCAGGTCAATAAATCACTAACATTTCCCTGATCACTGCGCGCTGCTGACGTTTTCTTCAACGTAGCTTGAACTCACTTTGGACGACATCAAGTGGGCGATCGTAGCTGCAAAGAAGCTGAAGATAAAGCAAGAGGTAATTGTTGATCCCGGTCGTGAGCCATGATATTGACCTCACGATGTCACAGTCGATTACAGTTGTTCCTCGTAAACATCGCCTCAGGATTTATGTCGATGGGCAAGATAAGTACTATCGATTGCGTGAGCTAAAAAGAGCGTTACCGGATGTCGTCGTGAAGGTTAGTAACAAAGACCATAATGCTCACTCATGCCTATCACTTTTTCTATGATAGGGCGTACCCACCATTCACCGTGCAATCATCAATATCAAAGAAAAGGATGATGCGCGGGGAAAGAAAGGGGATAAAGAATTGTTAGTCGAAGGCTACGGCCTCCAGAAGGTGATGGTGACGCAGGGTGTGTACAAGACTCTCGATATAGATCGATTGTGAACTGAATTTTTACTCCGTAGGAATTGTTGGCGAACAGACCTCGTCAAACCACGTCATTGAAGTTGCTCAGGTCCTTGGAATTGAGGCAGCAAGACGCACCATCATCAATGAAATTCAGTTTACCATGCAGAGCCACGGTATGAGCATTGATCCGCGACACGTCATGCTCCTCGGGGACGTTATGTCATACAAGGCGAGTACACATACAGCTTCTCCTGAGGTAATATGCTATGTCTGAATCATGATTCCGAATTGTGTTGTGCAGGGTGAAGTCCTTGGTATCACTCGGTTCGGCGTGGCCAAAATGAAAGACAGCGTGCTTATGCTGGCATCATTTGAGAAGACGACTGACCATCTGTTCGATGCGTCTGCATTCGGAAAGACAGATAGCATTGCTGGTGTGTCAGAAAGTATCATCATGGGCAATCCTGCGGCGAATACTGGGACCTCGATGTGAGTGATGGCAGATTGAAATGCACTCGGCAAGCCTTACCATTCTGTTTACAGGCCGGCATTAGTTGTTCCTGCGCCAGCCATCAGCAAACCACGGAAATTACTATTTGAAGGCTCATTATGAAGTTTTGACCACGCTATGATCACGTTGTATCGATTTGGTCTTAACTTATTACTGAAGATGTCACGCTGGTTGTATTGTTTAGATTTTTTTGCAGAAACTATTTCACCGGAGCGAGATTCTATTTCATGCTTGCGCCGTAGTTCAAGTTGCGACTTCCAACAATTTGCTAACCGTGGGCTTCCTGTACCCTGAAAGTGAAAATTAAAATGGTCTGTCTTTCTGTTAAGCTATACGTGTATGCTGGTGGAAGCCACACACGCGTTATTTGTTCGTATTTGAAATACCACAGTAATGCGTCTTAGCAGGTCTTAGCAATGTAGCATGCGTCCTTGAGTCGCAACGGCAATATCAGGTATTTACTGTGAGTTGATTTATCAGTCTACCTGGTTTTATGTGGCACAGGCACTTACTTGTACAGTCAATGAGCAGCTTTCGACGGCAGTACAAAACACGCTCGGTCACACGCAAGGAGACGTTCGCAGCGAGAACCGGGCCCATTAGAATTCTTCCAGAAGACGTGCTGAGGGTCATATTCGTGTTAGGACACCAGTCCGTTGCAGGTATGGCCCTCAGGTCTGGTCTGGGTTTCACGCTTTGTGTAGCGTCGGTATGCCGATTCTGGAGGAAGCTGGCCACTCAAATGTCGCAACTCTGGAGTGTCATTGACGTATGCTCAAGTCACTTGCCTCCTGTCGATTGTCTCGAGATATTCCTTCGGCGGTCAGGCACTCAAATGCTACAAATCTATATCTCTCAGAGTTACATCAGCGCCTGTCCAACAGATGGAGAATTGGAGCACACGATGCTGGCACCGGTGATACGATTGCTTGTCCGCTACATCAAGCGGTGGAGATTTTTCTTGGTGGATTGCGAAGCTCTCAAGTCGTTGCAAGTGGTCATTCCGCTTCTGCGACAGCATGCACCCGCTCTGGAGGAGATGACAGTAGCCGCTTCCAACATCTCATGTCGCTTGCCCCATACTCAAATGGCCTTCTTCCCTTTCACTTTCTCGGCCGTCAACCTTCGATCTTTGTCTCTGTACAATGCTCCCTGTGTCAGCGAGGTCCACAATATCGCTTCCGCATTCCCATCCCTAGAAGAGCTTGTTCTACATGGATGGGCCATGCCCATGGATATGGATTGCAGGAGTTTCATGCAGCAAGTGCAGCCATTGCAGCATCTGCGCAGCATAGAGATCTGGGATCCCGATGATGACCTCGTGGAATCTGTTCCGCTCCCCGCAGACTCTGCATTTCTACATTTCCCCTCTCTCGAGGAACTGCATCTCGAGGGATGGTGATCGACCTTGTATCAAACCTCCTCTCTGTATTCGAAGCACCTCTATTCAAGAGTCTGTCCCTCTCTTGCATGGATGATGATGATGGGCCCAGATTGCCGGTCATCGAACAACCCTCCCTTCGATTCCCGTCACTGAAGACGATCCATATCACGGGTGGTTCGGAGCGTTGGCAGGAACTTCTTCCTGGGATGTATAACATCGTGCATTTCGATGGGAGTCGTCCCCATCTTCATGAGATCGTCAAGGCAGCCATAGCTGGCAGCTACCCTGACCTTATATCTCTCGAGGCCCAATTCTTCACTGCAGTATCAGTGCGATTGTTGCGACGCTTGGTGGAGGCACGTCTGGATGTGAACGTTGACGGTGCAATTCGCCGTCCTGCTTTACTCGAGGAGATACGGATCCGTACATCCGTGGAGATACCCGAGGAAGATGTTACATGGTTCCAAGAGCATCTGAAGGAGTTCTCGTGGAGTTCAAATGTGACTAATGAAGATGACGATGAACTAAAGATGGCCTTCCGTACCTCATAACTAGCAGCATAACGTTCTGTTCCTTCTATTGATGTGGTTATTGGGTAGATCACTTTGCGGAGTAATTGGGCGCCTCAGTCCGGCACGCGATGGGCAAAAATCACGATTGAATGTTGAAGAACCGTGCGTCTCTACTTGCTTATCGATACAGGGTGATTGTCCAGAAGCATAGAAGAAAGATATGTAGACAAGTCAGAAGTAATGCAGTATATCGTTCGTCGCATTATAGAATTCCGGTAAGTAGTCAGAGCAATTCATGCAACACCCGATCATACTCCTGCGGCAGGTGCGAACTGAGCATGTCCCGTGCGAATACGATCTGCCTGAACACCTCCTGCGCTTTGCCTGGATGCACCGAGAAAAGGCGCACCTTCTCGCTCCCGCTGCCAGAGCCGTTCTCCGAGCGGAGACGATGCATAGGGTGCAAATCGCCATCTCGCAACGCCCAGAACACGCGCCCGGGCGGGTAGAGCTGTGTCATATGCATATTCGCCTCAAGTGTTTTGCGCATGGCTAGGAACTGTACAGTCTTAGCGTCAAGGCACCAGCATACACGGCAGAGCGGGAGTGGAACGTACCCACTCCTCGTCGCCATCCTCGCCGTACCCCGCAACCCACTTGAGCGCGCGACGCGTAACGCCTGCGTACCCTTCCTCCCGCTTCTCCTCCCCCTCCTTCAGCCCCTCCTTCCCCTCCTGCACGCACAGCCACATCGCCGCGCGTTTCATGTCCCTGACGCTCCCCAGAGACAACCGTGACACCACGTCGTGTGAGTAGGCGAAGGATGTTATGAGCCCAGCCTCACCCGCAAGCTCTGCAAGGCGTGCGGACGTTAGGCACGGCGGCGCGAAGCAGTATGCGGAGACTGTTCGATGGCGCGGTAGCCCTGATCGTCTATGGGTAAGCCGAGTGTGTGGATTTGCCCACATCTATCGGTCGGAAGGGTGAGATAGACGACAAAGGACGGTGCAGATTGCTCACAAGCGCGAGCAGCGCGGCGACGCCTGCCCCGAGACTGTGTCCGCAGAGAACGAGTGCTTCGGGGATAAAATCGCGGTGAGACACGCAAGTGATATATTGGACAATTGACCCACAGTATCCACGATTGCGCTGCAGAGCATCCCGCACAGCGACGTGCACGGGCTTCCTTCGCCCGCCCATAGCTCGAGCCATCTTGAGCATGCCACCGTGCACCAGATGTTGCGCTTCGGTCTCATTCACCGGGTCGTCTTCTTGTGGAAGCGGGCGTTTTCGCTGTGGCGGTGAAGGGATAGATATGTCCATGGGGAACGAACCAGGTATACTCTCCATCTCCTCATTCGACTGTTTCCGTCCATGCAGGTTGTCATCGGCCGTCCGAGGGCGAGACCGCGATCGTGAGCGGTGTCGCTCGCTCTCGAGCTCAAAGGGCGCCGGTTCGCAGGTCAGGTCTACTGCTAGTTCGTTCAGACTCATCGTTCCCCGGATGACCAGCACAACCTCGCATCGTACGTGGTCCGTAAGCACCCAGAAGCGGGGCATGTGGTTCTCGATACCGACGAGAGCGGTAGCCGGGCGAGGCGTTGGCTGGTGTTGACTAAGATCTGGCTCAGGAGCCGGCGTCGGAGGCTCTGAGTTGGCGTAATGCAGGAAGATCTCGCGGTCGTGTCGTCCCATGAGGACGTCCCACCATGGATATTGTGCGATCGCGTCGTCATTGGAGGGCGACACTGGCGTGGAAGTAGAAGCCTGTGCTTCGGACGCCCCCACCGCCTGCGTGAGCTTGTCCTCTTCTTTGATCTTTTCCTTCTCAACAGAGGAGGACGACCTCGGCAGGAGTGGGGACACGCCGAAGAAGAGCAGGCTTGGTCCGCCGTAGCCTGCGAGCACGATCTTTGAAAGGCGTCGGAGCGTCTGCTTGAGCTCTGAATTTGACAAAAATGGGTGGACACCGGATAAATAGGAGGAGGCCAACGACTGCGAGGTGCTGGGTGTGGCAAGAGGCGGGGAAGATGGAGCTTCTCCGATATCGGCAGTTACGATTTGTCCGCTATTGCTCGGGTAGACTACATCCGTCGTGATGTGCACGCGCGCGTCTCCGTGCCGCGCTGCGTTGGCCTCTCGCTCACGCATCGACTCGTCATTAACAGGGATTTCGGTCATGTTTTTGAACCACTGTCGCTCATGCCACTCATTCGTAACGCCTTGGAGTGTCGCCCAGGCCGCGAGAGCCCCCATTGTTTCCGCAAGACCGAAACGTTCTTCGGGCAGGCCATCGAAATCTGCTGGCTCTGCCCATTCTCTGCGAACGAGACCTACAAAACTAGCCAGAGAGAAGCTCGCCTCGTCGCTCCCGGGAAAAATAGTGTCAAGGACAGACAAGGTAGACTGGGCAGCGACAAGGGAGGTAGAGGTCAGAGACTCGCCAATGAGAATGGGCGCGAGCGCGAGGGTTTCGATAGAAGAAATCGCGGACGATACAGCGCCGCCGAGGAGAGGTCCAGCACCAATACTCCCGCCGAATAGAGCGTGGTCGAGAGCGGTGCCAGTAATGCCCGCAGCTGTGGAGGCTATGCCACGTGTTATAGCGAACTGCGAAGTATTTAAGTGTTACTGTCAATGTTCAGGCCACGAAAAACGGATGGGGCGACGTGAGCTTACACCCAGCTTCGTACCAGCTTTGGCAGCGGAGAACCCGAAGGACGTCGCGGTGGACGCGAGATCTAAGCCAGCGACGGTGTACCGGTTCCAGTTTGAGCTCATTGGTATTTGTTCGTTAGCGATGGCATACAGAGAGCTCCCTCAAAGTCCTCGGTCGCGGTCGTTACAACAATTTCTTCTGGATATTCCGCATTTGTCAGTTCATTGATATGGTGTACCAAGAAAATGACTCCTCACACCCTATAATAAGCGCGATAATTAGGTAGCTCTGCGGCGCTCAGTGAGTATGACGACAGTAGCCAGTAGAGTAAGTAACGGAATATTTGCCTCACGGGGCCGGTGCCCAAAGGAGACGCTCATTAATGCGGGGCAATAGAAAAGACTCAACCTTAACCCTGTGAAACCAAACCTAACCTTAAGTCACAACAAGTGACGCGCTGCATTTGGACACGCGTAGCACTTGCGCGTCCCGTTCTCTGTCGCCGGTCCTGCGCTTCTTCCTATTCTCTCTCCCGCTATGTCAAGAACATCTTACGACCGGTGTGTTTCTGGGCGAAATTTTGACTTGACCTTTGATTCTGATTTATGGAACGTCAGCTATCTTACTGTTTTCTCACCGGAAGGACGGCTCTACCAAGTGGGTGAGTAGCGCCATACATTCATTCACAAGTTTCAAAGTTTGACGATGTTGGGAGATAGAATATGCATTCAAAGCCATCTCTGGCTCTGGACACACTGCCATTGCCATCCGTGGCAAAGACACCGCTGTTGTGATCACACAAAAGAAGATCCCGGTACGCGCTCGTTATACTGCGTGAAATACGTCCTTTTAAACCTCAGTGCGCTTCCATCTATTCGTACCTACCGGTAATAGGATAAGCTCCTCGACGCAGACACTGTCACACATCTCTTCAGTATCACACCAACGATCGGCTGCGTCATGACCGGACTCATAGGTGCGACGCTCTCAGTACGCGTGCGCCCAATCGGGACTCATACCACTGTACACAGCCGACGCCAGGTCACAGATAGCGCGGACTCGTTCCGAGGCTGCCAAATTCCGCTACCAATATGGCTACGAGATCACCCCCGACGCCCTCGCACGGCGGATGGCGAACATCAATCAAGTGTACACGCAGCGCGCGGGTATGCGCCCGCTTGGCATCAGTGCGTCTCGAGCAGCTCTGCGCGACTACCACACGCTCATGTTCACTCACTTCAGCCATGATCCTCATTGGCATTGACCCTGAATTCGGGCCGCAGTGCTTCAGGCTCGACCCTGCGGGGTACTATGTTGGGTTCCACGCGACGGCGGCAGGACAGAAGCAGCAAGAAACGATGAATCACCTTGAGAAGAAGTGGAAGAAGCTTGATTCAGGCCGCGGAGCTGACGACGCCGTTGCCGCGGGCAAGACGCTCAGCAGGGCGGACGTCATCGAGGTGCGCTTGATAACTATGTGCCATGAGTCTCGAGTAGCTCAGTTTGTATGCAGTTGGCCATCGAGGCAATATCGACGGTGCATGCGGCGGACTTCAAGCCCGGTGAGGTCGAGATTGGTATCGTGTCGGAGGGCGAGGAAGAAGACCCGAAGACGAAGGGACAGTGGCGTGTCATGGACGAGGCTGAGATTGAGAGGCACTTACTTGCGTACGCAGAGAAGGATTGATTGTACACTTAATGGACCCATTCGCACTTGCTGTGTACCTTGTCAGAGGGGACTCCTCCACTGGGTCATACCAGGCTCACGCAACTCGGCTCAAAGTAGAAAACAATATTATGATCAATATATATTCAATCTGTACGTTCCACCTTCCACCGCTAATTCAATGACGCACCCCCGCTCTGCAGTAATGCGAATTAGCAGACCTACAACCCAACGAACGGAGTGCCAACGTACCATGATAGCCTCTATTTCTACCTCCTCGATGTGCTGCTCCCATAGTCGCGGCGGTGCCTCCCAGAATTCCTCGTACACCCGCACGTTCTCCACTTTCCTCGCAGGCGCACTCGCAACACTAGCCGCTGGCGCGGTCGCGGACGCTTGATACTTGCGCGCGAAGTCCGAAAATGACTTCTTCAGCTCAGCGGGCGCTGCAGGGTGTGCGCGCGGCGCTTGTTGTGCTGTGAAGCAGCGCAAACACGTGAGTCATACTTGCGAGAGCAAGGTGAAAGGGTCGTACTCCACTTCCGCTTCCCGACGAACTGAATGAGCGGCCTGTGGACTTTACAGAGGCGAAGAGAGGGGTGCATTGCGCTTCTAAATGTTTATGAGTTTATGCAGTTGTGCAGGGTGTTTATGAGCGTACTCAAACTGCCCCGGTTGTGCGAGGCGAACCTGGACGCAGGCCAGAAGTTGCCGGAGACCAGGGCGAGACGGGAATGTAAGTCGCGCAGCACGTCAAAGAATACAGATGAGTGGGAAAGTAAACTTGAAACAGAACGGCAGAGCGTTGCTGTCGAAACCGAAATACTGCAGGTTGAATTCTGCACAGTGCAGTGGATGTGGCTGCTGCTAAGTTAACCACGTTCGGACATGCTTCGGGCGAAGTCCGTCAGTGCGCACGCGCTCACGGTTCTGAGCTCCGCAACACAACAGTCTGACAACAGTACAAAATTCGTATTTTTGTCCAGATACAGCATCGATCCACTACAAGTACGGCGGCGAAGTTCACTCAGAACTCTGTATTCTCGACCAGTGCCCAGGATGACATGAAAGGCCTAGAAACTGTTCCAATTTCACCTCATTACTTCCTTTGGTTGCGAGTCTCCAGCCAGTTCAGGATATCTCCGGTGGAACGCTGTGAACCGTTAGCACGCATCAGAAATCGAAGAGCAACGTGCACACCTGGATCCAAGCCGCCCTGGTAAGAATGTTCTCGAGACTTTGCTTCAATGCCATGTCATACTTCGCAGTGTCCTTATCCTGCGAGACATTGGCGTAACAATCCGTTACGTGACACACCACGAAGCAGCTTATTGCGTACCTTGAAATATTCCACGATATCGTCATGGTCTTGCGTCGATGAGAGTGATTTGAAAGCAAGCTAAGAAGAAGAATCAGTTTGTGGACGGGTTGACTGCACACAAGTGTCCTTACTCCGACAACGATCAGTAGGGAGAAACCCAAGACGAGGGCATTCCTGAGGGACAATTTCAAGGAGCACTTCGAGACGGTACGTCGGTTGCTCCTTTATTTCGCGGGGGGTCGTGCCCTTCATCTGCAACTGGTACTTTGCTCGGAGGTCTACAGCTGCCTGTGTAGGACTATGTAGGCTCGGCTAGCACTCGGCTAACCAGGTCCCTACTACATAGTCCTATGTAGGCCTCATAGCCTTGTGCAGTTTCCAGATGTTACCCGTGAGCTATGTATCTATCAGTTCCAGAAGTGCCTTGCATCGGTTACTTTGCAATTCTTCAACAAAGTACCAACAATCCTCATCGCGTACTTCTATCAGGATGTACCGGAATGTGTCCTCGGCTAGCTGTTGGTCTTGGACAGCCCCCATAGCGCGCATGGCTGGGACACCTGAATGTAGCGGACGGCGGGTTGGAAGCTATCTTTTTGACGAACTCCCACTCTTTGCGTCCACCTTTCCTAATGGCCTGTGCTCACAGTCAGTGGAGCATTCTAAATCCCGGCTTTAAATTAGGACATACGGTCCTGAATGTCTCCAGCACAAGGTCTGCCGGAATGACGGTATCATCGCCGGTAGATTCATAGTGCGCAAACCAGCCTTGCAGCTGTCGCACGACGCTGAGAAAAGAGTAAGTAAAAGAAATAAAAATCTATGCCACGCCGACGCAGGACAGCTACTAACCCCTCGTCATCAGCACCCGAGGTTTGTGTGATTGCCAATGTACGTAGTTCGCGTGTAGTAAATGCCTCGTCTTCGAAATAAGTGTACCCGAGGCGCTCCACAATAGGAGCGAAGAGCTCCTACAAAATCATAATTTGTCGGGATGTACAAGAAGCTTGGTACAAGCGAAGGACTCACTCGACGGAACTCGTTTAAGAGTTTGATCACGTCGGAGTTGACTCAATCTCAATGAAGCTATTGCCGATGCACTGCCAGACCAGGACTGCAAATTCCTGCCTCTAGATGAATGACTGAGTAGACTGTATAGTGGACTTACACTCTTGTTCGTCTCGCAAAGCATCTATGAGGCTCAGTGCGCTGCTGACGCTCGTATCCAGCCTTTGTCAAAACTAATGCATCGCTCACTAGGCCGATTCGGTCGGCAACGGAGAATGGCGATGGAGACTTAGCCGCTTCAGTTCCGATGGCCACCAATCGTTCCGGAGTGTACAACACTCGGACTGTTTAAAACATTAGTAGCGCCGCAGAATAACACTCGCTCTCAACTCACAGAAGCCGACGGTGTTCGCATTCAGTTTGAATAGCTTCTTAGTATCTACGAAAATGGTCTTCTCGCGCGTGTCCAGTATCAGTTCCTTGTCTACGACAGTCTGTCCTTCCTCTGACACACTTAAGATACTGAGAGGAATTGTCCTATGAAGAGTGTTAACGCGATAAGTACAAAATATGAAGACAATTACCAGATGGTCTCGTTGTCCTTTGGCTCTGGAGGGCCGGTTTCCAAGAAGCGACCTTGACGTATATGGACACCATCTAAATTTTCCGTGACCGTCACCACAGGGAAACCTATCTGAGAGGACAGGAGCTAAATAAGCGATTCGCTGCATATCGTGCCCCAGGAATAGTAAACCTTTTTTTGATCCAATTGTCCATCGTCCGAGGAATATCACGGCCTTATGTACGGAACTGTCAGAAGACACAAACCTCAACACCAATATACGTACCAGTTGCAGCTGCAATTCCTTCCCACAGGTCCGCAGTGACAGTGTTGCTGTAAAGATGCTTTAGATAAATCGAAACACCGTTGAGGAAACGTTCTTCTCCAACGTAGTCCGCCAACATGCGCAGAACTTCGTGACGAACAAGGGTCAACAACCTGAATATATCGGCAGGTTCTAGATCCGGTATGGCTTACCCGATGCCCCCTTTGCGTAAGAAAGCTCATCCAATATCTGCACGAACGACCGACGTTAAAGTGGAGAAGACGTTCAGATGCAGGAATAATTTACCTGGACGATTTTGTTGGCATCGGTACATTCAACTTCGACCGGATGAGACGACAATTTCGCATCTAGATCCAGTGCAGAGGCGTATCTACCCGAGACGAATTTGGTCTGGGGGGACCATTCCGGAAAGATTCTATATGAAAAGCGTTGGGGTATGACACGGTCATCATTGTAATTACCTCGATCACTCACTTGTCTGGAAAACAAAATTAGCTACCGTTAGCACTACAAAAATCGGCGTTACTTACCCTGCATGGTTACATCGCCCATCTAACGACAGCATTCAGATAACTGTTGGTAGAGAGGACTGATGACAGCACAAACCAGGGAAGCGAATCCTACGAAAACGTTAGTGCTTCAGCACCCGGACACCGAAGAACTTCAATACAGAAGTGTTCTTCACCTTCGTTCAAATAGAGATTATCCCACCATTTCATGGTGGTGATGTTTCCGAACCTACAACGGCGCATGTCAATCGCGGAATAGCCCGCATATGATGCGTGCTTACCACATATGAGCAACTTCGTGAGCCTGCCTGGATACAATTTGTTGCTTGAGAGCTAGATCGGCCTTCTTCGGATCGAGCAGAAAGACTACAGTACGCGCCGTTATCAGGCCCTATTTTCCAGGAGATCGCTCAACGCCATTTTCCATAGCACCTGTCCATAGCTTGATAGGTAAATTCGCTCAAGGAAAAGCATACCTAATGCAAACGTACCAGAAAAGAAGTCATGGACCTGAGACCGGCCGTCAGCAATGTACGACGACAAAATTGATGACTTACAATAAGAGTATCTAGCTTCGGAAGAGGATATTCGATACCAAACATTTGCTCGTAGATCGGAAGCATTCTCCTTGACACCTCGAGTGCGAATCCCGCACCCTCAATGACCTCAGGACTTGCTGTCAATGCGTACAGTGAGCATCTGAAAGGGCAAACCCTGGATTGAACGTACTGTATACACGCAACGGACGGACTTTACCGCTGAGAGGACTGGTGTAAGAACTTTCCAGATATTCGTATTGACCATTTGCGAACGCAACAAGATACGTGGACATCTATAGCGTGTCAGTTCGATGCTTTGATCTAATGCCAGTGATCACAGACAGGGGGAGTAGTCTCAAAGCGAGTAATCTTCCACTTCTGAGGGATTAAGTCATCAGTCGTTGATTGGGACAACTTCTTGGATAGTCATGCTCCGACGTGCCCTTCCTCTATGGGTAACTTTGAGTCGTATATTGTCTCTAAAGATACTGGCATATTGCTCAGATTGGTGGTGTAGTCGTGTGACACCAGCGTGATCACGAAGGTGGCCTTCAGAGCAGGTTCATCCCAGCAAGGAAACGCCTTCCTTGCGAAGGTTGGTTAACGAGAACATGGATGAGCGAGCGAAACATGCCTTAGCCAAACGAGACCCACCTCAAAATGCGTCAAACTGCTGTATTTTGCCGTTCCTTCAGCTTTACTGATTGAGCGAAAGTACCCGGCAGTGTTACCCGTCAAATCACCAGCGAAGGCGATTCGCAATTGGGCCTTCGATTCCGCGGGCAGATTGCGGGGAAACGTGAAGATCCCACGTTCTGTGGCGACATCTAGCTCTTGGGAAGAAGGGGTTTGTTCCACTTTCCCATTATCCAGGCAAAGAGTCACGTCTTCTAACTGCAGTCCCACTACGTTCAGCACAATGGTCGACGTTTCCCTCTGGACTTCAAAGCTAGTGAACGTATTAAGGGAGTGAGACGATACGTGCGAATGCTTGAACATACTCGATGCGGACCACCCCATCGAACTTAGCCTGTTCGAGATCGGTGCGTATGGTGAGATCGTAGTTAGTGGGTTTAACATCCGTCGGAAGGCGATAGGGATCCATCGTAACGAAAGCCAGTTGAACTGGAGTAGCAAAAGATCAGTACGACAAATGAAAAGGCGCGAGGGATTGGCTGCTATGGCGATGCAGGAAAACGTCTTCCTGCAACAGAGAGTGTATGATGTCAAACAGTTAATGCGATAGACAGCGTTGTGCAAGAGCGGCGGTCATTGAGGTGGTTTATAACGGTGAATCTGTGTATCGAGATCCGACGCAAATCCTTTCTGATACCGACAGATCAGAGCTTTGGTAGCACTCGCGGATGCGTTTCATGCTAACTCGGATCATGCATTTGCGTTCTCTGCAGACAGGCCTCTCTAGACGAAAGCCGATCGGTAAGCAAGAAAAACATAGGCATGACGAATATATACAGCTACCTTGCTCTCTTCGGCCTCGGTTTCGAATCGATCTCCCACTGAGCTTGAGAACTTCGAAGGAGACGGCTGCATAGACACGTGATAGAGCCAGACCGGAAAGGACGGAATGATGTAAGTACGGGATGCAGAACGGTGATCCTTTCATTCTCCACCATTGAGTGCAGAGATGAGGACGCTGTGACTAGTCAGAGGTTCCTCTTCCTCCGAATGAAAGACCTGACCTCAACAGCAACAGCACATTCTCTAGGAGGCTTATCTTGTATGTGGTAGAAGCAATGTCAACAACGCGGCAAATGTGCGACACAATGGTGCACATGCCGCATTAATGGCGTGTAGATGCAAAGTTTCAGGTCCATGCCTTATGGGATATGTATTCACACCGCGATCGATTCGTCCAGCACTCCAAGGATCGAGGTGTATCGTATGAATCATTCGTTCGGCATGCATTAATCAATGTCGCGTATAATACACAGGCAAACACTGAACCGCCGGTGGGTGAATAAACAATACACGTTCAGTCGCTGCGGGACTCACGATAGCGTCAAGCAATCACGTTGAAATAGAGGCACAGTGCTACCATCCAGACCTAATGTAGGTCAGTAGCAAGAGAACCGCAAGGTTTACCTGATCGTCGGAACATCACCAGTCATCTCCTGTTTCATCTGCCGCAGCATCCAGCGGGGGCCAGAACGCCCCCACGTCTCGCGCTTCATCTCTGCCGGCTTCTTCACCGTCCTTTGCTCTTGGTCGCCTTCCCGCAGCTTTAAGGGCACCGACCGCCTTCCAGAACATGGTTTCCGCCTCAGTCGCAGCTGAGTCACCCCTCTCGGACATGAGCGGCGCACATGGTGGGGTGAGCAGCAGAGCAGAATGAGCTTCCACAGACGGCGAACTGGTGGGAGGCTGCTGGATGTAGAAGAGCGTAAAGAGGGCATGCGGTGCATCACAGTCCGAGGGGCGAGTGGTGAGGGAGAGTGTTGCGTCGACATAAGGACGGAGGAGGTGCTCTGCAGTCTGCGTACGCGCCTCAGCATCAAGCAGTGGCAGGGAAATGTACAGAACCCCTGTGGTAAATGTCAGTCAACTAAGGATCAAAAAGAATTTATGCGGACAAGACAATAAATGGCTTACATTTGTCCTTTGGTGTCGACATGCTGCCTTCACCTGTGATGAGCACCTGGGCCGCAACGTTCGCAGAGCCGTCAGGGAGACTTGATGGGGGGAACACCAGAAGAGCTGTATCCACAACGGGATTAGATATCTCCTCCTGAACTTCATCAGGTTCCCCAGTCGGCGCTGCGATGTCTGCACTGGCGGTAAGTTCATTCTCTCCGGAAGGACCGGTAGTAGAGAACGAGATAGGGTAGTCAATGATGGCAATACAGCGAGCAATTGCATAGCTGTTACAAGATGTGATCGTTGCAGGTCCCTCTCGAGACAAGAGCGGCGGGGTAATGTAATCTGGTCCCGAGAGGACAAGATCGGAATGAAGCTGCTCAGCGAGCCCCTCGAGTTCAATGTTACATCTCTTGCCAGAGGACGAAGATGGTTCCGGATCGGATAGCGAAGAAACGGTCGAGATCGGGCGCCCGAGAATGTACGTTGCGCCGTTGACCGCAGCGGTGCGACAAAAGCCCTGTGCTATCTCGCCGATACCACCATAGTGCCCAACGAGGAAGGGCGATGAGCCGTACCTCCCAGCAGAACGGAGATATTGTCGTACACGCTGAAGAGCAGGAAGAGTTGGATCTGCATCGTCCAGTAAACGAGCTGGCTAATACAGCGTACGAGAGACTATACCTGTGTCAGACATGCAGAATGCAAGGGCGAACGCAATTGCACCAGCAGTCTGATTGTCCAACGAGAATTTGTCGTGTAAGAAAGCTATGAACGGCGTCTGTTCGTTACCTTCAAGCTCCGTCTTGCCCTCAAAATCGCCCCCGGCAAACATGAGGAAGCGCATCAAACGCCGTTTGTCAAGAAGTGAAAGCTCCTTGTCCTTGAACACGTCCTCTTTACTTCCGGGAACGGGCTTAACGCGACCAGGAGCATCGAAAATTGCTACTCGTTCAAGCAGCTTGAAACCGCCATACCGCGAGACACCGGAAGTAATCAAGGTGCCAATGAGGGGACCAACAGATGGTATGATAGAGGGCGCAAGAGACAATGAGTACTGCCGCGACTGAGACGGTACTGACGGCGAGCGGATAATCGAAGTAAATTTCGCGAGCTGTGCAGATTGGTATGCATCCTGGAGCCCAGACGCCGTAGAACGGCGATCCGCCCACTCTACAAGTTCGTCAAGAGTGAGAGATGCATCGTCTCCCCCGTAGTAAGGGTTCGCGTCAATGTGTGCGATCGAGTATCCTGCCTTGGACAGCGCTCTGGGGAGTTTCAGAGACAGAAGAAATATTGAGCGAGAAGTACGACGCTCACGCGGCAGCTATCGATTCAGTAAGTCCGGTTCCGATAACAATGGCGTCCACTTCCATGACCTTGGGACGATCTCTGAGTTGTGCGGACTCGCGGATCCGGTGTGACGTTCAAGACTCCGCCCTAGACGAAGGTCCCCGTGAGATACAGATTGCCCTACTTGGCACGACCTCTGTAATATGGTCAATTCACCCTGAAGAGCGGCAGGAGTTATTCCAAGGCAAGCCAGTGATCAGTCTTACCTCTGACTGCAGCCGGATTTACGTCGTTCGGATATGCTCGATCTGTCGAACTTCGCAGAGTCCTACACGTCGACTTTCCACGCAAACTCCCAAAATGAGAGCCTGAGTGCGCGGGAACTGGTCCGCAGCGCCGGCCACGTGATCGACGACTTGTCTGAAAAATTTCTGTTTTATCTCTTGCACCTCACGCTCAATTTGTGTATCCTCTCACATCGCCGCCATGACCAAAGCAGACAAGAAGGTCGAGAAAAAGGCGGAGAAGAAGGTTGACAAGAAGCACGTCAAGGCGAAAGCCGCAAAGCCGGTAGCAAGTCCCACAAAACCTGTCTCATCCAAGGAGATTTTAGCCGCAGCAAATGTAGGCCCCCCTTTCATATTTCAGTTATGTCTTTTTGGCGTACTCATAGGTATGTCCTAAGGGCAAGGAGAAGAAGGCAGAGAAGGCAGCCAAGAAGGTAGCCAAGAAAGTAGAGAGTACCAGCAGCGAGGAGTCGTCCGAGTCTGAGGCCGAAAAGCCAACGTCCAAGCTAGCCGCAACCCCCAAAGTACGTTATCTAGTCATACCCATGGTGTCTTTATTAACATTTGCATTCTCAGGCTAAGGCTGAGGATGAAGCTTCCTCAAGCGAAGAGTCGTCGGAGAGCGAGTCTGAGGAGAAGAAGCTGAAGACACCAGTGTTTAATGGACACGAAAAGGTCGGTCAAATTTTCACTTTTTCTACCCTTATTAACGTGCGTTTTGCAGGTGAAGAAGGCCAAATCGTCAAGCGACTCCGAGTCTGAATCCTCCTCCGATTCTGAGCCGTCAAAAGCAGCTGCGAAGCCTGCAACCAAGGTCTCAACTGCGAAGGTACCCGCCGCAAAAGCTGCTGCTGCGAAGGCGGCTTCATCATCGTCATCAGAGGAGAGCTCATCCGAGGACGAGAAGCCGAAAGCCGCGCAGGTGAAGGCTGCGCCCAAAAAGGCGGCTTCTTCCGACTCTGAATCGTCTGAATCGGAAAGTAGTTCTGAGAACAAGGCGCCTGCCCCCAAGAAGGCTGCCGCGACTCACACCAAGGCCGCTCCTTCACCCGCGAAAGCTGCCTCGGCGAAGAAGGTTGCTCTCGCGCCGGCGAAGTCGTCTTCCGATACCGAGGAGAGTTCGTCTTCTGAGGATGAGGAAGAGAAGAAGCCCGCAGCTGCGGCAGCACTTGCAAAAAAAGCACCCGCGGGCGAGGAGTCAGATGTGGACATGGCTGATGCCTCTGTCGCTCCGAAAGGTGTCTACATTTTTCTTGGATTCCATATAATATGTGCCAACATTTTCCCAGCTACTGCAGGGAAGCGCAAAGCGGAAGAACCCGCCGCCGCCCCCGCAAAAAAGGCCAAGCTGGCTACGGAAGAGTCGACGGGGTCAGAGCCGACCAAGACGATCTTCGTCGGGAAATTGTCGTGGAACGTCGACAACGACTGGCTCGCGCAAGAGTTTGCCGAGTGCGGTGAGGTTGTCTCCGCCCGTGTGCAGATTGACCGTAACACGGGCAAGTCACGCGGATTCGGCTTTGTCACGTTCTCGACGCCCGAGGCCGTCGATGCCGCGCTTGAGATGAACGGCAAGGAGATCGACGGGCGCCCGGTCAACATCGACAAGAGCGAGGAGCGCGACAAGACCGCCACGCGCCAGAAGCGCGCGGAGGCGTTCGGCGACAGCGCGAATTCGCCATCCTCTGTGCTCTTCGTCGGGAACCTCAGCTTCGACGCGTCCGAGGACCTCCTGTGGGAGACGTTCAACGAGTACGGCGACGTCAAGAGCGTGCGCATGCCCACGGACCGCGAGTCTGGCCGGCCGAAGGGCTTCGGGTATGTCGAGTTCAGCGACATCGAGGTGGCCAAGAAGGCGTATGAGGGCGCGGCGGGCAGCGAGATTGCTGGCCGGTCAATCAGGTTGGACTACTCGCAGCCTCGTGATCCCAACGGCGGTGGCGATCGTGGTGGTCGCGGCGGATTCGGTGGTGGGCGTGGCGGATTCGGTGGACGTGGACGTGGTGGATTTGGCGGCGGTGGCTTTGGAGGCGGAGGCAGTTTCGATGGTGGGCGAGGTGGTCGCGGTGGAGGACGTGTGAGTTTTGCCTATGCGTTGTTTCCTCTGCTGTTCATTGATCTTTGTCTCTTAGGGATTCGGGGGGCGCGGAGGCGGAGGCCGTGGACGGGGTGGTGATAGAGGCGGCGGACGAGGCGGTGGTCGCGGCTTTCCTCGAGGAGGTGCCCGTACCGGCGCTATCGGATCCTCCGGAGGCACGAAGACAACGTTCGACTAGTTGTTTCGCCATGTCACGCCTGCTTTCATCTTCAAGTCTCATAGTATTTCTCTCTTGTTTATCTGATTGTCCTCACATCAGCAAAATGCACTCATGTGTTCGTCCCTCATGTCCCTTGTACCTTTCTGATGATAATAACCCATGCGAACGAGCACTGAATACGACATTAGCGGATAAAATAAGGTAGTATACATATATATATGCATATGCTTGGGTATGCGGAGAGGAGATTAGAAATGAAACTGCGAAGGGTATAAACTTAGCGAGCAAATGGCGAAAAAAAGACCCGTGTTCAAGGTCCATGTTTTTCGTTCCCTCTCCACATCCCTCCCGGTCGTCCTAAGAATCAGCCCAGCTTGCCGTCCTGGGCAGCTTTGCGAATCGGGTTCTGGCTCGGCGGGATTGCGCCACTCTTCTCGAGCCGGTCGAAGAGCACAAAGAGCTTTTCTGCCTCCCGCTCCTTCTCCTCGTTCGACATCTCCGGCGCCTCTCGCGGTACCTCCGCGACGCCCGTGATGGGGTTGATAGGCATGCCTGAGGTAGTCGCGACCGGGACGTTCGATGTCGTCGGGCGTGGAGGCGCGGCGGTCACTCCCTTGTGGAAGAGAAAGCCCGCGGCGTTGCCGTACCCGACATACGACGCCAGCGTGCCCGCTGCAACACATAAATAAGATGAACGAACGAATATACAAGGCAAAATAACGACAGAAAAGACGCACCGTCGGAATCGCAGACTGCGTACAGCATCTCACCGACGGCAGGCTTGAGCCGCGTGTGGTACGCGCACGCGAGGAGGCGCAGGCAGCGGCCGAGGAGGTCGGGCCGGCCCTCGAGCGGCGATGTGCGGTCGAGGTCATCAGGGAGGATGCGCTCGCGCATGCGGGCACGAGCGGCCTCGTCCGCGGCGCAGAGCTTCGTGAGCAGGAGCACGAGCGGGAGCATGACGTCGTCGAGGCTCGCGCCGGCCTCGTCCTTGCACCGTACCCGCACGCTCGCGTCGTCCGGATCCACTGTGCCCGGTAGGAAGTGCGCGAGGGCGCTGTCGAGCAGGTCGTACGCGCGCTGGAGCACGTCAGAGCGCGATCCTGGATGCGGCGAGCGCGAGCGCGAGAACCGCCGACCGGCGGTCAGCGCGGAGATTGCGCGATCGAACGCTCCGTGTTTTCCGTCCTTGGTTGGTCCAAACGTTGGGGAGTTGCTGCTGCTGCTGCTTGCGCTCAGGGGCAACTGACCCTTGCCCGAGATATCGGGGCTGCCTGTCGGTGAGTCGGGAGACCGTTTTGATGTAGAGGGGCGAGGAGATCCACGGCTGGAACCGGTAGGAAACCATTTGGGGCGAAGAGTTGGAGTTACGGGGATCGTGATGAGGGCATGAATTACATGAGACATCGGCGCATCAAGAGGCACAGGGGATGAACTCGGAAGCGTAACAAATGTTCGAATTAGCGGTGGCAGGATACTGCATACTCGGCGTGAGCATATACATTTAATTAATCGATAGATCGCTAACACACTTATCGAGTCGGTCGCTCCAGCATTCACCCATGACTTTGGAATCAGGGTCCCCTTCAGATTCGTCGACAATCTGCGATGGCCTGCATCAGGTAAGTTTGGACACCAAGGGACATACACCAACCTTAGGATAGTGAAGTAGGATATTAAAAGTGAACTTGAGTAGATCGGTCATAGCTTCTCGTGCTAGCTTAGCACTGCTCAGAATATTCCTCGTCAATCCGTCAAGTCTCATTCCGATTACTTCAATAATGTTGCCCGAATGCCCAGGCGGCCTTGCTTCTACAAGTCCCTTGATGTAGTCTCCCGATGAGCCCATCGAGACTGTGCACAGGAAGAGAATCCGAGAGGCAAGGAAAATACGCTCGGGGAGCGTGGATTTCTAAGATAATCGTATTGACTTTCAGGATTACAGTGCCTGGGGAAGGACGTACTTCGAGAAGTGCCACGCAGACCTCTCCGCCACCTACCTCCTTCTCAATAAATGTGATCCGTGCCTCGGTGATTAGGAGCAGCGCGTTTGCGACACAGCGAAGGGCCTCGTTCGACGCGTCCAGGTTATCCTTGTAGGTATGTGACAGTGCGATTAATGATGAGAGGTTGGAGGCAGAGGATATGACCTCCGAACCAGCGGGGTCTTTGCCGAGAGTCTTCACGGCCAAAAGAGCAGGAAGTGCTTCTACGCGGTGCCAGTAGGTTTATTAAGGACGGAAAAATAGATAAAGCACGCAGACAAACCTTTTGACGTCAGCGTTGTTTTCTTGCCGTTCTGAGAGGAGCATCGCGTAAGGTCATCGAGGATTGTCTGCACCAACTGCTTGCGGGTCGCTGGGTCGATCTGAGATGGAAAAGCTGGTGGAGAAGTGAGTTGCAGGTCAGCACAGGAGAAGACGAGAATGCCATGCCATCTGTGACCGACTGGAGCACGGACGAGACCTGGGAGCGTGGAGACGAGGCGGAGAGCGCGCTATAGGCTTGGAGGAAGGCGGACATCTGAGTCGCGAGGAAAGGCAGCCAGGGCAATCCTTTACACGACGATCAGAACTCGAACTCTGAGAAGGTCGCGGAAGAGAACTTGAACGTGCGTAGTAATTCCAGACTGATGGAAAGAAAGATGTTGTTCCTATCTCACGCAGCGCTCGCACTGGCAGCTGTCCACGACCAATATGATGTGGCTCTCCTGGCCTCCTGACACTTATCTTCAAACGGATAACCCCCTACAATATTTCAACTTTTTCACAATAACCTATCTTCCGCACCAGAGGCTGTAGCCGTACTGCCAATTTCGACAAGGCGTTGAAGCAAAGTCTGGACTCTACACATGTACTACATCGTGAATTTGGGAAAATACGAATTTGTACCTTCGATTCTCCTGTGATTTTTTACTGGTTTGTATATTGGAAATAAGATACTATATGCTTGTGCTTGCGTAGTATCATGCAATTAGTGGCAGTACTTCTCTGCCTCTACTGTAACGTCGCAACCACGTAACCGAAAACAGCTCCCCGAGGTCGGTCGTCACTGTAGCTGATACATAGTCGTAGGGCGAAAAATGAGTGCCAAATGCAGTCAGTCTGCTGAATGGTACACGCTCCGCACTGTCACGTCGCGGCGTTGCGTCGTGAACACCTCGTCGCTCGGAGGAATCGTCCTGCTAGCGAGTTGTCAACGCGACATTACTGCGCAGTCATTATCTGGATAGACACTTGGACTTCTGTGGAGCTAAGTGACGAATGAATGGTACGAAATCCACCAAGCTCGACTGCTCACCTTGAAACTTCAGCCGCAATCAAGCTCCAAGAACACCATTGATCATTGCCTCACCGGGCATAGACAAAGCTGTTGGGGCATTACTCGCCTGCTCCGGCTCTTGGTGACTCTGCGAGGACGACTCAAGCAGATACTCGCTGAGCTCGGGGAAATTCTGGATCAGCGCCTCATCCAGATACTTTTTGTACGACTGAAAATCACATCAACGGTTGTCATGAACAGGCTTGAAGTGCACGCACGTCAATAGCATGAATCTTGCCGTTCATGAATTGATTCTCGGTCGCCACCCGCTCGAGGCGCTCCTTTGTCAGGGCCATCGGGTTGCGAGAGTTGTCGACGTCCGCGAGCACCTGCATCGGCACCATCGTGTGCACATGCTGTGACATGTCGTCGATCGTCGCCAGGTAGTGAATCACGTCGTTTCTGCAAGAGCGCACCTTCATGAGTCCGCGCATGCGGTCGAGCAGCAGCCCTACGTTATCGAGAATGAAACTCACACCCTGTGTCCGACCTGCTTCCCGCCTCCCGGCTTGTCTTTCTCCTTCGTCAAATCGTTAATGACTGTCGTACCCAGGTTGTACAGTGCGTTTGCGAGGCCCATGAGTTCGAGCTCGAGGTCCCCCTGGACGCCAGATGGAGGCGGTGACTCAGACGAACGCGGTGAATCGGGCGCACAAAGTTGCGCGGGTGCAGAGTTACTGCCACGGACCATCTCTTGTTATGTGGCGGTCGGAGATGCAGGAGGTGGAGAGGAGATTAGAGTGTATTTACAGCGATTATTATTATTTAATGTTGAATGATAACCTTATCTCAACCTAAATGCTACAAATCCAGTTACATAAAAATTACGTAATACTACATATCCAAGATCCAAATTCACGAAGAAATAACGAGATGTAACGAGATGTTGTTCCACGACCGGATGTCAGCATCAATCTCTCGCACCAGTCCAGACATGATAGCGAGGCTGCGCTTCTCCGCATCCTCTGTGACCGCGGCGGCGGCGAGGCCCGCCCGGATGACCTCGTCGATGGTGTCGCGTTTCTTCTTGATGTTCAGCGGCAAGAGAGATACGCGAAAGGGAACAGCAGGAGGAGCGGGACGGGCGGGGTATGTCGTCGAGTCCACGGCCGGGACAAACTGCGGTAACGGGACGTTCACGTCAAGGTCACCTAGTACAGTCCGAGTGGGTCGCAGAGCCGACTTCAAGGTACCAACGCCAGACCATTGAGCGCTTCCCCCAAGCGCGTCCATCGGCTCCCGCTTGGGCAGCGGGGGCGGGGGACTTTCAAAGTAGGACGGCGCGACGATATTGTCCGTCGTGCCCCCCGCGAACTGGGCGTCGTCACCGCGGGACGGAAACGCGTAGATCGCGTGTCGCCGCGTGCCGAGGTCCCGCTCCAGGCGGTCAGACGCGCGGGCACGAGAGGCGACGAGCGCATTCCCGTCCGTGGTGCGCCGTCCGGGGGCTCCTTCGGAGATGGTGGACGATCGGGCCCGTTTCCTGCCTGCGGGGATGGATGTGTGCCGGGAGGTTGTACGTGCGCCTTGCCCGTCCTCGACGTCTTTAATTGCCTCGAGCGCCGTGGCCTGTATCCAGCCGACGGTCTTACGACGCGCTGGATCTGGGATAGCGTCAACTCGTTGGATGGTTTCCGTGGACACTGTGATGCGTCCCACAGACTCGGCGCACGGAGCGGGCTATCTAAAAGTTGCAAGTCGGGTAGACGCAGAAATGGTATGGACGTACCGCATCAAGAGACGCAGAGAGCGCCTTCTTGGCAGATAAGAGGGACGAGCCGGTAGATTTAGTCCGCACATGCCGTAGCTTCGCCGCCCACTCCCTCAGCACGCCGTTTTGACTCGAAGCCGGGGGGTCGCGAGCAGTGCTCTCAGACAACAGAGGGACTGCTCCTCGTGTTTCCCTCAGTGGGACGATCCTGAACCTGTGGGGGACCTCGTCAGCGACGGCCACGGTCGTCTGCATCCTCGTGACAGAGCTGCAGGAGGAGCGACGGCTGCCAGGACTCGGACATCTAGTGTTAATCGAGGACCGACTGTCCTTGGATAATGTTGATCGGACTGAGCTCCTGGATGTAGAAGTCTGAGATAGATCCGGGGTGTGTTGGGTGGTAGTATCGGAGGAATGGAGGTACGGGTGAACAGACATATCGCTGGAATCTGGGAGTCTAATTAGGTTGTAAAGTTTGTCTTAGACATAAAAGAGTGATGGTAATTATAAAGAACGAGGACAAGGAGCGTCGCAGAAAGTACCGTACAGTGGATGGTACAGAAGGAAAAGGTTGAACACCAATCAGACCTAGTCACCTTCCTGTTTAGGATACCTTGAATCTCCGACTCGACGCCACACAACATTTACTTGTGGGTCCACCGAACTGTTATACTGTTAATTTTAGAAATTACGAGTACAAAAGGAGACGACGTTAGCCTCAGCCTTCGTGTACCAGTAGATCTAGTGTGACTCTCATGGGCACTCAATATAATTAGTCCCCAAGCGTCTATCATCAACGTGGACTATCGTGATCTATTCCAGTGACTGTTCCTGCGGCCTTCGCAGCAGCATCCTGAACGCTCCGTCCAAAATGATTCCTAGCTCTACTCTCGATTCCAAAACAGGCATAATTATGCAGAAGATCCCGCTGGTCGCGGCCCAAATGCTGTTGTCAACTAGAGGTGAGTGGAAACAAACAGACGGGGTACCGGGCACCACTCACATCGTGCAGGCGACCCAGAACTTGTAGAAGTTCTTGCTGAATGTGTACTCAGTGAAGAACATAGGCAACGGTACTGCGTCTGTGATCAGCCAATCGTACCAGATTATCTGTACGTTCAAACTTACCGATGATGCCGACAATTACAGTCAGCGCGAGGCAGTACCATGCTGCCCGCTTGAAGACGCGCATGAGCTCTTCCCTGCCAACGGCAGCCTTTGGCCGCTCCGCAACGCCAGCTCTCACTGGGCGAACCTCGACCGAGTCGCCCCCATCGATTTCCTTGTTCTCATCGCTGGACGAGGACTTGCTGTCTGCGATGGTCGCCTCTGCCTCTACGTCGTCGTAAACCGCAATCGCACGAGTCCCGGCGAACTCGTAGTTCGCAGGATCTGTGCCGGACCAATGTTCAGTTTCTGCCAGCCGTTAGGTAGCCAATTGCGGGAGACTTACTCGCGAAGGACACGGATATCGTGACCAACCCGGAGAAAATGAGGCCCGTCAGCCCACCGGTGACGGCAGAGTACGGTTCTGCAAGGTTGGTCACGTTGATAGTGCCTTGGATAAACATCAGAACACGAGACCCAGTAGCAGTGCACACAAGCGGCATACCGGAAATCTTCCAGCAGGTAATCATCGATGCCAACATACTTAGAATAGTGCCCGTAATAGTCCCGCATAGTATACCTGCGCGCGTGAGCTTGGACCAGGTTACAGTGAGTCCGATTGGGAATACGATCGGGCTGAGGACAAGACCTCTGGAAATGGTCAGCGTAAAGTTTCATTTTCTGCCGACAGGAAGGGGAACTCACAGCACATAGAACAGCTGGAAGAAATACCGATCTTAGCGGGTGCTAGAAGGAGAGGACGCCGCATACTCACCCAACCGAGATTGATGGTCGCGGCATTCAGCTACGCCCCCATGAACAGCTGAGAGGCGGAATGATAGATAGACCGTAGACGTACGATAGTTGCCCAAGCACCACACCACACGGCCCAGACACAGATGAAGTAGTGGGAGACACAGACGATATCTGCGCCAGTTGCGTTAGGGCGGTAGTAGGTCCTGTATAAGCTGTAAACGAGAAGAATTAGGCGTTCACCAGCTGGTGTCCAACACAGCGCATTAACTCGTACGCGCTACATGATGCGTCAGTCGAGGGACGCCGGAGGTACCAAGATAACTCACAAAAGGCTTGATACACCAATCAGCTCTGCACTTAGAGCGGAAGTAACTACCATGCTGCAGGAGCTTTTTGTGAGATACACAGCAGTTCAAAGTGGCAAGTTCTTACAAGATGACAAGCAAGATAAGAACGGCACCTCCCTTACCCCTAACTACGGCAGCAGCAGCAGGCGCCGTCAAACCCGCACCTGTCTGAGCGGCGGACAGTGGATTCGGGTATGTCGGAAATTTTGGCTGGAATAGTGATCAGATAATGCCCTGCCGAGAGGAAAAAGGCCTCACGTCGCTAAGGAGCGCCCGCGCAGCCAGTCCGAGGCACGATGCGAACGCCCATGGAACGGCGAACCATGAAAGGGCTCCGAGCATCTAGGGATCTAGTCAGAAGGTGTACTAACGATGACCTTGAGATGTCTCTCACATATGCCTTAGAGGTCGATTCGGGAGCACTTGCAATGGCGTAAAGAGAATGCATCAGACATAAGCCTAACCAGCCACACGTAGGTCCATACACGCTGCCAGTAACCTATTAGACGTGTCAGTACCATGGCCTCTGGCATATCTTCTGCCATACCTTGGTCACAGAATACTCCTGCGAAGCCTAGAGCAAGTAGTGAAGCAAGGCGTATCGGTTTGCTTTACTCACTAGAGATAGCAGTGGCAGCGCCCAATACGAGGGCTTGGTTCGACCTCATGGTGAGATAGCTCCCGCCGTGATTCCCCGAAACGGGCGTGTCAATACCAGCCTGTACGAGAAGGTCATACAATCTGCCGATGCCTCCAATATCAGACGAGGCACCACTATGCACCTGAGTCAGTACTTTGAGCATCGAGCATGGAGTATTTACTTACTAGACACGACCTACGAAGATGTAGATAGCAATGAAGAGAATGACCGTATGCACCCAGTCACAGACGAAGGTAGCGCGGAGACCGCCAAAGATGACGTATACTGCGATTCCCACCGGGAGGAGGAAACATGCAGCGACGAGGTTCATCCCGGTCAACGCATTCACAGTTGCGGCCCCACCGACTTCTCAGTTGCGAACCATTAGGAATAACGTCATAATTATGATGAAGTCATCACGCACGAAGAAGAGACCCGCAAGCCAACAAAACATTCACGAATGCGTAGAAGGTGAAAAGGAGTGAATAACAGTTCCAAACCGTATTTTAGCAATCTAGGATTGGATTAGCATTTTGTGAAATGTTTGCACAAAACCGCATACCTCGAGAAAGGTGTGGGCACCATTGGCGTTCATTTTGACCTTCGCCGCAACCATAGCGAACGACGCCATCACGACTGTGCCACCAACGGCATACCACCTGAAGCAAGAGATTCTCAGACACCGTTCTTTCAGAGAGTGAGCGAACTGCCAATACGCACCACGGTGCAGCCACGCCTGCATGTCATTCGTCAGCGAGATCTAAACGCGCATCAAAATAGATATGGAAGCATACCAATGGTGTAAGCGCCTGTACTAGACTGGAGGAGAGTTGCACTCCATGTCCATGCACTGACACTGTTTGAGAAACTTCAGCTATGTATGCCCTCATAATTTATGGGCGTATTTACATGCCACAGCATACGAGGCCGTGCTAGTGCGATCAGATACTGAGAAGCACAGAAAAATGCGACTGATCTTACTTTAACGCTTCTTGAGGCGCTCTGGAGAAGTGCCGAAGTTGTATACATAAATCAATAGTTGTGTACAAAGCGAGACCCACTGTAAATTCCTCCGATGAAGAAGGCGAGAAGTTGGAAAACTTCTTTTGCAAGGTTGTCAGTAGAAGCATTAGCACGGCGAAGAAGAAGCCGACGCCTGAGAAGCGTTGATGTCCATTTAACTCATTCAGAAGTCCAAGCGACATGGCACTTACCGACGACGACGCCATATCCGACGCTTTGGTCTGCTCGAGTTTCAGATGATAAATAACGCTTCAAGTGTAGGAAGACGTACCGAGCAAGGGCTTGAACTCGGAGAAACCAACTTCCGACATTGCGCAGTGAACGAATGGTGGCGAAAAGTGGGTCCTGCAGCGAGCACCCTATATATCCTCTCCAGTGGAACGTGGTAGGTCCAGGTATTTGACAAAGAACTGCACGAAGGAGCGGCACGCTACGATATTTGGAAAGCAGTATTCCATTTGCAAGAAAGTGAGAGAAAGAAACACTGTCAAGATGTGCCAACCTGCCAATGCCAGCATGTTTTCAAGCGCAGCGTGTTGCATTCGACCCTATCCCAAGTGCTTTGGGCCGCCTCGGGTCGATGTCGATGCAGGAGAGAAGGCCAGCTGAGCAGCGTCGCTGATCCGACAGTCGAGAACGTAGACAGCATCAGCGGCTTTGCATGGATCAGCACTGGGAAATTTTTTGGTGGTGCTACAGGCTCTGTCCATGGCGGAAAATTGCAATAGGACGAGGCTCATGCTGATACCTGTTCAGGCAGCGGCGTATGCCTCTGAATCTCGGCTTGCAGGTTGCTTGCTTATTAAAGAATTCGTCAGATGTAGCCCCGAGTAAAAGTTGCATCGTGGGCGTTTGAGGAATTAGCTAGCTGAGGATGGCCCCAATCTGTAGAAAGCGCCAGTGGCGGATCGTCATGGGTAAATTGATAGGCATAGATATCTGACTTGATCAGGTAGGTGTGGGGATAGGTTTATGTATTACTTGCCGCCGGAAAAGGAAGACACCTAGTCAAGAGTGTATGAGAGGGAAGAGGGGGGGTAGGGTCCTGGCATCAATGAGGACACAGCATGCAAATGCTAGAACAGCGAGAAGCAGCACACCGTTACTTCCGGCACTGAATACTGAATCTCGAAATATTGCAATTCAGGATGTCCAATTGACCAAGTGGGCCATGACAACGACACCGCATAATGGTGGCGTAAGAGTGGCGAAGTTTTCCTCAAGGCTGCGATCGAACATCTGCGGTGAGAAATGGCCGGCTTCAGACCCAAAAATCTAGTCTCGGAACCAGACGTTCGGTGGTAGCAGGGAATCACGTGAAACTGACAACGGAGAGCGAAAAAGAGATGCACAGCTACCACCTAGAACGTCTGGTGAAATTCGTATAGGCGGGGGGGGGATTGTCACACTTCGTGACCAGCGCGTCAGGGCGACGTGTCCTACGGGCGATGTGTAGTAGTACGCGTCTTCTGTGTAGTGTCTGTAGCAATCATGATATGCCTTCCCCTCATATATATTCTGCTTCTATGTCCTGCCCTGAGAGTTCTACCTCGACTTCTAGCTCATTTGCAGCTTCAACCCATACCCACGCATCTGCAACCACTTCCGCAAGTGACGCAAACTCAAGAGAAATCCCGGCGATGGCGGCGCAGACTCCCCATGACTCGCATAAGAACCAGAGAGCAAATTCAGCGAGAATCCTGCAGACTGCGCGAGAAGAGGCATCCAAATTGCACGGGTATGACTCACGCGCATGCCGTTGTCGCCTCATTGAACGGTTCAGAGAGGCAAATAACAAATTCCCTTACAGCTGGCAAATCAACATTGGAGAGGCCTTCGTTCTGGGGCTGGATTGCTCTGTAATAGCGGGTACAGGCGCGTGTAGCAAGTCCGGGTACCATGTAGAAGGTCCGGGTATATATATTGTGTACGACATTGTACCTGATACCTACATCTCTAGACGCGACGCGCGACACGCCTGACGTGCAGAAAGACGCGTCAAGGTCACGTGAATGTGACAATCCCCCCCCCGCCTATACGAATTTCACCAGACGTTCTGTCTGCGGGCTGTGCAGGTGTTTTTCGCTCTCCGATTGGGGGCCCGCACTGACAGAACGGCTGGTTCCGAGACTAATCAATAAGGTGGTCCTTATCGGTAGGTTGGGTATTTTCATCTCCGCAAATCACGTGCACACGCGACGCGTCAAAACGCGTTCTCATCTACCCATGCAAGTCTCGCGTTTCTGCCGCATCCTCATAGCTCTCTGGTGCCCAGGACATTCTCCTGTTATGTACTGTCTGTAGACTGAATGTATGTTCATGAAATCCATGCCTCAGGGCCCTCAGAACAGCTAAATCCACTAGTACTGTATTTTAGGTGGGGGATATCAATATGCCGCACAGTTTACAACCATGGTAGTGGTAGCCAGAGTGACTCCCAATTAGTTTTCTGGATTTCTTCAACAGTCTTATGCTAGAAGGAGGAACAAAATTATTGGGATGTGACAGTGTCCAAGTTCAAGCCAGAACTTTCACAACCCATCCTCAGTAGTTGCTTCTCTTGTTACCCTTTGGATGTGCTTCTTTTGCTTGTCTCCTACAGCTTAAAAGGCATGCCATTTGACTGAGATATCTCGAATGTAACAACGACCGCTTCCCTGGAGTATGTAGTATCTGCGCGCCGTGGGCTTGCGGCGAGCGCTTGTTCTCTTATTTCCAGCTCCGACTCATTCTCTTGCAGGCGAGTTGATCGGTCACGCAATTCTTTCCCTGAAGTCCAAGCTCCGAACGAAATTGGGGACCTACCGATAAGCCCCCCGCGTTAAAAACTAGACTAGTCACGCTGTCCGTCCACATGTCCTTGGCTGTACAACCCATCTATACAAAAGTCACCAGACGTTCTGACGCCCTTCCACAAGGAATCCGAAAAGCGTTGAATTTCATAGTCACTGAAGTGTTTCAGATTGAAGTGCAAGTGGCCAATCAGGAGGCCGAATCAGCCTACATTTTCCTTTCTTGCGAGCCAGAAGACAAATATTTGCACTCTATTCATCGAGAATTCCTGTCAGACGTGTCTAAATATTGCAGCCGACAGACTTTTTCAAGCAGTGCCTTATCTGACGCCACACAAGAAACGAATATGGATCCATAACATTCCCACATGGTGTTCGCATTTGTACACCGAATTCATCCAGTTTTTACCTTCGTTAGAGGTTTAGAAACCCTCTGAAGACCATCTGTACAGACTCACGACCGTCGCATGACGTCGCAGCTGATAAGCCCAATCAAGCTGGTATCAGACCCTCCTCCCGAGCTTTGATTTCTGCACCAAGGGCTAAATTAATCAACTGACCGCATAAGTACACGGAGCAATACGCACGCATCGCAAGAAAAGTGCTGTAGTACCGCGACAGGGACAAATTTCCTGCGTACAGAAAATTACTTTAGCCACAGCAAGCGGTGACAATAGGGAGTACTCACCGAACGCGAACCATAGTCCGTCGTGGCCCGACTCGCGCCACACCGAGCGCAACTCGCCTTCATCGTCGAGCCCCCACACGGGCTTCAGGGAATCGCGCACTTCCGGTCCGCACACGTCTTTCACCGTGTCACGCGGGTCACCGAATCTAATCAATTTATCAGGTTACTAAGTGCGTTGTTACACACGAAAACGCACCCTGTGGCAAAGATCACAACGTCTGCAGCCAGCTGGGACCCATCGCTGAAACGTAAGCCAGTCTCTGTAAAGCTCTCAAGGGAGCCGCCACTCTTAAGTTTGATCTTGCCATCAATAATGTCCTGAGCGGCTCCAGTCTCTGAACCGGACTCGGTACGGTGTGCGACGAAGAGACCGAGTGACTTACCGACATAATATCCGCCGCCGCGGCTATACAACAGGACAAGCATTCCCGCATTATCAGGACCCAAGTTCGTGGCAAACCCCACACGTTTTAACCCTTCCAATATGTCCCTGGCCAACCGCTCTCAATGACGCTCCTCCGATCCCCACGAAAAATGTGAGTACGCACTTGTCAACGGTCGCAGCAAGGTACGGAAATACACGCTGATGAAGTTGGCGGCTCACAGCCAGAGGGAATGACGCGTTCAGATGGTCGGCATAGTCAGTCGGATTGTTTTCGGAATACAGGCCTGGCACACAAGGCTCAACCCAAGTAAATCTGATTTTTACACGGGACTGCGTACCACTCAGCATAGCACTGACAGCCTTGGCAGAGATGACGAATGTGGAGGACCGCTGGAACCTGCAAAGTCATGAAGACAAATCACCCACCAGAGAAGCATGCAGCAACGGACATCGTGACATCAACCTCGTGTTGCACGCAATCGCGTGCAATATCGTTTGCTGAACAGGAAGGGGAACGTATCAGGAGCTCCGACATGGAGACTGCAAGTAAGAGTACACGCCTGAATTGCACGCTCCGATGATGACGACCTTACGACCTTTGTAGTTCTCTGCGGAGGTGAACTTGGACGAGTGTACTACTTCACCGCCAAACCGCTCCTATAAATCACGTCAGCAAGAGAGAGCAATCACCAGCCGCAGGACACACCTCGCTGGGAACGACAGGTATATTGGGTGTTCCGCCGCCCAGACCGCTAGCAAATATAAGATGGTTGACTTTAAGGTGTCGTGCGGAACCGTGTCGCTGCACCGTGATGGTCCAAGACTTGCGCTCGGCATCCCACTCAGCACTGTTCACGCGAGAAGACGTCCACACATTGAGCTCGAGCGATTCAGCGTAATTCTCGAGCCAATTGCCCAACTGAAAAGGTCAAGTGAGCCATGCGCCAATCGGTGGAAATTTTCAACCAAGTCACCTTGGCGGCAGGAGCATAGACTGGCCAAGTTGAAGGGAAACTGTCTTGAACAGTGAATAGAGCCCAGGAAGGTTACCGCAAGTAACTCACGGCATATACGGCATCTGATCGTACCCTTCAGGTCTCATTCAGCGTGGATCAATAACATCACAAGATATGCTGGCACGTACACACTGGATCGTGCAGACACAGACTCTTGTACCTATGGCGCCACTGCGAATGAAGAGCTCTACTCTCAGACCGATTTCAGTCGGAACGAGGAGACTCACGTTGTCGCCTACACGGGCATTCTGCTCTATCACCAGCGCTGAAACGCCGATGCTCTTCAGGCGTGCTGCGACCTCCAATCCAGTGTGACCACCCCCAATGATGACGACGCTAGGATGACCATCGGCGAAATCGGTCTCCGCGCGACGCATCTCTTCCCAAGTCCCTTGATACATTGCGGTATCACGCAGAGAGCCAACCTGACAAAGCCAGATGAGTTCTACACGCAGTACGCACGCGGATGTCGAAGGTCGGAATTCTGCACGATTGTAATGAATGTTTCGAAAGCGTGCAATAGTGTTCGGATGCACTTGAATCACCGCACAGCTACGACAGCATGCAGACCTGAAGAATAGAGGGGTCGATAAGCTACCTTTTCTGGGAATCCCTTCAGAGAAGTCAGACTAGTGAACATCGTGTAGGCCTTCCAGTCGCCATCAGCGGTAGGGACCAAGCGACACGTCCCAATCCCCGTCCCTACTGCAGTCTCGAATTGGAAGAAGAGCTGGACAAACGCCAGATCGGGGAACGGCTGGCGCAGAGCTGGAGTACGAAGATCATCGTCGCAAAGAGCCAGCGATTGCCAAGAAGCGCGAGACAGATGGTTGCCGAGGAAGTGGTCGATGTTAGACGAGTTCTGTATGGTACGGAAATCCCAAGACAGCGCGAGCAGATCTCTCCAGAAAGCGTCGTGGAGGAAAAGACGAGAAACGGCTCGAGGTTGGGACTGCATGGCATCTTTGAATTTAGTGAACCAGTGCTGTGCGACATCGGTCGGGACGATGTCGGGAGGAATACGAGAGCCAAGTGTGTTCAAAGTCGGAAGTTGGAAAGGACCCTTCCAAGAGACAGACGAAGAGGTGGAAGGTGCCACCTTGTGAATGTCGCTGGTAGCCATATTGACCGTCAAAAATCTGCGAGTAGAGGCTAAAGGTCGAGGTATGAGTGCTGCAGTTGCGAAAGACCTGCGGGACAGCATAGACGAACGGGGGTATCGAGCGCTCCGGAGAGAGGGGTGGTTGACGGAAGAAAGATGTCCTAAGACGGCTCAATAACTGCGTGTTAGACTTGTCAGGAGACACGAGTCGTCAAGCTTTCAAGAGATACAGGGTGCATCACAACGTGAAGAAGCCGCAGTAGGTCAAGAAGCTTCACCATCTTTGGGGGAGCATCTCCGATTAGTTGCAATAAGAGACAAGATACGGTATCATTTCGACCACTCCAGCGGTCACGCATCACACCCGACTTTTGCGCATTGACCTCGCCAATAGTTTTATCTCGATTTTTCCTATTTTATGGGATGTTTCGAAAATTCCAAAATGGCGATTTTCCGCCGGAGTGGTCAAAGTGGTACAGTTGAGACGAACGACAATTAGCTGCGACTTTTGCATGATCATTAATGAATGAATGTTCACAGTTCAGCATCAGACAAGGGATTAGTCTATCAGACAAGCTTGTGGAAGGGAAAGAACAGAAACGGTCTCCGACTTGCCTATCTCGGTGAGCGCCACCGCCGGGGTTCAAGCAAATGCCGTACCGTTAAAAGGCCGCATCGAGGAGGCCGATCTAGTTCATCTCCGCTCGGCGGAGATCAACCGGCGAACCCGGGCTGACGGCTGTACGAGCACGCTTTCACTGGGGGCAAAAGTGGATGTTCTGCCTTGGAACAGTGTCTGAACATCCAAGGAACAGATTACGTTTTTGGACATGTCACATGTTCTGAACATGATAAGGAACATCTAATATGTCTCGCACAATGTTCTATTGGAGAGCATGCTGGAGACATGTTGCATGTACCATTCTGGAACATATAATATGTCTCACACAATGTCTCATTGGAGAATGTCCTGCAGACTTGCTGCATGTTTCATTCTGGAACATTTATTATTTTGCTACTATATTCTGGGCTTATCTCTTGATGCAATATGCTCTGTATAATAAGGATTTCCCATGGCCAAACACATTACATTTCTGGCTGCCGTTAATCTTCAGAACATTGTGAGAAGATGTTAAGTGCTCCTACTCCAAACATACAAGATGTCCTGACCACCAAGAACATCTGCAGTACATGTATGATACATACTAAAATTTTACTAAAATTTTACATGTGCTGCAAATGTTCTTGGTGCTCAGGACATCTTGTATGTTTGGAGTAGGAGCACTTAACATCTTCTCACAATGTTCTGAAGATTAACGGCAGCCAGAAATGTAATGTGTTTGGCCATGGGAAATCCTTATTATACAGAGCATATTGCATCAAGAGATAAGCCCAGAATATAGTAGCAAAATAATAAATGTTCCAGAATGAAACATGCAGCAAGTCTGCAGGACATTCTCCAATGAGACATTGTGTGAGACATATTATATGTTCCAGAATGGTACATGCAACATGTCTCCAGCATGCTCTCCAATAGAACATTGTGCGAGACATATTAGATGTTCCTTATCATGTTCAGAACATGTGACATGTCCAAAAACGTAATCTGTTCCTTGGATGTTCAGACACTGTTCCAAGGCAGAACATCCACTTTTGCCTCCAGTGTTTGTGGCGCAGACGTGTTCGCAGTCCGTTCCACTCACTGTACATGTCACAGCCGTCAATGGAGGAGGTAAAGCTGTCGATGTCGCTCGAGCTCTCCCGACCTGTTCCTTGATCCTCAACTGCGACGTGCACCCTTGCTATTCCTCCCCGTCTAGTCCTTCCCTCCGCGCCTCTTCATAGCATGCAGTCCGACACAAGTCCCTCTCATTCTAGTGAAATAATCGCTCTGAGCTCTCCTCGCTCCGCTGTCCATGGCGCGCCGACCAAGGTTGAAGACAAGCCCGTCAATGTCTGTGCCGTTGAATGACTTCCCTCTGTCCGTGAGCCTCCCTCATTCCCACCCACAGCCACCTCCAATTACCTTTCCTGACGGTGGTATTCGCGCTTGGAGCAACATAGCGGGCTGCTTCCTCTTGTCTTTCACCTCCTATGGTGAGTTGCGCTCTCTCCACACGCCAACAGTCGCGTCTCACTTACCTCGTAGGGCAGCTCAATGCCTTCGGAGTGTTCCAGACATACTATTCCCAGACTCTCCTGCATGGACACTCCGTCTCCACCATCGCCTGGATAGGCAGCACTCAGCTCACCATCAGCTACGTTGCTGGTTGTATCCTCGGCCGCATGTTTGATATATACGGTTCAAGGGTAGGTCTCGCGTCATCGTACACCTGTCGTTTACATTTATTTCTTTATTTCTAGGTTCTTCTTGTGTCAGGATGTTTGCTCTCTACATTTTCTTTGATGATGACATCGCTGGCCACCAAATATTATCAAATCTTGCTTGCGCAAGGTTTCGGTTTGGGAATCGGCATCGCTCTTCAGTCAGATCTCCTTGTGTTTTCCCATGTAATTTTGCAAATGACCATTGAAACAGGTTCTATCCTATCGTGATGTTCTCCGATGCCTCCTTCAATTTGCGCTCTAATGTTTGCTCTAGCTCGCCGTGCCGTCGCACTGGTTCTGTGCCAATCGCGCTGCTGCGATTGGGATAGTATGTTCTATCTCGGGGGTCTTCTGGCATGCTGATTAACGGCCCTCTGCCAGGTGATTGCTGGCTCCAGTCTGAGCGGTATTATCTACCCTATCATGCTCTCACGACTCTTCGTCTCCGTCGGCTTTCCTTGGGCAGTCCGTATCGTAGCGTTCATGAATTTTGGCTGTCAAGTATTGGCAATTCCCTTCGTTAAAGAGCGTTTCCCTCCCCGTCTCGGAATCCCGCTGGTAGATTGGCAGGCCTTCCGCGAGACTACCTTCTTACTCCATGCACTTGGTGGTTTTTTTGTGGCCTTTGGTGCGTTCTCGTTCATGTGAAGAGCTCGGGCCTTTTATCCATCACCAAATCTTTTGACAGCATTGTACACCCCATACTGGTACATCGAGCTCTTCAGCCTGCAGAAAGGTGTTGGTGCAAATTTGTCATTCTACATGATTGCTATCATGAATGCGGCTGGTCTCGTTGGGCGTGTGGTCACCGGATACGCTGCAGACAAGGTATCCCGTTTTCACTATTGTTTTCGCATTTAATAGTGGGCGACATTACAGTACGGACGCTTCAACACTCTTGCGCCCGTCACACTCCTGGGTGGTATCTCCGTGTTAGCGATCTGGGCTACATCGTGGCATACTGCAGAGATTGTGGTGTTTGTGCTCATGTAAGCGTCGCTCCTCTTGATCTCCCTGCCGCTATGCACTGATGGTCTATTGTTCTCCCGTCTCAGATTCGGATTCACGTCAGGTAGGCAGAAGTCTGTTTATGTATCATTTCTGTTTTGACGAGGACTCGTGTAGCGTCATACTCGTCATTGGCTTCTACTGCAACTGCGCAGGTCACCTCAGATCCCTCTCGCATCGGCGCACGCACCGGGATGTTCATGTAGGACAATTGCACTATGCACTCTTAGCATATAAATGACGCAGAACAGGACGGCCATGTCTCCCGGTATTCTGACGGGTCCCTCCATAGCGGGTGGTGAGCTATTTTTAACGCATTCCACAGGCTGGGATTTGTCACTTTACTGATCCCCCCCGCTACTCCCAGCGATTGTGGATGCCAGCAACGGCGGGTATCTCGGCCTACAGATATTCGTTGGCGTTTTCCTTGTGGCGGGCGCGGCGTTGGCTCTGGCGGCACGGTGGAATGGCGCGCGCTCGCTTGTGGCGGTGTTCTAAGCTGTCTACTGCGATGGATATACAGCCGGATGTGCTTGTGCAAGGCACTTGCGGTGCATGCCTAGTTCCCCAGGACGATTGCGGACTATCTTGATTTGGTGGCAGGTGTGGCACTGGCGATGGAATTTTGATAAACTTTTTCGCCCCGCCTACTTCGCCATCGCGTACTACGTATCTGCCAACATAATATGCCCCGCATCTCAGCACAGTGTGCACATTGAGGCATCTCTGGGCGGTCTGGCATTTGTCTAGCTCTCTTTTCAGTTCGAGGGAGCAGTATGGACGAACGTTGCAACGAGCCGCTTGGTCGCTATGGTTGACGGCGGGTGGATGGCATCACAATGTCCAGAGTCTCCTAGGATCTCCCAGAAAGGGCGAAGCTCCGTGGTCACTGATCACTGTGCTTGCTGCCAGGGTGATTCTTCGTGCGCAAGAAATTCGCCCGTTGCGCTTTTACAGCAGTTCGCTAGCGATAGGTACATATGCATCCTGCTCTATATCCTTATTAGAGGGAGGGATGAATATGTCCCTTGGCACAGAGAGATCAAGTTCTGGAGGGGAATCTTGTCCCAGTATGGACACCTTGAGTGCTCGCCCACCGCAGGGTCATGCTTCGGTCGTGAGTCTATATAATTAGCCTTGGAAGTCTTCTTACTCCTTCAACTCAGGTAGCACGTGTGTAAATCAGAGTTCTGCAGAGGACGAACAGGAGCGGAACTTGTTCATGGTAAACGTCGCAGGTCCAGATGACTGGTCGTTGCGTAGGGCGGGAAATGCTTGTGAGCGTTGCGCGCTGATCATCGTGTACATGTTAGGCTGAAAGTATACTCATTCGCAAGAGGTCCAGTGATTCGTGATAAAGTTGCAACCTATATGCGGACTATTTAGAGGCGCACATTCCCCAGTTGAACGTTGAACGTTTGAACGTGAACATTGCCGCAGGTCGGCAAATGTAGTTGATCATCACTACGATTAATTACGACGCTGCGCTTGCCTTTGCGATGTAATTGTTCTCACATGCTACTAGACATATATCCCATCAAGCTCTTGACGTGCGGTTGGCCTTGTGGTCACCAAGGAGGTGTCACCGGTACTGTCTTCTCGTTGGATCCCAGAATATACTGACTGTTGATCACGTCATTGGTAGGCAGGACAGTCGCTCCTTGCAGAAAAGAAGTCCTCCAACTTCGAAGCGGACCGTTCAACACCTGCCCACATTTATTCCAGCGCATCTCATCGTATCGAAGTGGCGTAGGTTTTCCTTCATCGGCGGCTTGGGAGGCTGTGCGCTGTGAGATAGCATAAGCAGATGACCGCAGGGTAACCACCCTCGGTTCAAAGGACGACCTAGCTATCGATTCTTGCCAACATAGCATCCCATCCCACGACAGGTCGTACAATTCTCCATGGCTTCTCTGGATTCGTTAATCGAGTCGACGTTGGGATACCAATTCATCGGCTTCACTGTAGCCACCAGGTACGCCTTCAGTTTCTCTTGCCCCAGTCAAATTCTCAGTCGTGTCTCCTCATGGGCAGTTGCTATGGTATCACAGTGATTCAGATATATCTCTATTACTGCAACTGCAAGGAAGATGGCCGTACCTTCAAAGCTTTCGTGAGTCTTCACTCATTTGAGGTCAATTTGTCTCATGCTGTCATTTCTAATTTCCTAGGTATATTTCCTCTTGTTCGCTAGTCTGCTTAGTTGCAGTCTGCCGTGTATTGACCATCCTTCTAGTTTTTTGGATACACTCTGCTCAGCCCTCGTGTCTCACGCTTTGTATGTGGTTCTGATTGTGGACTGGGGCAACACCATCGGCCTAGAGAGATTCCCATGGTGAGTTCTCCCATCTGTCGTCGCCCAGATGATTTACTTTCGTGCAGGAGTTTTGCAGTACGTACGATAATTTCGGAATGCAGGCATAAAACTGATGCTCAGGCTCTGTAGCTTGAGAATGGCGTTACGGTAATGACACTTCGTCGTATCTAGAGGCGCCTTGTTGATCAAGAAATTGCAGGTTTTGATAACCTTTCTAGTACAATGGTCAGTCCGTTCAATCTCATGGTGCGCTCTTCTTGCAACCGACGTCTAGCCTTGTTCAGCTTCCTCGCTGTGAGATTACAGTTCTGTACGTATTTAGTGTGCTCCGCGGCGCCGCTCTTTCCTCACGAGAAGCTGTCTTTCGTAGTGAACAAGAAATTGGTGCTTGCATCTGCTGCTATTGTGCGTGCGTTTCCTACACATGTGTTGAAGACTCTTGTCCGCCTTACATGTCTGATGTCAAGGTCGCCACTGGACTTGTCGCTTTTGGTCAGTCCGTTACATCCTTACTGTTTACGGCTTCAAAGTTGAACTGATTTGCCCTGGGTAGGAGCCGGAATAGGTGAAGAACATATACCACAGAATGGCAGTTATGGTACTGACTAGCGCGGCTAAGCCCTGACTGCTGAACTGTTCATGACCAAGTTTTCCATCGAGGCAGTGCAAGGCCGATTTTTCTTGGTGAGCTGACTTGCTATCTAGTACTTAAAACCTGCGCTCAATACTCGTGGAACAGGTAACATGTGCTCTCGATCAAGGAGCGGCAGCATTGTGTGACGTCATCATCACTGTGTCCTTCACTTTAAGCCTTCTCTCTGAACGATACCACGGTGCAAAACAGTGTGTTATTCTCCCTATCACCCTCTACCTCTGTTCATGAACTTATGCATGTAGGACAACTAACGTTATCGAACTCCTGATTTCATATATGGTGACTCGTGGTGTCTTGACTACGTGCGTGGAAGATGTGGATTCACTGTCTGAAACCATTGATATGATGTATGCTCAGGATCGTCCAGATACTTATGTTGGCCGTAGTAAATATGCCTTTCTCTCCCAGTTTCGACTTAATGGCTCACATTTTGGATAGTTCTGTGCTCTGCCGACGAAAGACGTGTGGATGCTTGCGCATCTAGTACTGAGCAAGGGTGGGTCTTCTGAGCGGAACATGCTACCGATTTTCACTGATGCGATGCCAATGTGACAGTCTATGTTAACACCATGTTTGCAGTGTCAGTGGTACCCTTTCTAGTTCGCTTGAGGAACTCATCGTCAACACCAGCTTAAATGGCCGTCATAATTTGCGCAAAGCTATAGACAAGACTGTCGTGCTCAGGCCCATCGATTTTGGCCACGGAAACCCCAGCGGTGATACTTCTGCCGCCATGGATGAGTCGTTTTCGGGAACAGACTTGAACAATGTCCGAATGTCAGGTAGCAATATTAAGGCGAGTGAAATACTTTGTTTTTCCTTCATCTCTCTTATCACGAGAAACACTCCGGTGTTGTGCAGCACGATGTCGTCATTGACGTTCCGGAACATTCGATGTCGCCGGACGACCATTTGGGTCCCAATCCAAAAGGCACTGCTGTTGTTTGACTGGACTCGGAAAGATGAGGCCTCTGGTGTATTTTTGCATGCTATATTCCTTTCGTCCTGCCTGTTACTGCGTTCTTGGTCACTTGATTGGTTCCATAGTCTGTATTTACCGCCCTGAAGCGAGATAGTGTATCGCTAACACCGAACGACCACGCGTATAAGTTTATCTATGCAGCTGGTCAGGAATATCTGCGGGTCTCCCACCGCACTTGGGTAATGTGATGCGTATTTTAGCGGGAGAAGGTAACGACGCTGGTCCACTAGGGCTCAATTGGAAACGGGTGAATGGTGGGGACGTCACCTGTTATGAACGACGAGTCCGAATCACTCCAATCCGCTTCAAAACAATAACAATTTGTTTACCGTGGGAAGAATAATTAATTGCAAGTCCTGCGTTACTCTAACCGAGAAGTGACAACGATGATACTTCAGTCATATAGGGAGGGACGTATTTGATGAGGGCCAAAGTGAAGATGGGTGAGCACTCAGGCACTCAGGCTTATGAGTCCGAGAGATGTCTCATGTCTCCAGAAGCATTTTATGATCGGTTTCACCCTACGGTAGCGCTTTGTACAGACGCTTGTACAGCCAACTTGAATCTGGGTGCAAAGCTGATCAATCTGCACAGTTTGCATTCAGAGCATTCTCGTCTAAAAGATCATGAACTCGTCGTCGAGGTTTTCAAGGTAAGTGACTAGCCGCTCCCCGAGGTATGAATACTGATTTCATGCAGGATAAGAATGTCCACTGCGAATTTCGACATGACGCTGAAACAAAGTCTAGAGAACGTTATTACGCCGACCACTTGGACTGAGGTACGCATGCCGCTGTTCGGTTTCTGATGAGTCTACTCTTGGACCACCGTGTTCCGCGGGGGATATTCTGAACTGACCGGAGATTCGTAGCGTTTTGTCCGACCAAGCAATCCAATGAAATGGAAATGGGTATAAACCAGGCTCCTAGAACCATCCGTCGCTACAGCGTTCTCGCTCCTACATACTATGTTTTAAGAGATCACATGATATATGTTTTAAGAGACATACCATTTTTAGAAGGACCTTCCAGTTTGAGAACCCGAACAAGAGGAGGAGAACACTGTAGGACGGCTGGCCAATAATGTCTTCCGAGGTTCCTCCGTGCCCAGCGCTTCGCCTTGCTTCACCTTAGCGAAAAGACCGTTTAGGCAGTAGCTGGCTGTTCGCTTGTACTTTCATCAAGCGGTTTGTGGGGTCTCTCGTCCTCACCGTGGCAGCACCAAGTCCTCACTGCAGCGCACACAACTTTTATATAGCCTACTGTACCACTGCATGTAACACATAATACATTTTCATCCCACATGATCTTGACAGCAGCTCAACTCAAAGATGTCTTGCAAGTCCTGGAGGATTACAGCACAAGTACCACTGGCTTGGTAACATCACTGCTCGAGAATGGCGAGAATGAATGCATTTGATAAACCATTTAGTTGATGACGAGAAGGGCACAACGGAAAATGAACACCGGTTGTTACTGTAATAAGTACAGGCACCGCGCGAATTGAGGACGAGAGACCCCACAAACCGCTTGATGAAAGTATTACAAGCGAACAGCCAGCTACTGCCTAAACGGTCTTTTCGCTAAGGTGAAGCAAGGCGAAGCGCTGGGCACGGAGGAACCTCGGAAGACATTATTGGCCAGCCGTCCTACAGCGTTCTCCTCCTCTTGTTCGGGTTCTCAAAATGGAAGGTCCTTCTCAAAATGGTAATCCTCTCAAAACATATATCATGTGATCTCTAAAACATGAATCTGGGATGTAGGAGCGAGAACGCTATAGCGACGGATGGTTCTAGGAGCCTGGGTATAAACATGGATCGGGTACCTTTGCGTCACCCACGTGATTTACGTAGCTAGTGTATCCTCTTGTATTGACTCGGAGTAACAATGTTGACAAACGACGGGAATCTCTGGATTGCCCAGTCGATGTCTCCAAGTGGAAGAGTGTCTCTGTTACTGGATCCATCCACGACTGAATTAAATGTGGATTCTCAATACAACAGGTACAACGGATGCTGGTCGTTCTAATTTCAATCAATGTAGACACCGCGAAACACTACCAAGACTGGACAGCGGCACAGACACGGGCATATGGTGAAGGTGGCCAGGCTTCAAGCGGCCACTCCTTTGATGATGTCCGCGGCTGGCATCTCACGTCAGCAGCAAGCACAGTCTCCATCATCTGCACGCAACGACCTACCTTGCTCCGCGATTGCATAGACCATCGCTGGGGTGGAACACGGGCCCGTCAGTAACGCTCTGCAGCTAGCATAAGGTCTAGAGGCACGGAAATGGGCGCACCTTGGGGGTGCGCACCGATCTGCAGGGGCGCGATGGACAGGTCCACGACGCGGATGTTCGTTGTGTGATAGACCTGTCAGTGCGGAGTCAGCTCGCAGCGGGGGTGGGGCCCGGCATACAGAAGGGAGTACTCTGAGTTGCGGGTCGACAACACCGCCGTCTTCCTCGGGCAGCATCGAGCATGACCCCACGGTGTCTGCAACAAGCACGGTAGCGTAAGATCGAGAAACGAGAAAGCGTGCAATAGGAGAACGAGGGCGTACGGAAAGTGGTGCTGACGTTGTTCTTGATCCACTCTGCAAAAATAAGGACTGGACTGAACGATTGTCACGCTGCTACTGAAAAAGGAACCCACCGGCAATTTGCTCATCTGATTCGACCTGTGGACCGGGGCTGACCTCCGTCTCTGTGTCCGACGCACGAGTATTCAAGAGCTGGAGTAGGAATGCACAAATCAAGTATCAAACAATGCTTACCAACGAGGAGGCTCTTCAGTGGCTCGGTCTTCGCCAGGCGGCGGAGAAATTTGACAAGTTCAACCATAGTCGTGAGGTCTGGATTCCCGCATGACATGATCAGCACGGTCCAAACATGGCGGACCGGGCACACTCGCCGTATGATTCTTCGAATACGTGCGGGTCGATGACGGGTGGTACCAGCGGGTCGCTGGACCCGACGTGCTGCAGTTTGTCAGTGTCTGATAGTAAGCTTTGTGTCCATGAGAAAACGCACGATGGTGCCTCGAGAGAAGGGGCTGTTGAGGCCGAAGCCGAGGGTGATGTGTTTCCTGGTGGGGTCGGGGTTGGCTGTGGTGCGGGTCAGCTCGGTATATGGCGCTCGCCGGTGGACGCACCAGGCGGTATCATTATGCCGGGACCAAGAATTAATTCGAGACTAGGTACCTGCTGCTCAAGGTGTTTGAGTTGAATTGTGTACTGCTTTCGCAGACCTGGCGGGTACACATTTTGCGCGATACCTGCGAGGATCGTCTCGGATACCGTCTTCTGTATCGTCGTCGTGTCGGCACAAATCGTGTTTAGAGGGACGAAGGTGAGTCCGGTGGTACACAAATTGAAGAGACCCTTTCCCTCGGGACTTCCATGTCGAAACGTACCCGTGAGACAGAGACAACGCGACATACGGAGGAGAACCACCCTTACAGCAGTGCAAGCTGCTTCATAGCCTCTTGAGGGTCGTAGAGTGGATCGTACGTATTAAAATTCCACCCATCGTGGCTGTACTTTCGCAATTCTAAGGGCCCAAATGATTCCATGAGCGTTTAGCATTGTCTCAGAGATGGTAACCTACCGTAAAAGAGGGGTGCAAACAGGTGTTCTTGTACATTTCCCCCGACACCAGGTAACACCACCTTCAGATCAATGCCAGCTTTCTGAAGGACGTCAGGGTCTCCGATGCCGGACAGCTCCAGGATCTATGACAGTACATGTCAGATTGTTCTCCAAGCCCATATTATACGCACCTGAGGAGACATGACGGCCCTGGACAACCCTGTGAGCACTCGGAGGCAACGAGAGGGAAAGGACGACCGACCCTGCGCAGAGGCAGACCTCTTTCATACAGACAACCTGCTGTGGTACACCCGCATGCAGAAATTCCACGCCAACAGCTGTTATAGTGCCATCAGCGCTGGACCGAGAATTTATCTTGGTTACATGTGCATTGACTAGAACCGCTAGATTTTGGCGCGACGCGACGGGCACGTAATACATCTTTCCAAACAATGACTCAGCCGAAGCTAAAATGAAAGTAGTCTACTCACATTGGCTGCATACGACCGTTGGTGCGTGTCAGGATGGAGTGTCAATGCGGTGGACGTCGATCCATTAGTCTGAGAGCAATCAATAATGATATAGTAGCAAGGGAAACGAAAGATGCTGACGAAACCGGATGACTGCAGAGATAACATTAGGTCTCATCTGTAAAAGAAGCAAGGGAGAACATACGGAGTCGGTAACGTGAGTTATTCCATGCTTTTCCAGAGCCTGTGAATGGAACAGCAATTGACTGAGAATGGACTTCGCGCTAAAATAAATGCTCCTACCTCAGCCATAGGCCTTTCGAGGTTTGAGAGGACCACTGGAAAAGAGGTGACCACAGCACCTGAGACGGAAATCAGAAAGAGTTCGGCTGGGCAGTGCTGGCGTAAGCTTGCCTGAATCCCCGCGATATGCCATATCATAGGTCAGAATGTCGAGGTCGTGATCAGGCTTTACGAATCTGCGGTGGCATATAAGCAGAACTTTGTCGCAAATGGCTTCATACTGCTAGTACCGTTCAGCTCTTTTCGAATATTTTTCAAACACTTCCCAGTTCCATCCGGGATTCCCAAGATCCTCGAAAGCTTGCAAGATAGTCAATCAGCGAGCGCCATCCAGTCGACATGAAGATCTACCTTGCAAATAGTCCCGGGAGGGCTTGTTCCATAGTAGCACATTGATAGCGGAGCTACCGCCGAGTCCCTTGCCACTGTTCGCAAAAGTATGTCTATCAGCAGGTGGAGTTGCGATGGAATCAGCACTGACCGTGACCAAGCATAGGAACGATTATTCGAATGGGGTTGAGCGATCTACGTAAGCCAAATAACGAGCACTGCTCAGCTAAAATATTTAAATTCGGAGCCTTACTGTCTTGAATTGCCAGTCATATTTGGGATTGTTGAGCAATTTCCTTCGGTTCCCAGGTCCAGGGACCACTGGAGTGTGCTCTAATGATATCTAGTGTCTGAGCCAACAAAATGACTCACAGATAGTACTGTCGTCCAGATTAGCGGCCCCGGCCTCGAGGACGAGGACGGAAAGAGAGGGATCTTCTGACAGACGATTAGCCAGAGCGAGGCCTGCAGTCTGAATATAGAGTTAGACGAGTCTTAGTTGCTCTATGATATTGCAAACTGACACCACCGCCTGCGAGTGAATGAGCACAATAGGGCTAGCGAACGAGTGAGAACGGATATTACACACCAATTATAATGTAGTCGAATTTCCCCCCAGAAACTTGGGCAACAGTGGCAGTCATCGTAGTGGGTGGAAATGGGAGGAAGCTGAAGAGTTTCGACGTGAAGTTGGGGATAGGCTTGAGGGTGTTCACAGGGTTCAGATGCTTTAAATAATCCTTGCTCGGAGAGCAAGCTATCCCAACGCCAGAACGAGATGGTGGGCGACTCATCGGTGTATAGGTGATCGGGCGTGCGGCGTGCGACTAGGTCCTCGCGGCACGTCGTGACCTGATCGCAATACTTGCTTTCCCCGTCAGTGAGCTTCCTTCAGTTGGCATTTCAGATTGATCTCCGTCCGTCTCATCGTATCAATCAAGAAGCCCGTCCACTGAGTCGACGTATGTTCTATTGGACAGATGGGCACGACAAAGATAGGTAACAGTGAGCCTGCATGAGTGAAATACATGACAAATACCGCCGGTTCGAACGACACCAACGGAACGTTCCCCGCACCGTTCCAAATCAGTGGTCGGGCACCGTACTCGGGCTGCGCATCACAACCTTCACCATCAGCGGGTCGCGCATCGTCACCGTAAGCGCGTCAGCCGGGAGTCGCGTCATGTCGTCAACGGGTACGAGGTCGAACCACAGCAGGACACTGCACCAGAACGCGACGAACTCGTACGCGGCGAGTTGTGCACCAGGGCTGTCCGAAGAATGGGATGTGAGTACAGTGAGAGAGCACACATGAATCAGGGCGGGCTCACCACAGCCGCGGACCCGAGCCAAATGAGTGGAATTTGGGGTGCGGCGGTTTCACAAACAGTCCATCCGCATCGAGGTGTCGTGCTGGGTTGAACTCTCTCGCGTCAGGGCCCCAGACCTGTGCATATCGCAGGTGAGGAAATGCAGAGGTGAAGCGAGCGTCCTCAGATCATGAGAGGTACTGGCATACGGTGATACGTACATGTTCGCTCCGCATCATCGAGTAGTCGGACCACAGCAAATATTCGCCTCGCGAGACGCGGACGGGGCCATACCCTTCCTCCGGAATTGCCGGGAGCATGTCATCCTTCAGTGCGACCCTTGAGTTCTTAGGGACGCCTGGCCACAGACGCAGAGTTTCATAGAAGACAGCAAGGTGGATAGGGTAGCTCTACAAGGGCAGTTCGTTAGCTAGCTGATAGAGTAGCGCTTTCGACCTACCTCTAAGTTGCTATACTGCACACCCTGTGTGGGGGCACCATTAGAGAGGGCCTCTTGGCGTAGCTTCTTCAACCAGACAGGAGAACGTGAGAGCTCATACAGGGACCATGCCAGCGAATTCTGTGTATTGTCTTTGGCCGCAAATAACAATGTCACAAGAGTATCGCGAAGGAGGGCTGGATCTTGAACTTGTCCGTTGCGTAACAAAGCAGACAGGAAGTCATGGTTCTCTTTCAGGTCCTTTCCAGCACTCTTACGCTGCTGCACTACTTCCTCGATAACATTGAAGAATTCCGCACGAGCAGACGTAAATTGGCTGCTAACACCGTCGAACTACGCAAGCATCAGTGCACAGAAATCATCGTAGACCTGAGATGTATACTGGCCTTCTCGATAAATCGCCACCACGGATTGAAGAGACGTCTATAAGTCATGGAATATCAGCAGTTATGCAAAAGAACGCAGGTGTTGATGATACCCAGATGTTGCCTCGCTGAGAATAGAGAGGGACTTCATCAATGGGTGCTGCTCCATGAGGGTAGAAGCGTCTGCGGTCAAAAGTCTCATGTCATAATCCAGGGCCATTTTACAGAAGACTTCCAAGGACAGACGTCCGCAGAAATCTGCTGGGCCATGAGATGTAGTCTGAAGGTGCGAAAGAAGATCCTACCATTGAAATTGATGATAAGTCCTTCTTTTGCAGCATTCTCTAGAGCTTCTCTCGCAGTTAGAGTAACCTGAGGAACACCATTGTGAGGCAAACAACAAACTAAGCATCGTGGATGATACTCACCTCGTTCATGCAATATGAAACATCACGATCAAATGTCGCAGCCACAAAGATCGGCCTCATCGACCATTGCCATTGGCACAATGCATTGCAGGTGAGAATATAGAACATACTTCATAACCTTGCGACTGAAGCGCCACTTCGCACCCTCAGATCCAAACGCGCTGTCGCCTCCGGGAAACTCTTGGAAAATAGAGAGTATGAAATCGCCCTTCCCATACGTTGTCCCTTCATCTATGAGACCGTAAATTACATATGCCAGGTGGTACAAATAACTCACTTTTTCTCATGTGCTCAAGCCATTCAGGACGGTTAATGACGATGGTTCTTCCGTAGCCAGGCATATTGAAGGCGAAAAGAGGACCATATCGTTCCTCCAGAGTAGAGAGATACAACAGCATGTGCTTGCGATGAGGAAAGAGCTGTAGAAGATTTCCCAGAAGGGGGAGTCCAAATGGACCAGGAAGACTTCGCTTCTGGAGCCGGATAACACAGAGACTGTAAACATGAGCGGCAGAAATAAGAGCAAGGAGTGTGCCAAAGGCACCCCACGGAGAAAATAAGTCGAGTAGCATTGCTCTAACAGATGGAATACATCAGCCTGCTAGGCCAACGAAAGAGGATCCTGTCCAAGGTGAGACACGTTCAGACTCAGGCTCAGGCTCAGCGTTGAGATGTGCTCGGCAAGAAACTGCACTCATCACCATTGGCATGCCTTTCTCCCGAAATGCCATGGACTGGACTTCCCACACAGTTTTACGCACACTATGCAGACAGCTGGCTTCTGCGGACATTTGATTATTGTTTCTGGAAGAGATCATCGTGTCCATATGAGTGTGACAGGCCCAGTCATTCATCAATATTAGGAAAACTACCGTTTGTGCGCAATACTTAGCCGCGCCCGGATGCCCGCCTCATCATTAGCTGTCAGTTTGTCGTAAGTTCATTCATTTTGAAGGAATTCAAAGTGAATGATGTACGATGTCAGTTAATGGAGCCGCCGCCTTGTGCGGAAACACCTCCTCCCAATCGAACAAGATTCAAGGGTGACATTCTTCCGCCCATGGCCCTTTCTAGAAAATACGTCCGACATTACGTCGTGAGACTGATAGGTTCGGATTCATGATAGAGGTACTTACGGAGGCCGCATGCATATGGTTACCGGTTCGTTAAGGACAGATGCCGTGATGCCGATACGTGGCTCTCACGTGGGTCGCCCAGGAGACCTCAGCCACCCCCAATGTGCTCCTGGCCAGCAGCTCGTGCTTATTTAATCCTTCCTCCACCCACTTAATGAGGATTATATTGTAGTCTGCCTACGGGAGACTACACCCCAACCAGAGAGGGTGAGCATGGAAAGGCAACTATGCTTCCCGGTGTGCGTAGCCATGAATAACTCACAGTAAAAATGCGAAGTCTGACAAAGTCGTGTAAAAACGTGAAATAGTCTATGATGCTCATGTGATAGTCAATTCCGCCAAAATTTGGTATGTTGGTTACAAAATTGAGACTATTTTGTCCCCAAAAAGTCAAGAAATTGTCCAAAGTTGAGGCCGGAATGAACTGAATAAAGTCAAACACGAGCCCTGTCATAGTCTTCTATAGTCAGATCTCGGTCATAGAATAGTCGGATTTAGTCGGATTTAGTTTGTCACTCTTCCATTGTAATAGTCATCAAAAGTCATAAATTCGTCACAAATTCGTTACTACAGACGAGCGCAATTTGGCACTAGCACTAGCAACACAGCGACGACACGCCCCTTCCCACTGCCGAGTCCGAAAATTCCTCTCGCAGTTCGGGAAGACAGGCAGGCACTCAGCTCGGAAGAGCTCAACCCTTCAAAGCGGCCATCTTCTTGACCTTACGCTGTGAACCAACGTGTCAGCGGTGGATGCAAAGGATCGAATTGTTCTTACCTGCTGCACGATTGTCTCAACTTCTGCCTTCAATGGCTGGCCCATTGCTTCGGCAGAGAGAATGATTGATACCAGCTTGTCTGTTGGCATAAAGATGAGCGGACAAAGACATTGAAATAAGCGGAGAATACTTACCTTTCTTCATAGAGGAACTCTTCTTGCCAAGCTTCATGTTGCCCGCCAACTTCCGATCAATTATCCATTCGAACAACTCATCTCTGTTGAGTAGCTATGCATATGGTACAGTTAGTGAGGATGCAGAAGAACGAAGAAATAAGTTACTTATGTTGAGATACGTACTCGGGTCAGAGTCTCTCGTGTCGGTCTCCAGTTTGCCAGTGCCAGATGAGTTGGAGGGGACTGAATCGTTCACAGGGGGACTGGTGCGAGGAGAGGATTGAGCATTATCAGCCGAAGCAGAGACACCAGAAGTCTGAGTGGCGGCGGAGGACTCAGGAATACCGGTGGTGGACATGGTGTGAGCATCTGACGGTGGCACAGCTTTGCTCTTACCCTTCACAATGGGCTGTAGTGAATTTAATTTAGAACCAACATATTCAGATAATTTTGTACTCACCCCTCCTGCTGCTTTCCAAAGCTGCCAAAGAATTTCGAAGGTCGTCTCCAAGTACGTGTCGCTAAGATACGTGTTTGCCTCGATCCCGTTGACAAAACATACATGCCTTGCAACTTTGCAGGTCTTCATGGCAGCCGCAATCAGCCTTCGCGCAGCATCATTCCCAATGCTGTCCCATGAGGTAAGTACAGAGCTAGAAGTCATTGAGCCAGCTGTAAACTGGTAGTGGCCCCACGCCGTTCCGAGGTCATCTTCTGAGAGGTCCGGCGCATTAGGATCGGTGTTCTCGATGCGCTCGATGAATGCAATTACTTCCAGTGTTGGAGAACCAACACCAAATGCGGGTTTGAGCTTCATGGCGTTGAGAAGCTCAAATCCACTCGTTAAACCTGTATGGCTGCCGGACAACATGTCTGCGAGCGAATAAGTAAATGTACGAGAAGGTTAGTTGTAGCTTACCAATCAAATTCTCGATTGACGGATCGACATTGATGAAACTAACATCAACTGCCGCCTTCGCTGTGGGACCCGAAGGTGAAGTAAGTGATGATGACGGTGCAGGCGGCACTATAGCTATTTCGCGTGAACATCGACACAATGAAAGAAAATATCAGAACTTACCAAGAATGTTGGTGATTGCACCAAGCTGCGGTTCCAGCATCAGGAAAAAGCCCCAAGTGAGGTAGCTGCCGCCATGATTACGTAGACACATGTAGGGCACGTAGCCGCGCGTCGCTCAATGTACACCTCTGTAGGGCTGTGTAGCCACCACTCACATTTCCATAGCACCATGGAGAGATTGCGCCTATCAGGCGGAGCTTAAAAGCATTTTAAAAATTGAGTTGGTTCATATGCTACCATTGAGATCTCAAATGTGCCCAATTCCTGGTGCATGCAAGCCTAAACGTGGGCATCTGCAAAGGGATTTCTTGGCTAAGCTGACTCTTTAGTGGCTTGGGAGCACTGTGAATAGACAGTAAATGAACTATGGAATGTAGTGTTGGCATATTTTCTGTGTTTGTCTGCTAGCTATATAGTTACAGAACCGATAGCAACCTACTTCACCTCGCACTTCACTGTACTGCCAGAGCAGGTCGGGAAGGGCGGGAAGCGTCGGGCAGTTGTTACGAACTATGGCACCATCGATCACGTGCTCCATGAACTTGGTAAAATTTGTGGGTCGTCCCACCTCTTGCGCATCCTCTGTTGGCATCGCTGTCTTTCTTCTTGTCTCTTGGCCTCTCACCGGTGTGTCTCTCATCAAATTCAGTTCGCTGCGGTGTCGCATCTCACTGCTACTCGTCCTCTCAGTTTATCTATGCGATTTCTGCCTTCCTATCATTTGCATGCAGATGTCCTAAGTATTTCTGTACTGGTGGTACTCACGATGCAGACTTTTGGCAACACCTCCAACCTCCAGTTCGCGCTCCCCCACGCCGTCGAGCGCAAACATTCGGCAGCATGTTTGTTTTCAGAGGTCGAAGGGCACCCCCAGGTGAGTTAAAAAAAGATTTTTCATATCCCTACAATACAGTGCTAAATTTTTGCAGCCTCCTCGTCGTTGCACTGGCCACTGCGGTGCGACGACGCCGCTCCAGCCCCGCACTCCCACACTCTCCTCGCACCTTGGTCCCCCATCCTCCTCCCTCCTCGTTCGCACGGGGAGCTGACACGCGGCCAGGCGACACCGCGCGGCTGCGTGAGGTCAACAGCCTCGCCCTCTTACCACGGCCTCGCACTCCCCTCGCCCTTTTCCCCTTCGTCCTCCAGTTTTCTCGTTCGCCCGAGGAGCCAACACGCGGACCGCGAGGAGACACCGCGCAGCTGCGCGAGGTTGATGGCCCCACTCTCGCACCACCGCTTCGCACTCCCCTCGCCCTTCGCCCCTCTGTCAGCCAAATTCAAAGGCAGGATACCATCGAGATAATGAGCAACATACAGTATCATTACCTCGATTTGGTTGGCGCAGTATGTTCTCCACTCTCACCTGTTGCAGACTCATGACTGACGCGGGCGTGCGAGCAGGTGGTTCGGCAAGGCTCGTTCATTGACAAGATGTATGCATTTGGGTGGACCGAGCCGGGCTACTTCAATGACAAGGAGGATGAGCTCGTTCTGATGCATGCTACGGCCCGCTACCATGCATGTGTACTGCCCACTCTACTGCGAGCGAAATCGACATGCTGATGCCCCAGGTCCGGCTTTACTTTACAGATTCTTGGACCTAATGAGCTTGTCCCTGATGTCGTTTTTTGTGCCAACGCTCGACATCGATCTCGTGTGCGACATGCTCTCCGCGATGCACGCGAGTGAGCACAATGTGATTGGAGCCGGTGGGGGCCGCACGCCGCGTGCGTGGAGCACCACTGCCGCGCCCGCGTAGAGAAGTTCGCATGGCGACGGCAGCGCGACGTGGAACACGTTCGCGCCGGGCGCATGGATGCGAATGCATTCGAGCGCGGGCGGGCGCACGACACGGCGTTCCCGATGCCCGTGCCGTTCTATCACCCTATCATGACGTGCGTCATCATCGCTAACCCCGACCTCCTCGTTCGCACGGGCAGCCGACACATGAACGGCCAGGCACTGTTTGTTGTTTCCCGCCGCTCTGACCTGCTGGTTCCCTGCTTCAGCACTCCGGTTTAGTGTAATATAGCTAATATATTCTGAATATATTTCTTGCACTGTGTCCATTGGTGTGATTCGACAGCTATTCAGCTTCTAGCTATGAAATTTGGCTGGGGGCTACCACTTTACTGCCGATTACAATGGATTACTTACAGCTACGTAGGATGCCTACTGGGCTACAGGGCACTACAGAGGTGCTGCAGCAGCTACCGGTACAATATAACCGGGGACTTGTCTACCGGGCTACCACTGCTACCTAGGCTACGTCGGGCCATGTAGTCAAGCCATTTTTTCCTGATGAGTGTTGGTGCAGTTACCGGCGCGAACATCGTATCCTTCACATGCTGCAATGCCACATTCACGGCAGGTTTCTTCTTTGGCTTGCTCGAAGAAGAAGAATGTCCTCGACGTCGCTTGTTGATGGCTGAAGTCTGTGAGGTTGCCGCAGTGGGGACTCCGACTGTCTCAGATGCTGAGGGTTTGCCTACACTAGTGCTGACAACGGAGGTACTGACGTGGCTGACATCGTCATCATCGTCAGCCTCAAAATCTGGTCCCTTCTCCTGTAGTAGCATCTGACCAAGGATATGCTCCGCCTTCCAGTGGTTTTCACAAAGGGCAAGTAACGGCTGCATCTTCTCCATCTTCAGCATCACGGCTTCCCACTCGCGTGGATATGCAGCCCGCAGCACCTTCTTCGTCTTCTTCACATTGCGATACCGACATTCTCAGGGAGGAGGAAGGGAGAGAAGATCGTGCTTAACCATGCGAGCAGTTGATTGGATTGCATGCCACTCGGCGAGCGAGATGAGTTCACCATCTGCGTGTCAGACTGTCTTATCCATCGGGATCCTCGTGGGATTAGTTACTAAAATGGTGATGTCTTCATCTCCTTCGATATCCTCCTTGTACCATAAGACTGCCGGTGGATATCACCTTGCAGGAGCGATGGGAAGAGCATTAAAATGAGGTCGAGATGCGGAAACATCGCTCCCATCGCGGGAGATCATGCCGCGACGAGAAGCAGAATCACTTGGCAAAATTGTTGAGCTACTGAGTGAGACATAAATCAACCAAAAACTGGAATGAATGAGCCACTTACCTGGCAAAACTTGACGATTGACTCTTTTCGGCCTTTAATGCTTGCAGCTCTTGTGTCAACTGCTTGTTTTCTTGCATAACCTGCATCAACTGAGCTTGTGAGTCAGACAACTTTACCACCTGCATGCTCATTTGCCGAAGCTCGTTGTACATATCCAAGACATGGTGATTTTTCAGAAGCTCAGAGAGGTCTAGATCGGCGATATTGTGGTTGCATGAGGTGAGTGATTGAGAAACAGAAACCGGACCAGAAGACAAAGAGAAATCAGTAGTTGGAGAGAAGTCTGAAATACCGGGCAGTGGTTGGTGCGACATTGCTGGCGGCTAAGTCGGACAGCAGGCGCGACATCCAAGTCTGGAAGTTCAACTTCCTCAGATTTGTCAGCACTCCAAATTAGGAAACAATCACATTGCAACCAGGCGGATGCAATGCGGTTATCAGCCGCATTGCTCTTACTCTCATACCATCTCATTGCACCTTTCTAACAAGCTACACATCCTCTAAACTGAATTCAACATGATCTGCAAGTGCAGCAAATGTCATCCCGGCAAGGAGCGTAGTCTATCCACTCTTCGAATACACCTTTATCAAGATGTTGAACAGCTTGAACAACCATTTCACACAGAAGCCTATCGAGACCGTCTTCAAAATTGTATTCTCTTGAACACTCAGACGTTACGGGATGCATCATTCCAAACTTCTCGTGATATACCAGCTGCATGTAAGTGTTCTGGTTTGTTATCAGTAAATCAGAGAGATGGTGGTGAGGTTGAGCCTCACTGGCAGTTAGCAGACTGGATAGATTCTGGCTACCAGTTCACTAACTATACTCTCACCTCTCCATTTTGTGGATCATTTATTAAACTTAGAGCTGATACATTGTTAGATTTGAATGTGAACAAGAATTTGACTATAACTGGTGAAGAAGATTTAGCAGATGAAGATATGGACTAAGGACAGGTTATGGAGGTTGATGAAAATATGGAGCAGAATATAAGCAATGATGAGGAAGAAGACCAGGAAGAAGACCAGGAAGAAGACCAGGAAGAAGACCAGGAAGAAGACCAGGAAGAAGACGAGGAAGCAGATGAAGATGAGGATGAGAAAGAAGACCTCCTTACATTTTCTCCTCAAGTTCAAGATCAAGAAGCAACTTACTCAAGTGATGGTGATACAATGAACAGTGATACAAGTGGTATTGATACAAGTGATACCGAGGACACACAGGATGAAAGCGATGGCATGGAGCCTATCATAGAGCCAATGGATTTTCAATATCCTCAAGTGCAAACCGATCTGCAGAAAATTCTGCTACATGGATATTCCTGCCCTTTGGAACCTCCATTCTCTGCCTCGCTACCACGTGAATTAACTCCTTTGGAGTTTCAATCTTTTCGACATTACATTGCATGGAAACTATCCAATGGCACTGTGAAAGCATACAAGTATCATGGAAAGGTTTTGGCAGATGCAAGTCACATGGATATTCAATCTCTATATTTGATATGCAAGTTAGCAGCCACTTTGACAGACACCAAGCTGTTGCAAGTTGATATGTGTTCGCGGAGCTGCATTGCATATACTGGCCAATTCGAGAAAATGGATACCTGTCCCTATATTCGAGATGGTCAAATTTGTGGAAGGTCACGTTACAGAGCCAAAAATAAGTCAAAAGCACAAATGCTTTACAACTCATTTACAGCAGTTTTTAAAGCTATGTTTGCAAATCTGGAAACTGCAAGGCTTCTATGCTATAGAGATAAATGTTTACAGCAGGCCTTAAAATTGCTTGCGGATGCTTCACAAGTAAGTTTTATTTGAATTTTTAATATGCTTCAAATAAATTCACAGCTTTATAGTCTCAAAGGCTATATTCAGACTTTTCAGATTCTAATGTGCACATTCATCATTATACAAGAATGAATCTGTTCAAGGATCCTCGAGATATTGCATTCGCTTTATCCACAGATGGTGCTCAGCTTATAATGAAGAAACAATCAGACACCTGGATTCTTATCCTGATATTACTCAACCTTCCTCCCGAATTTCGCTATAAATCACATCAGATCATCATTTCTATGGCTATTCCAGGCCCTCATAGTCCAGGAAACCTTGAATCCTTCCTCTATCCTCTCTTTGAAGATTTAGCCATGGCAAGCGAGGGAATCTGGATGTGGGATGCCATTGATTCCTCCTACTTTATGAATCATGCATTTCTTTGCATGGTGCTTGGAGATATGCTAGGCTCTGCAAAAATGAACGGGATGGCAGGACATTCAGCACTTCATGGTGACCGATTTAGTGAAGTCCAAGGTGCACGATCAAGCCTAAAAAAAGGGGCAAAGGCACAATATTATCCTATCTCACCATCAGAGAATGCAAGATATAATCCTAGTTGCCCACCTTTCTATGATCTCAATAATTTGCCACTGCGGACAGAAACAAAATATTGGGAGATAATTGAGCAGCTTCTTCACACCACCTCAAAATGAGGGCAAGCAGCTATTACATGAGAAACAGGAATTTCTCGTATGCCTTTAGCTGCAGCAAGTCCTGCATTTATACATCCATCATTCTTTCCTTTGGACCCCTTTCACATCCACTATGAAAATGAACTGGCATTCATATGGGATATGTGGACCATTCATAGTTCACCTCAAGACCCAATTTATCTCAGCAAAGAGAAGGCAGCATTATTTGGAAGCCTGGTTTCAGAAGCAATGTCTTCACTTCCTCCCTCATTTTGTGGACCAGTTCGCGACCCATATTTGAAATGCCAAAGCCAATACAAAATTTATGAATGGATGGCTTTGCTTCACTGGTATATTCTTCCAATTGGACTTGAACTAGGCTTCAACACTATGGTTTCTTACAACTTTTCCCAGTTTGTGGAAATTATGGAGTTTGCCATGACTATCAAGCCACGAAGTGATTTGGAGATCAGATGGCTTCATGACAAGATTGTATCATTTCTAACAGGGTTCCAGACACTCTACATTGGAGCTGATCCAGAGAAGATTTCAAGATTTCGGCTATGCATTTTTCAGTTGATTCATGTGCCACTTCATATCAAATGGTATGGCTCTGTTCGCCTTGGCTCACAAGCTACCATGGAGAGAACTATTGGAGAACTTGGTTCAAAAGTTCGTTCCAAGAAGGCACCATTTGCCAATTTGGCCAATTTGATTTTAGAAAGACAACTTGTTGAATCCCTTCTTCTCTACTATCCATCACTCGCACCCACTCCCAATCAACTCATAACCAACAAGTCCTCACTTTTTTCGAAGGTCAATATAACCAAAAAAGAGCATAACTTGGGGACAGAATTTTATCAGCAGTTTCAAGCAATCTCAGAGTCACAGCAAGTTGCCTTTGATCTAGACTCAGCTGTTACAAGATATGGAAAGCTACGTGTAGGCAGTCAAAAGGCTGTCTTGAATAGCCACTTAAGTGAACTTCACCATGGCAATCCTCCCTCGAGATCCCATCGTTATTTTGAAGGACATTCAGCTGGAGGCATGGTTCCAATTTTTGGTGAAGCCCTTGCATTCTACAGATTTAATGGTGTGGAAATGGTTGTTTATCATCCAATCCATAACATAACACACCCACTGAAGACTTGGAAGGGAATGTGGTCTAATGAGATCAAGGTTGCACAAATTTCAGAAATTGTGGATATTGTTGGAGTTTGGAACTACAAAACTGCTGTCTATGTGCTCAGAAAGCATCCAGTACTTGATTGGCTGACCCCAGAAGAAAGAGGAGAGGTTGGAGAAGCAGAGGAAGAGAATTTGGAAGAAGGGCTCAACACATTCTAACAGCAGTATGTCATTGTGAAGCATCTTGACTTTGCAGACTATTATCTGACAAATATCTTGGCAGTAGAGGAGAGGTTGGAGAAGCAGAGGAAGAGAATTTGAAAGAAGGGCTCAACACATTCTAACAGCAGTATGTCACTGTGAAGCATCTTGACTATTACAGACTATTATCTGACAAATGTCTTGGCAGTTTTCTTCTGATTCTCGACTTCACAGTTTTGATGACTAGCAGTAGACTATGACATGTCTGCCGTTTGACTAAATAAGACTATACATGATTACATATGACATTATGAGACTTTCGGTTTTTACTGAGACTCACCACAGTGGTACCATGCTTCGCCGTGGCTCCGGGTGCACACATCCTTCGATCTCGTGTTCTATGTGTACGTACAGAAAAATAATAGCGCTCGTCGAGCACCTCATGAGAAGGAAATGGTAGACGTATTCAGCTCCTGATTTGACCGACTGCTCACTGGGTTTTAGTATCTTAAAGTACGTCATACTGAGTAACGTCAATAGGAGGAGCATGCCTGTGAAGTCACAATTGAGTCTGCTATCATCACTGCGGTCCAGTCTCCATGCACCATGAATGAAGCGAACCCTCAAGCGGCAGCAAAAAACTGAAGACATGCGGGAGTTGTCAAACAAACTGCGAACTCATATCGCAAATGTTCTTCATGCCACACCACTGTGAATGAGGATGCAAACGACTGGAAATCGAGATCATTGTAGTACGGTGCACTCTGTGGGAAAGAATTGCCTTTGTCGGTCACACATGTATACTCTCGGTGGCTTGGCTTGCAGTCGAGTCTCTGTCACAGTCTTCGTCCTTCCTCAGGCCTCAGATCTCGAGCAGTATGCGCGTAAAGATTGAAAGTGTTGCACCATTGCCAACCGTGAAGGCATGGTACAGCGTACACTCTACCTCATCAGTTTTGGAAATGAAAGCTAGGCTTTGCTCTGAGCTCCAACCCTTCCATGGCCGCGTTCGTGCACAAGACATCGTTCTCGTCTTGGAAGACTTTGAGCTTCTCGACTCCAGTCCGGTAGATGTAGTTAGAGATGGGGACCTCATCGTGTAAGTTCTGACACTGGTCTGTTGCTTGCTATCGCCGATCGAAGGCTCTCATAGTCCTCTTTTCCACGGTTAACAGTGTCCGACACATCCCAGTGGTATCCTCCCACAAGCGTAAGGCATCTACGGATGGTATGTGGTAATTGCATTATTCCTTTTCTTCCCTCATATGGCTGCAGAAGCAGGTCCCGTTCGGAAGCGGTCAAAGCACCCGAGCGACACTACACCACTGCCTCTGGTGCCCCGAGCCGCATCTCGAAAACTGCAGCTAAATGTCTCAACGAAACATGCGGCTATACATGCCGATGCTTCGTTGACCTCAGATTCGGAGTCGACTTCTTCCTCCAAATCAGAATCAGAACCAGAGTCCAAACCCAAATCTGACTCCAGCTCGTCGGACTCTGATTCAGACAGTTCAGACAACTCTTCATCTTCGTCCTCTGCGTCCGCTCACGCTGGCATGTTGGCCGTCACGAAAGCCAAGGTCGGAACACCTGCTAAAAGGTCAGCGCCAGCCACGAATAAGTTGAACCAGTCAGCAATTTTTTCCAGCTACACGCGAACTCCAGTCTCACATGTCATAAGGAGAACTGAAACACCTCATGTACCACCAGGAGAGGGAAAGCCTGGGATGCACAATCGCAACATCCGACGCCACTGCAAGCGGATGTACGAACGTCTAGCGGCGACGGCGGAACCTGCTAGCGTCAACATGATTCCACTGGGCTCTGAGGTCCACTCTCTCGTCCCGTCGCAATGCGAGACAACAAACCTACCACGGATAGAGGAAGAGCAGCCTGTCACTCCGTCTAATGAAGCTGATACTGCTCCAGCATTCATGATGGCGAGCCTGCAGAATAAAAACAAGCGCAAAGGTTTCAAGAATGCGTTGGCTTTCGGCGTACCTGCCAAAATAGTTTTCTCTTCTCCAGAAGAGGTGTCCACAGATACAGCTCGCATGGACGTTGGGGCTGCGTGGGATGCACTTCCATTCTTTCGTGCGCAAGGCAACGAGGTCGCAGATGTGATCCGCTCGACTAGCTTTATGCGTTTGGTCCCACCGTCGGAGAAAGAGGAACGCAGGCAGCTGCCTCCAAACATGTTTATCACGAGCATCGACGTCGAGGAGGGCTTGCCTGCTAAGAAAAGGAAGAAGCAAAGCAAGGTGAAAGCGTGGGAGAAGGATGCTACCATGGAGGACAGCTACCTGCCATACGATGAGCCTGATGAGGCACTCAGTGCTGATACGATGGGTGCTTCTGCTGGTTGCGACTCTGTAGCGGAATCTCAGTTGTCGCCTTCGTTTGATCGAGGCATTGTCGAGGGGCGATGGAGTGCACTGACAAAAATTACTGCTCCAGCGCAACTGCAAGTAGGGTGTAAAGTTGCATGGAAGGTATGTTGCCGTGGTTCTAACATTCCATTATCCCCTCATTTACTTGTGCAGGCACTTGGGATCAACCCCAACACCTTCACACCTGAGATGCTTCTCAACGTCGGACGTGTTGTATCATAGGAAGACCAGCTAGTGGTAGAACCGTTGGAGGAGCATGGCACAGAGGTGTCCTTCGGAGGGTTGGTCATCGGCGAGAACTCTGGAAGTATTGAGGAAAGGTATGACTGGCAGGATGTGCTACAGGCAGATTGGCGACTGGTGGCTTGAGCATCCAAAGTGGTCCACAATATTGTCCATGTGCAATTGCAGCCGTCGACTTAAGCATCATCTCTCTACTTCCATGTCCACTCCGAGTCAGCAGCAGGCAGTGTCAGGTCATATATATCTCAACGAGCTCCTTATGGTGGTTGGAGTCTAATGAGAGAAGCCGATCCGCAATGCGTTTCTTCGTAGAGTTGCCAAATGTACCAGACTACCAGGAATGACCACGTGACCGTGTCATACATTCAACTGTCAGAAGTTCAGATTCGGTCGTGTCCAGGTCCTTTGCAAGTAAAACAGAACTTGGCTAGGCCAAAGTATAAAAGATTGGCACAACTACGCATGACGACCTTCCTCGACTCTTCTTACGTTATACTGATATCATCCGCACCAGCCTCTTGTCTTTACCCAATGTCTTCAAGGTGATGTCAAGATGATTTTACAGCTCAGCCGAGAGATCCTCTGTTCAGGGACTTCCATTTATTCAAGATCCACTCACAACTCTCCGTCGCACATGCATTTTGCTCAATCCACGCTTCTGGAACATTACAAGACTCATGCACACCGCATCTTGTCCTACCAGAACACCACCTCGATCCCGCAGCAGCTCACGTCCACAGGTGTGCTCCGACTTTCACAGAAGGAGATGGTCCTAAGGCTGACCGAGTGACTGTTCGCGCTGCGGCAACGTGAACCTGATGAGTAACGTCTTCGATGTACTGGAGCTCGTCAGGAGCGAGGTGAGTGTGAAGGTATGGTACAACACCCTAAGGGATTACATGGAGATCCACGGGCACGTGTAAGTGTTGAATGAGCAACCGGCTGATGTGGAGGACTTCGTATATGTGTTATTTTCCGGTTGTTGTTGTCTTGATGGCTAGTTCGTAGGACCCAGGACCACCTGAACGATGCACATTCTACCTGGTGATGGTTGTAATGGATCATTACCATAATCATTGGGCGGTAATGTGAAGCGTAACGATACATAATCATACTCTTCAGTCGAATAAACAATGTCTGCACGCTGGTCCTACTAGTGGATACACATCCATCGATGTGGACATCAACGGAAGTGACAATATAAGAAACATAATGCAGTGACTGACAGTTACTTTACATCTAGTAGTTGTCACCGGAACCAGCGCATAACACTTGTATATTTTCCAGGATACCAGGCATCTCAGGAAAATGAGGCTTGAAGGTGCATTTGAAAGGTGCCAGTCGTCTGATGAACACGGAGGCGATGAATAGCAGGCAACACCACGAGCAACGAGGCTAACTCACATGACAAGGCCAGTATTGATGAAGTCTGCACACGAGGGCTTATTGTCATCGACGCTGCAGATCTCGAATGCCCAGAGAATGAGGGCGATGTTAATGAAAAGGGAGTCATTCGTCACGTGCCTGCCCACGCAAAATCTGTGCCACACTCGGTCCGGAGGTGGAACAGGTACGAGGGGGGTTACACTCACCTTTTCCCGAAACCATAGCTTGAATGGCCCTCTTGTTTAGTATTGGAGAGAGCTCTGCCGATGCCGCCGTCTTCGCTCAAATGGCGGTCTGGATTGAATTCATGAGCGTCAGAACCATAGACGTCGGGATCCCTGTTCATAGACCTTGCGAGGTCGAAAATAAACTTGCCTGTCACAACGGCAAAGGGGATAAAGTATAATTGGGACGAACCAAATGTTTGGAATGCAAATAGTCCCTTTCGGGATGTAGTAGTCGCCATACCAGTCATCCTACGAGTAGCGCCGGTCAACAACAGGCAAGATAATATGTTCCTTGAACGTTTTGCCTCAACCGAGCAGTGAGGGCTACCTGGAAGGATTCATAGTGTAAGACGTGATGCCAGTTACTGAGAATTGGCGAAGCGTACCCAAGGGACTCACTGGTTGCCAGCAGAGAGCTTCCTTGACGATTGCACGAATGTATAGCAGGTCACTGCAGTCTGCAAAACAGGGCGAATGAGAACACCCAACAACTGTGTTGAGCTCTGCATGTGCCTTTGCTTGCACGTCGGGGTATGCAATCATCACGAGAATGAACCATGATAAGACACTCATTGTCTGCGACATTCACCAGTTGGAGTGCCAGATATAGTGAGAATTAATCATGTACATGAAAATAAGCTCTTTACCGTTTCAGTTCCAGCAGCACTAAGAGGGATCAAAGAGGTGGTACAGTCAACTCAGATCTGCAAGAAAAAGTTGTGACGCACTACAAGGTCCCAGCAAGCCATGCTGCCTCTCTGGGGTTACAGTTATGCTGATCCCTTTCAGACAGAAATGCATTCACAAGGTTGTCCCTTGTACCATCCCCCTATTATGGAGATATTGGGAAGGGACGAGACTGAAGACAGTCCAAACAAACTGACCGTAGGTTCGGTGTTGCAGTACAAAGATTCGAACATATTGGAGTCTTCTTCAAACCAATACTCTGTGTCACGCTTCCACTTGGCTATTCGATTTGGAAGATGGTGTAATATAGGAAAGAATTCCACGAGATGAGCGCCAGGATAAGCCGCATGGACAAGTCGGTCCACGAAACTGTTGATTCGGGGCAAGGCAGCAAGGGCCTCCAACCTCCGCTTCTCGGAAGATAAGCCGTACACCATTGAGAACTGTAACAGTGATATGGACCTAAATGGGCTAAAATTAAATCAGAATGAATGACAAGCATATGGAACCTACTCTCGTGTATGCGCAAGCCAGTCGTCGGGCTTATGCATTATAGCCTTGACAAGGACGAGCGCCTCTGTCATCTGTGTGTCACAATTGCGGAGTAGCAACGCGAAGTCCGGTCTGAGCAAGCTTGCGCATTCTAAGCCAACTGTATTAATTCAATCAATTATGATTGCAGATGGTATAACGAGGCTAGCGACTGACGGAGGCCCATATTGTGCTAAAACAAACAGTAGTCCACCTGTTAGAATATCCGAAGCCACAATGCTACGAGGTCGATCTGAGTATATGTGGGCGCGTCTATCGAGGAGGTCTGCAGTGACTTGATGGTTATTTAAAACAAGTAAATGTTGACCCAAAACATTGATATATATGAGTGGTCCTACCAGGCATCCATCACAAATAATTCAGCAGCATGAAGTATTGTCATACCATATTCCTTTTTCAAACCATCAAAGTGCAACCATAGGGTATCCATTATATCTGACAGGTTACTGAGGATGGGTACGCCACGGGGACCAGGAGGTAAACGTCGTTTGCAGGATCTACCAAAAGATATCAAGCACTGTGCTGCAATTAAGAGCGCACAGATCAAAGGAAGGAGGCTCAGCATATGGTGAGGGGACACTGTGAGCTAATGTCAGCACCGCTCGCTAGTGCTAGTAGATATGAATGCTGAACAAGCGCTGCCCATGGCACTGCCTGTGCGAAATACCTCCTACCAGATTTGCTGACAGACCGAACTTGTCTGACGGAGAAATCACCATGCATTGTAAGTGGTGACTGGGCAAACGTAACCTTGCGTGCTCGGTGGAATAGAATGGTACCTGAACCAGAATAATCAGAACAATCATTCCACCTGATCAGAAAGAAGAGAACTGACACGACGGGCAATGGCCTCGGAAAACCTATCTATGAAGGTGAATTGGAGAGATGTAATTGTCTCAATGAACATCAACTGTCCATCGCGCTGTACCGGTGGACAAAAGATTAACTGCAATGACTTGTCACTCGGAGGACATTTGTACCACTCCAATCACCTTCCATGTATGGCCTGTGCTGGCGTCTCAGGCCGAACGTGTCCTGTTGCCGGAAAAACTATCTGTCGAGTGCACACCAAGAAGCTCAGAAAGGTGCTTTTAAGACAATTCCCTCTCTGCTATCTGCCTGTTGTGGCTGGTGATGAGCCACCATTGCCTGTCGTGTGAGGTGCCTTGTGTGCGTTCACCACATTTTTTGCCTCCGCGGTCTGCGTTTATCCTCAGGCCTAACGTGGGTGTCTAACCTTATAAAGGAAATTAATTTTGGGCGCTTCTGAGGCGGCGGCTACGCCGCCTCCCCACCGGCCTTGTCAAAGTGTATGTAGTCTGATCATGCATCGGAGGAAGTGGTAAGGAGCCAGGTAAGCATCAAAGCTAGCCGGAGGTCAGGGTCAGAAATTCTGATCTTGCCCCCCTCTTGGTACAGGCGAACTCTAGAAAACTTTCTCTAAAGGGTGTTACGGAAAATCAACCAGCTGTCTCGCAGGCCCTGCAATTTGTGTTCACTCGGTGCGCATGTGACTTCCGGGGTCTGCCCGATCACGATGGTACTGTACTCGATCAACAATATCTTCGTGGTGGTCCATCACATCCATGAAATCAGACCTCATGGCATGGGTATGCGGACTCGCATCTTCTGCTCTATCTGATGAAGTAGGCATACATGTACAGAGCCGCTCTGGGTGATAAACTTCGCTGTAACAGATTCATCCACACACCCTTCCATCCCCGAGCGATGCGACTTGACACGATTGTTCGGAATGCAGCAGAGAAGTCGACGTACCATTTATGTTCTCAGCTGCAGCAGACTGTTGATCCTTGGAACACTTATAAGTGAGTTTCTTCCGGCGGTGCATCCAACAGTTCCCTGATATTCAACTTCTAAGTCTTAGTATCTACCCAGAACTTAGCAATCCCCACCATGATTGCTAGTGCTCATGATTTCTGTGGCCTCCTGGAGTTATTCCAATATTTCCAGGTGTTATGGCTTTCCATTTTCACACTACCTTCTCATCACTATCACGACATCTCTGCACTGACTCTCCGACCAGCACAGCCAATTCCGACTGCGCCCGCTTCATCAGAATCTGATCTCAGTGCTGCAGTCAACATTTTGGTTCCGTACGGATGCATCCATCATGCCTACCTCGCTCATGCTTCCATGCGCCCTCAGCAACCGGCTGTAGTCGATCATCTGGGTCTGTCACTCACCTATGGGGCATTGGATTCGTTCTCCATGTGTGTAGCAAAGTTCTTGCATTCTAACGGAGTTCAGCGCGGTAGCCGTGTCTGTCTTTTGGTGCATCGTTCTATTCCTCAAGTCATTGGGGTTATCGCTGTGTTGCGTGCAGGCGCGGCATATGTTCCTCTAGATGGAGAAATCATTACAGATAACACACTTATGTCCGTCCTAGAGGATGCATAGCCTGCCTTTATCTTAATTTCCCGAAAATTTCTCGCTCGCACGAAGGATATTCATATGTCCTTGGCCTGTCTGGAGAACATCATTTATGAGCCGGAATATGTCTATTCCTCTCTTTCTGACAGCTTTGTGGACGATATTCAGTCGTCAGATGGTGCATACGTCATCTACACATCTGGTACCATCCCATAGATGAGTTTGACGTCTTCTCTCTTTCTGATTATGTCTTTGCAGGGACCACCGAAAAGCCTAAGGGTGTTGCAGTCAGCCACCTGAATGTTACCAACTGTAAGTTACAAAATATAGAGTCTCATTACACTGAAGTCATGTACTGGACAGTACTCTGTCTTTCTCCGAGGAACCTTGGCATTGCTCCTGGCGTTCGGGTCGCACAACTTCTGTATGTTGCATTCGACATGTGTGCGTGGGAAACTCTCGGGTGTTTGATGAATGGCGGGACACTATATCTTCGTGGTCCTCGCTGTGCAGATTGGTTGAAAGTCCTGGACATGGTACACGTGGTTATATGCACGCCCACTATTCTTTCTCAACATCATTCGTGCGATTTTCCTAACATCTGAGTTGTTGCGACTGCTGAAGAACCTTGCCCACAAGCACTGGCAGACAGCTGGGTGAAGCAAGCTACATTTTACAACTCTTGCGGACCCACAGAGGTATGAACCTTTAAGCCCCTCCCCCACTGGTCACTGAGGTTTGTGGTGCTAGGTTACGATTGTCAACACCATGTCGCGACATATTCCAGGAACCGCGATATCTATTGGAAGGCCGACTCCTAATAACTCTGTCCACATTCTGGGTGAGGATATGTGCCCTCTTCCAGTTGGTGTCCCTGGATTAATGTGGGCAGGAGGCCTAGGTGTCTGTCAAGGCTATCTCAATCGACCTGATCTCAATCACAGTAAATTTGTGAAAGATCCATTTTGTGTCCGAGGGTAAGTTGTCATCGCGCAGTTCATGACAGTATGTGCCCAGCTAAGCATCACATTATCAGTGGCATGATGTATAATATGGGTGATATAGGGCAGTGGAGAGCCGATGGGAATATAGAACACCTAGGTCGGGTTGACGAACAAGTCAAAGTCAAGGTTGGCAAGCTTGTGGAGCGAATATCCATAATTTCTAATGAATGCGCAGGGTTTCTGTGTGGAGCTCGATGGTGTGACAGCGGCTATGCGCACTTGTTCTGGAGTTACATCTGCATGTGCTCTGCTCATTGGTGGGGATTTGTGGGGCTTCTTTAGCCCGGAGTATGTCAGCCCTGATGATGTGCAACATGCAACAGCGCAGATCCAGCCCTATTATGCTGTCCCTGTCAAATATAGGGGTGTATCGAATTTCCCTCTGACAAGGTATGCTGCATACCCTTGACAATATTCGTTATTGACATCGTTCTCAGTAACGGGAAAATAGATAAATTCACACTGTGTCGCATGTTAGAGAATGAATCGCTTAGAGATTGAACATATGGACCATCATAATTGTTAGGGTCACAGACCGCATTGCGTCTATATATTTATTGTTCCATGACAGTGTTTTGCTGTCTGATCTTATGTTCATATCTTATGTAACTATCTGACATCTAAGCTATTGCACATATGCTAAGTGATATTGGTTAAGTATGAGATGTAGTGCGCTCGTCGAGGTAGTTGCTTTTCACCCAAATCATAAGCTCCCCTGCTGGTATACTGACGCAATACATGAGTGGCACATCCACGAAAGGGCACTGAATCAAGGATGGCCGAGTGTTGTGTTCACTTCAAGTTCCACCCCAGCATTGTTCCTCCTTGTCACGCTACGTTGTATACAGTGTATTGACAGACCCGGTGAAATGGAGCTGAACGTGACATAGCATTCAAGAAGTCCTCTAGAGATGACGATAACTAATGAGTACAGCATCATACAGACTGTAGAGAGCACGCGCATATAACGAAGACATAGTTGGACAACATGATCCAGAACGAAACGATTCAAGGAAGCATTAATTCAGAATGAGCAACGCTTGACGAATGATCTTGTCCAGATATGTGTGCAAATATGCCGTATCCCAAATATCAGTGGCCTGAGAACATGTTCGGCGATGTCAACAAATAGACAGGATGGCAATGAAGAACGAACTTGTATTTGCACCGTCAATTGCAAGTGCATGGTCCACACGTGAGTTAACCTCGGATGTATTTCAGTCAGCTAAACAAAGGCAAGAACAACGGAGCATAGTTACAGGTTTGGTGTGGTTAGTCTGTGTCCAAAACACAGCTTATTGATCGCGAATAGTGGTTTCTGGTCTGCGAGGTAGGTAGTTTGGATGTTATGTTCGATCATTCAGTTCGTCGGATACTAAGAGGTCCTCATAGCGGAGGCCAATCAGTACCAGACACATTAAGGAGATGAAGTTTGATTTCGCATTGTGGGGAGGGGTCAGGAATCTTGCCAGAGAAATTCTAAGCGCGAAAGATAGCACATGAGCAAAACATGAACAGATTTAAAGGCAACAACGAACATGCTGAGTGGAAACGTGATATGCGCTGTGCTAGCTTCCGCATCTGACACCGGATTGAGGGTGAAGATCGCCGAAATTTGAGCAGCCTCAAAGAGCTGCGTCGTGCTGAATCCTATGGTCTTCAATCGCTGAAGGACTTGCATGCTCGTAATACTGTCTAGTGAAGTCATAACCCTGTTGGCCTTTCCGACTATCTGTACTTCTCGGCGTTGACATATAAGACTGTGTGAAGGCTTGCAGCCTATTTTTAGGAAGTAGTTGAAGAAAGAATGCGACAAAGACTTACAGTTGGATTTGCATAGATCCGAGCTACCTTGTCTAGCAACGTAGATCCATGCACATCCCAACCTTCTCGGCCCCCCCCCCCAGTTGCTGTAATGGGGCCAACTGGTAGTCTTGTCCACTCTGTCCCCCACTGGAGCTCGTCAATATGTTTGGCCGTAGTCACTGACATATATCCAAAGAGAAGCGATAATACGTTGATCGTGGGCCGGGCATCCATCAAGGCATGCGTGCCGTGAAAGAAGACAGCAAATGTGTCCTTTTCCTTAGGGATCTGCAGCAAGAAGCACCAGAGTATCTGCTTGCTGCCATCTGTGAGTATGTAAGGGAGGCGTCTCTGACTGATGATCCCGATGAATTCCTCAGTGTCCATAGGCTCCGAACAAATAACAGTTTGCTGGGCCCATTGACGGACATCTTCCACGCTCTGAGCAGGAGAATAAACCCAGGAACGCAACTGAGCATCATCGATCCCTCTCTCGAGTGACGATGCAATGATAGGACACACAAAGCTTTAAATGTCCTTATCAGATATTACAGCGCCCTACATGTAGAGTAGGACAACACTGTTACGCGGCAGCGAAACACGAGCGTCTAGTCGAGTCGTCGCGAGACAAGGTCTTAGTCCAAGACACAAGTCCGTTCAAGTGACACTTCTGGCGATGTCCTCGCACTGAAGGTCGATCAGAGTTCGTTCTTGTGACTCGTAGTAGCTGTCTGCTACTGACGGTCGATCTCAGTCAAAGGCAAGTGAAAAGCTGGTTTAATGGTAACCAGGTCGAGATGGGGATCCAGCTCGACAAGGTCGTCTACTTATACAAAAGGTATCCGCAGTACTACGCAGTAATGCGAGATCGTTCATTGGCTAGATAAGGTGAAACGATATCTGGGCAAGGTAACAGCGAGGAAGTAATATGTATGAGAAAGCTGAATAAGGTCGTGAGAGATAATCAGTACTAATGGGGATAACGAGTCGTGTATCAGAACGAGGTAAAGATGAGGCGTACATGCACGTCTTGCATGCGCGATAAGAAAAAGGTCCGGAGTTGGATCCGGTGTAACCCTAGACTAGGGGTTCTGGACATCTGGGTAAAGAATCGGAGGTTGCGCTCCAATGAGTCACGTGTTGGATCACGTGGTCTGGTAACGTAAAGGGAACAAGGAAAAGAAAAAGAAAAGACGCGCCACAAGTGGGGAGCGTTGTAACATCAGCTCCCGTCTAACGTTTCTTGTCCCACAAGAAATATTGTGATCTTCATCGTCATCGGGGGCAGTCGCGGACATAATGATCTCCTCCACATCTGTAGCATGTCCGCCGGCTGGTTCGTGATCCTTGTTCGGGGATACGTCCATTCCTGTAGGGATGACTGCGATGCGAAGAAGTGGATGCAGTCGAGAAAGATGGTTGGGATAACGGAGGTCGTCCACTGGGTACGTGCGAACGAGGAGGGCGAGGTCGAACGGGAATTGGCTCTGGCGACGAGCGAGGGGTGGATGCGGGTATTCCATTAGTAGTGTATCCGAGGATGTGTCCGATGTCTTCGTCCCCATGCTCCCTCCAAATCTCCTGTGCTGTACGAGTGACCGTACTGCGCATCAACGACCAGACTTGGTCGACTCTGGTCCGGGCTCTACTCGTCCTTTCTTCTGCTGCGATGAGCTCTTGTCTGGCCGTCTGCATCCACTCGACCATTTCTAATGCTCGTTGCATGGAAACCACCGCTTGTCGATCTTGCGGGCGATTTCGTAAGGCGACGAGGATATCTGTGAAGTCGACAGGAACACGTATAGCCGAGACCAGACGTGTGGCAAATTCTTGTTCGTCCGATGCGTGACTGAGTTCGATAGAAGGTGAGGGCGATGAGGTGCGGATAAAGGGTGTCTGTGCTCGAGAGGGTACTCCATTGACGAGCGTGGGTGATGCGGGTATGCTCATAATTGTGGAGGCGACTTCAGCGAGTATGTTGTGAACAAGGTCGTCTATAGCGGAAGTGGGCATTGATGATATGTCGTTTTCTCCCCCTTTTATACCTTTCGGTCGTTAAGGGGATCGCAGTTATCTGTGATGTGAAATAGAATGTCGTGGATCCGGGTAATAATCAAATAGATGAAAATCCATTGGACGATAAAGAGTATTCCCACAGAGATAAGAGCTGCCTGATCAGTTCCAGGCATCGTTTTGATCACCCCAGCCGTTAGCGTGCGGGCTGTCTCGCGTGAAGAGTGTGTGTTCGACAAGTCGTCTGATAAGGATTCGGTGGATGATCCAAAGAAAGGTGAGGGTTGTGCAGTGGAGGACGATTAGGAAGATGATGAGGAAAACCGTTGTGGTAGTCATTCCGGGTTTCTTCTCCTCTACTGGATTCCCCTGGTCCTTTTATATGCATCGAGGATTCGCTTGGCATTCTGTAAATTGTGGGTAGGTTCCCACGAGTTTTCTGCTGAAGAATATCCCTTCCACTTAACTAAGTACCTCAGATGACCTCGGTACGTCTTGTGATTCAGGATGGCTTCGACCTCGTACTCTTCTTCGTTATCAACGACATCAGGTGGTGGGTTCATGTAATTCGGACCATGTATGTCGTTTTCGCGATAAGGAGATAGAAGGGCAGCGTGGAATACGGAATGAACTCGCCAGGTCTTCGGGAGTTTGAGACGATAGTTGGCTGGTCCGATGACTTCGACAATTTCGAATGGCCCCTCACGCTTTGGTGCTATCTTGCGCGAGGCGTAATTGACCTTCAGGTTCCTCGAGTCCAGCCAGACCTTCTGTCCTAGTGTAAACTTCGGTGATCCTTGTCTGACTCGGTCCGCCATCTGTTGTCGGGCTAACTCGTGCATGGCTAGTGCTTCTAGTCTTATCTTCTGCAACATGTCAAGCCTGGATTCAACCGATGGAATGTTCGTGGTCGGAAATACAGAAGGGAGTCCCCGTGGTTCATATCCCATCATGATGCGGAATGGGCTCATCTTCCGTGCCGAGTGTTCCCTTGTGTTATGACAAAACTCGAGGTCTGGCAGGCGGTCGGCCCATGTTTCAGGGTTGTTTCCGCAATAGAGTCGAAGATAGATTTCCAGCTCCTGGTTGACTCGCTCTGTTTCTCCGTCCGTCTGAGGGTGATAAGCTGTGCTCATTGATGATCTGATCTGGAGTAGTCGATTTAACTCTTGGAAGACCTTGGATGCGTATTGAGGTCCTCTATCCGAGATGATTCGGTCGGGTAATCCAAATCGCGAGTATACTTTGTCATGAAAAATCTTGGCCGTTCCTTCGGCTGTGATCGTTTTGAGGCAGGGCGTAAGAATCACCCCCTTCGTAAGGTCATGGTCTACTACGACCATAATTGAATCAAAACCGTTGGAAACGGGGAGGTCGGTAATAAAATCGGTGGTGCAACAGGAAAATGGTAATGCGTGTGGGTCGGCGGGAATTGGTTCCAAAGGAATACGAGTTGGATGAGTATTCGGTTTCATTTGTTGACAGGCGGCACAGCCTTCAACATAATTGTAGACAAATGTATACATGCCAGGCCACCAGAATTCACGACGTAACAGTTCAAGAGTATTGAACTTTCCAGGGTGACCCATGGCAGGGGAGTCGTGATGTAGTCGAACGAGATCACGACGAAGAGTTTCGGATGGTGGGACGTAAATCTTTCCCTTGTAGAGGATGACACCATCGTGAACTTCCCAGTCGGAAAGCGATGATTTCATGGGGACTGGCCCTTTGTGTGCAATCGCTTCGAGGGCTTCGTGAACAATGAGGTCTTTTGCTGCGTGATTCCTGATTTCGTCGAATAGTGTTGGGGAAATGGATCGCACGAATAGTGCGTTGGGTAAAAGAATGCGATCTTCGTTGTCACTTTCACTGTCATCGAGTCCATTACGATGAGAGAGCGCATCAGATTGGATCATCTGAGTGCCAGGGACATGGATGAGGTGAAGATCAAATTGTGATAATTTGAGACTCCATCGTGCCTGTCGGCGGTTTAACTTCTGAGCTGTACGGAAGTACGTGAGGTTCTTGTGATCACTGCGAACTTCGACGGGATGGGGAGAGCCTTCAAGATAATGGCGCCATTCAGTGAGGGCTCGAATAATTCCGAGGAGTTCGCGGTCGTAGATTTCGTAGTTCCGTTCAGCTGGATTGAGCGTCTGTGAAATGTAGGCACAAGGATGGAGTTCTCCATTGATATCGGCTTGGCGTAAAACTGCACCCGTAGCAAACTTGGAAGCGTCGGATTCAACAATAAAGGGTTTTGCCTTGTCAGGCAGTAACAGTACTGGGGCGGTACTAAATCGTTGCTTCAATGTGTCGAAAGCTGTCTGACATTCTGTTGTCCATTCAAAAGGTGGAGATCCAGCGGCAGTGCGCGTAAGATTTGTCAATGGTTTGGCAATATCCGAGAAGTTGGCAATAAACTTCCGATAGAAGTTTCCAAACCCTAGGAAAGAGCGAACACCTTTTACCGTGCTTGGTTCAGGCCATTCCGCAATTCCTTTAAGTTTGATAGGGTCCATGCCAATGTAGTTTTCTCGAATGATCATGCCTAGGAATTCGACTTCTTTAACGTCAAAGAAACACTTTTCCGGTTTAAGGAATAAGTCGTTGTCTTTGAGTCGTTGGAGTACGCGTCGGGTTCGAACGTGATGTTCTTCCAAATCGTTTGAGAAGATGAGGATATCATCCATGTAAATGACTATCCATCCCTCGTCGATCATGTCCTTGAAGAGTGCGTTCATCATCATTTGGAAAGTCGCCGGGGAGTTGCAGAGTCCAAAGAACATGACCATAGGTTCGAAAAGTCCGCGATTTGTCTTAAATGCGCCCTTCCATTGGTCACCATCTTTGATTCTGACATTGTTATATCCGGAGCGTAAATCCATTTTCGTAAAGATCGATGCGCCTTTGAATTGATCCATAAGGTCAGAGATGAGCGGAAGAGGATAGGCATTCTTCACCGTCCCTTCATTCAGGTATCGGTAATCCTGACAAGGACGTAGCGCTCCGTCTTTCTTTCCTACGAAGAAAAACGGTGAAGCCATGGGAGACTTCGACGGTCGGATATATCCTTTTCGCAGATTTTCTTCCAGGAAGTCATCCATCGCTCCTTGTTCTTTGAGCGATAACGGATAGACTTTACAGTCGCGTGGAATAAAATCGGGTTTCAAGTCAATGGCGTGGTCCCAAGGCCTGGTTTCTGGAAAGCGTTCAGCTGCTTTCTTTTCAAAGACGGACTTCAAATCGTGGAGGTAATTGGGGACCAACTCCTCGACGGTTTTGGGTTTGTCTACAGCTGATGCTTCCTTGTGTGCCTGTTGTGCCAATTCTTGTGATTTACCGGATGATTTGTAAAAGACCGTATTCTGTGCATTACAGAATAATGGGGATCGAGTACTGTGTGTCATTCTTCCAATGGCGGGACCTCTTCGTATGGTGAAGACTGCGGTTTCAGTCTCTTCATTCGTCAAAGGTGACTCCTTCCTGATGGGTTCAAATATCCCAATGACCGGCTCTCCTGCGATATAGGATATAACTAGATCGTCGTCATCGAGCTGATCCATAGGGGATTCTGATGATAGGTCATCTGGTTCGGTATCATTCCGCACTGCGGGTAACTCGCCACGCTCAGTGTTATCGGCCATGATTTCTCTGATAGATTCCGAATGTCCAAACGAGGTAGGGGAAGTTTCGGTGGTGATTAACTCTGGGAGTCCATCTTCCTTGAAAATCGAAACTTCTTCATCTGGTGCATCTTCGACGGTGAGTTTCGGTGGCCATTTGGCCTCTTTACCAAACCAAAAGTCACCGGTTTCCCAGTTGATCATTGGATTGAGGCGTTTAAGCCACGGCATGCCAAGAAGTATGTTTTCTTTGCCAATGCCGGTCAAGAGGAAGCGAGTAAGCGTCTTCCTTCCTCCAATTTTCATCATCTTCCAGGTGCAATGAGTAATGGTACCCATTTGATTTGGTGTGCCATCTGCATTCATGACTGTAATCGGTTTCGGTAATTCCCATCTGATGAAATCGTTTTCTTCCGCAAAACGAATGTTCATGAACGTTTCGGCCGCACCGGAATCGATCAAGGCTTCTGTTGTAACGTCTTCCTTCTCTCCCAACGAAATATTCACAGTGATTGAATTTCCGCTAGTGTTACAAATAACGAGGGGAGATACGATAAGATGCGACGGTCCATGCATTACTAGTGGCCGTCGTCTCAAAAACCCAATTGGGTTCGTTCTTCGTCAGTCATGTCGTTGAAGACGTTTCGCACATAGGCGATCTGTTCCTCTCTGGTTTCTTCCTTCGACACCTCCTTCTTCTGTGCGAGGTCTTCTCGCATCTTCTTGATCCATGTGATCGTGTCTGTGTCTAACCCGGGCTGTATCGTTCTGGCACGGGTGAAACTTCCAGACTGGGGGTGAAATTGTCTGTCGTTGGCTATATGGCCCTTCTTTCCGCATAGGAAACATAATCCTTCTTTCATTCTCTTCTGTCGCTCGTCTGGGTATAAGCGCGAGATATTGACACGATCAACATCCATCGCGTTTGGATCCTTTGCAGAAGCCGAGTAGTAGGGACGATGGACAGATCGGCCCTTTCCTCGTGTCGTCGTAGTGGCTCCTCGTTTGAAGATCTGAGCAGATCTCCATTGGTTATCAAACCGCGAGGCGTATTCGTACCACTTGTCAAGTGTCTTGGGCATGCTTTCCATCCCATATATCCTTTGTCGGAGTGGGTCGTTAAGCCCCCACTTGAAATACTCGATATTTCCGGCATCTTCTAGTTTCGCCTTGGATTCAAGCGATCGGAATTCGGCAATGTAGTCGTCCGCAGTACGAGTTCCTTGCTTGATGTTACGCAGCAAGGTACGAGCGGTTTCTTCAATATTTTCATCGCCAAATGCTTTGTTCACACTCGCAATGAAGTCTCTCCAACTCCCATAAGAAAGGAAGTCGTCATTGGTGAGTTCCGTTTCTATGAAGCTCTGTGCCCATGATCCTGCTGTTCCTCCTTGCATGTGCGATAGCACGAATGCGATCTTCTGATTGTCCTCCTGGTAGACATGGCTATTTCCGGCCATGTAGTTCTTGCATTGGTTTATAAATTCCCTAAGCTTCGAACGGTCTGAACCGTTGAAGATCTCGGGTTTTCTAAAACCAAGTTCCTTCTGGCTAGCATGGTGACGTCCTTCATCCATGGTAACTGTAGCCATCGGTGGTATGTAATCAGGTACGATTGGTGCAAGAGTCGGTTGGGGTATAGGATTCTGGGCAGGGGGGTTCCAAGGGGCGTCTGGTCTTTCTCCTGGATAGGAGGTTGTTATACCGCTGTCTGCGATGTGCTGGAGGACTATTCCACCAAGATTATGGGGAAGTGTCCTTTCAAATTCCTCTGGGGAGTAGTCGAAGTTGTGATTGTCTGGCCTGATGAATACAGGCCTTCCTCCTATGAAATGTGCGTTTCGTTCTGTGCTCCACTCCGCTTGGGATGGGAGGTGCTCGCGGTACTGCTCTGGAAGAGCGGTCGGGTTGATGTAGTTAAAATCCAGCGTGGATAAATCCTTCTGTGTGGCCACGTAGACTGCACACCGTCCTTAACTAAGTGGGTTCGTTCGTCGTCGGCTAACAAGCCCGTAGAGTGTCTTCTGTCTTCAAACTGATACACCTATTTGCTGATTGCTCGAGTGATTACCTCAGCCTCCTCGGCCTATTGGTCTCTCGGACAGACCCCTCTCCGAAGATGAGTGATCAGTCTATCCCTTCAGCTACCTCGATTACAGAGTAATCTCAAACGGTGCTTTAGCAATCGAATCGGGTGTATCGTTCAGTCTTCAAGGTTCGGTCCGGTCGGTAGTTCGTTGTTAGACTCTAGGAAGTCACAGAGAGTAATAAGATCTCGACCTAATGTTACGCGGCAGCGAAACACGAGCGTCTAGTCGAGTCGTCGCGAGACAAGGTCTTAGTCCAAGACACAAGTCCGTTCAAGTGACACTTCTGGCGATGTCCTCGCACTGAAGGTCGATCAGAGTTCGTTCTTGTGACTCGTAGTAGCTGTCTGCTACTGACGGTCGATCTCAGTCAAAGGCAAGTGAAAAGCTGGTTTAATGGTAACCAGGTCGAGATGGGGATCCAGCTCGACAAGGTCGTCTACTTATACAAAAGGTATCCGCAGTACTACGCAGTAATGCGAGATCGTTCATTGGCTAGATAAGGTGAAACGATATCTGGGCAAGGTAACAGCGAGGAAGTAATATGTATGAGAAAGCTGAATAAGGTCGTGAGAGATAATCAGTACTAATGGGGATAACGAGTCGTGTATCAGAACGAGGTAAAGATGAGGCGTACATGCACGTCTTGCATGCGCGATAAGAAAAAGGTCCGGAGTTGGATCCGGTGTAACCCTAGACTAGGGGTTCTGGACATCTGGGTAAAGAATCGGAGGTTGCGCTCCAATGAGTCACGTGTTGGATCACGTGGTCTGGTAACGTAAAGGGAACAAGGAAAAGAAAAAGAAAAGACGCGCCACAAGTGGGGAGCGTTGTAACAAACACTTACCGAAGTTGCATCATTGCTTCCCTTAGCCGCGACTCTACTTCTGGAGGTGGCAATAAGGTAGTAAAAGTGAAACCCATGCAACAGTCTGCCAAGCTAAAGTACAGCATTCAAAAGGTCATGATTACACCGTTGTCAGCGGAAATTCACCCATCGAAGAACACGCTCAGTTGATCAACCAACAGCTGGGACCCTAGCAATGGCCTTGAGAGGAAAGTTGACTGAAGTACTCAACAGATCAGCCAAGAGCTACATACCTCGTGTACGCAATCGTAGTTCCCCAAGGAATGCGAGACCACGATGGTGCTTCTTGAAGCATGTTCATCGTAGAGTCGTAGAGTATGCGCCCTGGTGAGTAGCAGAAGTTTCAGCTGACGAACTCCCTTAATGTTGATTACTCACAGAAACAACAAGACGATACGAAGAGAAACAGTTGCAACACTCCCAGGCTAACGGGATTGCACCAATCAGTAGGATGTTGCACAGTAGAGAAAAGAAGTCCTGTGAACTTGATAGAATCAAGGAAAATTGGGCATAAAAATATGCCCCTCTTTACGTTATTTCTTGGAATCTGATCTGCCGCCCGAGAAGTCCGGGTTCGATGCTCATGAGAGCAGATAGTATTACTGAGTGTCAGCTTCCAGTGCATCAACAGTGAGTATCAGAACATGCGGCTTCTGATGAATGGATTGCCACCATCATTACAAAACATCCTCGCACATGTGTAACATCATCTTCTCAGCTTCGAAGAGGGCACGAACCTTACGTGAGGCTCACATATAGATAGATGGCAGTAGAGGTCTGCATCCACAGCAACGGAACGATGATGTTCACAATGCCTACATGACATGATGCAGACAACATCAGCCTTGTACTGCTTGATGACCTGACAGGTTTGTGAACTAATTGCAACTTGGGCATTCGGAAAAGAAGTCAAGCCTGACGTACTCACATGAGGCACAGTGGCAAGTCCGCCAGTTGCAGGGGTGAGCCACAACTCTATGCTGTTTGACAATGATTCATGCAGAAAACCTGACGTGACATGACATCCGTATCGGTTTGAGCGCGGAAAAATGAGTCAGCAGAATCTTTGAACTGGAACAAGGCATTAACATGGCATGCGCAGCGGCGATACTCAACAGTGTGGAAGATCTGAATTAGCCTGGAAGGGTCCATCTGGCATCTCGCAGAACGGGGAAGAACCCCTCTCCTGGCCTGGAGGTTGCCTCTCGGCCAACAAATCACTCTTCATGAAAGCGTTAAGGGTGTGGTATCGCCCTATTTCTTACAGAGCTCAGACCGGTGAGACTGTGAAATGGGGCAAGACAATTCTGGTGTATTCATCATTCTCGGCCTACTTAAATACTCATACAGTACAATCGGTCTGAGTCAGTACAGAGATAAGTGTAGTCAGCGAGAGACAAGCCGAGCCGTGGGATCGATGCTATGTAGAGTCAGAATCTCGATGGAAATAAGGATGAGTTGTCATACGTAGTGGGTGACTTGTCAGAGGGTCAGGAAGTGACAAAATCGTATGACTAGGAATAGGGGAACTGAGTCGAGAATATGTCGTACAAGATCTCCTCAAAATGAAATGGAGACATACCATTTTTGGAAGGGACACAACAAGACCAAACTGAACATGTCGTCGGGCCCAACACCATCCCCTCGTACAAGAACCTTGCTCCGGCAAGATAAACGATGAATACTGACAACCAAGGAGACAGAAGACAATAAGAGAAGGTAGGTCATGCATCAAAAGAGCTGACACCATTTTTTTAGGCATCACGAGAGGTGCCAGCGTGACCGAGACTGGTGTTGAGTCGGCGTTGCATTCGCGCTCGGGCGTCGTGATGCTGAAGGTCGCCAGAGGAGTACCATAACTCGGGATCCAGATTCGACGGGTGATAACATTTCAAACGGGCAGCATTGTACAAGGTACGAAGGATGTAGCCGTTTTGTGTGCGGAGCTGATAAACGTTCCGGTCAGTGACATCGTGAACAATGAAGGGTCCGTCCCAGCACAGATGGAGTTTCATCGGGTTCTCCGAATGTCGAAGGACATAATCGCTAATCCCGAGCGCGCGTTCGTGGTAAGTATCCTCACAGCGGCACACCTCATCCTGCAAGCGGCGCAAGGCGCATGTGTTCGCCTCAGTTCGGAACCTCTCAAGGTTCTGAACATGCTCGAGATGACGGTTTTGCAATGTTGCGATCTCCGCGTCGGTCGGTGGTGCCCGAAGAAGGTCGTAAGTCGTTTCGTGCGGAAGACGAGGCTGATGACCAAACACAAGGAAGAAAGGTGACGTGCCATGGCTCCGACTGACATGCGCGTGCTGCGCAAGAAGTGCATCTGATAAGTATTGATCCCATTTGTCCTGTCGGTTGGGAGCCGTATAACGTGCCAATGTCTGTACCAGCGTATCGTTAAACTTCTCGAGGCGGCCATTCGTCTGCGAATGGTATGACGAGGTGTGTAAGTGCTGAATTCCTAATCGCTGAAGATAATTCTGAAAAGGATACAACAGAAATTCCTCTCCATTATCCGTGAGGACGGTGGAAGGCTTCCCATGGGTCGTGATAAGGCGGCGCAGCAATGCGATGACAGCAATATGAGAACGGCGTGGAATTGCAGTCGCATAGGCAAAATCAGTGCTGTGATCCATGGCGGTAAGAATATACTCATTTCCTTCTTTCGATTTCACCAGGGGACCTATAAAGTCTAAAGCCCAATGATCAAAGGCATCCGTACGAGGAAGTGGGTGCAACGGCTGGGCAGGTGGAGCCTCGCACTGCGTGAACTGGCAAGCATCGCAGCGACGGATAACGAATTCGACTAACTCAGTGACAATTGGCAGCCATACGTGCGACTTCAATACTTTCGCAACCGCACGAACACCGAGATGTCCGAGGTCAGTGTGTACCTCCCGAATGACCCGCAAGGCCTCGTCAAGGTTCACCGGAACTGGCAAGAAGACTTCACCCTGACCTTGGTCAACAGAGTGAAAGAGTGCACCATCGCGGACGAGGAAGCCGCGACGACTCGGCTCAGCACTAGCATCTCGAAGTAAGTCTTCTCTCCATTTCTTCAAAGTCTCGAAAAGCGCTGACCTATCATAGTCCACTGCTGGCTCCATCGGGTTCGCAAACAATGGGCCAGAGGCCTCGTAGTCTGGAACATCAGCTTGGCCATCACGACAGGACAATGCATCAGCGGCAAGCTGATTATGACCGGGGCGGTACTGGATTAACACATCAAAGTGTGCGATGTTGTCGGCGAAATGGGCAAGATGGCGACCCAAATGTTTCTGCGACAAGAAGTACTTCAAAGATTCATGGTCAGAATGCACAACAACAGGTGAGCCTTCAATGTAGCTTCGCCATTTCTGCAAACAGTGATCAATCGCAAGCATTTCACACTCCTGCGTGGAGTACCGCTGCTCAGTCGGGGTCATACGACATGATTCAAAAGCAATCGGCTGAAGATCAGACTCCTTGAACGCGAAGCATGAGTGATCTCCCTCCCCCTTGGGAAAATCATTTTGCGATTGATGGAGGATACCACCAATAGCATGGCCCGAAGCATCAACATCGAGAATGAAGAGACGCCAAGGTGACGGGTAACTGAGAAGAGGAGCAGAGGTAAGTCGCAATTTCAAAGCGACAAAAGCCTGTTCGCAAGGGGCTGACCATTTAATTTTAGCACGCTTCCGGGGATTGCCCTTCAATAAATCATACATCGGCCCAGCAATCTTCGCAAACCCTTTCATGAAACGGCGGTAGTAGCCAGTAAGATTGAGGAAACTGCGAAGATGAGTAACGTTATCGGGACGTGGCCATTCAGTGATGGCCTGGACTTTCTCTGGATTCGGACGGACACCAGCAATAGAAACAATGTGCCCAAGATAAGTCAACTCAGTTTGAACCCACTGACATTTGTCCTCATGTAGGATCAGACCCTGGTGATCAAGACAGGTGAGGACCCAGTCGACATTAGCGAGATGCTGCGGAAGGTTCGGTGAGTAGATGATGATGTCATCAAGGTAGACCATTACGCAGCGATCAAGATGCGAACGAAGGAGGTCGTTCATAAAGTTCTGGAAAGTCACAGGTGCATTGCAGAGGCCGAGAGGCATAACACAAAACTGATAGTGGCCGAAATGCATAGCAAACGCGGTCAGCGGGCGTGATGCAGCACTGAGTGGGATCTGCCAGTAACCGGATCGCAAGTCAAGGGTCGTGAAGAAATGCACGCCACGAAGATTTTGATAGGAATCATCGATACGAGGAAGAGGGTAAGCATTCTGTACAGTGAAGTTATTAAGCTGACGGAAATCAACACATACCCACATTTTCCCGTCCTTCTTCCGAATGAGAATCAATGGCACGGACCACGGAGACTTGCTTGGTTCAATAATTCCATCCCGCAGACCTTCGTCAACCAACTTTCGAACCTCCTCGTGCTCCGGTGGCGATAAAGGATGCCCATGCACACGAATTGGTCGTGTTCCAGTCACATTGATGACATGTTCACATCGACCTGCTGGTGGTGCACCAAGCTTCGTATGAAATAACCATGGAAACTTTGCCTTCATACATGCATGCAAGCGCGCACCAAATGATTTGATCTTCGCTAGTGGGGATTTGTGGCCAGAGGTTTCCTGCGGAGACTCAGTTACAGGTTCTTCAGCTAACGAGTACAACTCCAATGGGGCAGCTACAAGAGAAGCCCAACGGTTTGATGCAGCGGCTCCAGCGATGCACGGCAGGGGAAGAGGCTGCTGTACAGTCATGACATGCAGCCGTACAACCTGACAAGTATGCGGATCCATCAAGAACCAAGAGCGCGTAGCCCAATCAGGCTGCGCATTATACTTCTGCAGCCATTCTTGGCCGATAACCATGTCGAAGCGCAGTGTATCGGTGTCCAAAATGAATGCACAAATCGGCTTCTGCCAACCCCCGATTTCGATGGCAAAATGAGCCCAAGCTGACGTGGTAGTGGCACCCGCACCGCGAACAGAATGAGCCGTCATAGGGTACATTGTAAGATTAGCCCTTCTGACAACTGACGGCTTGATATAGCAGTAGGCGGCACCAGTATCAATAATGGCCAACGCGAGCTGAAGAGGCTTCGCATTGACACTGGGAGTGAGCTGGACAGCATAGGTGGGCAATAAATGAGGTTCAGGTGCATCATCGGATAGATCAAGCACTGATAACTCCAATGGTTCCTTGCAGCAATCAGTGAACAGCGGGGGCTCACTTCCCTCGAAGAGGTTCAACTCCTGTGGAGGACGACATTTCCGAGGTAAGCAACAATTTTGGCTATAATGGCCAAGGCCATTGCAGTTAAAGCAACGTACATGGCTAACCCGATCCTTCGTCTTCAGTGGTGGTGGCTGTTCCATCGCATCAAGGTCCATCGGAACTGGACCAGTAGATGGTGACGAAGACATAGGAGGAGCCGAAGGTGAGGATGATGCGGCAGATGGAGAAGACGAAGATGATGAAAAAAGACGGTGAGTAAACCCTTTCGTCTTCTTGCAGAAACTGTTCGTGTTGTTCTGATGCTGCGCAGGGACATGATGAAGGTTTGAGAGGCATTCGATCTCGCGCGCCGAAAAATATATCTCCTCGACATTCTTTGGCTTGTCGCGGCGGATGTCCTTCACAAACTCGACTGGAAGACGGCTGAGAAAATTCGACAAGTGGTCACCAAATGTCATGTCAACCTCAGGAATCTGAGTCTCGAGGTCGCGGAAAGCGGCAGCATATCGAGTAAGGTTCCCTTTCCAAGGAACAGAACACAGCTCATTGCGCAGAGTCTCAACATGCAACGGCGTATCGAACTTGTCTGTCAGAGCCTTTCACAACTCAGCCCAGGTAAAGCCGTGCCCGATCTTCTTCTTCTGTGCAACGTACCAATGCTGAGCCTCACCACGGAACAGCATCGGGACTTGTAACGGCCAATCCACCTCGGGAATGTGCTGACCTCAGAGGTAATCCTCGATCAACGTCAGCCAAGCACCAAGATCGTCGCTATCCTTGCCATGGAAATGTGCGAGGTCGACCTTGAATTGGCTGGGATGCACGGAAACAGGTGGCGGAGGAGGAGCAGGCGGGAGAGTAAAATGTGCTGGAGGGAGATTGAATTGGGTGTTCGCAAAACCGTGTTCGAGGGCAATGCGGATATCGTCGGCAGAAAGGGCTGGGGCCTGAGTGTGAGTAACGCGGTGGTCAAGATCACGAAGGATTGCCTCGAGAGCGTGATAGGTGTCCTCGGGAAGGCCAGCAGCAAGCGCGGTGAGCTGAGCCTGAGGATCCATAGTGGCGCACTTAGTACGAAATAGGAAGGTGTAGTACTACAATAAATGGCATACCACTGAGTGCGAAGGGGGGGGGTGAACATCAACGGGAGAACGGTGACGTCAAGAACAGTGTCGACAGAAAGATATTAGCTGAGGAGAGTGAAGCTCAATCAACGGCGAGAGTCCTGTCTCGAAGTATGAGGCTGCTGCAGGTAACCCCACACTTGATCAAGTGTGGTATCGCCCTATTTCTTACGGAGCTCAGACCGGTGAGACTGCAAAACGGGGCGAGAGAATTCTGGTGTATTCGTCATTCTCGGCCTACTTAAATACTCGTACAGTACAATCGGTCTGAGTCAGTACAGAGATAAGTGTAGTCAGCGAGAGACAAGCCGAGCCGTGGGATCGATGCTATGTAGAGTCAGAATCTCGATGGAAATAAGGACGAGTCATCATACGTAGCGGGCGACTTGTCAGAGGGTCAGGAAGTGACAAAATCGTATGACTAGGAATAGGGGAACTGAGTTGAGAATATGTCGTACAAGATCTCCTCAAAATAAAATGGAGACATACCATTTTCGGAAGGGACACAACAAGACCAAACCGAACACGTCGTCGGGCCCAACAAGGGTCAGCGCGCACGAGACACTTATCAGATGGAATGCTAGCTTGGCAAAGATGGAACCGCCATGAATATATTGCTTCAGATTGCTTCCCCCATCATTTATCATTAGCGTCAAATCGCGAAGAGTAACGCGTGAGACCAAGAATTCCATACTAACGTTAGACCTTGAAATTTGCAAACTCCACCACTTCCTCGGAAGCATGGCACATGCACAATAGTGCCTTAGCACAAGAAGGTGAGTCATGGGCCGACAAAGAGGTGAAATTCGTACACGCGCTTCCCCTCGGAGTTTCCGAACATGGACCCACAGGGTCACACTGCACGCCTCAGAACACCGCAACAGGGGTACCACAGCTATATTAACTTCTATACCACGGGGTACCACACCGCCGGTGGTCACCACAGCTACAACAGAATACCATTGCGGCTTGATTGTGATGCCGCGGGGTCGTCCCTGCTGACCAACAAGTCACTTCAAGTTCTGCTCAGTCACAAGAACGTCTTTCCCTCCCGAGAAGTTGAGGACCCCGTGAACTGGGGTAGGGCCGAGCAAGGGTGATGTGACCGAGTGTGGCCTCAAGGACCCGGATTATATGTGGGGAACCAAGTGGGGAAAGTAGACTTTGCAACGCCCAAAAATACCATGGTAATGACATACTGAACACTGCTCAGGCTGCCCCAGCAAATTTCGCACGCTCAACCTCTACAGCCGTAAATTTGAGTACATCTGACTGTTTCGGACACTCCTCCATCTCTCAGAAACTATCCAAAATATTTGGCAGGAGAGCTGTATCTATACTGAACTTGATTCCTTGTATCCTCCCCTTAGTACACCGATGATCACGGTTGGATTCCCCAGTGATATGAAGAAGGTGAGTCCAAAAAACCATCCACTCTCATCCATGGGCAAAGATGAGATAAGCAGGCAGTTGTGTCTTCTTACGGTGTCAAGGAATTAGTGGCATTCACTCTGAGATGCATGAGTGATGCCGCAGGCAGAAGAAAAAAATTACAATTTCTCACCAATACCCTTGCAGAATTGACTCGCGCGACTGCCGCGGACCGTGCATAACGGTAATTCTGGTGTCAACGTTGTCGCTGTATTTTCCAACCCTTAATATTTATTTTATATTTTATTTTACACCCAACTTGAGTTGACACGATGAGATCCGCCGAGTGATAGGGAAACGCGTTACTCCAACAGGTTCATACCAACGGACTCATCTAGCATCGAGGCTCCATCTCGCACGTCCCTCGGAGTGATCAGTGCTCAGCACTTGAGCAGCGACGTTTCTTCTGATTGTTGGACTATCGAAAATGATAGCGCCCGCATTGGCTCTGTACCATCTTTATCGCAGATACCTTTACTTTGGGAGCTTCCTTCCGTGCAAAGAAATCAATCTGTTATAGAGGAATATCCTTGGAAGCCTCTCCATCTGGCCGTTCTCCAGGAGGGACACACTGACGGCTATCCTACCAGATTTGACTGCTCCCATCAATGATCTGGGTTTATAATGTGCTTCAGTGGTCGATTTCGGCAAGACGAACTGTAGCACCATGGCGTCCACTGCAATTCCACCCCTCAATAAGATAAGTCTAGTGGGGATATGGATCGAATCCGTTCTGTGGGGTATGTCCCTTGCGACTGTCGTAAATGTTCAGGCCATCTCATACTCATATTGGTGTTCTCTAGGTATGAAGTGAGTAACATGCTGAGTTCACCGATGGAATGCTAACAATGAGGTCTTGCACGCCTAGCTGTATCATTGCTACCGGCGCTCTATGAGTCACATTCTGGAAGAATAGTAGAAGCAATCAATGGTCTGACATCTCACCTCCTGTTCTTGTATGAATGTTTGCTTAATTGTGTCGCAGGATGTTGGGTGTAACATCAATTGTCTTGTTCGCGTTCGCCACTGCTCACATTGCGGGCTCGTTGCATCAACTCTTGGAGGCGTTCATATACGTGCCTAGTCCTGCACCTCCGCTGTACTCCACTCTGTACTGGGCGAATAAAACCAACGGAGTGGCAGTAATGAAAACTGTGCTCTATGATACCACTGTACATCTCGCTTTTCTCGCAATCGCTCATATCTGAACTATATTTTTTCAGGTGTGGCTTCAGGACATAGCTCTTGTGCATTCCAACATGATTACTTGCAATAAACATGTCTCACGTTCGTTGCGGATTTGGCGTCTATATGTTGTATGGGATCGCAATTGGTTGATATGCATCCTTCCTGTGCGTTTCTCGTTCTCATCATGCCCGGTCCACTTTTACATCTTCGTGCAGGTTGTTGTTGATTTGGCTCATATGGGTAAATATTGTGTGCACTCTTCCGTACCTATGACTGACCGGTGAACACTAGGCTCTGCTTGTGCCGCTACTGGGCTCCTGGCCCAGCCTAACGCCGACATCTATGGTGTGGAGCTGAAGAGACTAGGTCCCGTCAGCTGGTCCCTGGATCTCGCTGTCAACATTAGCGTCACTGCGGCTATAGCTGGCAGACTGTGGTACATGGGCAGAAAAGTGTCATTGGCTGCATCATCCAGGGGACTCAATTCTGATCAGAACCCGTACCTGGCTCCCATATTCCACTTCAGGGTACCTCCTATCCCTAGCTCTTAGCCTCAATATAATCTACTGTTTGTTGTGGCTAAGAGCCTCCCAGGGGGTGGTCTGCCCATGGGATTAGTGCATGGCCCACTGGTCCTGTGGGACATCTCACAGCTGAGGAGGTCCTGAAGTGGGAGCTACTTGAGGGTACTATCTGAACGGGCCCATGAGCTCTATATCTTTCCTGTTGTCTAGGTTCTCCCATGGACCTCCCTTGCATTATTACTGGTTAAAGGGTATCAGGGGGGATTCTGGACCTCCTATAGTCTGGTATTTTTCACTTTCTAGCTTATATCTTATTGTACTGTAGGTCTTATGCTACTTGCCCTCTTCTTACTGTGCATTCTAGAACTATATGTGTGCAGCTGTGAATGCAAATTCAGAATTTCACAGATATATATTTGCATCTAATCATGGTATATAGGTCTCTTCTCACATCTGCATGACTTGTTAGAGTAGGTGTCATTGCAGGCCTCCTTGAATGACTTGTTAGAGTAGATGTCATCACAGGTCTGCTAGAACGACTTGTTGGAGTAGGTGTCATCGCAGGCCTACATGAACGACTTGTTGGAGTAGGTGTCATCACAGGCATCTTTGAACGACTTGTTGGAGTAGGTGTCATCGCAGGCCTCATTGAACAACTTGTTGGAGTAGGTGTCATTACACACCTCCTTGAATGACTTGTTGGAGTAGGTGTCATTGCAGGTCTGCTAGAATGATTTGTTGGAGTACATGTTGTCACACATCTGCTTGAACACATTGTTTGTCAATGCAGGAACAAAGCATTAATATCTGTATTTTTGCTTATCTTATGATTAACTAGGTTTCAGTGCAAAAGTAAATCATGCAACATCATTTTACGCTATATCATACAGAAGCTGCCCTCATTGCCTATTATTAATTTTACATTATACTACATTGAAATCTATTTGTATGTATAGTGCTCACCATTTACTAATTATCACTGACACATCTCTTATTAATGTGATGCATCTCCTGTGTTACCCGCAATGAAGCGATGGTCATATATCAGATCAACCTTCTACATCATATATATTGGACTTCCTGTCTGACAGTGAATAGTCTTCCCAAGGTCTCTATTTAGTATGGTGGACCTCCTGTCTGACAGAGCATGGACTTCCCAAGGTCTGTAGTGGGTGAGATGGACCTTCTGCCTCATATAGAATAGACATCCCAAGGTCCCTACTAGGTGAGATGGACCTCCCGCCTCATATCAAATGGACTTCCCAAGGTCTGTACGGGGTGAGACGAACCTCCTGCCTCATATCAAATGGACTTCCCAAGGTCTGTACAGAGTGAGATGGACCTTCCGCCTCATATCAAATGGACTTCCCAAGGTCTGTACTAGGTAAGATGGACCTTCCGCCTCATATCAAATGGACATCCCAAGGTCCCTACTGGGTAAGATGAACCTCCCGCCTCATATCAAATGGACTTCCCAAGGTCTGTACTAGGTAAAACGGACCTTCCGCCTCATATCAAATGGACATCCCAAGGTCCCTACTGGGTGAGACAGACCTCCCGCCTCATATAGAATGAACTTCCCAAGGTCCCTACTAGGTGAGACGGACCTCCCGCCTCATGTCAAATGGACTTCCCAAGGTCGGTACTAGGTAAGACGGACCTCCCGCCTCATATCAAATGGACATCCCAAGGTCTGTACAGGGTGAGACGGACCTCCCACCTGATATCAAATGGACATCCCAAGGTACCTACTGGGTGAGACGGACCTCCTGCCTCATATTAAATGGCCTTTTCAAGCTCGGGATTTTTCATGCACCTCCCATCCTATGGTGATAGGACATCTCAAGGCCTTTATTTTGTACTGTGGACCTCCCATGTCCCACAAAGTGCCCACATATATTGTAAACACACAATCTCGCAGATAAATCTCATGATATATTGACAAGTCCCAAACTGGGTCATAGTATCGGAGATAATCCAAATTTAACTACCTAAGTCTTATTCGTCATAGTACACTGGATCGTCAAAAAGCGCACCGACGTCATCAGGTGCATAGTCAATATAGCTTGGCCCCGCCTCCGCATGATGATGAGAGTACTTGCCACTTGGCCCAGCAACAGCATTAGTGAAAGTTCTGCCCAGTGTCGCTCGACCTGCATGCATCGACTGCTGAGGCATCCTACCTTCGTCAACAAACTCATCCTCCTCCTCAATGACATTATCTGCCCGTCGCACGAAGTCTTGCTGTCCCGCCCCTCGGGTGTGGGCTTGGTAGTGATAATGGTGGTTCTCATCCTCTTGGATGCTAAGGTCTTGATGGGAGGGCACCGCTAAAGGTTGAGAATGACCTGCGCGTTGCAACTGTGACCGATGTGCATGAGACGCCAGACGAGGAGGAAATCCAGCAGCAGGGGAGTAGTCGCGTGCATGCCCGCCAATAGAATTGCTCGCCCGTGGGACATATCCAATGGTCGGGGAGTAGCCGCGCGAATATCCAGTGCTCGGCGCGTTGCCTGATGGAAGCCGCGAAGGAGGGATAACAGAGGGCGGCCTGATACCTCGAGTATGAGAGTCAGATCGGTGCGCCTCTCGCTTTGGCAAGGGCGCGGCATGGCGCTTGGGCAACTGGCCTTGATAACGAGTGGCAGCTCTATTGTTGATGCCAGCATGCACGCTGTCAGCACTGCTGTATCCTTCGAGCTCATCCTCGTACTGCCTTCTACTGCGAGGGGCAACGTGACCGTGGGGAGATGCAGCATGCTGTAAAGGGAGGCGTGTTGTGGCCCCGCGGATGTCCCTGACGACAGGAATAACTTCTTGGACCTCGTCTGATTGAACATCTTCATTGATGTCTAGTTCCCGGCGACGCTTGTGAACTTGATTTGTACCGCCGACCTTTGTTGCAGAAGGAGCCTTGGTACCGGCTGACTTGGACTTGGAATGCTTGCTCTGCAGCGGCGGCGGCGATGGTGGTGGCGGCAGTGCCTCCTGGTCCTCCTCCTCCTCCTCACTCTCGGAGTTCGAATCAAGCTCAGGCTTGGTCGCTAAACATCCAGGCACCTTCAGCGAATCCTTTGCATCGCGCACGAGCCGGAGCCTGGTGCCCTCAGCATCGATGACAAGTGGGATGAGTGCGTGGCGTGGATCGAGCACCGACAACTCCATGTCATCTAGAAGAGACCTGTTAGACTAACATCGCAACATGGCGAGCATCAACTCACCCTCGTGCCATTTAACGATCTGCGGAATCTTGAGATTTGTGTGCCCATGCAGACGCTCCTCAATATAGCCCTCCGTAAGCATTTTCAGTTCATTAGTCTTCAAGTTCTTATAGTTGAAATCGGGTCCCGGCGCCGGTATGCATGCAGGCCAGTCTACGATGCAGAGACTATGTCGTGATGCGATTTTCAACCAATTCATCCAGTGGACGCGTACAACGGTGGGATCGTATTGTTCTGCGAGCATGTAATGTCAGCATGAGGCAGGTACACGAGTGAAAAGAATACATACGCAGAGTCTCTTGCATCATGCCGGTGAAGATACGCCGATAGCGATCACGAGGATTCTCCTTAACCTTCGCCTCGACAACGATGCTATGGCCAAACTTCGTTGGCAAGTTGAAGCCCTCCAAGCTAAAGTGAGATGACCTGGGTTGATCGTGAGCGATGAATGACAATGACACTAAACAAAAACTTACTTCAAGCTCGTAGTGAGGAAGTCGAGGAACGTGCGAACATCAAGTCCATTATCTTCGATGAGCTTCTTCACGGCCGGCGAACCACCAAAGATCGCAGACGTTTGACGTCCCGCGGTATCAGTTCCGACGTAGAGGATGGCCCCGATGACTTCCATGTCAGCAAGATTCCGATATGAAGCTGCCTGTTACTTGACCATCAGATGCAGAACAAAATAACGTCAGAATTCACATACCAAATCTGTGAACTGGTCCTTTGCACTCATCATCCGTGCCGTGATAGACTTCATAGAGGTCGGCCTGACATTCGCATCGTCGAACTCGCGATCATCGCACATGACATGAATCGACTTAATGACTGCCTCCCATCCATCCTCGTCGTCAGGGTCAACATTCTTGAACAGCTTCTTGTAAGCTACGTCGATCATCTTCAAGTAATCTGTGGAGCTGACTTCGAGTTTGTCAGTACAACCATGCTCATGTAATATGAATGCAATACATACCGTCCTTCATCTTTGGATGCTTCCGAGAGTACCAACGACGGTATATGTTGGCGGGGTTCGCAGCGCGAGAGGGTTTAAAACTGAGACCGGCATGCACAAGAATATCACGAGTACTCTTCCCATACTTGCGACCAATATTCGCCGCCATCTTCAAGATGTTCTCCCCAAGCTCAGCGGCTTGCTCTCTGGCCTCCTTCGACAACGGTCCCGGAGTCTTTAGCCAATTGTCTGCTGCACGCACTTCACTGTCATCAGCCTGAGGTGATGCGGCACGGTCCTTTCCCCTCTTCTGGATGTTACTGCTCATCTTTGGTCGATGCACGGACACGGCCGGGTCAGAGGTCACCTCATCTTGCAATTCTGCATCATCCTCGTCGTCTTCTGTCTCCGTATCGACATTGTCAGCACGACGTCTGAGACTCTTGCTGCGCCGAAGCATTTCCTGATCCCTAGTCTTAGCGTAGTCACTCCCTGAAGGGTCTGACTCATCGTGCTCTGCAATCTGAGTCAGCGAACATCACCAGCATATCAAAATGAACTTACCCTCGTTACAACTTTCTGAACATCACTCCTGTCCGACGTTGTTGCCCTCCCGATCGAGCACCTGGCGAACATCGCCATCAGTGGAAGTGTCGATGCCCATGACATCAGTAACGGCAGCCACGTCTTCGTGCATGATGACATCGAACTCTACGCCTAGCTCGTCGTCACTGGGTGCATCTTCCTCATTATCGTCACTGAGGATGGCTGGCATGTCAACGCCTGCGTTCACGCTACCAATGGGTACGTCGCTGTCAGCATGCTCCTCCATTCCCTCAGACGGCGGCCGCACGAGTGGCGGCACCATATCCGTCACCAGATCACATCGAGTCCTCTTCGACCGAGGCAGTGCGACATCCTGAAAAATTAACAGGCCATTCAATAGCTGTCAGTACAATAGAATGAAATATACGCTGGACCGACGTACCTCCAGATCGTCACTGTTGACCTCTTCTACTGTTGAATGTGTCGTTTGGACGGTGCTCTTCCTCGGAGGTTGCTTCCGATTATTCGACACATCCGCGGGAACATCCTGCAGGATAGCGGAGAGTGGAGTGTTAGTTGAAGTACCAAAAAAAACATTTTGAAGTACCTCGTCAGCGGCGTCATGCTCGTCAGCATCAACGTTGCCAGCTGGTGCCTTGCACCGGGCACACTTCTTCCCCTTCCCCTTCGGTTTTGGCTTAGGCCTCAGTTTGGGTGGAACCTGCAAATTAAATGTTAGAAACTGATCCTATTGAGGATAGGCATGACTAACCTGACTCTCATCCTCGTCATGAGATACATGGATATCATCGACTGCCAGGGAAGCACGCTTCTTTGCGCTCGCCCTGCAAGGTAGAGGAGGGAGAGCTTCTGAAGCGACCTTGTCGGGCTTTGACTGAGACCTCAGAGTGCGAGGTTCAATGACATCTGGAGGACCGGTGTCTTTCCTCCGAGCCATATTGCAGGTTGTCTGCGAGGGAAGGTGATTAGACAGACATGCGCGAACACGCCGAGGATGGGATGGTACAGAGGATGTGAGCGAAGGTAACTTACCAGACAATGCTCACGTTTTGAGGACGTCGGACGACGACAATACAGTTGCTGAGAGATCTGTCTGTTCAGATTACTGAAAAAAGATCAGACTCATCAGAAAACAAAGTGCGGAAGTAGTACTCACGAATCGCTGTGGTGCTTTGTTGTCCCCTTGATATTCACGGGCCGTGGTGGGCTGCCAACAAGTGTATCACATATTCTACTACTCAGCAAAGTGGACCAAGCCCGGGGCCTGACCATGCACCTCATGCAGAGAAACGCACAGGCATCCCGAGCACAGGCCATGCCTTCGCAGAGGAAAACTGTCTGCGATGGCCGAGACTCATCGGGATCGGGGGTGCACATCTGCGGAGCGACGTTAGCAACGCGGGTGCTGTAAAAGTGCATAGACTATCCGCTCGTAGTGCGGAAACTGATGGATGGTCACATCCACTGCGAGTGGGTTGGGTTGGATACGGTGCACGAGGCACGATCCAGGCACACACGAATAAACTCAGCATCATGACCACTCACCGGGACGTGGAATAGCGTCGCCAAGCTTGCTGCATGTGTGAGCCAGCACACGTCACCCAGGTGAATGACACATTTCGAAAGGCTGCAAAGGTTTAGCGGCACAAGGCTCTGCATCCAGCACGTCGCTGGGTCAGTGTCTGCAGGAGGACGTCCTCGTCGTGTTCTGGCCCACATTGATGCATGCGAATCGGACGATGCAGCTGTTAAATGAGCAAAGAGAACCGTGAGGTGCACGCAAGATATGGGAAATAAATATAAGTACATACATAGTGACGGTGGAGTGTCAAGGAGAGCATGGACAGGGATAGAAACCTGGATAGAAATAATTGTAGATCGGACGAATCAGCTGGTAGACGAGCAAGGAGAACCGTAAGATGCATGCACGATATGAGATATAAAGAGAAATATGTACGTAGTGACGGTGGAGTGACAAGGAGAACACAAAGAGGGATAGACACTTGGATAAAGATGATTGCAGACTGAACGAGATGGACGAAACGATATGCACAGCAGGAAGACAGTAGATCGATGAGAGAAACTTGAAGTGGGAAGTCCTAAGTTTGAAAATGGGAAGTCCTGGTGGCAGGCTCTCAAACGTCGTACAGCCTTCAAGTTCATAGTATGTATGAGTCCTCCATTTGCGCGTACTCTATCATCTGGCTACCTGTCATCCACTACGCAATCTCTATCACATACCGATTCCCTCGACAACGTCTCCGTCAAGGTGCGACTTGGCCCTCTCCTTGCTTTCTGACTATCCCGCCCTGGTTAGTTGACTCGCGCAGTGGATAGAAGAAGTGCGCTCCATCCATCCCCGTCATCCTCGTCGGCTGCAAATCCGACTTCCGCCAACCAGAAAGTACGTCCATCTCCTCTTCATCAACCTCACTCTCACACTCCCTCTCATCCTCGCCCATCTACCCTCCACTTGCCACTCATTACCTCCCACCCTACTAATGCCGAACCTACCCAGACTTCCCCCAAGCTTCCTCCCCCGCCTTCGTCTGGTGCACTGATGCCGAGCGCGTCGCCCCGGATATCCGCGCGCCCACCTACAAAGAATGCAGTGTGCTGTGGGTCGAGTTGAGGGCGTCGATGACGTGTTCGATGCCATGACATGCGCGAGCATGCTCATGCGCGAGGGCGTCCCTGTGCACGTCCCCGCCGCCCACCATGAGCGTGGCTGCTGCGTGGTGTGCTAGCCGCGGTGCCTGGTTCTGGCGGTGTAGATTTACGGAGTGATAGTTTTTGTTAATTGAGTGTGTATACATGGACGGATGCTCGAGTATGATGAGTATGACATGTACGTACGGTATCTTGCACAGTTTCAGCTACTATTCTACATTCCCGGCAGACTCGCACTTCTGTCTCATCTCGTACCGTCTCCTCTGGATCCCTCCATGTATACTAAATAACGTGCAGTACTGACCACAACTATGCATCGCGTCGTTCGCTTTCTCAGCAGTTTGGCGGTGTGGCTGGATGGGTGAATGATGAGTTTCGAGAGGTTGACCCCGCAAGGCTTTGTGTCCGGCACGTCGCTGGGCCCGTGTCTGCAGGAGGACGTCCTCAATGTGCTCTGGCCCACATCGTTGCATGCAAATCGGATGATGCGGCTGGTAGAGGAGCAAACAGAACCATGAGGCGCACACAAGATATGGGAAATGAAGATAAGTACATACATCGTGACACGATGGAGTGATGAACACAACACAGAGAGGTATAGAAATGATTGCAGCCTGAACGAGATGGACGAGATGATACGCACTGCAGCAGGAGGATAGTAGATCGATGGGGTATTGTGGAAAGAAATTTGTAGTGGGAAGTCCTAAGTCCGAAAATGGGAAGTCCTGTTGGCAGGCTCTCAAACGTCGTACAGCCTTCAAAGCTTCAAGTTCGTATGTACAAGTACTCCTCTGTTTGCTAGCACTCCACCATCCACCGGTTATCCACGATGCAGTCTCCGTCAAATAGCTGCGCTCAGTCTCATTTCGCCGGCGCATGGCCCAGTGCGCAGACACCTTTCTGCCTCATGTTACTTTGCCTGACCTTTCTCCTTCTGCAGCATGTCTCTTCTGTTGACCAAGATAGAAGGCACTGGCAACGGCATCAAGACTGTCATACCCAACATGTCTGACGTCGCCCGCGCGCTAAGCCAACTGCCCATGTACCCTACCAAGTTCTTCGCCTGCGAAGTTGGCGCGCAGACGTCGTTCGACGAGAAGAACGATGGCTACATTGTTAATGGTGCGCATGATGTAACCAAGCTGCGCGAGCTTCTGGACGGGTTCATCGACAAGTTCGTGCTGTGCAAGTCATGCAAGACCCCCCAGACGGATCTCATCATCACCAAGAACGACGAGATCATCCATGACTGCAAGGCGTGTGGCGAGTGCACTGGCGTCGACATACGCTACAAGCCGACGACGTTCATTCTCAAAAACCCGCCCAAGGCCAGCTCAAAGAAGAGCAAGGGAATGAAACAGGCCAGCGGCGATGGCAGCCCGAGCCTTAGCGCTAACAGCGATGGCCATAAGAACGGTGATGCTGCAGATGAGGCAGACGTTGCTCCTTTGGTGCGAACTCAGGATGTCCTGCTTGAGGGCATCATACAGATCGCGTATGCTGCCCGCGAAATCTTTCGGTATGTCGCAATACGTAGTTCTGACGTTCGTGTTTTGACCGCGCTGAAACACCTCATACAATCCATCTCGTTTCCAGGGCACACGCCGTTCTAACTTGGCGAATGCTAGCCCGCACTTACAGGCACCAAACGGCTTCGACTAGTGTAGTCACTCACCGCGATTGGCTATTCCGAGCGCGAAGACTCAGCAAGGTAATCCCCCCTGTTTTCAAGCCCACAGACACTCGCTGAATTGTTCGCGTTCACAGCTCATCGCCCAATCCGTCCCTATGTCTTTCCGCCGGCCAACTGCTTACTATCGATGGTTGAGCTCATCGGCAGATCGGCCTTCCTCTCATTCGATATCCCCTCAGAAAACACCCCCCTCGCACGTCCACCTGATTCAACCTTCCGATGTTTCCTGCAAGCGGCGACCTCGCAGCACAAAACATCTCCATCTGCCTGGGCCGGAGCGATTGGTGACGCTTCCTGGACGCCTCAACTTCACGCAGTCAGATCCATCCTGGGGTCGCGCAGAAGGTCCTGAAATTCGATCTTCATGCCCTCTACAATGAGCACCCCACTCTGATGACCCATTCACGCTCCCCACCAACTTTGCATCCATCCCTGACCCTCCCGAGGCTGCCACTTTTGACGGGCTGTATACCTCTTACGTCGAAGAGGATCCAGGTGTTCGATCTGGGCGAGATCGGCAGAAGAAGGCGCGGCAGTGGAAGAGGTGGGCAACAGAGGTCATCCCATCATTACTGCACCCCCATATGGAGCTCCTTCAATGATCGGACTATTTGCGTGAATCCGTTAACCAGGAGAAGACATGCACTTGTGGTGGCGAGCACGTGCGAACTCTTCAAGTCGTCTGTGTATACTTTGAACGTAAGTAGCAATTTTTTTTCTTCTGTTTCGTCGCAACCCTCAGGCACTCACATGGCCTCGTTTTAGGTCTACGACATATCACCATCCACGTTTGCCAGTGCTCGCCCGCTGCCCTTCAACTTCTATCTCGCGGCCTTTTCCCATGTGCCCCTCAAGCTCTGACTTTGGCAGTCGACCTCTCCCTGCTCAAGTTTGTTCAAGAACTTTTCGTGCGGCTGCCGCCTAACACAACATCCTTCTGCGCCACGCTGGAGTACTTCCTTGGTGAACGCGGATACAAACTGACTACACGGGTATGTATTTTGCCCTACGTGAACATTCATGCACTCATTCAGACATTTTAGGACTCGTTACATCGGCGCTTCGGCAATGCCCTCCTCTAGTATTCGAATCTCGTCAACGCCACTGATCGGCACGTTCAAAGCATTCTGGAATGAGCACGGCCTCCCCCGCTGTGTGACGCTTCAACTCCCCCTGCCGCCGAGTGGGCCGAACGTGAGTATCTGCTAGACCTCCCCATCTGCGAGGTAAAACTGACTTGAAACCCAGCAGGGCTCCCCGCTTTCCAAGTGTCTAATGATGCAGAAGAGGGGATCGAACCTGATCCCAAAAATGTGCAGCAACCGGAAGGGACTCCTTCCAGCGGTGCATCTCATGGCGAGAGACCGAGCGAGTATCTACGCGCTCGTTGTCCTCTGTGCTTCGGCGGAACGACATGCAGTAGTGAGGATGGCATGTGAGTATTATTTGTTAATGCTTCCATGTCTATCAAACTAACATTCGTCAACATCAGACCTGATATCATCGTCTGCATTGATGCATGCTTTACGCAGAAGCGGAGGAAGGGCCAGGGAGGTGGGCGCGATGATCCTCGTCATGCGCGAGAGTCTGTTTTTGTGCCTGAGTCGGATGTCAAGGACATGGAGTCATACGTCGAGAGCCTTCGACCCAGTTCGGACAACAGGCCACATCATACACAACCCACAGTGGAGGAGGAGGACGAGTATGAGCCTGGTCTCAAGCTGCCAAGATCAGTTCTCGATGGCTGCCACGAGTCTTTCCTAGCAGCAGATGAGAAACGTCAGAAGGCAAGTATGCAACTCTTCGCTGACACGGGTCTCATGGCGCTGCTGTGCCATCATGACCGTGTGCTTTGGTTGGTCAACATGACCTCTGCGGGCGAGAAGCAGTACTACGCCCTTACGCTTATCCGCCGACTCTTCGACAATCTCCCTGCTTCCATGACTGTCGGCATACTGTAAGATATCGGCTGTCAACTCCACCGAAGCTGCATCAAATTTGGCTTTCTCCACGATGTCATCGACCGCATCACGTTCGCGATATCAATATTCCATGCATATGGGCACCAGTGGCCATGCCAGCTGATATATCATCCACAGAAGGGAATCGGGTTTGGGTTGACGGATGGCGAGAGCTGCGAGAGGTTCTGGAGTGCGATTCGGAAGCTCATCCCATCGTTACGGGTGTCCAGAGTGAGTCCTCATTTTTCTACTTTGATGAATTTTGTCTTCTGACGGACATTGTCAGTACCATCAGCGTCTTTTCGTTCTCGACACGCAGGTCAAACATCTTGATGAAGAGTCGATGTCCGGGCTTGGGCATTGGCTTTTCAGGAAGTGGAGTGTATGCCAGTCGAAGAAGTGTGCTGCCATTGATGCACTTCAAATGCTTGGCATCGAGGAAGATGTCTTACGGGCTGAGTGGGTAGCACAGGTTGAAGAACAGATGAAACCGGCACCGCGTGCATTATGACTTCTCTGCGGTTGTTCTGAGTGGCTAACTACATGTAACAGGTCGTTCGCGCGACAAGGGCAAGCGCGCTATTGAAACGGTGCTTGCACTGCAGAAGACACTTGTTGCCTACCAGGAGAACATCCGTGATCTCGAACTCAAACTTCTGGCTGACAATGACGTCCTCGACACCCAAGAAATAGACTTGCAGCTCGTTGATGCCAGGTCAAAGAGTGCACGGATCGCTTCCGCTCTAGAACACAAGAAAGCAGCGCTTGGCATAGGTGAACGTGCGCAGCTCGTGCGACTTGCACGCAATGTTTTCCTGAGGATCCGAATGAATGCGCGTGCCATCAAGCATCGGATCCGTGATCACCTTCATCAGTGCAAGTTCGAACTCGAACGTCTCGAGCGTTCGTATCGCCAGACAATCAACAGTATGTCTCTTTCTTTCTTTTAGGCTTCGTTGTTGATGCCTTTGAGCTTGTAGACAACAAGCTTAGCACACATGCTGAGTCATCCATCAAGCGTCGTGAACCCAGTATTCTGAAGCTCGCGAAGACGTACAATGATTTATGTATGCAGATGTCAACGTTAATTCGACAGCGCAAGGCTCCGCGGTTTGCTATTGTACCACCTCCCATTCAGAGCAATGGCCTCTTCAAGCTTGACGTTGACGACGACATTTGGCAGGATGTTGGGCTGGATGATGATGTGGACACTGATGCAGTTCCTCGATGGCTCGGAGATGAAACGGTGCGTGAGGGTATCAAGATGCGTTTGCTCTTAGATCGTTGTATTGAGGAGGAGAGCCGATTGCAACGAGAGCGTTGTGCATTGCAAGAATGGTTTCAAGAGGAGTGGTTGACCCTGCAGAAGGCCTGTGTCGATGCAGGTATGTTGTTGTTATTCTTATGCTTCTACAGTTCTGATGTCTGAATAGATAATGACATTGACCTTCTCTATCTTCTTCATCGCCGTCGTGATCGTTTATCTCGCTTATGTGTGACTTGGCAGTCTCAAGTCCATGCGATTCTCTGTTTGACCCCTATGAGTTCATCATGGGGCCCTTCAGAGCAGGAGCTGAGAGATGCTGCTGTATATCAGGTGACAGGCAAGTGGGATAAGGATGAGAGCTTGATGGCACAATATAATCCAGGTGAGAATCAGGATGATGATGAGGAACGGGTAAGCTTTGATCCACCTACTGATTCTGAAGATGATGGAGAGTTGGTGGATGCAGCAGAGGTGGTGGCCTTTAATGATGCATATCATGAGCTCTTAGCTAACCCTGATCTTGATACACTTCTGCTGGACAGTAGTATTGTGGATGATACTAAACTCTTACCAGTCTCTCCTAGTAGGTACACTCCTCGCAAGCGAGCTCTTTTGATAGTTTAGTCCAAATACATCACACTTGTACTTTTCTAAATATGTTGCTACTAACTAGGTCCATCTTACCAAGTGCAGACCTTGGGATGTCCATTCCATATGAGGCGGGAGGTCCGTCTCACCCAGTAGAGACCTTGGGATGTCCATTCCATATGAGGCGGGAGGTCCGTCTCACCCAGTAGAGACCTTGTGATGTCCATTCCATATGAGGCAGGAGGTCCGTCTCACCCAGTAGAGACCTTGTGATGTCCATTCCATATGAGGCGGGAGGTCCGTCTCACCCAGCAGTGACCTTGGGATGTCCATTTCATATGAGGCGGGAGGTCCGTCTCACTCAGCAGCGACCTTGGGATATCCATTTGATATGAGGTGAGAGGTCTGTCTCACCCAGTAGGGACCTTGGGATGTCCATTTGATATGAGGCGGGAGGTCCCTCTCACCTAGTACTGACCTTGGGAAGTCCATTTGATATGAGGCGGGAGGTCCGTCTCACTCTGTACAGACCTTGGGATGTCCATTTGAGATGAGGCCAGAGGTCTGTCTCACCCAGTAGGGCCCTAGGGATGTCCATTCTATATGAGGTGGGAGGTCCGTCTCACTCTGTACAGACCTTGGGAAGTCCATGCTCTGTCAGACAGGAGGTCCAATATATATAACATAGAAGGTTCATCTGATACATGATCATAGATTCATTGCATGTAAGACAGAAGATGCACTACATTAATACGAGATGCATCAGTGATAAGTAGTACATGGTGAGCACTATACGTACAAATGGATTTCGATATATGATAATGTAAAATTAATAGTAGGCAATGAGGGCAACTTCTGTATGATATAGCATCTTTTGCACTGATATCTAATTAATTATAAGATAACTATAAATACAGATATTAATGCTTTGTTCCTGCATTGACAAACAATGTGTTCAAGCAGACGTGTAATGACATGTACTCCAACAAGTTGTTCTAATAGGCCTGCGATGACATCTACTCCAACAAGTCGTTCAGGCAGACCTGCAATGACACCTACTCTAACAAGTCATTCTAGCAGACCTGCGATGACACCTACTTCAACAAGTCGTTCAAAGAGCCTTGCGATGACACCTACTCTAACAAGTCATTCAAGCAGACCTGCAATGACACCTACTCCAATAAGTTGTTCTAATAGGCCTGTGATGACACCTACTCCAACAAGTCGTGCAGATGTGAGAAGAGACCTATATACCACAATTAGATGCAAATATATATGTGTAAAATTCTGAATTTGCATTCACAGCTGCACAAATATAGCTCTAGAATGCACAGTAAGAAGAAGACAAGTAGCATAAGACCTACAGTACAATAAGGTATAAGCTAGGAATTGAAAAATACCAGACTATAGGAGGTCCAGAATCCCCCCTGATACCCTTTAACCAGTAATAATGCAAGGGAGGTCCATGGGAGAACCTAGACAACAGGAAAGATATAGAGCCCATGGGCCCTTTCAGATAGTACCCTCAAGTAGCTCCCACTTCAGGACCTTCTCAGCTGTGAGATGTCCCACAGGACCAGTGGGCCATGCACTAATCCCATGGGCAGACCACCCCCTGGGAGGCTCTTAGCCACAACAAACAGTAGATTATATTGAGGCTAAGAGCTAGGGATAGGAGGTACCCTGAAGTGCATATTCACCATAGTCGAGTCCGGGGCGTTGTTTGCTGCCATCACCTTAGTCATGCTCATCTTGTACCTCGTCGGCAGTCCATTGGCACTGACCGGCATGGATATATCCACGCAGCTCGCGGTACGAATTGTTTTCCATCCTTGTCATAATATTTCTCATCTTTTGAGGGCTTATAGGTTATGACTCCACTCCTAATCATTGTACGTGTTGGGCTCGGCCTCACACATGGTCTGCCCTCCATGTATAAGATATTCCTGAACACCACCGGCCAGATGACCTTCAGTGAGCGGTTGCGCAGCTCTCGCGGTGTAACTGGCAGCGCGATTCAGATCTCCACCATTCGCGACGTGGTCTCTACCGAAGACACCCAGTCAGTCCTGGGCGACTATGCTCTGCAGGAGTTCAAGATTTCCGGTGGTTTCAATCAGTCCGTAGAATCGCAGGTGAAGTTCGCACCAGGAGAGGGCCTCGCTTGATGTCATCATTCCGCTGTCGTTGTTATCGGACTGTGTTCTTGTTTCTGGATGCTTTTTAGAATGGCAGCGCATTGAAACTTGATGATACGGGCTCCGTAGATTTTTTAATACTATGTAGCATGATTTTGCAATCTGTTCCTTTGGGCTCCGCATGACGGATAAGTCTAATTTGGATCCTGAGAAGGTCTACTAGGATGGTCGTACCCTTTGCCAGAAGTTACGAACACACGTAATTTGTGCATTGAGGAAAGTCCTCAATGAGTAGGGCCCGCCATACAAAGTGACCGTCATATGCGGAGTGCCATGAATATTGGTACTAATCTGTACCCGAGACCGCTCTGTGTCGTGTGAAATGGAACACTCCCAAAACTAGGGAAGAAGCTAATGGCACCATTTCTCTCATCTCCTCAAACGCTTTATAACGGGTAGTCGCAAACGCATGCCAAGAAAGAGGCCGCCTGTGGAAGAGTTCTTGAGTAGGAGGCTACATAACGATGTGAACTCGGGTAGGAAACATCTCCAGGTCATGTTGAAGTCGCCACCTCTCAGATCTCAACTACTTGGGCCAGGGGGTCGCAACACTCAAATAAGGCAAAATAAATGCATTGGAATAAAACAAACATCTCTGCGAAGGTAATAATATTCATAGACCATACGAAAAAGTATATGCGAATAACGAAAAGTGCTTTTCAGATTAACGGGGACGAATCACGCATATCGAGAGGACAACCATGAGCAACAACTTGGATGAACATCACCGCAACTGACAGCATACGAATAATAGTAAGTCACCACATCAGACAAGAAATGAACATGGACGACAGCATTGCTGAGGCTTGTGGACTTCGACTCAAGCTCTGTAAATGGAATAGAACCCTATTAGGGAACGTCTTTGTTTAAAAATGGAAGGCTGGTCAAACTCACAAGCTTCCGACCCAGTCGGCAACCTCTCGAAGTGTGTTGGTTCGTTCAGGCTCATGCCAAGAAGCAGTGAAAAAATCATGCGTTGCATCTGGCGTTTCAATATACGTGACATCGCGTGTGCCCATGTCCTCCTGCATTCTATCTCTAAGCGTGCGCATCGGATCGAGGGTCATCTCAGCGCCACCAGCTACAATGCATGTCTTCGGAAGCCCAGCATACATACCTGGTGTCACCTTCAGCTGGAGTGACGCCGGGGAAATCCAGGGACTGGTGGCAGCGGAAGAAGAAGGCAGAGTTCCCAGGAGGGCATTCTTCGAATACTCGCTCGTAAAGATGGCGTGAACGAAGTCTGAACGAGTATTCTTCCACATAGAGGAATTAGGTCCCACGTGAGTGACAGCCCAGTCAACTGTCGGAGAAAGGAGGAGCAGTCCTCCAGGAACAGGTAGGTTGGGTAGCTCGTGTATGGCGAGATAGCGTGCGAGGACGAAGGCGAGATGACCTCCTGCAGAATCACCGCTAATGATGACATTGGAGGGCAAGAATCCAAGTGTTTCAACCAGATATCGATAACCTGCGACTGCATCGATTAATGCAGCTGGGAATGGGTTCGATGCGCTGAAGGGAGGGGCTGATGATATCTGATATTCGACGGTGAAGATGCGAGGGTTGTGGGGAAAGAACTCCAGGAAGCCCTTGAAGCACGTTATCATGGACAAATTTGACGGATGCACTGAGCTCATCTGTAGAACGAGCTTTAGCCACTTTCATAGCCCAAGGTACAAAAACAGTGGTATGCTTGCGACATAGCCGCCACCTGAACGACATAATATAACATCAGCAACAGAATTGTCACCACGCAGATGCCAACGCTTACCGTGCAGGTGATAGATGACTTTCTCGCCAGGTGATGCCTTCCGTCCTGCCTCACCCGACGCTGTGGGACCATACCAGAAACCGCCAGTCCTACAAGCCTCAACACTGTTCGCGTCTGCAATTTCGCGTATCTCACCCAACACAAAATCGGGTGCAGCCTCAACCCAAACGAATCCCAGAGACTGCGCAGACAATGCAGCTTTCTCGAGAGATTCAGACCCCATGAGAGTGGTGCTGTACATGATGTCCAAGAAGGCGCGATATCCAGAGACGATGAGCACCCTTCCCAGACTCCAGGAGGGTCGGGGGCGCCAGGAAGGGATCAGATTGGCGAGAGTCCATAAGGGCAATCGGACGAGGAGGAGGATGAGAATGTTCCCAACGAGATAGATAGAGTGAAGAGGCTGGTGGCGAAAGGCAAAGGGCATTGTTGTGGTGAAAAGGATGGGCTGCAGCAAAGAGGATCGTTGTGTAATTCCCACCAACGGCACACTGTACGTTATAAGACTCTGCAAGGACATGCGTGGCCTGCACAGGCTGCAAGGGCGCCTTCTCCACCTTCTGGAAGCATGCTGACAGAGGCTTCCATGACAAGATGCCATGAAGTAGTTATTCTTGAATTGCTTGGAATTTGGGCCTCCTGGACATTTTCATTATGGGTGATCGGGGAACTGCAGACGGAGCGGTGCGCAATCACATCTGTCTCTTCGAGTTCTGGAAAATTGGCTTGAGCACAAGAATAGCAGAAAGCCTCACAGTGTCATGTCAGGGCCCAATCAGATTCTGCGAACTTAGATACGCTGCTAGAAGGAACAAACATAAGGCATAAGTACCCAAGCAAGCGCCATCGTGACAGATCTTCGTACAGCGCCGCAATGCTCAGTGAGCGCGCGAACGTGACCCACCCGTGACCAAGTGTGACAACCTGACCCAAAGTCTCCAGATGCATTTGGGGCGATCGACTCAAGATGGGTGGAGATTCGGCTATCCGGGGAACTCCGCTCAGTCACGGTTGTAGGCAGGACCCCTGGCAATTGGGGAGGATCCCTGAGCCGATTTCGGACAAAATTTAGACTTTCGAGAGCCTCATGCCTGGTTTTTCACGGACAAATCAAGGGGTTGACCACCATATAGCCTGAGCCATTTCGCGGACATCGGAAGGCTGAACCTGGGGGGCCTGATCCGGGACCGGACAAATGCTCGTGAAATCCTGGAGGCGCCTCGAAGGAGGGCGGAAGGGGGCGGCGGCTTCGCCGCCTTCCCGAAAGCGCCCAAAATTTCTTTTTTTGGGGCCGAACGCGACGCCATGCCTGAGGTAAAACGCGGACATGGACCGAAAAATTGGGGGTGATGCCTCATTTTTTGCGGACATTTTGGGTCAAAAATGGCACTTTCCTAACGGACATTTTTGGCCTCTCAGGATCAGGCATCTTGGCCAATTGCCAGGGGTCCTGTTGTAGGTGGTTCGGGCGTCTACAGGGCGTTTAGCAGACTGGAACACAAAATCTAGAAAAGTCGTCTCTAAATCAACCGCGTTACGGAAAGTCACCCAATGACACCATCACTTCTCATCGACAGCGTGCACTAGGCGAAGCTTTTGCATCACGCCCGTATCAAGAATACCCGTGTAGTAAGTGTGCCTACTACATAAACAGACAGTACTCGATCTCCTCTCGCACAGGCTGCAGGCAGACGAGCGCCCAACGGTTCTTCACATACGTATTCGACTTCATGGCTCGCAGTGGAAGGCTACAGGTGCTACTTTCTAACGTCAAAGAACTTTGTTTATGTTGGAGGTCGAAAAGGTCACTGCAGGCCACACGAAATCACATACCTGCGCGTCTGCCGTGCGGGTGATTTCTCCCGCGAAGCGTTAACGAATGCCAAGGAAGGGATGCGGTCGCGCGGAGACTTAGAAATTTCGCCGCGTACGTCGGTCCGGGAGAGAGAGCACTGAGTTGGCAACTCAGTGCAGTACTTAGTCGGGCCGATCGGCGCTCTACTAGGGCTTGGTCACGTCTCCTTTCCGATTTTAAATCTCTTATAGGCATCAGCCGGACCTTCCGGTGGGTAAGTACTGAGCATACATTCCGTCACCTTGGAAGAAAGTACTCTAATACGCGACGTCTCTGTCCCCGATATTGCACGGTATGCTGGTGGGTGCGCCGCCCGGTGCGTGTGCACAAGTGCGCTCTCGATGGGCTGACTGATTAACACCACAGTAGGTCGGTAGGTAGGTTACCATTAGTCCCATTCACGAAATTCGGGTTTGGAAAGGAAGAACTTGATTCACATCCGATCTAGCGTTTCCTGTTTCGGGGTTTTTCTGTGACGCATGCGGTGTCAACATGTCCCTCACTGCGGTATCAGGTTCAAAGTTGGTACGGATACATTTGTCGACTTCTTTTAGGGTGCTTGTTCACATCATCTCAACCTGACAGATGGACCTCTCGTTCCGAGAATCGAGATGTATTCGAAAATACCGCGGTCGCCGGTGTGATGATACGTGCCTGACATGGCGTTGGTCTAGTGAGGCCTCAGCAACTGGATTATGAGGGCTCCTTGGGCGATACTTAAGAGTCCGCAGGGGTCAGAATCACTCTGCGCTCAAATGTCTGTTCAATTCCGCCTTCCAGAGACGTTGAACAACTGGCCTTGGCCGAGGGATATTAACCCTTACTATGAAGAGGTCAAGGCAGAATCAGCAGTTTGGTTCAGGTCGTTCCAAGCGTTCTCGCCGGAACGTCAGAGCGCATTTGACCGTTGTGATTTCAGTAAGTGAATAAATTGTTTGTCCCTCTTCCTCGTCTAACTTCCGTACTCCTATAGGCCTCTTAGCATCCTTGGCTTATCCGACTGCGAGCAGAGGTGATTTTGATAATGTGCTGCTGCCACGAACTCAATATAGATATTCCACGCAGAACACCTCAGGACCGGGTGCGATATAATGAATTTATTCTTTGTTTTTGACGAGTACACCGACCAAGAAGATGCGAAGGAGGTCAAAGTTCTTGCTGATATTGTGATTGATGCCATGCACAATCCTCACAAGCCCCGTCCTGACGGTGAAAATATACTGGGAGAGATTTCTCGCCAGTAAGTCACAGACAGTTTATATCTTTGATTAATGCTGTATCTTACACTCCGGAAGGTTTTGGGAGCTTGCAATTGTCACCGCGAGTCCGACATCTCAGCGACGCATCATTGACAAGTTTACCTGCTTCACTGCATCTGTAGTAGAGCAGGCTGAAGATCGTGAACGGAATTACAAGCGTAGCATAGCCGACTATCTTAACATTCGTCGTAAAACTATTGGAGCTGAGCCCTCTTACGCAATTTTGGAGCTGGGTATGGATCTCCCCGACGAGATGTTTTACCACCTTATCGTCGTCCGGCTTTCTGCGGTCACCACGGATTTGATCATTGTCGGTAACGTAGGTGCATGGCTCTCTCTGCTGTGATCATGACTATTTACCATTCATGCTATGTAGGACTTGTGTTCGTTCAACAAAGAGCAAGCAATGGGAGATGATCTGCACAATATCATCTCCATAGTTATGCACGACCTGCATATCGACCTGGACGCTGCGATGCTCTGGGTTGAAGCTTTCCATCGAGAACTAGTCGACCACTTTTTCGAGTGCTGGGCGGAAGTCAAGGAACTTACCTGGAGTGCTGAGGTGGACACCTATGCTACTGAGTACTTGCGAGGACTTGCTAATTGGGTCCGAGCAAATGATTGCTGGAATTTCGAGAGCGGGCGGTATTTCGGGAGAAAAGGAAAGGAAATCCAGATCTACAGAATGGTGACTTTGTTGCCACGCTAGGCGTAGATGATATTGGTATGAAATCTGTATGACGTCAGTAAAAGTCTTTCTAGGCTGTAGTTTACCGCCAAACTCTATAGACAGCCGTAGTACATGGTAGCTCAATGTGGTCACCTACACCGCCATTCTGACGAGAGACCGGAAGGAGATCAGGGCGCAAATATCCGACGAGATTGCCCTTGATATCTGCAGAAATAGCGTTGAGATCAAGCAGCAATAAAAACGTCAAATCCTGTAAATGTCATGGGAGAGTGAGATCCACTTGCGCTCAGCGCTGAGATCAACAGGAGATCAGTGGTTCGAGCGCCGAGGTATCGTAGCCTGCTCTCTAGCAGAGCTCATGGACAATCTTACTGAGAGATCTCCATGTAAGTCTCTGGATAGCAATGTACCATTTCACTCAATTCAACACCGGGTGTGACACTTGACACGAAGAGGCCGGTATACTGTTTATTTTAGAAATACAAGATTACAAGTACAAACGGAGACGACGTTAGCCTCAGCATTCGCGTACCAGTAGATCTAGCGTGACTCTCATGGACACTCAAATATAATTGATCCCAAAGCGTCTATCACCAACGTGGATTATCGTGATTTATTCCAGTCACTGTTCCTGTGACTTTCGCAGCAGCATCCTGAACGCTCCATCCAAAATGATTCCCATCTCCATTCTCGATTCCCAAACAGGCAGAATTATGCAGAAGATCCCACTGGTCGCGGCCCAAACGCTGATGTCAACTAGGGGTGAGTGGAAACGGAGAGACAGTCCCGGGCACCACTCACATAGTGCAGGCGACCCAGAACTTGTAGAAGTTCCCGCTGAACGTGTACTCCGTGAGGAATATAGGCAGCGGCACTACCTCCACGAAGTTAATCGTTGCAGACCGTCCGTTCGTTCAGACTTACCGATGATGCCGACGATTACTGTCAGCGCGAGGCAGTGCCACGCCGCCCGCTTGAAGACGCGCATGAGCTTAGCCCTGCTGGCGGCCCCCTTTGGCGGCTCCGCGACGACTGCACCCTCGTTCTCGTCACTGGACGAAGATTTGCTATCTTCGACGGCCGCCACCGCCTCTACCTCGTCATACACCGCGATCGCACGGGTTCCCGCGAAGTCGTAGTGGGCAGGCTCTAGGTCTGATCCGTTCAATTTATGCCAGTCGTTAAGTAGTTGATTGCGTGAGACGCACTCGCAAGAGACACGGATATCGTGACCAACCCGAAGAAAACGAGGCCCGTCAGCCCATCGGTGACGGCAGAGTACGGTTCTGCAAGGTTGGTCACGTTGATAGTGCCTTGGATAAACATCAGAACACGAGACCCAGTAGCAGTGCACACAAGCGGCATACCGGAAATCTTCCAGCAGGTGATCATCCAGGCCAACATACTTAGAATAGCGCCGGTAATAGTCCCGCATAGTATACCTGCGCGCGTGAGCTTGGACTAAGTTACAGTGAGTCCGATTGGGAACACGATCGGGCTGAGGACAAGACCTCTGGAAAAGGTCAGCGTAAAGTTTCATTTTCTATCGACAGGAAGGGGAACTCACAGCACATAGAACAGCTGGAAAAAACACCGATCTTAGCGGGTGCTAGAAGGAGAGGACGCCGCATACTCACCCAACCGGGATTGATGGTCGCGGCATTCAGCTACGCCCCCATGAACAGCTGAGAGGCGGAATGATAGATAGACCGTAGACGTACGATAGTTGCCCAAGCACCACACCACACGGCCCAAACACAGATGAAGTAGTGGGAGACACAGACGATATCTGCGCCAGTTGCGTTAGGGCGGTAGTAGGTCCTGTATAAGCTGTAAACGAGAAGAATTAGGCGTTCACCAGCTGGTGTCCAACACAGCGCACTAACTCGTACGCGCTACATGATGGGTCAGTCGAGGGACGCCGGAGGTACCAAGATAACTCACAAAAGGCTTGATACGCCAATCAGCTCTGCACTTAGAGCGGAGGTAACTGCCATGCTGCAGGAGCCTTTTGTGAGATACACAGCAGTTCAAAGTGGCAAGTTCTTACCAGATGACAAGCAGGATAAGAACGGCACCTCCCTTACCCATAACTACGGCAGCAGCAGCAGGCGCCGTCAAACCCGCACCTGTCTGAGCGGCGGACAGTGGATTCGGGTATGTTGGGAATTTTGGCTGGAATAGTGATCAGATAATGCCCTGCCGAGAGGGAAAAGGCCTCACGTCGTCAAGGAGCGCCCGCGTAGCCAGTCCGAGGCACGATGCAAATGCCCATGGAACGGCGAACCATGAAAGGGCTCAGAGCATCTAGGGATCTAGTCAGAAGGTGTACGAACGATGACCTTGAGAAGTCTCTCACATATGCCTTAGAGGTCGATTCGGGAGCACTTGCAATGGTCTAAAGAGAATGCATCAGACATAAGTCTAGCCAGCCACACGTAGGCCCTGATTTGACCGACGGCTCACTAGATTTTGGTATCTTAAAGTACGTCGTATAGTAACGTCGATAGGAGAAGCATGAACTGCCAGTGAGTCTGTTATCATCTATGCGCCATAAATGGGCCAAGCGAACTTCAAGCGAAAAACTGACGACATGCACGAGTTATCAAACAAACTGCAAACTCATATCACGAGTATTCTTCACGTCACAGCACTCTGAATTGAGGGTATGATGGATGCAAATGGTTGGAAAATCGACGCGTTCCGTGGGAAAGAATTTCCTTTGTCGGTCACGCGTGTACTCGGTGGCTTGGCCTCTGTCCGCCGAATCATCCTTCCTCAGGCCTTAGTTCTCGAGCAGTATGCGCGTAAAGATCGAAAGTGTTGCACCATTACCAACCGTGAAGGCATGGTACAGCGTACACTCTGTCTCATCAGTTTCGGAAATGAAAGCTAGGCTTTGCTCTGAGCTCCAACCCTTCCATGGCCGCGTTCGTGCACAAGACATCGTTCTCGTCTTGGAAGACTTCGAGCTTCTCGACTCCAGTCCGATAGATGTAGTTAGAGATGGAGACCTCATCGTGTAAGTTCTGACACTGGTCTGTTGCTTGCTATCGCCGATCGAAGGCTCTCATAGTCCTCTTTTCCACGGTTAACAGTGTCCGACACGTCCCAGCGGTATCCTTCCACAAGCGCAAGGCATCTACGGATGGTATGTGATAATTGCGTTATTCCTTTTCCTCCCTCATATGGCTGCAGAAGCAGGTCCCGTTCGGAAGCGGTCGAAGCACCCGAGCGACACCACACCACTGCCTCCAGTGCTCCGAGCCGCGTCTCGAAAACTGCAGCTAAATGTTTCAACGAAACGTGCGGCTATACATGCCGATGCTTCGTTGACCTCAGATTCAGAGTCGACTTCTTCCTCCGAATCAGAATCAGAATCAGAGTCCAAACCCAAATCTGACTCCAGCTCGTCAGACTCTGATTCAAACAGTTCAGACGGCTCTTCATCTTCGTCCTCTGCGTCCGCTCGCGCTGGCATGTTGGCCGTCACGAAAGCCAAGGTCGGGACACCTGCTGAAAGGTCAGCGCCAGCCACGCATAAGTCGAACCAGTCAGCAATTTTTTCCAGCTACACGCGAACTCCATCTCACATGTCATAAGGAGAACTGAAACACGTCATGTACCACCAGGAGAGGGAAAGCCTGGGACGCACAATCGCAACATCCGACGCCGCCGCAAGCGGATGTACGAACGTCTAGCGGCGACGGCGGAACCTGCTAGCGTCAACGCGATTCCACTGGGCTCTAAGGTCCACTCTCTCGTCCCGTCGCAACGCGAGACAACAAATCTACCGCGGACAGAGGAAGAGCAGTCTGTCACCCCGTCTAATGAAGCTAATGCTGCTCCAGCATTCATGATGGCGAGCCTGCAGAATAAAAACAAGCGCAGAGGTTTCAAGAATGCGTTGGCTTTCGGCGTACCTGCCAAAATTGTTTTCTCTTCTCCGGAAGAGGTGTCCGCGGATACAGCTCGCATCGAGGTCGGGGCTGCGCAGGATGTACTTCCATTCTCTCGTGCGCAAGGCAACGAGGTCGCAGATGCGATCCGCTCGACTAGCTTCGTGCGTTTGGTCCCACCGTCGGAGAAAGAGGAACGCGGGCAGCTGCCTCCAAACATGTTCATCACGAGCGTCGATGTTGAGGAGGGCTTGCCTGCTAAGAAAAGGAAGAAGCAAAGCAAGGTGAAAGCGTGGGAGAAGGATGCTACCGCGGAAGACAGCTACCTGCCATACGATGAGCCTGACGAGGCACTCGGTGCTGATACGATGGGTGCTTCTGCTGGTTGCAACTCTGTAACGGAATCTCAGTTGTCGCCTTCGTTTGATCGAGGTATTGTCGAGGGGCGATGGAGTTCACTGACAAAAATTACTGCTCCAGCGCAACTGCAAGTAGGGTGTAAAGTTGCATGGAAGGTACGTTGCCGTGGTTCTAACATTCCACTGTCCACTCGTTTACTTGTGCAGGCACTCGGGATCAACCCTAACACCTTCACACCTGAGATGCTTCTCAACGTCGGACGTGTTGTATCATACGAAGACCAGCTAGTGGTGAAACCGTTGGAGGAGCACGGCGCAGTGGAGGTATCCTTCGGAGGGTTGGTCGTCGGCGAGGACTCCGGAAGTGTCGAGGAAAGGTATGACTGGCAGGATGTGCTACAGGCGGATTGGCGACTGGTGGCGTGAGCATTTAAAGCGTTCCATATTATCGAGGATCTCCCAGCTGAGCTGCAAAATCGTCTTGACTTGAAGATATCGGGTAAAGACAAGAGAGGCTGGTGCTGATTAAATCAGTATAACATGAGAAGAGTCGAGGAAGGTCGGCATGCAAAGCTATGCCAATCTTTTATGCTTTGGCCTAGCCAAGTTATGTTTTACTTGCAAAGGACATGACAGAATCTGATGTGACTCGGACGTTGAACGTTTGAGGACATGATCACGTGGTCGTTCCCATTTGATGACCCTACCAAGAAACGCATGGTGGATCGGCTTCTCTCATTAGACTCCCACCACCATAAGGAGCTCGTTGAGATATCTTGCTAATACTTCCTGACGCTGCCTACTGATGACCCGGAGTCGACATGGAAGTAGACAGATGATGCTTAATTAAGTCGACCGTTCGACGGCTTGCACATGGACTCTGTTCATCGGGACCTCCATTTATTTCCAAGTTCTGCCTTACCGCGACAAATTTGCTGGAATCCAGAACTCCCCGACGTGCCCCAATAACTGTGAGTCCTATGCACCCTCATGTTGTCAACTGATTCTGACCGTGACCTAGCTGCATTACTGCGTGCTCAGGAGCAATCACCGGCGTTAGTAAGGTGCTAACCAACACGGACAGGCTGTGAAATACCAGCTGGAAATACTGTCCCATGACATCCAATCGTAGCCTGGATTCACGATAGACGGCTGGACTGTACATCTGTGGTATGCAGATCGAATGGGCATCATGAAGTCGGTGCCGTTCGATTCGGTGGCGAAGTTTCGCTTGCTACGCTTCATCCTAGCTGCGACAATGGCATCAACGGATCTGATGAAAGTGGTTTCTCTCCATTCATGAAGTTAAGCCGCCGTCCTACAACATGTACCATGGCACGTATCTAAGATTACCAGCGCAACGAGTTCAGGACGAGAATGGGTGAGCTAACATTCAGGGTCGAACCTAGTGACTTCATACGCGGAATTCGTTGGACGGAAGGATGGTCCGTCAAGGCGTCGGTAAATACTTCGGAATTTGTTGCTCAGGTGCTCATAACGGAGATGGCTAAGTCACCACTAGATCGTCGAAACGAAGCCCACGTTATGTCCCTGGGGACATTCCCCCAGCACAGCGGAAGGAGTACAAGGATGACGTGCTGAAACATATTGTGGATCTCAGTTGTTTCGTCGAGCTTACGATGCAGAAAATTCACCTGCTGCGGGTTTTCATAGCGGTGGTCTAGGTGCCAGATGAAGATTGCCACGAGTTCAGAATGTTGCTGATGACGAAGTATGAGCCACTATCGTCGGTGCACGCGTGGAAGAGTTCAGCCTGGAAGGTATCTACTGGTACTGTTAGAGGTGTTTACGCTCTCTTGTTAATGCTGTCTGACGTCCGGGAGGCTCTTCCACATTTTCCACAGTAGGATCGAGGATTGCTTCCGCCACGACCCTGCAAGGTCTTTTCCCGAATTGTCTGCTACTCGTATCTCTGTTTAATCCGTTCCTTGTCTTGTACGGTGTCCTAGTATCCGACGGTGGCACCTGTCAAGTTCTTGAAAATATGGTCCCGTGCCACCAGGCCCGATTCAGATTCTACGCCACCCGATCTTAGACTCGCTTTCTGTTCTTCTGATTGGCTGGGTGCACGGATAGTTTTCAATCATGATCGCAGGCTACCTAGCTAGTCCTCAGTGTACAATGCTGCCGTAAGTCTGTCTACATGTCTCGTGGAATGTGTGGTCAGCAAGGATCCCCACTATGAGCAAGACAGCTGCCACCACGACTTGATCACGCACCCTTCTCTGATTGATATCGCGCGTCCCGTGTCTCTGGGTATGGAACACCTGCGTCCACTGAGAAGTTTAGCTGGTATCTCCTGACCATTACGTTCGCAGTCTCGTGTTTGACGTAGTCAGCTAACCTGACTCGTTCTCTCATTTTCTGCGACTGTCTCTGCCGTGAACAAAACGCGCCAAGTCTTGTTCACCAATATTCCTCTCTCTCATCACCTCTCGTCGTTCTTCTGTTCATCTACAGCGATATGGCTTCCGGCATGGACAATTTGGTATCCCCTGCAGCGAAAAACACTACCTCTTGGGAGGGTCCTTTCGAGCTTCCTACTCTCGATAGACTGAACGCACAGATTCCAGTTGATATTTCTCCCACAGCGGTGGCTCATGACTGGTTCAGGCAATTCATAGACACGCTCAAAGAGGAGCCTACCTCAGCTACTCAGCTATTCTTGCAGGATGCTTTTTGGAGAGATCTGCTCGTACTCTCTTGGGATTTCCGTGCCTTACAGGGCTCTTCTTCTATTGCTCGCTATCTAGATGATCATCTGCGCACCTCTGCTTTCCGACCTCTGTCCCTCCGGGATGATGCTCTTCATGCTCCGGTCCTTCATCGGCCTTACCCGGATCTGGCATTCATTCTGTTTTCCTTCTACTTCGAGACGGCTGTAGGGACGGGTATTGGGACATGCCGGCTGGTTCCCACTGCCGATAGCAGTTGGAAGGCGTACACGATGTTCACTGGTATGAACTCTCTCAAAGAGTTTCCCGAGAAGGTAAGATGCCTTCCCCCAGCACTCGAAGTCTACTGGTTATATGGGAAGTGGGCGCAGCGCGTGCACCTGTAGCACCAGCCTTTACTCTTGAATGTGTCCAGCATCCACGTGTCTCGAATTCACTCATGTCTTCCAGGTTGGCTCTCGGCGAGATCCTCGAATGTACCAAGGAACCTGGGAAGAGAAGCGTCGCGCAGAAGTAGACTTCGCTGATGGACACCCTACCGTTGTAATAATCGGGGGTGGTCACAACGGTTTGGAGGTTGCCGCACGCTTGAAGAGCATCGGTGTTCAGTCCCTGGTGATAGAGCGAAACGCCCGCATTGGTGACAATGTTCGTTCCCTTTCTAGTGCAGACAAAACGTCAATCTGATCATTGAACCTTTTATCCCCAGTGGCGCAATCGGTACAAAACTCTGTGTTTGCACGATCCAGTGTGTACGTGCAATGTTTGTCGTCTCATTGTTTTCGTACTGAGAGAAACACGAAGGGTACGATCAGATGCCATATATGCCGTGAGTTTGTTACCATATTTTTCCAGGACTGTATTCACCGTTCGATACAGTTTCCCTTCAACTTGGCCGATATATGCTCCGGCCACTAAGGTAACTTACTGAACATTCACCCATCGGCGCTTTGCTCAACTGACATGCTCAGCTGGGCAATTGGCTGGAGAACTACGCTCAATCGCTCGAACTCAATGTATGGACGTCTTCGCACATAGACAACGCCCAGTGGGATTCCAAGCGCAAGTCGTGGACCATCACAGTGCAGCGAAATGGCTCCACACGACGTCTGGAAACAAACCATCTTGTCTTTGCTACTGGCCTAGGTGGCGGAATACCGCACCTACCGGTGATTCCTGGTCAGGTACGAATACGCGAATGTCTACGTCCACGTAGCTAACGCGAACGACAGGAGCGTTTTAAGGGTGTAGTCGTTCATTCCTCTCAGTATACATCTGCCGAGAATTACAAAGGTCTGAAAGTCGTCGTCGTCGGCGCCTGCAATTCAGGTTTGTACAAATGTGATATGCTCGGCTGCGCAGGCACTAACATCTATAATCCTTACGTGAAGCCAACGATATCGCTCGCGACTGCTCCCAGCATGGACTCGATGTCACAATGTAAGTTGGCATGCTATAGTGAACGTGAAGCCGGTCTTCACGTCGGCGCAGGTTCCAACGGTCCTCCACATGTGTAATGTCTGTCAAGGCCGTGCGCATCATGCTTGCCGGTGCGTGGTTTTAATTGAGTTATACGACCTTGATTGAATATTTGGTGCTAGGCTTGTACACTGAAGACGTGCCGACCGACTACGCTGACCTTGTGACTGCATCGTATCCTCTGGCAGTGACTCGACAGCTCAATAAGCGTGTATTCCCGTACCTCGCTGAGACGGCTGACAAGTGTGTCCTCTACTTCTCCATGGGGAATGCGTGATGGTTGACGAGCATGTTTGCCAGGGAAATGTTAGACGGCTTGAAGCGTGTGGGGTTCAAAACAAACTTGGGACCTGATAACGCGGGTTTGCTCCTTCTGTTCTACGGCCGTGGAGGTGGATACTACATGGGTAGGTATCCATTCATATGTTCACGGGACACTGTGTTGAACGGCTTCAGACACTGGAGCCGCGCAGGACATCATCGATGGCAAGATTAAGCTCAAGAGTGGTACCACAATTGACAGCTTCACGGAGAATGGCCTTAGTTGCAGCGATGGCACCGAGCTTGCCGCAGATGTTGTGATCTTTGCGACAGGGTACTTCTTACATGCCAAAGCCCGTCATTGCAATCTGACGTATGGAATAGGTACGGGAAATCCGACGCGCGCGATGTCGTCGAAGAAATCTGCGGTCCGAAAGTGCGTGACGTCCTGAAGCCTGTTTGGGGCCTCGACAGTGAAGGCGAGTTGCGCTCTGTGTGGCGTGAATCTGGCCATGACGGAATATGGTTTGCTTACGGTGGGTCTGAGCACTGTTGTCGCTGTGATTGTCCGTCACGGATTATTTCCGTCAGGAAATTTCCCTATTACGCGCTACTATAGCACCTTTTTGGCGCTACGTACGTATCCTTTTCGTGTTCTCGCTCGTCAGGAATGCTTACGCGTCCTCTAACGCAGAGATCAAAGCCCAAGAGGAAGGTCTCCGGACTGCGCGCCCAACGTCTTGAGTTGCGGGTGAGCGATCGTAAGTTCGCGCTACCTATTCTTCAGCCCCTCTCACCGTGTGGTGCACTTTTCTGGCGGGGCGACCCTTGACAGCAAATACCCCCCAGCACGTTTTGGCTGCTGACAGTAAATAAAGGATCATTCCACGGTGATGTGAAGCGTAACCATATGGAAGCATACTCTTTTGTCGAATAAACAATGTCTGCAGCGTTTGAGTCGAGGCTTGTCCGTCATCCTCAAGAAGTGCACCTAGCGGACTACACAATGCCCAGATACAACCATCGGGGATATCAGCTACCCCTAGTCCCTTGTGCGGAGAAGTGCACACGGTCTCTGTAAGCCTGACATATACAGCAGCAACCGCCTATTGGTATGTCACTTGGACAGCCGGACGACGTTTCTGATCCATCGACAACGAAGACGGTATACTGTAACTACGGTCCATTAGGTAGTTTCACTGGTGAAGAGTACCGCGACATCGACTCAAGCTCTGCGAACAGAAGGACATTAGAAATGAAAGGCTGCTCAAGTTCACGAGCTTCCGACGTAGCCGGTGACCGGTGACCTCGCGAAGCGTGTTGGCTGGCTCAGGCCTTTACCAAGAGTCAAGAAATCATGCGTCGCATCCGGCGTCTCGATTTTTGCTGGCCTATGTGTCCTTGTGCATTCGATCCTTAACGGTGCGCATGTCATCTCTGCGCCACCAGCTACGATGTATGTCTTCGGAAGGCGAGCATAGATGCCAGGTATCACTTTCCGCTGCAGTGACGCCAGGGAAATACAGGTACTTGTAGCTGCGGAAGAAGAAGGAAGAGCGCTCAAAACTGCGTTATTCGTGTATTCGCTGGTAAAGATGACGTGCACGAAGAGTCAAGTGTCGGAGAAAGAAGGAGCAGTCCTCCAGAAACAGGGAGAGTGGGCAGTTTCTGGTGGTATACTTACGACGTAACTGCCACCTTGATGACATATAACATCAGCAACAGAATGTTCGTGACACAGGCGCACACGTACATGATGATAGAAAATTTTCTGGTGATATTTGTTGTCCTGTCTTACCCAACGCTATGCTGGGACCATAACAAAAACCTCCAAACCTTGACTTATTAGTGGTAGGATCTCTCGCGGTATTCAACACGGTGAGCAGACGCCGGCATCGAGCGGGCGTTCAGTATAGAGCAAAGCCGGTAAAGGCAACTCATTCCCACGTTACTTTACTTCTTACGGCCAACTCGACGCCAGCGGACAGCTTGCCTGCTCTCTAATTCCACGTCTCCGTCCACTCTTGCCTCAATCTCTCGTCTAGAAGCCCCTCTTTTATTGCCTCGCTTGCCTGGGGACTCAATTGTAGCAAAAACTGTTTCTCTGTGTCGTGTGTAGGCCAACATGGCCAACTACAACTATGACGAATCCGGCAACATGGCCGCGTACTTCTTGCTAACATTCCTGTGCATTATCTTAATCCCTCTCTCACTATCAGCACTCCCATCACGCAGTAAGTGCTGTGCAAAGTCTTGACGAGTATCTGTTGAGCGCTATGTGCTGTAGAAAGCCCGAGCACACCTGGCTGTCAATGCAACTTGTGCATTCAGCAACGAGAGAACATTCGAAAGCGAGAAGGGGGTTCTATTCTGGGACCTCGATTGAAGAGAAAGTGTGTCTCCATATCTGTCAGCTTGTCGCGTACGCTCACTACCATCTCTAGAACCATCATCGTTATAGTAGGATGGTCGCTGGTCGCTTTCCTCGCACATAAGCTCGCGACAACAACTGTTATCAACAAAATTTATGACCCATTCGAAATCCTGGGACTTCGCAGCGTTGGTTATATGCGTCTCTTTACCACGTCACACCTCGTGAAATTGAACGTGTGAAATATAGGGAGTCTCTTTAAAGGAAATCAAATCGCATTACAAGAAGTTGTCGCGGACATTGTACGTGTCTCGGTGGATGGCCAGCTTTCACACATACGTATTAATCAGTTGAATCCAGCCACCCAGACAAGGTAAAACTTGGGGTCAATCAAACGATGGAGTCGGTTGAAGCGAAGTTCGTGGAAATCACAAAAGCGTACAAATCGTGAGTGATGCAGTGGTTAAGGTATCGCCATCTATTCACTCCAGTTTCAGATTAACGGACGAGACTATTCGTAAGAACTGGGAGCTGTATGGCCATCCCGATGGTCGCCAGGAAGTCTCTATGGGTATTGCACTCCCGAAGTGGATTGTTGAGAGCGGGAACAACATCTGGGTTCTGGGAGCGTATGGTGCCATCTTTGGAGGCGCACTGCCTGCGCTTGTGGTAGGTATCTCACTCAATCACTACCTGCGCATGATTCGTGCAGGAGTATTTCTGGAGTTCTGATGGCAGGTTCCTGATTATTGACTTACAGGGCCGCTGGTGGTTCGGCAACAGACAGAAAACCAAGGACGGTGTGAATGCTCGTAGCGCCGCCGCATTCTTCAAGAATCTATCTGAGGAATCGGGTATTGACGATGTCGTTGGGACTCTTGGAAAGACTTTTGAATGGGAGTGGCCATTTGTTGAATCTGCTAAGGATGACAGTGAGCTTCTGGACCTCGAGAACAAGATCAAGCAGAAGCTCCACGGCAAGTGGGATGTACTCAAGAAGCTCGCAGAGGCCGACGAGCATGAACATCGGCACAGGGCGTTCGTGTTACTTTATGCGCACCTCTTGCGGTTGCCGGTTGCGAGTTCATCACTCCGCAAAGGTGCGCTTACCTGTTTGTGAAGCCCTTTCACCTACGTACTCACTGCTATACTTTGTTCCTTGCAGAGCAAGAACAGGTGCTGTTGCAGACACCAACGCTGCTGAACTCTTTGCTCAACATCAGCGTATCACGTAATTGGCTCCACCCAACGCTTGCAGTGATGCGGCTTCATGCGTACCTCGCCCAAGCGCTACCTCCAGGCCAAGATCAGCTTAAGCTTGCTCAGCTTCCCTGCATAAGTGCAGATGAGGCCATCCAGCTCACTTCCCGGGCCAACGGCGTGAAGGACGTCATCAGTACTCTCGAAGCTAAGGGTGATGAGCGGGTTGAGAATGTGAAGAAGGCTGTTGAAAGGTGGGGCAGCGTCGAGGTAGTTGGTGCATCCTTCCGTGTCATCGGAGAGCGGTTCGTCACACCGTCGTCGATCGTGTACCTCGTCGCCAAGCTGCGTCTGTCCCCACCCTCGGCTGAGATGCCCGTCTATGAACCTGTTCAGGAAACACGCACTCCGGACGCGAAGGAGGAAGAGTTCTTGGCCGGCAAGAAGGATGCGGAAGACCTGCCACAGGGAGACCTGGGTAATGGTTGGGCGCACGCGCCATACTGGCCAGCGGTTCGTGCTCCTCTCGCGCTCTATGATCGATGCATATTTGACTGACCGATTTGTAGAATCGCAAACCCGCTTGGTGGATCGTGCTTGCTGACGTCAAACTAGGTAAAGTTGTGGTTCCTCCGCTGAGGGTCACAGATATTCCCGTAGCCGACCCTGAGCATGGCCAGTACTATCGATCGTTCAAAATCCAGTTCCAGGCGCCTCCAGCCGTCGGTATGTTTACGTGGAGGCTGTACGTGGTCAGCGACACGTTTGTGGGCGAGGAAGCGTGGCGAGATATGGTGGTGCGTATCCATACTCTTAAGCTACTGCGCTTTACATCCTGCCTGATCTCTGATGATGCTTGTTCGTCGCGCAGCTGAAGATCGATGACCCGGCGGTGCTCAATGTGGAGGAGCCAGTGGACGACGAGATCTCAGAACCCGAAGAGGACTCTCTCGCAGGGCAGATGGCGATGATGCGGGGCGGGTTAGTGAAGAGGCGGCAGGACGAGGAGAGCGATGAGGAGAGTAGTACAGACGACGAGGATCACGGAGAGAAGTCTGATAGCAGCGATAGTGATTGAGAAATACACTTTGCTGCTGAGACTTCTCGCTGCGCTGTTGCATGTATCCTGTTCATGTTTGAATGAGTGCAACTTGGGTGTACTTGGAGGTATGGATTGATTCATGAAGTACAAAATGAAAATGCTGGTCAGATCTGTCTGGCAGACACCTGGGCAATTGTAACATAATGCTGGGCACCACTAGTGTGTAAGCTAACTAAGAAAGGCCATTGACAGAACTAGCCATCATATCAGGCTGTAGCCATGAACATGTTTCTATCACCATTTCTGTCTTGAAGCAGGACAGAACCAATCTCAGAATCATCCTGTCCAAGTCCCACTGGCAGGACACCAAAATGGGCTGAAGTGGTCCCAGCAGAGAAACTGTGCATACTGAGGGTGGACTCTGGCATTGCATGGCTTGCATTTTGAATTTTTAGGTTCAGCACTAGTCGAGAACCCTGCTTGTTAATGTGGTGAACAACCTGTTCTTCAGCAATCCAATAAGTGGACCTTACTGCTACGGTATAAACTGCAGAAAGCCAGCTACGTAAAAATTTCAGGGGAGCATTGATGACCAATATTGTCAGAAATGAACACTCACGGCCCTCCTACTCCAATCAATACACCTCCGACTAAGTTGGCCACAGTATTCAGTAGTATCACAACTGTTAGAAATTAACATAGTAAGGGGGTTGTACTTGATCACAATTATTAAGAGCATACGGAAAGCACTGTGAACAGCATTCAATACTCATGTGACAAGGCAAGTGGTGATCATGTACTCACATGCCAAAGAACAGATTCCCGTCCACATAGAAGGCAGTCATGAGGGGATATGTGTGCATACGAGAAAAGATAAGCTTGACATTAAACCAATCCTTTACCTCTGTGCTCCTAGTAAGCCTGTACATCATGAGCACATAAAAGGTACCTAAGGAGCATGTTCAGAGCATGAAATTAGGGAGTAGAGGTAAAATTTACATGCTGCAGTTAGATACATGATCCTGAAAGGGTCTGAGCATAAGCAGTGCATTGCCACAGATTCCAGTGACTCACCATGACACCAGTGTCAGCCGAGGTACACTCAAAGCTACACATCCAAGGATAGGAATACCTGGCAGTCTCTCCACAAAAGTAATTGATCCCAGGGAGAGAACTGCAATTATTGTACTTGTCTTCAATCAAGGTGAGGATAATAGTTCAAGCCAAGATACAATCAAGCTTACACTAAATTCCACTATTGGGAATGGTCATCAATATGCTTGCTAAGCATTCATCTGTCACATACCGAAGACCACAATCAAGAGGAAAATCAACACTATAGCATAGTTGAACAGACATTTTGGGCACAAGATGTAATTGTACTTACTGGACCTTCGCCGTTCATAAAGGGCATATACTCGAAGTACAAAAAGCATGTTGACCGTTGTGAGGTAGAAGATTGTTTTACTGCTGTACTCCATATCAGACATGTGAGGTTAATATATTTTCAACATCTTATCAGAAGCTCACAAGCTGTCAAACCACACATACACCTTACAGCTAAAAGGATTCAGAAGATAGAATAACACCAGATGACACTCAATCTCACTACTAATTCCACAATGATATTCAGGCATGTGACATAATCGCAGCTAAGACAAAAACGTACATTAACTGAGACCGTGCGGCTAAGAACCACTGAACAAGTAATCAGATAAGGCACAGAGGTTCTCGGGGAGGAGCCGAACCATTGGTGTAGAACCTAGGTGAGACAATGAACAGATGGCACTATTATTAAATGTAACACTTACGCCAGATTGAACACCCCATAGTATCTGGTCACTAGATAGAGGCATTTCGGAAAGGACCACCTGGCTCTGTATTGCAATAAGGATTTAGGGCCAATTAAAAAGTAACAAATGTGTTAATGCATACTTCCAGATGAACTCCACCTGACAAATTGAGCGAGAGTACCAGACTTAAGCGGGCAATGAATACGCACTTCTTGTTCTAGGGTAATGACAAGATCAAAAACAACTAAAACCAGGGCCGCCACTAAAAGAATGAAGACCAACAGCGAAGAGGGGTAGAATGAACAATTACCTGAGGAATAACTGACTTGCTGGAGGGAAGAAAGAGTCTTAACAAGTGTTTCGGTATGCATAGTAGGGGCTAGGTGTTAATAAACATCGCCGGGATCTCTTATACCACACAGGACAAGGATGCGTACGATCGTATCAGATATCAGATACAGCGTTCTGACAGCTTACGTCTACGTGCAGACGCGGACGAAAATAACAACGTGCTGCAATTGAGGTCCTGCCGTGATATCATCGGCCGGAAGTCTTCTAAATCAATGTCAGCGTCAGTCCTGATCAAATCGCGAGGTGATACTGTGCACGTACAAGGGATGGTGCACACCTCTCTAGTGGCAGACATCAGGGCACACCTCAAGCGTGAAGACGCCATGAGAGCATACCCGAGACTGTGCTTGACCTCGCGCTTAGCAGTCGGAGCTGATCATGGTAATCCGGAAGAACAGTATATCTGCGTTTCGTATTGCTCCAAGTCTGTAGTCACGGTGTGTGTTCAGGATAAGCGTCAATTTAACACGCAACCACTATGATTATCAGGTCGGCGTTTACCAAACCACATGGGGCCTCTGCCGGAAGGGGCGGCAGAGGGTCGAGAAGTATATCTGCATCGGCGTTGATATGCCGTGACGGACAACGGTTAAAAATAAAAGACAGCATGCAGTGCTCGGAAGGTTTCATCATAATATCATCGGAACGAAAGCACTGAGGTCTTCTATGTTACTGTCAGTCTTTATTGGTCCAATATATGCTACTGAGATTGGTGTGTGCGGTCGCCCAATGGACAGCGCGGCATCTGAACATCAAGTCAATGTATCGATGTGATCTATTAACTCGTTAGAATAGCATCTGTAGGTACAGGACACAAGTATCACTTGGCGCAGAGCGACACAAGATAACCGCTTAGGAAGGCGCACACGGATAGCACAGGAGTACTGTGTAGACTGCAAGGATTGAATGGAGAGACAAAAATCAATATCCGCCAGATCCTGTCCTGATGGACCCCAAGTTCAAGCGGCAAAGCGTCATCAAGGTAGAAGTTACGGGCGTTGCTGGAAACATTAATGTAAATTCCCGATACAAGCACCTGCTGTGAAGCAAACATACAAGGAAAGCGTATACACAGCTCATATGACCTGCAACAAGATGTCGCTATTTAGCATCGTACTGTGGATTGCAGCATATGACGAGGTCTTCGTCGCTGTGTAGAACCCCGACATGGGTCTCGCTTCGACTTGGAACCACGCAATCCTTGGTGAAGGTCCCGTCTGAGCAATGAACGATTCCGATAGGGTTCGGATTCAACAAAAAGATCACGAGTACGACGAAAAGCTTGACCTCATACTCAGCGACGAAACGACCTTTGCACTGAGCGCATCGTCAATAATAACCAAACCGACATTCAGACTGCAACTGAAGACGCACGACATGGCTCCCTCCACCCCAGAACATGAGGCTGTTATCGACACGCCTGCCGCCTTTTTGGAATTTCCGTGCAGTGCGCCCATCCGCTTCAAGAAAGCGGTCTATGCGGAACTCCGCAGGGGAGTCGTAAACCTCCGGGTCCATGTGTACAAACGAGGGCAAACCAAACACCCATTCCCCCTTGGTGACGCGATAAGGTTGCTGGTCTGCGGCGTCGAACATGGTGTCTTCCTTTGCGACGCGGGCGATGATGAACTCAGAGCAGAGTCTCAGCGACTCTTTCATGGCAGACTCCAGCAGTGGACAGTTTTCTGCATCAAGGACTGCCGGATCCGCAGCCACGAGATCCGCAATGCTCCCACCAAACTCCCTCTTCAAAACCTCAGAGACTTCGTTCTTGATGCGCGCGACACTGTCGTTGTCGACCAAAATGTGGGAGAGGCACCAGAATGTCAGCCACATGGCGTTTCCCTGTGAGCCCCACAGGAACGCCAGGAGATGTCCAACCGTGTCCTGTTCACTCCACCCGGCACTTCGCATAGCCTCCGCAACTTCGCGTGATATATTGGGGTCCGTGGCGAAGTCGCCATTGGTCCTAGTTGACGCGGTATGAACACGAATGAAGGAGAGGAGGTTGTCACGGGCTCGTCGATATTTAGGGAAGAGGTACGTGGGCAGTCCTGACGACAACAATGAAAAGCCTTCGTCGAAGACTAGGAATTCTGGGAACGCAGCGTCCGCAGGAAACTCAGTTCCGAAAGATGTCCGCGACGAGCACTGGAAGAATGTAGGGAATATGAGATCCTGCAGACGGATCTCGAAGGTGGACCCCGATCTGGCGATAAGAGCCTTGAATGAATTCAACAGCAGAGGGCCGAAGACAGTGGTGGTGGCGCCCATGAGCGCCTTCGAATAATACGGATGGAACGCCACGGGATAGACTTGATCGTCAATATCTACAGAGGTAGCAGCGCCCACGGACATTCCAAACGCACGGGTATGGACCAAGGCACGAATAGGGTAGAAGGTTAGTTGCTGCGACCGCCTCATGAGAGCCACGATGAGGGAGGGAGTCGTGAAGAAAGTGGCGTCTCGGCCACCTAACTTTGTCCTAAAGATGGGACCGTAACGATCCCTTGTAGGGCATCAGGGAGCAATATCTCAACAAAAACCTTGGCACTGACATGGAGCGCCGCACAAACGAGGAGCGATTGTAAGCGTATTGTATCGCATTGCCGAGCCAAGGCCATTTCGAAGGGACCAGAGGTGGTCTGCTCGCATCAGAGGTGGCGGAAGACGGTGTCTTGCTTGCATACAGCAGGGCGAGAAAAGTGGTGGCAATCACCACGCATAACACTTGGAAGGAGGCGGAAAGAACAATTGACTGTATCATGGAACACATGGTGCTATGAAGGTCTGTCGCGGTCAACATGTCGAAGGCTGTACTGATTCACAGGTTGCTAGTTTCTTTTATACTGTTCGACCTAGACATACTGATTGGTCTCGTGTTATGACAATTCAACAAACCCACCTGAAAAAACACATAGCCATCGATTGTCGTGAATTCCACTGCATCGTCGGCTTGATGAATCCGTCAGTGATAGATGGACTGAAAACAGCCGCCCGTTGTTGGATAGATTGGAGCTGTCTCTATCGTGTACCTTGTGGCATACGCAACGTCCGCGAATCAGACGATGTCGCAGCAGGGAAGGGCGACGAATTTACACGGGCGGCTAACCATCGTGCTGGGCGACCCATGGTTTCGGTGATACAGGTTCGACTTCTCAGACGCTGAATCGAGCGCACTGTTCTGCAATTCAGTACCCGCGCACTAAACGCCAGGGAATACTTGCCTGCGTCACCAACCTTGAGCTTATTCGTGCAGGCGGAAAACGGTAACCAAAACCCTTTTAAGGTTTCTCTGCGTAAGATCAGAATGCCTACATAGACCAGTAATGCCCACTGCCTTCCCGCGAAAGAACCTGCGGGTGAACAATTGTCCGATATCAGGGAGGCCAATGACATGCAACACAAACTTTTAAGTTAACAGCGTCCGTGCTCACAGGAAGACGACAATTCGCATCAAGGCTTCTATTCAAGTGGCCCGTCTGCGTCTGAGCCGCACCGGGATGTTCGGTACGCCAAACGTAAGCCCCAACATCCGACCCTGCATGACGCGCTCGCGCCACTGCGCCTTCGACTCGCCCTCTCCGAGCGAAACACCAAGCTCCCAGTCACGCACGAGGAGCGTGAGGAAACACACTGCTTCTGTCATCGCGAACTTACGCCCGAGGCACGCACGTGGGCCGAGCCCGAAGAACGATAGCTCGCTCTCTGCGATGCCGAGCCAGCGCGAGGGGTCGAATCGCTCCGGATCCTGGAACAGGTTAGGATTATAGTCTGGGCGTGCGAGATGTGAGTAGCCTGTGGGGGAACAAAGGACAGCACTCACGGAGGCCTATCATGTCGATGATGATGCGCACACCCGGAGGCAGGACGAGGGTCCCGCCGCCATCTTCAGGGGGTATTTTAAGTGTCACTGTTTCTGTTGTGTCTCTGGTGACCACGAAGCCCGCGGCTGATAAACATTGTTTAACAACAACAGCCCATACAGCAAGATTCTTTGCTCACGGAAGAGCCGCGCAGATTCTTGGAAACAGGCTAGAACTTTGTCGAGGCGAGCATAATCTTCAAACGTCTACAAAAGATTGTATCAATGCAAGACATCGGGAGCCGGCGTTGACCGATGACAAACCGGGTCTCGGCCATTCGGTAGAACTTCCTGGATGTGTTTGTACACATCGTCTTGCTCCTTCTCATGTAAGGCAAGCATCGCTACCGTTGCGGCAAGAGTATGAGCAGTGGTTTCTAAGGAACACTAGTTTTATTGTCACGCAGGGTGATCATAATTAGAGTGCGCACCGTGCCCGGCAAACATAAAAGTGAATATGTTTCCAATCTGTGCCAGCGAGGAGGAACTTAGCTCACGTGGAACTAGACGATGCATACGAATATCACTTACAAGCTCTGACTCTGCCAGCCCATCCTTTCCCTCGGCTTCACTCGCGGTCACCAGGCGCGTGAAGAGATCACTGCCGGCGCCCTCGACGGGATCAGCGGAAGAAGAAAGTTCTTCCTTTTTGTTTGTAACGAAGGAGCTCATGAACGCGGAGAGCTGGCGATACGCGTTATCTAGTTCGTGAAGCCTGTCTCGTGTTGTAGCGATGATTATGAACTAAGCAATGACAGCTTACTTTTCCATGGGTAGCTTGTATGCCCACCCTGGCGTTGCAAGGCGCGTAACCGCACCCTCCGAGACGATCGCGAGGGCTTTGTCAAATGACAACTCATCGGCCTCTTCCGTGGACGCGACCCATGTAAAAGGGAGTCCGAATCCACATCTCGTCACAATCCCGAGTGCAAACTGCAAAAATCAGCGGAAGGAAAAGCTGCATACGGAAATACACACCTTTGACAGATATCGATTAATGGAGTCTATGATGACAACTTGTTTTTGAGACCAATCCTCTCCATCAACCATCTCATAATACAGGTGGACCGTTTCCTTCGCAACGAAGGCATACCTGATGGAGAACTGCGATTTCACTGCGATTTCATGGAGATGGAAGTTTAACGCACGTAGCTCCAGTAAATGCAGGGCCTACAATACGACGATGTTTCTTGTAGGCATCGTAATTGGAGGATACCACATTATCTCCCCACAGCCTGTTCACAGTAAACAGTTGTACTAACATATTGCACGATTCGCTCACATTAACGCCGCGGTGGACTCGGGAGACTTGAAGAAACCACGGCCGGCGGTAAGAATCTGTTTTGCTACATCCTGGGAGATCGTGTAGACAGTTGGTGCGCCATGCAACACAGGTACGCATGAGATGGTTTGCTTTCCATAGTACTTGTAAACTGGGCACAGTCAGAGTCAACGATCATGTGGTTGATAGCTACTTACTGGATCTGCGCCACAACCAATGCCAATTGAGCCCCGCATTCAGGTAAAACGTAGGGGTAATGGCACCGGGTAGAGAGAAAGGATTGAATATACTGCGCAAACCAGGGAGGTTTCCAACAGTCTGACGACGCGAGAGCGTCAGAACGGATATGGTCCAGGCTGAAGTACTGGCTTACCTTGAGATTCGCACGAAAGCGAAGAATCCGCGTCGTGAGGAAGACGACGAAAGCAGCTACGAATACCTTTCCCCACATTGTGTGGTCGACGTGAACGCGAGAGGGCGAATTAAGGTTGGGGCGTGCACGCTGAATGTGGCACGACGTCGGCGTGGAATCAGAAGAGTAGCATTATTGGGCGTGGCGCCGAGAGCGAGCGCTTGAGCAAGCATCTATTTTTTGGAAGATATGTCGGCCACAGAAGCACACTGGCGCACAGAGTCAGTAGTTAGATAGGGAAGTGCCGCGGGACTGAATTGAAGTTAGTCTCCGTTGCTGACTATATATGGTTAGTCGATTCATATCTAGACCGATCAGATCGAGATGGATTACATGCCCAAATATGGCCAGTGTCCCTGCAGACGGTTCTGCGCTCCTTCTCCTGCACCCACCGTTGTGGCACGAGACGCTCGGTGCCATCTCGAAGCATGGACTTTCCCGTAATGTGCAGCAATGGCCCCACGCCTGGAATCGGCCCACCGCAACCTTGATTTCTTCCCCAGGCTATTCCGGCCATTCGCCCAACTCCTGACCTTCTGGCGCATCGACGTTCTACACAATGCTTCAACCTGGTGAGAAGGGTTACCCTTCATATGCTTTCATACCTCATTCTGTCTTACTCTTACAGAGGATACTGCAGTGGAAGACGAGATGCAGGGCACTCAATCAGCTAGTGGTATTCTCCATAATTATTTCCGAAGGGTTTCAGCACTGAAGGGATTTTGCAGACAAAAATGTTTCAGAAAAGCTTGAGGGCGATCGCATCTCGGTCGAAGATACGAACTCTGCGTCACAACCTCCTCTGGACAAGAAGATGTGGACTACAGTCAGGTCAGACTACGCAGTCACCCTCACAGTACCAGACCTGACGAACCCTACACTTAGTGCGTTCATGGTCTCAATTCTTCTGGCCAACCTGGATCAGACAATTGTAAGTCCTGCATTACAACTTCGAGTAGACTCAAACGAGCTTCTCGGTAATTCAACAGGTTGCAACCGCTTTGCCTAGGATTGCGTCTCAGTTTGACAAACTTTCTCAGTCTGCATGGGTCACGACCTCCTGTAATATATCACCTTTTTCTATCTGGGTCTGCCCGCTAACGCACTTGAAATCGACAAGATTTGCTCACCTTTGCCGGTCTAATGCTATTCCAAGGCCAGCTGCTAACATTGGCGCCAGCAAAATACATCTACCTGTGCTCTCTCATAGTCTTTGGCATAGGGAGCCTCATTTGTGCTGTTGCCCGATCTTTTCCCGTACTCATCTTTGGCAGAGCGGTTGCCGGAACTGGAGGTGCAGGGTAAGTGCTTACGTGTTTTTATAGTGCTCACCCTGACTTGTCTGCCAGGGTGGTCAATGCGGTCCTTGTTATCATTGCTCAAGTATGTTCTCGTTTAGACTTCACCACGACAAAGCTGACTATGTTAGAATTCGAGAATTGAAGATCGGACGATGCTGTTCAGTTTGCTCGGTATGATGCACGCCTTGGCATCTATTGTAGGCCCGCTGATAGGTGCGAAATAAATTTGCTGCTCAACATGTCAGGAACTGACATCATTTGATAGGCGGCACATTCACCGGTTTGTGCATAGGTGAACATGCCTATAAGATGCTGAAAAATCTCCTGTAGATCATGTTACGTGGCGCTGGTGCTTCTTCATTAACCTACCCGTAAGGCCATTGCTGAACTCCATGTCACCGCCTCTGCTCATCTACATTCAGTTTGTAGGTGTTATCATGGTCGCGGTGTTCTTCTTTCTCAAGACGCGCCGAGCTCTAGGAAGAGAGAGGGACGAGCCAGCTCGCCGCTTCGAGCTGGTGCGCAGGCTAGACTGGGTTAGCGCTGTCCTCAGTCTCGCATCTGTCGTGGCCCTGCTCCTTCCTCTTCAATGGGGTGGAGCAACTTATGCATGGGATAGTGCAGTGATCATTGCTCTGTTTGTTGTGTCTGGTGTGCTCATGGTATCATTTGTGGCTTGGGAGTATTACAGGGGCTCATCAGCCCTCCTTCCACTTCGTCTTTTCTTGAGCCGTACCCAGGTCGGGACTCCCTTAGAATCTGTGAGTCTGGGTCATGGATAATGTGCAACTGTAATTTCTAATTTCTCAACAGGCATTCATTGGGTTGGGTCTTTTGAATGGAACCGTATGTTGAGGTTCTGTCATTTCACTGAATACATGCTTATGTCATTCTACCAGTACTATCTACCTTTGTGGTCTGTGCTGACTGCATTATGATGTTATTATAGACTTCTATTAAAATTTCCTTCACAGGTACCAGGCCCAGGGGCACAGCGCGACCAAGTCAGGAGTGGATATCCTGCCATTTATGTTGTCTGTTATCATAGGTAGATAGATATCACCTTCTAACTAGTGTATTAGCTAACTTCCTTACCAGCGTCAATTGTGTCCGGTGCAATTATCAAGGTGAGCACAGGAGCTGCAATGGATTATTTGAGTATAGGCTGATGCACCACAGATGACTGGCCGTTATTGGCATGTCCTCGTGCTCTCCCCTCTACTGTGCAGCATAGGTGCGGGGCTGCTCTCAAGCCTCACCCTCAATACCCCGAACTCGCATGCCATTGGGTTTCAGATCATCTGTAAGCTATGCTATTGTCCCATTCCATGAGTTTCAATTGATGTTCTGTAGATGGTGTCGGTATCGGTGCGCACTCACACAACCAATTATACTTGGTGGTTACTGAGGCAACTGCTGCGTTATAGGTGGTGCTATGCAGAATGTCTTCATCACATGTCAAGTAATTATCTGCTCATTGCCTCTTTACATGCCACTGCTGACAGCAATGTAGGCAGAGTGGGAAGGCCGGGATGGCCTGCTCGCACAGGCGACGACCGTTCTGACCTTCACCCAGAACCTGGGTGGAGTTATTGGAGTTTCGTGGGTCGTTCTCTGCTCTGTCTCGCCGCGCAGTTTGATGTCTGATCCCCTTTTGCTCTGCTGTCATTCCCACATCAGAATTAGCGGCATGATCTTCACGAACTTGCTCCGCACGAACCTGCACGTGTACGCACCACAGTTGCCTGCGATGCTCGCCATGGCTGTCGAGCAGAGCGTTACGGCGATCACGGAGGTTGCCCCGGACATGCGCGAAGCGGTCCTGCATGCGTACACGCTCAACATTAGTCGCGTGTTCCTTATCGGCGTGCCTGCGGGCGCGCTGGCCAGTCTCTCGGGAATGTGAGTATGCTCCATCTGACGTCTTGTAGTGTTCAGCTGTTCTGTGCGCGGCAGCTGATGTGTATTCAGGCTGGTTCGGAACATGCGCTTGCAGGATGGGAAGGCGGCTGAGGTTACATCTTGAGGCAGCGTTAGTGCTGTGCAACTCTGGTTAATTGATGCTTGTTCCAGTTTGCATCTTTATGGCACGGGATCACAATCGACGTTCAATATTTATAGACCTATATAGATACCACTTGATGAACCTTACCTCTCTGTCTTGCCAGAGCTCAGAATTGAGACAAATTAATAAATTAGATTAGGTACATACCCAATGTTCAGGATGCGCAGAGGGATTCCTCTCCTGAGGTAGTCTCATTTGGTGCTGCCGTGGTATCAAGTACGAGTCCTCCCGGCACTGCACCTGTCAGCATTAGGTTTGGTCAGCACCTACGGCAAAGACGCTGTAGAATTCAATATTCAGCGCTTGTGTATTCACATGCTCACGCACTCATGACTCATGACATGTATAATTTCATGATAGAACCTTCACATTATAGCCCTCAAACCATGTATTATGGAATCATGGACTCTGCAGTGTACGCATTGATGCATTGAAGATCCAGGAAATCTCGGGGATTCCATGCTTCGTGCCAAAGAACCATGATGGCATCCAGGGTTTCTACGTTATGAACATCATGAGGGCTTTGTAAAGTTACAGAAAGGTCGTGAGCCAGCGCAGAATCAAACCCTTGACAACGAAGCCGGAGACACCCACGGGATAGAACACAAACCATCTTTACTCACGCTTATTGGACATGGCAGCATGGCTCAGCGGCTGGATATCGGAGTTCTTTTGCACAACAAATAGCGCCATGGGCGTCAATAGCTGTCCCACAGAGAATACGGCGTCAGAACGCATGGGAAAGATGATACGAACGGAACCCACTCCCTGTCTTCCCGCCTTCAGGATGGTGCGGATCGCGAAATCCAGCGACTGGTTTCGAGCCTGAGCCTGAGTAGCTGGTCCAGCGTCCGGGCCTTCGTTCCACCACGCCCACGATAGACCCTCATCAAGGTGCCCGTGCTCCAGTTCTTCAAGGGTGTGATACCAAGGAACGTCATCGATACGCCTGGCGAGGTCCTCCGAGTGGCAGAGAGAGAAGCCAGCGAGCCCCAGAGCCGCGTTTGTGTTCTCTATTGACTGGACTCGGAGTGGCTGGCCATGAGAGAAGATGGCTTCGCCCAGCTGCTGGTATATTTGGCGATGGTCCATGCGCGCTGCGTCCCATGTATCGGACATGCACCAACGATAGAAGGCAAACTGCGCAGTGGTAAGCACTAACTACAACACGGCAGCAGGAAACAAACACATATACCTTGCCTCCTGGTTTCAGGATTCGTCTGACTTGGCTGCAGATGACGTCAAAGTGCGCACTATTCTGAAGGCACAGGATCTATCAGACGGAGAGGCAGCATTCACATTGTAAACAAGCTCACGGTGATCGATTCCACGGAGAATACCGCATCGAACGTATTATCCTCGAAGACGGCACAGAGGGTTTCCATCGAAGCTGGCATGCGATGGAATACGAGGCGTGGGATACATAGAACAGAGTACATACCTTGAGTAAAGCTGACACGGTGGCTCAATTGCGCATTCTCCGTGCAAATGCGAGCGAGCTCGATCTAGATCTGAGAATGGAACAAAGATTCCAGCTCCGTGAGCAACTTGCACTTACGTTCGACGAGTCCGCGTCAACTCCGACGACTTTGACGTCAGAAAAGTGTGCGAGTTCGCGAGCTCGGCCACCAGTTCCGCAACCGATTTCGAGTACTCGCATACCTCGCCGCACAGGCAACTGCATGAAGAGATAGTGTTCATGTCGTGCAAGAGCCTTCAGGAGAGGCTCCCCTGGGAATCGACGAGCAAAGTGGAAGTTCGATGTGAGGCCGAGACTGTCCGCTTCTTGCTTATCGATCCAGTTCCTATACTGGGGAATGATAGAGGATGTCGCAGCCACGGTAAGCCCTGACCACGCCAGATGAGCTATGCAACTGTGCCTCTGTAAGTCAATACAAATACCTAGCGCAACCAGAGTTAGTCGGTCGTTGAGCAACAGACGATACATGGATGGTAGCGTACCAGGGGGATTTCAGCCTTACTTTGGGCCACATTCGAGAGTTATAGGTCGTGAAACGTGAGACCTGTCTACGAAGCATGTGTACTAGAATCGATCGCCAAGACAAATGAGGATGCTGACGGCGTAAATGCCGGTTGGTTTTTCATGGGGAACGCCCACCGTGCGACACGTTCGCTGCGCAGACTCGGAACATCTGTGAGATGAAGAGGAGTCGTTATGCTTGAGCAAATTCGGGGTGCGAAAATTCACAAGAGATGGTACCCTACCCTAGGGTTTGTCTGTCGAACCCGTTGACATACGCGAGACAGTTCCCATATTCGTCACTATCGGGATGCTTTAGACTCGAAGGAGCCAGGTACTTTGCGGTACTTGATGAACCCGCGAGAGCCTCAGGCTATTCTTGATTTCTATCTAATATTAATCATAGGTCGTGGTGGCGTATCAGACTCGGAAACTTGCGACACCTCACTGCTTCTCGTTTCTCCGAGTCATGCCAAGTGTTGCTTCGCAGTAGAACCTGCCAAACCTAGTGCTTGCGTCTGATAGAACTCATGATTGTTTCAGTTACATAGGAATAAGGACAAAAATGCACTCTCCATCGCCAGACAAGATGGCAACAGTAGATCCGGAAAGAATAGGGCAAATCTTCCGGCCTGACAGGAACCGCTCGGGCGGTTGGCGTCAGCGCGGGCAGAAGAGTCCCCTTATGCCATGGTGGTGTTCCAGGTCACAGGGTTACTAGATGCAGCTGGCGCCTCCAGTCTATCGTCGGTATCCGCAGGCCAGAATACTGGCAAACCTGACGCAGAGCTAGTTTGCCATGCGATGCCCCATTGGAGAAGTATATCATAGCAAATTCCAGAATATGGGACCTTAGGCCCTCAGGCCTCAGGCCTCAGGCGTCAAGCCTCATCGGCTTCGAGTTAATCTTACCGCAAATGCTGAGTCCGGTATGATCTCGTCCTGTCAGAGAGGGGGCCGACACTGTCCCATACTGATGAACACTCGCTGAATTGATATCGACAGTTGCAGTGCGCTCCCAGTAAGTTACCGTCGTTGATTCGCTATCCAATCTCCAATGCAGAGGCACCGTTATCTGTGAGTTTCGCAATTTCTTGCCACACAGAGTACAGATCATACGCTCCAACTCTCTAGACGCCTGCTTGTCAGACAGATATAAGAGCCCAATCCGTAATCGTGAGAGAAACGCTACGGCTATGTCTTCCGCACAAGGAGCAGAGTTGCAAACACTAGTTCGAACTCTTTCTACGCTTCAGCGTATCTACTTCTCCTCAGGTGGGCGTATGCATCGATCACTTGCCTCTCACTGTTCACTGATGTTAGATGAGCAGTTGCAGCTCTCGCGTGGCTGGTCTTCGACATCACTATCACCCTGGGAGAGGAGGTACGCACCGATTTCAAGACGATTAACTATACTAAGAGACTTGCTGCTCCAGTATGAATTCATTTGGAAGTAGGCATTGATTTGCGATCCTTAGCTATCCTTGTATCAATACCGCACTGCAGAGCGAGATGGTCCTTCCCAAAAGTGCTGTACCTAGCCGCTAGATATTACGGGCTATTCAATTTGGCGTCAGTAAACATACCTATCTGCACGCGAATGGCTCTCACCCTGTTCTGCAGTTACTACATCAGCGGTAATTCTGCTATCAACGATATATGCTATTTCGTCTAATCTCCGATACAGTGTCTCTTAGTTCGACTGTTTCAGAAGACGTGAGTTAGAGTTGCTCGTACCCTTTGTCCATGCGCTGAGTGTTAGTTTAGTAGTAAGGTTTCATTTACCTCTCATGAGCTTGGGAATGATCATGTTCCAATTAGCTGCCGGGCATGGGTTTGGTTTGATGGCTTGTCAGTTTGCGGCTGTCCATGTAACGGTACCTCCAGCTGACATAACTGCTCTGAGTACAGCAGTAACTCGGTTTTTTTCACTACCACTGTTAACATGCTCTTTGTATTGCGGGTGCATGCTCTGTACGAAAAGAAGAAGACAAGTACGTCCGTAGTGTGCAACTTGTATTCCCAGATTACTATCTGATCGCTCCACAGTGCTAGCTTTTCTTTTATTCTTGTTCTTTGGTGCGTAGTAAACTAGCTTCACGAGATTGTAGTAATGACGTCTTCTCTTAGCGGAGTTTATTGTGGGTTCATCTGCGTAAACACTACTCAGGTCCTCCCTGACATCTATTGGAGGTTGAGGTGATATGTACGGCACTCACCGTGCATTCTGTGACAATCAACGATAGGACGCCCGGCTTACCTATCCTTGGCTGTTCGAGTTCAACTGTCCCTCATTGGACTTTGATGTCATGGTGAGCCCCGCCGTGCAAGCAGTAGATCTTTGCTGATATGGCCCGTGTTTGGCTAAGGATTCCGTGTCTCATTGTGGCTTGTAAGCATCTCCCTGAGCTGTCTGACAGTGCTACATGTGAAGGTTCCATCTACAGGTATATTCTACATACTAACCGCATACAAGTTGGCCAAAAATATGGACGTCCACAATTGGTTCAATCTGAAGCTATTCTTGTCACGTCTACATGCCCATCCTTTGATGGATGTTTTCTATCGGGATGGAAGTATATTCTTCGGCATGTGAGATCTTACACATAAATCTTCCGTTCTCATGCTGACTGTTGTGCGCAGGATTTTTCGTGAGCGCTTATGAATCTTGGACCTACGCGTATCTCGCTGATACTGTATTCTCAGTTGTGATCCTCTTGAACACAGTGTTCAATGTGATCGGAGGAACGTACCTCGAAATTGGAGCCCCGTTAGTCTTTACCTTCTCGATTGACTTGGTCCGCATACTCATCCGCCATCAATATCAGCTGGCTTTCTGCAACGTATTCCGTAGCAGTACGCTCTATCGTTAGGCAGAGCTATTCTGTGACATTGACTTGAGGGTAGGGTTCGCGGCTGGTTCTGAATCTCAAGACGATAAGCGCATCGCCCAATTCCACGCTTGAGATGCGCAGCTTCTCTGTGGCCCCAGGGACATTCAGAGCTGCTTCGAATGTGCATGACGGTACGGAAACCTATTCCATCCCATTGCACCGGCGCTCGGAGCATTGAACGTTTACGACGACCTTTGATGATGATACTTGATGATAGAAACCGTATGCCGTTCAAAATGATATTCTGTACCAGTACACGTAGAGAAGGAAACCTCCTATAGACAATGATAAGACACTAGGGTCCACGTCTGACGTTCCATGTAATTTAGGGTGAGTGCGGCCGCGTGGCCCAACGAATGACTAAATCTTTGTCACTGTGCAAAATTCGAAACTCCGATGTAAGTCTACGCCTACGGATGACTGCACGCCTCTCGATCGATGAAAATTGGACATAGGGCTGAGTCAGGCGGTGACTCAAATTTAGCAAGCGGACCTCTCACCCAGCGTGGACTCAAGTTTTTTGGTGGTGGCAAAACATGGCAATTGAACCGACACAAAGTACTTCGCGCCTACACCTGATATACAGCAGTACATATAACCAAGTAAGTCTTAAACCCGGTCTGATACTAGAACTTCTACTAGTAAACTCGCGAGATTATCATACTGTCGAAGATGTTATATGACTTGTGAATGCTGCGCCGACTGCGAGGTGCAGCAAATAACTAAATCTTTGTCGCTGTGCAAAACCCCAATGTGAGTCTCGGTGCGTTTCGGGACCAGAGGCTCCTTCACGAATGCCCCGTCCGAGCAGTTCACGACCCCAACCGGAGTTGGGTCCATCAGAGATATCACTAAGATGATGAACAGCTTGACCTCATACTCCGCAACGAAACGACCCTTGCACTGACAGCATTGTAAGCCATAAAACAATCAATTACGAAGGAAGGGTTTACAGCATGGCTTCCTCCTCCCCAGAACATGAGATTGGTATCGACACGCCTGCCGTCCTTGTAGAACTTGGGCGCGGTGTGCCCATCGTCCTCCAGGAAGCGATCCATGCGGAATTCCGTGGGGGCGCTATGTACATCTGGATCGAGGTTGACGAACGTGGGCAACCCAAATACCCACCCGCCCTCAGGGACATGGTAAGACCTCTGGCCCGGAACATCGAAGATCGTGTCTTCCTTTGCGACCCGCGCGATGATGAACTCAGAGCACAACCTCAGCGTCTCCTTCGTCGCTGACTCCAGCAGCGGGAAGTTGGAGGCCTCCAGAATCGCAGGGTCCGCAGCAACTAAGCGCTTGATACTGCCTCCGCAGTCCCTTTGCAGCACCTCGTGAAGCTCGCTCCGGATGCGTGCGATGCAGGCGGCATCGACGAGGATGTACGACAGACACCAAAATGTCAGCCACATCGTGTTTCCCTGTGAACCCCACAGGAATGCCAGTAGATGGCCGACTGTGTCCTCTCGGCTCCAGCCTGCGCGCCGCATGGCGATAGCAACCTCGAACGCTAGGTTTGGGTCCGGGCCAGTGCTGCTACCGTCTGACAGGCAGGGCTCTAGATGTGTGTGGATGATGGAGAGGAGGTTGTCACGAGCTCGCTGGTACCGGGGAAAGAAAAATGTAGGCAGTCCTGATGACAACGATGTGAATCCCTTGTCGAAGACCAAGAATTCCGGCAATGCAGCGTCCGCCGGGAATCCCATTCCGAAGGACGTGCGTGATGAACATCGGAAAAAGGCAGGAAATATGAGGTCCTGCAGACGCATCTCGAAGGTGGAAGCAGAATGGTCGATGAGAGCTTCGAGTGAAGCCAACAGCAGCGGACCGAAGACGGCAGTAGTGGCTCCCATGAGCGCCTTTGAATAATAAGGGTGGAATGCGACAGGATATACCTGGTCATCGACTTCTGGCGAGGTCGCTGCATCGAACGACATCTTGAATGTGCGAGTGTGTACGAGTCCACGGATCGGATAAAACGAGAGCTGCTGAGAACGCCTCATGAGTGCGGCGATAAAAGATGGAGAAGTCATGAAGGTCGCATCTCGGCCGGCAAGCGTTGTCCTGAAAATAGGTCCGTGATTTTCCCTGGGAGTGGATGAGCGTAAGATGATACGTGAGATGACTGCAGAACTTACCGAGCCCGCTGCACAAATTCTATGCGATTGTACGCGTACTGTATTGCATTGCCGAGCCAAGGCCATCCGGAGGGCACGAGGGGTGGCCTCTTCGCATCGCGCCCGGAGTCGGAGACGACAGCCAACGTCTTCTTCGCGTATAACAGAGCAAGGAAGGCTGCGATGACCAGAGCGACTATCGCCTGAGGTGAAAACCGAACTGTCGCAGGCAGGTATGTTTCTAGGGTTGCTTGCATCTCCGAGTCGCACTGAGGGTTGAACACGGACTTCAACACGCTGGAACTTGTCCTCATGTTGTGTAGGGTTATCTTTTATATCCACAAGCCTTCATATTCACGGCGTCTTGATAAACGAGCCATTTACAAACCTTGGACGATTGCAAGGCACGACAATCTGTTGCACAAGTCCGAATCAGCGGTTGATGAGCTTCAGTATCAGCGACGCACCATTGGTTGGCATTATGGGCTTCCGTACTGGAACACAACTGAGCGACAGAGAAGACAATCACTGTAAGATGGGCATGACCTGATGGCGCTCAGAATTCCGATGTTGTCAGATCGTGAGGCCAAAACACCGTTAGTAGACCGCGAGGCCCAAAACACTGTTAGTAGACCGCGAGGCCCAAAACACCATTAGTAGTGTCGCACAAGGGCATTGATGTTCGAATCAAAACCTACTCGCACATAGCAGGACATTAATCCCGGAAAGACTCCGCAAGACCCAAATTGAACTTGTCAGCATACCATGCACCTCAATAAGATTCAGTGAACTCTTGTGCAACGTGCTATATTGTGACATAGCAACTGACGATAGCAAGCTGGCCAGCACAACGGATACAGAACACGGCCGATCCCGAACCCATCTCACTCACTGATAGAGTAGGGTCTCATCTCTCTGAAATTTGGCGCCGCGAATTTGCCCTACAGCATATCTCCATCTCGCAGAAGTTCCGCGCAGCGAGCATGTGGCGGCGGGCGTTCCCCCTGAAAAATCAACCCGCATTACATCCTTTACGATCGATTGCATCTATACCTCTGCTTCGTAGACAGGTCTCACGTTCCACCATCTATAACTTTCGAATGTGGTCCACAGAAAGCTGAAATCCTCTCCGGTACGCTATCATCGCAGCATGTATCGTTTGTTACTCAACGACCGACAAACTCTGATTGCGCTAGGTACTTGTAATGACTTGCAGAGGCGAAGTAGCACCGCTCATCTGGCATGGCCAGGACTCACCGTCGCTGCGACGTCCTCCATTATTCCCCAGTATAGGAACTGGGTCGCTACGCAAGAGGCAGACAGTCTCGGCCTCACATCGAACTTCCACTTTGCTCGTCGATTCCCAGGGGAACCTCTCCTGAAGGCTCTGGCACGACATGAGCATTATCTTTTCATGCAGCTGCCTGTGCGGCGAGGTAGGCGAGTACTCGAAATTGGTTGCGGAACCGGCGGCAGAGCTCGCGAACTCGCACACTTTTCTGACGTCGATGTCGTCGGAGTTGACGCGGACGCGTCGAACGTAAGTGCCAGTGTCAGATGGAACTGGAATACTTGTTCTATTATCAAACATAGATCGAGCTCGCTCGCATTTGCACAGAGAATGCTCAGCTGAGCCACTGTGTAAGCTTTATTCAAGGTATGTCCTATGTCCTGTGTTTTCTCCGCCTGTTAATTTCATTGTACCAGCCTCAATGGAAACCCTCTGTGCCGTCTTCGAAGACAATTCCTTTGATGCAGTGTTCTCCGTGGAGTCGATCACAGTGAGCCTGTTATATGAACACCGACTCTGTCTGATAGATCCTGTGCCTTCAGAGTAGTGGGCACTTTGATGCCGCCTGCAGCCAAGTAAGACGAATCCTGAAACCCGGAGGCAAGGTACTGCGTGTTTGTTTCCTGTCGCCATTGCCCTAATCGGTACTTACCCCTGTGCACAGTTTGCTTTCTATCGTTGGTGCATGTCCGACGCATGGGACGCAGGACGCATGGATCATCGCCAAGTATGGCAGCAGCTGGGCCAAGCCATCCTCTCTCATGGCCAGCCACTTCAAGTCCAATCAATAGATAACACGACCGCGGCTCTGGGTCTCGCTGGCTTCTCTCTATGCCACTCCGAGGACTTGGCCAAGCGCGTCGATGATGTTCCCTGGTATCACACTCTCGAAGAACTGGAGCACGGCCGCCCTATCGAGGCTGTATCGTGGGCATGGTGGAACGAAGGCCCAAACGCTGAACCAGCCGAGCATGCTCAGGACCGAAATCGGTCCCTGTATTTCGCCGTCCGCACCATTCTGAAGGCGGGAAGACTGGGCGTGGGTTCCGTTCGTGTTGTCTTTCCGATGCGTTCTGATGCCGTATTCTGTGTGGGCCAGCTATTGACGCCCATGGCGCTGTTCGTTGTGCAAAAGAACTCTGATGCCCAGACGCTGAGCCGCGCTGCCGTGTCTAGTGGGTGTGAGTAGAGATGGTTTGCACTGTATCCCAGATGGAGCGGCTTCGTCGCCAGGGGTTTGATTCTGGCTCACATCCTTCCTATAACATTATACAATACCCCTGTGATATCAGACGTTCATGAATGTAGAAACCCTGGATGCCATCATGGTTCTGCCTTCTCGGATCTTCTGTGCATCGATGCGTACAGCGCAGCGTAACACACGGTTTAATAGGAAGGCTCCATCATGTTATACATGTCATGGGCAGGTCATGAGTACATGAGCATATGAATAATAGAGCACTGAGGACTCAATTCTACAGCACCTTTACCTCACACCATCGTAGGCGCCAGACAAACCTAACGCTGACAGTGACAGGTGCAGTGCCGGTAGAACCCGACGTGATGACATCCCAGTAGCACCCGATGATACTACCTCGGAAGCAGAATTCCTTGGCCATCCTGAGCATTCTGTGTGTACTTATTCTGAGTTATCAATTTGTCTAAACTTTGAGAGCCGGTGAGACAATGACATAAGGTTGCTGGCAACATCCTGCCATCATCAGGTGGTATCTATATGAGTCTAGAAATATTAATCATCCACTGTGAACCCTTGCCATAGCGATGCAAATTTCAAGACTGGGACAAGCATTGATGGACCCAGACTTGCACAGCAACAACGCTGCCTCAAGACACCCCCTCAGACGTCTTCCCATCCTGCAGGCGTATGTTCCGGACCAACCTGAAGACACATTAGCTGCCGCGCACAGAACGACCCAGCTCCATGAGATGTCAAATGGGAGCATACTCACATTCCCGAGAGACTGGCCAACGCACCTGCGGGCACGCCGATGAGGAACACGCGGCTGATGCTGAACGTGTACGCGTGTAGGACCGCTGCGCGCATGTCCGGGGCGACCTCCGCAATCGCCGTAACGCTCTGCTCGACAGCCACGACGAGCGCTGCAGGAAGCTGCGGTGCGTACACCCGCAGGTTCGTGCGGAGCAGATTGGTGAAGATCGTGCCGCTAATTCTGATGTGGGCAGCATGGGCGGGAAAAAAGAGATCAGAGATCGAACTGCGAGGCGAGACGCAGCGGGGAAGGACGCACGAAACTCCAGCGACGCCGCCCAGTACCTGTGTGAAAGTCAGAACGGTAGTCGCCTGTGCGAGTAGGCCGTCTTGGCCTTCCCACTCTGCCTACGTTGTCATCAGCAATAGCATGTAGAGAGGCAATGCGCAGATACTTACCTGACATGCAATGAAGACGTTCTGCATAGCACCACCTATAAGTCAGCAGCCACATCAGTAACCACCAGGTACAGTTGATTATGCGAGTGCGCACCAACACCAACACCATCTACGGAATGTCAGTGAAAACTTGTGGAGCAGGACAACAGTATGACTTACAAAGGATCTGGAACCCAATGGCATGCGAGTTCGGTGTACTGATAGTGAGGCTTGAGAGCAGTCCTGCACCTATGCTGCACAGTAGAGGAGAAAGTACGAGGACATGCCAATAACGGCCGGTCATCTGTGGGACATTGTTCCATGCTCAAATAATATATTGCACCCCCTGCACTCACCTTGATAATTGCTCCGGATGCGATTGATGCTGGTGAGGATGTTAGCTAGTATGTAAACAGGAATGCAAGATATGCCTACCTATGATAACAGACAGCATAAATGGCAGGATATCCACTCCTGACTTGGTTGCACTGTGACCCTGGGCTTGGTACCTGTGCAGGAAATTTTAATGGCAGTTTAGGACAATACTACAAAGTGGTCAGCACAAACCACAGAGGTAGATAGTACTGGTGAAATGACATGAGTATCTGTTCAGTGGACTTAACAGAACCTCCACATACTGTTCCATTCAAGAGACCCAACCCAATGAATGCCTGTTGACAAATTATAAATCACAGTTGCACATTATCTATGATCCAGACTCACAGATTCCAAGGTGGTCCCGACCTGCGTACGGCTCAAGAAAAGACGCAGTGGAAGGAGGGCTGATGAGCCCTTGTAATACTCCCAAGTCACAAACAATATCATAAGCACACCAGACACAACAAAGAGAGCTATGATCACTGCGCTATCCCATGCATAAGTCGCTCCACCCCATTGAAGAGGAAGCAGCAGGGCCACGACGGCAGCGAGACTGAGCACAGCGCCGACCCAGTCTAGCATGTACAACAGCTCGAAGCGGCGAGCTGGTTCGTCCCTCTCTCTTCCTAGAGCTCGGCGCGTCTTGAGGAAGAAGAACACCGCGACCATGATAACACCTACAAACTGAATGTAGATGAGCAGAGGCGGCGACATGGAATTCAACAATAGACCTACGGGTAGGTTGATGAAGAAGCACCAGCGCCACGTAACATGGTCTACGACAGATTTTTCAGCATCTCATAGCAGCGTTCAGTTATACACAAACCGGTGAATGCGCCGCCTATGGAGTGATGTCAGTACCTGACATGTTGAGCCGCAGATTATTTCGCACCTATCAGTGGACCTACGATAGATGCTAAGGCATGCATCATGCCGAGCAAGCTGAACAGCATGGTCCGATCTTCAATTCTTGAATTCTAACATTGTCAGTTTTTTCGTAATGAAGTCCGAACGAGAACATACTTGAGCGATGATAATAAGGACTGCATTGACCACCCTTGCAAACAAGTCAACGTGAGCGCTATAACAACGTATAAGGGCGTACCCTGCACCCCCAGTTCCTGCAAACGCTCTGCCAAAGATGAGAACAGGAAAAGATCGAGCAACAGCACATATGAGGCTGCCAATGCCGAAGACTATGAGAGAGCATAGGTAGACGTGTTTTGCTGGCGCCAATGTTAACAGCTGGCCTTGGAATAGCATTAGACCGGCAAAGGTGAGCAAATCTTGTCAATTCATGCACGTTAGCGGGCAGACCCAGATACCAGAAGATGACGAGTTACAGGAGGTCGCGACCCATGCGGACTGAGAAAGTTTGTCAAACTGAGACGCAATCCTAGGCAAAGCGGTTGCAACCTATGGAATTGCCAGGAAGCTCGTTCAAGCCTATTGTGAGTTGCAATGTAGTACTCACAATCGTCTGATCCAGGTTTGCCAGCAGAATGGAGACCATGAACGCACTAAGTGTGTGGTTGGTCAGGTGTGGTACTGTGAGGGTGACCGTCTACGGTCTGACCTGATGGTGGACCACATTTTCTTGTCCAAAGGAGATTGCGACGCAGATTCTGTCTCTTCCGCTGAGACGTGAGTACCGTCAAGGTTTTCTGAAACGTTTTTGTCTGCAAGACTACTGATAGCTAATGTCTTGTCTTCCGTGGAGACATCCACGGCAGCATCCTCTGAAAGAATGATGTGAAATGAGTTAGCAAAGTACGTGAAGGCTGGCTCACCAGGTTGAAGCATTGTGTGGACGTAGATGCGTCCGAAGGGGAGGTGTCGGGCGATAGGTATGTGGCGCAAAAGTCAAGGTTGAGGTGGACCGACTCCAGGCGTGGGTAAGAGGCCATTTCTGCACATCACGGGGAAGTCCATACTTCGAGATGGCAGTGAGCGTCTACAACGACGGGTGCAGGAGAAGGGGCGCAGAACCGTCTGCAAGGACACCGGCCATATTTGGGCACGGAATCCATTTTCATTCTTGGCAGTGCCTCGATCTGATCGGGTGATCTGTAGTTTCGCGGCACTTTCCCGTGGCTACGAGTCCGACTCCGAGGCTCTGTCGCTGTGCGCCAGCGTTTGGCCAGCGTGGTTCTGCATCATCTCCGCTGGCATATGTCTTCCAGAAAATGGATGCGTAGCTCTCGGCGCTACGCCCAATATTAGCGCCATTCGCACTCTTCCGTTTCCACGCCGACATCGTGCCACATTCAGCATGCACTCTCCAACTTTAATTAGCCCTCTCGCCTTCACTTCGACCACACGATGTGGGGAAAGGTATTCGTAGCTGCTTTCTTCGTGTTCCTCACGACGCGGATTCTGCGCTTTCGTGCAAATCTCAAGGTGAGCCAATCCAGCGTGGTTCACATCCGTTCTGACGCTCTCGTATTGTCAGACGGTTGGAAACCTCCCCGGTCTGCGCAGTGCATTCAATCCTTTCTCTCTGCTCGGTGCCATTACCCCCACGTGTTACCTGAATGGGGGGCTCAATTGGCAGTGGCTGTGGCGCAGGTCTAGTGAGTAGCCATCAACCACATAATTTCCGACTCTGATTGTGCACAGTTTACAAGTACTATGGAAAGCAAACCATCTCATGCGTACCCATTTTGCATGGCGAACCAACCGTCTACACAATCTCTCAGGATGTAGCAAAACAAATTCTGACCGCTAGCCATGGTTTCTTCAAGTCTCCCGAGTCCACTGCGGCGTTAATGTGAGTAAATCATGTAATAGCATAATACAACTGTTTACTGTGAATTAGGCTGTGGGGAGACAACGTGGTATCATCCAATTACGATACGTATAGGAAGCACCGTCGTGTTGTCGGCCCTGCATTTACTGGAGCTACGTGCGTTAAACTTCCCTCTGTACAAAAAGGCGGTTAAACCGCTGTCCTCCGTCAGGTATGCCTTCGTCGCAAAGGAAACGGTCCGCCTGTATTATGAAATGGTTGACGGAGAAGATTGGCCTCAAAAACAAGTTGTCACCGTAGACTCCATCAATCAATATCTGTCCAAGGTATGTCTTTCCATGTGAGCTTTATCTTTCTGCTGATTTTCGCAGTTTGCACTCGGGATTGTTACGAGATGTGGATTCGGACTCCCTTTTACATGGGTCGCGTCCACGGAAGACGCCGATGGGTTGTCATTTGACAAAGCCCTCGCGATCGTCTCGGAAGGTGCGATTATGCGTCTCGCAACGCCAGGGTGGGCATACAAGCTACCCATCGAAAAGTAAGCTGCCACACTTGGTTGAGAATGAACGCTACAACGTGAGACAGGCTTCACGAGCTGGATAACGCGTATCGCCAGCTCTCCGTGTTCATGAGCTCCTTCGTTGCAAACAAAAAGGAAGAACTTTCTTCTTCTGCCGATCCCGTCGAGGGCGCCGGTAGTGATCTCTTCACGCGCCTTGTGACCGCGAGCGAAGCTGAGGGAAAGGACGGCCTGGTGGAGTCAGAGCTTGTAAGTAATATGGGTCTACATCATCTCATTCCAAATGAGATAAATTCCATCCTCCATGGACCAGATTGGAAACATCTTTACTTTCATGTTTGCCGGTCACGGTGCGCACTCCGACTATTATCAACTTGCATGACAATACAACTGATGATGATCAGAAACTACGGCTCATACTCTTGCGGCAACGGTGGCGATGCTTGCCTTGCACGAGAAGGAGCAAGAGGACGTGTACAAACACATCCAAAAAGTTATACCGAGTGGCCGGGACCCGGTAAGTCATCCATTAGCACCAGTTCTTGGTATTTTGCCTTCATGAACTTTTCGATAGACATTTGAAGATTATGTTCGCCTGGACAAAGTCCTAGCCTGCTTCCAAGAGGCTGCGCGGCTCTTCCGTGAGCATAGAATCCTGTTGTATGGGCTGTCATTACTAATTGAGAGCTCTCAGCCGCGGGCTACGTGGTCACCCGAGACACGACAGAAACAGTCGCGCTCAGAATTCCCCCTGAAGACGGTGGCGGGACCCTCGTCCTACCTCCGGGCGTGCGAGTCATCATCGACATGATAGGCCTCCGTAAGTGTTGTCCTTTGTTCCCCCGCAAGGCAACTCACATCTTGCACCCGCAGACTACAATCCCAGCCTGTTCCCCGATCCTGAGCAGTTCGACCCCTCACGCTGGCTCGGCATTGCAGAGAGCGAGCTGTCATTCTTCGGGCTCGGCCCGCGTGCATGCCTCGGGCGCAAATTCGCGATGACGGAGGCGGTGTGTCTCCTCACGCTCCTCGTGCGTGACTGGGAGCTAGGGGTTTCGCTCAGAGAGGGCGAGTCGAAGGTGCAGTGGCGCGAGCGTGTTATGCAGGGTAGGATGCTGGGACTCGCGTTTGGCGTACCGAACATCCCGGTGCGGCTCAGACGTAGACGGGCAGCCTGAATAGACAACCTGGCATGAACCTGTACAGCTGTAAGTACGGCGTTGTTAACTTTCCGGCTTGTGCTGCAGTGCTGCGTCACTGGTCCCTGATATACTCGATTGCCCATCTGTGGGTTCGAAAGCGGTGCGTGTTATCGGTCTGTTCTGATCAAACACAGAGAAACCTGAAAGGGCCGCTGTTCGGCGGCACCCCCCGCGAACAAGCTCAAAGTTTCAGTAACGTAGGCAAGTATTCCGCTGTCCTCCGTGCGCAGGTACTGAATATTGAATCGCAGAACAGTGCGCTCGATCCCGGGCCTGACAAGGAGAGCATATATCAACGAGAACATGGGCTGTTCAACGATGGGACGGTCCGCCGGAACTCGTCACCATTCCCACCGTGATCATATCCTGCGCGATCGCCCATCCGGAACAGGGTCCAGGGTTTATTTCTGAGTTCTGTCGACCCAACTGAATGCTCAACTCGGCTGCGATAAGCCGGTGAGCTCTATCTAGCGGTCCGTACCCGCATTACTTTCCTATATGTAATGTCGAAATATTGATATAATTGGAAAGTCAGAGTGGCAGTCGCTGTTGATGCTACGCATGGAGCCGGGGCTACACTTGCAGGCGATCCGTGACCGCCAGGCGGTGTTATCTTTGATGTAGATAGCTCAACCGCTCACACGCCACTTCAATGGGGCCTGACAGAACCGAGCTGAATTGTCCTGCCGGTGCCCAAACCTTGACGCACGAAAGCTCCCACAGTTGATTCTTGTTGCGCTGCAGAAGAGGGACCAAGAGTCACTCTGGCACTGTTTTGCATCAGCACCTTGGCTCTGCATTTATCGGATTGATACGCACAGCTGTTCCGACATCGTGACTTCCTTGTAGCACATGTCACAGTACGACTTCAGGATTATCTTCGAAGCCGTGTTTTCACGAAGTGTATACGCATCTCTTGTTTTCAGGCGCCTGATTGTCGTATGTAGTATAAGAGTTTGACTTGCAGTCGCACTGAGTCGGACCATGAACATGTCTTCCGAGGACGGCCGCGCAGCAGAGCTTCAAGCCCTTGTTCACACACTTACTCTACTCCAGCGCAGCGATCTTTCCTCAGGTCCGTGGTCTACCCGATCTCCTTCCCGATTCTGGTCTTACCGGCATTCTATTTCGTAGTCGCTGCCCTTACATGGCTTGTTTACGATATATCTATCACGCTTGAGCAAGAGGTACTATTATATCTCGTGAACCTGAATAATCTGTACCGATCAAACGTGATACGCAGGTTGACTTCATTTGGAGGTTGGTGTTTTCATCCAGCCATCTTGGTAAACACCAATGTGTCTCTGTGGCGCAGAGCAAGGTGGTCACTCCCAAAATTTCTTTACATAGCAGCAAGATACTATGGACTGTTCAACTTAGCGTGAGTGCACATTCACCCTTTCGGCGAACCGTCCTCTCATCTTCACCTGTAGATTTTACATTCATGGTAGATGTTCATTCATAGAGATGCCAGACTTAATGTCTCACCATTCGTCCAGTGTCCCTCAGCTTGACAGTGTCTGAAAACGTACGTTCTCTGATTCTCCTACTGCCTTGGCATGTGCTAACTGGGCTGAGTAGTAGTGAGAACTCACGTTGCTATTATCTTCTCTGATTAAGTTCAGTGTGCATCTTCATTCGATCAGCTGTAAGCCGTGGGTATGGTTTAATGCCTTGTCAGTACCGCGTCCTACTCCTTGATTAGACGCCAAGCTGACAGGCCGAGGTTGGGAGAACAGCAGCAACTCGGTATTCTTCACAACTACGGTCAATCTCCTTTTTGTAATCCGGATCCACGCTATCTACGAGAAGAAAAGAATAAGTAAGCTCAAGGAACCGCTCACGTCGCTATATCACGTTCTGATGATAGTTCTTTAGTGTTGGCTTTTTTGTTGTTTTTGTTCTTTGGTGCGTGATTGACTAGCTGTGGGAGAGCAAAGTAATGACCCTTGTGTTCAGCGGAATTCATTGTAAGTTATGCTGTGTCTGAATGGTGTCGCATTAATGGCTTTGATGTCGGTTGTAGATTGAAGTAGTTTGCACGACATTGATCGTCCGATCTGTCACGGTGGAGGAGAGGCCATCTGGACTGCCTATTCGTGGATGTACAAGTACAAGCGCACCAGATTGGACTCTGGCCGCATGGTAAGTCGCGACGTGCTATTAAATAGTTAGTCGCTGTGGAAAAGGCTCATTTTCCGGTCATTGATTTTCCATACAGGATTCCATGTCTCATCGTTGCTTGTAACCTTTCTCACTAAGCTGTCGATGACGTTGCATGCTGATTCCCGGCCACAGGTATATTTTATGTCCTCACCACATACAAGCTGGCCAAAAACCTGGGTATCAAGAATTGGGTTAACCTCAAACTAATTTTCTCTCGCCTGCATGCATATCCCATTATGGATATCTTCTACAGGGATGGCAGCATATTCTTTGGACTGTGAGATTTTGTTCATGCATCTCCAGATGATGTTCGTACTGATATTAACTTCAGGATTTTCGGTCTGCCCTTATTCATCTCAAGTCGAGTCATAGTGCTAATTCTCTGTCTTGTCCAGTCGTCATTCTCTTGAACACAGTATTCAATGTACTGGGAGGTGCATATATCGACATCGGAGCGCCGTTAGTGTCTGCGTTTATTCGCACGATCGATCGCGGACACTGATCCGATTCTTACTGCAGTTGGCTTTCTGCATCGTATTCTATAGCTGTTGAGTCCTTCATACCGTTGAGGCGATGCAGAGTCGATTGCTAATTCCAAATCGCGAGCAGGGATCTCGACTGGTTCTGAATCTGAGGACAATGACTTCAATACCGGACTCCAAGCTCAATATGCGCAGTTTCTCAGCCGAGGGGACTTTCAGAGCTGCGTCGAATGTAACTGCACCCGATGATCTTGACAGGGATTCAATTCCCCTGCAACCTCGGCAGGGGTGGGGCACGTCAGGTACAAGCCATGAAGTATAGCTCCTCTGTGCGTTATTTCACGGAGTATTCACCGTTGCTAGTTTCACCTCAGATAATGGATGCTGCAGGAGGGCGAAAAGAGCGTGCACAGTCTTCCTATTCCAGAGGCAGAGCGCGAGACTCCGAAGTCTGTGGTTAAGCGGAGTCGTAGGATTTTTTTGGACTTGCCCGACGTGCAGTGATGAGCGTTCTGCTGGTTGGGTTTTAATGGTTGTTTGTTTCTGTGCCATCTGATACTGCGAAGCGTTGCGGTTCAAGTTGTTGGAGTAGTCTAGTAAGTATTGCCAGGAGGCATTGATATGTTCTTTATGAAATATGAACAAGTCGATTACTTGTTCTCTGCAGACAGTATCGTGAGTAGTGAAGCCTTTTATTTATGTGAAAATACCAGATATCGTTCTCAATGCTAGTGTCGTCGAATACAACACCTTCCTAAAACGGTGAGTCACCCGAGCACACTCGGGCGTCAAGGCTGCCGACGCGGAGGACCGCGAACACATCCATGCCATCCTCGACGACAGCCTCGCAAACAGAGCTTCAGGAGGCCCGCGTTCCTCTCGCGTGGCGGGACCAGTGCTCAGCGTACGTTGTCTCAGCTCGCGCTCCCTGAAGCGTCCCTCTGACTGACGGCTCCTACCTCATCTCATACAAACGCACCTGTGGACTATTGTCGCGGTAATATGTGGCGGTGTGGACAGTCTGTTGATCCCCTTGAACGTCTGTAGGAAGGACAACTACTACCTCCCGTGGGAATGCACGAACGAGCGGCATGCGTATGAAAAGTGCGTTCCTTGTCTTGTCTATTGATCTATATACTGACTGTGGGCTTCTCGTTGCGTGTGCAAAGGTGCCAATACGACGAGTAAGTTTTCCGTAATTCTCTCCACGTGGATTGACTGGAACGTTCGCGCTAGTTACATGCGCCGGATGAAGCGATTGGCGAAGCAGAAGGCGGCCGCGCTGGCGGAGGACGAGTAGGCTACGCAGCCGAGGACTCCGCTCCACTTTTGTAATTGAATGCAAGCAGTCCTTTCTCAGATTCCACGCGCATAAGTGCACACAGCGATAGTGGAGTTGAGGTTGCGACCAGCAGAGCAAACAATACACGAATTATACACTAATAAGCCAAGCATACTTCCTCCGACGTCCGCTACACCCGCTTCCCCGTCTGCTCCTCCCACACGCCGACCTCCTTCTTTACGCGCTCCACAACGTCCTCCATCGGGCTCGCCTTCCCGAATGCCTCGACGAAGCGCCCGTGTGGGTCCATGAGGTAGAAGTAGATCGAGTGGTCGACGAGGTAGTCATCGCCAGGCTGCGCATCACGCGGGGTCGAGAAGTACACGCGGTACGCCTTGCACGCCGCGCGAACCGCCGCGTACTCGCCCGTGAGCCCGACGAGGCGCGGGTGGAACTCGGACACGTATCGCGCGACCTGTGGGACCGTGTCTCGCGCGGGGTCGACGGAGACGAAGATCGGCTGTACAATCGGGCCATACGCCTTGTCTGTGTGCCGCCGTCAGCGCCATGGACCTAGCGAGTAGCTTGTGGAGGCAGAGACGCACCAAGCTCGGTCACCGCAGCACTCATCTTGTCGAGCTCCTCTGGGCAGATGTCGGGGCAGTTTGTGAAGCCGAAGTAGATTAGGCTCCAGCGCCCCAGTAGGTCCTTGTCCGTGAACGTCTTGCCGTCCTGTGTTGTGAGCGAGAACGGCCCGCCTACGTTGGGGCGCCCGACGTCCTTGTCTATCAGCTCTTTTTCTGTGTCCATAAGAGTAAGAATGTGAGAACCTAAGTGCATTAGAGGGTGTGAGCACGCACGTCGCTGCTCATGCAGCTTTTCCTTCTCGTGGCGGAAGTAGAAGAAGAGGCCGACGCCAGTCGCGACGAAGATCGCAGCGGCGGTCGGCGTGAAGACCTGGAAATGTGCTCATGAGAACCGTCGTCTCTCTTTCAAACTCTCTGCAGTACGCACGCCGACTGCAGACCTGTCCCGCTCGCCCGAGGGTGTCTGCTGCTTTGAGCCCCCGCTCGTCTCAGAGTAGTTCCGCTTCGGGTTCGCGCATCGTGGTGTGGACTTAGCTGCTGTGTATAGATGGCGAGCAGAGGCTGAGCATCTTGCGGCTGTTCTACGGGCTGAGGATGTGAGGGCAAGTGCGGACATCGCGTGCAGCGCGTGACCGACGTCGAGGACGCCCTTCAGCTGCTGCCGTGATGTCTGGATGTTGTGACTAACACCGACTGTCTAGACTGTTGTGCATACATCCAGATAGACGCAGGCTTATTCGGACGAACATGCTTTTGTCGGGGCGTAGAAGACACAGAAATATACGGTCTGGCGCACAAACATCCATTTCTTTGAAAGTCAGTACTCTGCACGAACCTCCTCATAACTTCCATCTCAACCAACACCTCCGGGGTGGCGCTCTCTCCTACAGATGTATAGGCGGCACTTCAAGCTCGCCCAGACTCATCTTCAACATCTTCCCTTCCCTCAAAACTGAGATTCAGCCGTCCTCCACAGGTACCCCGAGACAAGCTTATAGCTGCATCTGGCACAATCGCGAAATACCGCAGGTTAATCTGCACGTCAAGGCGCCTATTCGTTGACGAAATCGGCGCACATATTCGAACGTTGTGTTGCTGATGTCCGAGGACTGGCAGGTAAAGAGGTCAAGTTGCGGCTCGTACACGAACGTATTGAACGCGGGTGTTCCTCGTTGACCCTGAGCTGGTAGCGGAGCGGTGCCGAGAGGTCGAGCGCTGTTTCATTCATGTGCAAGAGTTGTAGGACCAGGAGAAGTCTGACATACCCATCGAGCGTCCGGCGCAATGCGTAGCTTGGGTGCCAGCTTCTTGACCCACTAGGTGTAACCGTTTATAAGGAAACTGATACGCCCACGCCTCCAGGACGGCCCCAACGATACGTACACCTCTCTGAGGTCTTGCAGCGCCGCGGCGAAGAGCGCAGCGACGTGCCCACCACGCTTTTCGATTTAGCGACTTACAGATAACGCCGTGTTTAGTAGGAGCCAGCGACGCTCCGGGCTGGGCCACAGGAGGATCACTTTGGTTGACCCGTCCATGTCCTCTGGCTGTGCTAGCTGGTGCGCCACGTAGCGGACCGTGTCCCAGGGAGTGTTGCGGACACGCCGTAGGGTGTCCGCCACGAGGGGGTGTACCTGTCCGGGGCGGCAAAGACGTAGCAGTCGCGCGCGCGTAACGCCCGACGAAGACGAGAAACCAGGCGATGTCGCGTTCGGACCTCACATAGCGTTGCAACTGCCTATAAAATTGACGCCCAGAACGTACACGCAGGTGCTCTCCAAACGTCTACGGGTGCATGCAAAAGTGCACCGTTTTTCCCAGCTAGCCGAAAGCACTCCCGCCTGGCCTGTACGTGGAAATAGCGGCCCGAGAAGTACTGCCGAATGTCCCCCATGGCAGAGTGGACGAGCGCCCATGTTCACTCTGGGACCGCGAAGTCGTCGGTGTTGTCGTCCATGTCCACGTTGGCGTCGTGGAAGAGGTAGAGCAGGTTAATGCCCATCTGAAAACAGCCAACTGACGTGCTCTGAGGCATAGGACGGTAAAACAGTGTCTTCCCTCGCTTGAGAAATGTCAGTTGGCAATCCATCCAGTTCTTAGGAGATGCAGAGCTCACCAACTTGCAGCACCTGCCTGTGCTCATCGCGCATTAGGATGCCATTCAGTCTGAAGGGAATGCACGGATGCTCCTCAAGCACTTGGCCAGTGGCGGGAACCAAGGGGAGAAAGCGGATAGCACGATGCGGCTAAGCGAAACATTCTCGCCTCTTAAGCCTAGCACGCAACAACATGTGGGTCCTATAGCGATGGAGACTTATTCCTTGCGACGTCTACCTTCTTGGAAGTAAGCATATACTTTACGCAATAAATAGACAAAGCGAGCCGGAAGACGAAGCGAAGACGGGTGAGGTCTCAAGGCTCTGCGCCGATGCATTGCATGAACTTCTCGTAGGTTATCACTTGATTACGCTCACGAATGTGCGTTCGAATTGCACTGTCACAGAGCGCAACCTCTGCTGTATCTTCGCTTTCCATCAGGAATGCCCGCTCGTTGCGCAGTTCTCTGAGAGCACTCGGATTGGCCCGGGCAACAAGGATTCGGAGTTGGGAGACCCATGTCTTTGTGACTATGGCGTACTTGGGATGAGCTTTAGCCATCACCTTCTTGTACTCCTCTGGTTCGTGCAGGAAATCTCTCTTGGCTCTGCCTATGTCAACAAGCGTGCTGGCTTCCCATAACCCCGCTTCTCGGAATGTGTGCTTGTCCGGGTCAAATAACACGCAGAACCAGGCCAGCAGGTAGAAAAATGACTCGAGGTCATGCCGATACCGATGGTAGGGCATGCTGCCATAGAGTAAAAGGTCCAGTGCCATGTAGGGACCCGTGCCTATGCGGTAGCGAGGTTTCGTCTTTGGCGTCTTGTCTCCATCCGCGGCCTGGTCAGCCTGCTGCTCTTTTCCCGGCCTCTCGATGGCTTGATCGTTAGGTCTGTCTGTGGCCTTGGCTTCAACCTCAGTCGCTGGGGCAACTGCGTCCGTCGGTACAGGCTCCTCCGTGGGATCCTCGGAGGCTTTCTTCACAGGCATTTCCACCAGCGTCTTGAATTCAAGCTGGTCGCTGTCTCCATCAGGTTGATGCAGCGCTAGGTCCCAGTCGCACAGGATCCCACATACGCCGCCTCCACTCCGCTGGAACATAACATTGTCGACACTGATATCACGGTGCAGAACCTGTGCATATTTCCAGACATAATGGTGGGCTATAGCATCATCAGCAAAGAGCATATCTGCTAAGAGGGTCTCCACGTACCTCTGACGACGTCAGTGAATACCTTCTTGAACTCGTCAACGCTGCACACCGATTGCAGCGGCTCGTACTTTGTCAACACGAGCAGTCTTAATTCCCGAGTGTCTTCAGAGTCCAAGTGCGCATCTGGCAAGAATGCCCTCGGCAGTCCCATCGCCTCCATCGAACGCGTGACAGAACATTTGAGGTCGACAATGTACTGCAGCATGTCTGGCTTCTTCTTCCCAAGTGACTGACGGACAAGTCTGACGAGAGAGGCTTCAGATGCACGCTCCTGTGGCTGCCACGACATCTTCGCCACGAGCGCTGCATCACCAAACTGTGCAGTATTTGCGGTTGTGTTGATAGGCACCACGGTTGTTCCTCGGCCAACAATTCCAAAGTCGGTGAGAATACCCCGACTGGTATCGACCGCAAAAGCAAGAGCACCCATCGCATCACCGTTTATGTCTAGAGCTTGCTGGTCCGGTATCTCCAGATACGCATTGTCGTAGCCTTGGAAGCCCAACTGCCCGAACGTCATGAACGGAGAGATACCCATCGTTACTAAATCCGCGGAGCCCATCGCTGAGAGGACCAGAAGCAGAAGGTGTGGCTCCTCCACAAAGTTGAATGGCTCTGATTTGATCAGGCCCATCCTGTCGGCGTACCATAGATGCACGATCAAGCCGTCGGCTGTGAGTCCGGAAGAGTACGAGCGCACTCCGTGGGACATCATCTCCAATTCGTACTTCACCGCTTGTCTCTCTGTCGCGGTGAGCTTCTTGAATTCCGGCAGCTGCTCTGCATCCCCAATGTCGACCTCTGGCTCCAACGCCTTCTTCCCGTCATCTGCCCCTGCCTTCTCCGCATGCGATCGAGATCGTTTCGCTTGGGGCTCTAGCTGGTCAAATTTCTCAGATGGTTCCTTGCGCTTTCGTGTCTGTGGGCCCCCAGGCAGAACGACGTCGTGTGATCGAGCTCGTTTGCAGGGCCGCTCGGATACGACATTTAGCTCATCCTCTTCGTGTGGAGCATCCTTCCTCTTGCGCACCGGCGGATTTGTAATAAGCTAAGCACCAGAAAAAGTTAGGACCATCTGTTCCTTGCATGGAACGAGATACGCACGTCTTTCAATTTATTCACATCAATTGGGACATCTCCTTTAACGTCACAGTCGAACTTTCCTCCGTTTCGCTTGACCTCCACGCAAGAAATTGTCCATTCCCACCTCTGTTTTGTACAATCGGAGATGACCGAGTAGGAAATGTCTGGCTTATAAGAGCCATAATTTCCTTCGACTGTGTGCTCCCGCATGTTGATAAAATTTGCGGGGATGGATCGTTGGTCATCAACGGCGTGGAGGAGGTCTCCAAATATCCCACAGAGCTCGTCGTACATCATCTTCTCGTGCATTTGAGCTCTCGCCCAGTACCTACGACAGCGAGCACCCGAGAGTGACAGATTTAAATTCTGCTTGTTGCGGTTGCTGAGGATATCTAGCAGCTTCTGTGGGTTGTATTTCCAAACGTGCTTGACGAAGTCAAGGACGGTGAAGTCGCGCTTCACGTGGGGTATCAGGGTCAAGTCGATATATTTCTTTGTGGCCTGATCTATAGTGCCTTGTCCGGTCCTGAGCATACCGGAGCCCTTGGGCTGGACAGGCGTCGGCTTCGCTACGAAACGATGAGGCAGACTTAGACTCCACGTGCAAGGTATATAGTAAGGCAGGTGACTTACAGCCACACGTAGGCATGGAAAATGCTTTCCGCTTTGGCGTCGTCGGCGGGGTATGGGATGGCAGCGGGTCAGAGGATGGTTTCGCAAAGTGGGTAGGAAGCGGGTGTAGAACATCGGCGCGCTCATCTTGGTAATCAGAAATGGTATCGCTGTCGTTGGACATGGTGAAGCCTGAAACGAAGCCGGAGTCGAGGTAGAAGTCGTCGAGGTGGTGGAGACGAGGGTGGTAGATGTTGGTCAAATCGGGGTAAAGATAACAAAGTCGAGGAAGGAGAGCGTCAGAGAATGGGACATCTTTATTTATACCCATGTTTACAATCTGGCCTAGAGTCACGTTGTGAAGGTTGAAGTGGCCACGGACAGAGGTGGCTGCTGGACGAACAATGCAAGCTACGCGGTCACGTGGTCTGGTGCTGTGACGGTGCTATGACGCGCCGCGCAATGACGCGAAAATTATTTAAAACCTATAACTTCACCATAAGTTTTTTTCTGTTTTTTTTGGGTAACTTCACCATAAGTTTTCCGTCTTTGGCAAGTAAGCAGTCTACTGTTGGTCAACACGAGATCCTAGGGTTAGTTGGGTAAGGAAGGCTTACAAATTGGTTGTATCAATTTTGTACGCGTTCGCCACTACCTGTTCCAAAGTATCTATCTTTACCGTAAATTCACGGGAATGCGCGATCACTCATTTCATCGACCATGCCTCTCCGATCTCAATATCATCATGCTTGGAGTCTCTGGCAACGTTATTGACAACCACAGAGATACCGTACATGAGCATTTGGTCTACCGCGATCCAGACGATGTTCGCGTCAAGAACATACCTGTCGCAACCTCCTGGTACTAATGTCTTCCATGTACACCCGTTCTTATCTACAAGCCAGAGAAAAATCCTCGTTTGTAATGATTACAAGGTGGCACTGCGAGCCCTCGATGCAGAACATCAAGGATATCCAGACTCAGGTGTGATTATTATAAATCATCCTGGCAGCGATAAGTTCGCCCCTATCTCCAATCTTTTGACCTGCCGTTGAAATATCCAATCGAAGAAGAGACGCTCTTTCTCTATTACATGCTCATCGTGCGTCTCAGGGCGCGCCAGCTGACATTTTCAGAACACCGCCAACTTAGTATATAGTTTCTATGAAGACCTTGCTATGAAGTATCGCGATGCCACTGCGAAAGGGACATGAGTGCTGGTAGACTTTCACAGCACTCTCGAGCGATCCGACGCAAGATTGTTTTTGTCTTGGCCGTGCTTCCTCGTGCAGGTTGCGCCACCACTGAACATGTTTTGGGCGAAATGGGAGAAATATAAATACTCTCCGGGGAGGTTTCACATGAAACCATGGACCCTTGCAGAAGTTATGCAGGCGTGAGCAGGCTGTCTCGCTGTATGTCGTCTTCGTTAATAATGATATCGTGAGTAGGCGCTACTTAAAACCGCAACTGCAAAGCGAACGAGACCTTGCTAGATTTTTCGTATGCTTTGGGCTCGCCGTGCGTGACTGTGACTGCCTCCCCAGAGTATGCCCGCCATGCATCGAGGTTTCCCGCCTACATCAGCGCCTCCTGCATCAGCAATTCTGCAATTTCCTGAGCATCTGAGGGCCCTGACAGTCAACTGTCAGGACTGCCCCATTTCTACCCTGGCTCATACTGAACACTTTTCATGTGTTTATGCATGTCAGATTGGGTTTTTACCTGTTAGAATTATGCTCACCAAACAGCGAAATCATCCAAGGGGGTCATTTTTTTGTCCTGACACCTGACAGTCCTGAAATTTGAATGGTCCTGATAATGTGTTATCAGGACAGTGTCAGGCCAAATCCGGATTTGTTGATGTGGGGTGAGATGTGCGGTCAACGAGGTTTTCAAGGTAAGTGACTAGCCGCTCCCCGAGGCATGAATACTGATTTCATGCAGGATAAGACTGTCCACTGCGAATTTCGACATGGCGCTGAAACAAAGTCTAGAGAGCATTATTACGCCGACCCCTTGGACTGAGGTACGCATGCCGCTGTTCGGTTTCTGACGAATCTACTGGACCACCGTGTTCCGCGGGGGATATTCTGAACTGACCGGAGATTCGTAGCGTTTTGTCCGACCAAGCAATCCAATGAAATGGAAATGGGTATAAACATGGATATCGGGTGTCTTTGTGTCGCCTACGTGATTTACATAGCTAGTGTATCCTCTTGTACTGACTCGGAGTAACAATGTCGACAAGCGACGGGAATCTCTGGATTGCCCAGTCGATGCCTCCAAGTGGAAGAGTCCCTCTGTTACCGGATCCATCCAAGGCTGAATTAAATGTGGATTCTCAATACAACAGGTACAACTGATACTGCTCGTTCTAATTTCAATCAATGCAGACACCGCGAATCACTACCAAGACTGGACAGCGGCAGACACACACAGGTATATGATGAAGGTGGCCAGGCTTCAGGCGGCCACTCCTTTGATGATGTCCGCGGCTGGCATCGCACGTCAGCAGCACGCAGAGTCTCCACCATCTGCACGCAACGACCTACCTTGCTCCGCGATTGCATAGACCATCGCTGGGGTGGAACACGGGCCCGTCAGTAACGCTCTGCAGCTAGCATAAGGTCTAGAGGCACGGAAATGGGCGCACCTTGGGGGTGCGCACCGATCTGCAGGGGCGCGATGGACAGGTCCACGACGCGGATGTTCGTCGTGTGATAGACCTGTCAGTGCGGATTCAGCTCGCAGCGCGGGTGGGGCCCGGCATACAGAAGGGAGTACTTTGAGTTGCGGGTCGACAACGCCGCCGTCTTCCTCGGGTAGCATCGAGCATGACCCTACGGTGTCTGCAACAAGCACGGTACGCGTGAGATCGAGAAACGAGAAAGCGTACAATAGGAGAACGAGGGCGTACGGAAAGTGGTGCTGACGTTGTTCTTGATCCACTCTGCAAAAATGAGGACTGGACTGAACGATTGTCACACTGCTACTGGAAAAGGAACCCACCGGCAATTTGCTCATCTGATTCGACCTGTGGACCGGGGCTGACCTCCGTCTCTGTGTCCGACGCACGAGTGTTCAAGAGCTGGAGTAGAAATGCACAAATCAAGTATCAAACGATGCTAACCAACGAGGAGGCTCTTCAGTGGCTCGGTCTTCGCCAGGCGTCGGAGAAATTTGACAAGTTCAACCATAGTCGTGAGATCTGGATTCCCGCATGACATGATCAGCACGGTCCAAACATGGTGGACCGGACACACTCGCCGTATGATTCTTCGAAAACGTGCGGGTCGATGACGGGTGGGACCAGCGGGTCGCTGGACCCAACGTGCTGCATTGTGTCAGTGTTTGATAGTAAGATGTCCACGAGAAAACGCACGATGGTGCCCCGAGAGAAGGGACTGTTGAGGCCGAAGCCGAGGGTGATGTGTTTCTTGGTGGGGTCGGGGTTGGCTGTGGTGCGGGTCAGCTCGGTATATGGCGCTCGTTGGTGGACGCACCAGGCGGTATCATTATGCCGGGGCCAAGAATCAATTCGAGACTGGGTACCTGCTGCTCAAGGTGTTTGAGTTGAATTGTGTACTGCTTTCGCAGACCTGGCGAATACACATTGGCTGCAATGCCGGCGCGGATCGTCTCGGAGAGCGTCTTCTGCATCGTCGTCGTGTCGGCACAGATAGTGTCCAGGGGGACGAAGGTGAGTCCGATGGTACACAAATTGAAGAGACCCTTTCCCTCGGGACTTGCATGATGTAAAAGACGTGCCCGTGAGACAGAAACAGGCGACCTACGGCGGAGATCCAGACTTACAGGAGTGCAAGCTGCTTTACAGCCTCTTGGGGGTCATAGAGTGGATCGTACGTATTGAAATTCCACCCGTCGTAGTCGTACTTTCGCAACTCTTAAGTCCCCAAATGATTCCATGAGCGTTTCGCACTATCTTAGAGATGGTGACGTACCGTAAAAGAGGGGCGCAAACAGGTGTTCTTGTACATTCTCCCCCACACCAGATAACTCTACCTTCAGATCAATGCCCGCTTTATGGAGGACATCATGGTCTCCGATACCAGACAGCTCCAGGATCTATGACAGCAGGTATCAGATTGTTCTCCAAGCCGATATTATACGCACCTGAGGAGACATGACGGCCCTAGGCAATTGAGTGAGAGCTCTGGAGGTAGCGAGAGGGAAAGGACGACTGACCCTGCACAGAGGCAGACCTCTTTCATACAGGCAACTTCCTGCGGTACACCTGCGTGCAGAAACTCTACGCCAACAGCCGTTATGGTGCCATCAGCGTTGGGATGAGATTTTATCTTTATTACATGCGCATCTATTAGAACTGTTAGGTTCTCGCGCGATGCGACGGGCACGTAATACATCTTTCCAAACAATGACTCAGCCGAAGATACATTGAAAGTAGTCGACTCACATTGGCTGCATACGACCGTTGGTGCGTTTCAGGATGGAGTGTCAATGCGGTGGACGTCGATCCATTCGTCTATGGGTAACCTTTAAAGATGTGTTAGAAAACCAAATGAAAGATGCTGACGAAACCGGATGACTACAACGACACATCGTCAGGTCTCATCTGTGGAAGAATCGAAGGAAAACATACTGAATCAGTAACGTGAGTTATTCCATGCTTTGCTAGAGCCTGTGAATTAAACAACGATCAACTGAGATTGAACGTCGCACGGAAATGAATGCTCCTACTTCAGCCATGGGCCGTTCGATATTTGAGAGCACCACAGGGAAGGAGGTGACCACGGCACCTGAGAAGGGAATCAGGATGAATTCAACTGCGCAGTGTTGGCCAGGGCTCACCTGCATCCCCGCGATATGCCATATCATAGGTTAGAATGTCGAGATCGTGATGAGGCTTCATGAATCTGCAGTCGCAGATAAGTAGAAGGTCATAGTAAGAGGCTTCATAGTGTAGTACCGTTCAGCTCTCTTCGAATATTTTTCAAACGCTTCCCAGTTCCATCCGGGATTTCCGAGCTCTTCGAAAGCTTACGAGACATCCAATCAGCAAGAGACTTTCCAGGGTTGACATGAAGATCTACCTTGCAAATAGTCCCGGGAGGGCTTGTTCCATAGTAGCACATTGATAGCGGAGCTACCGCCGAGCCCCTTGCCACTGTTCGCAAAAGTATGTCTATCAGCAGGTGGAGTTGCGATGGAATCAGCACTGACCGTGACCAAGCATAGGAACGATTATTCGAATGGGGTTGAGCGATCTACGTAAGCCAAATAACGAGCACTGCTCAACTAAAATATTTAAATTCGGAGCCTTACTGTCTCGAATTGCCAGTCATATTTGGGATTGTTGAGCAATTTCCTTCGGTTCCCAGGTCCAGGGACCACTGGAGTGTACTCTAATGATATATATAGTGTCTGGGCAGCCATAAAGACTCACAGATAGTACTGTCGTCCAGATTAGCGGCACCGGCCTCGAGAACCAGGACGGAAAGAGAGGGATCTTCCGACAGACGATTGGCCAGAGCAAGGCCTGCAGTCTGAACACAGAGTTAGGCGACTCCTCGTTGCTTCATTGCATAAAGACTGACACCACCGCCTGGGAGGGAATCAGTAAGGAAGCGTTGATGAATGAACGAGAATAGATATTACACACCAATTATAATGTAGTCAAATTTCTTCCTTGCAACTTGGGCAATAGTGGCAGTCATGGTGGTGAAGAGGAAGAGGGAAATGGGAAGAAGCTGACCAGTATCGATGTGAAGCTGGGGTTGCTTGAGGATGTTCACAGGATTTAGATGCTTTAAATAATGTACTAGAACGGATCTCGCCGCCAAAGCGAGATCGAAATGCCCGCGGGCGACATAGGTGGGTCATCATCGGTGATGGGGAGTCCTCGCGCCACGCGGTGCCTCGATCACATTTCCGCGAAAGTTAGCTTCCGACAGTCGGCATTTCAGATTGATCTCCGACCGAGCATACCCTGCAGTGGATATCGATAATCCCCCAAAGGTCGTCGCCAAAACCCCCGGACTTGCAGACATAGTCGATTTTCGCAAAATTCTGTCCGGATTCGGTTGTCCAGTGTCCCCCGAGCGTCTCATGATATCAATCAAAAAGTTCATCCGCCGAGTCGGCACATGCTCTATTAACATTGGACATAGGGTCACGAAAAAGATAGGTAACAGCGAGCATGCACGAGCGAAATACATCACAGATATCACCTGTTGAAATGATACCCATGGCACCTTTCCCACATCCTTCCTACTCCAAGTCGGGCACCGCACTCAAGCTGCGCCACTGAACCTTCACCATCAGCGGGTCGCGCATCGACACCGTAAGCGAGTCTGCCGGGAGCCGCACCAAGTCGTCAACGGGCACAAGGTCGAACCACAGCAGGACACTGCACCAGAACACGACGAACTCGTACGCGGCAAGTTGCGCACCGGGGCTGCCGACGATGAGATTGTGAGTACAGTGAGAGAGAGCACATGAATCAGAGCGGGCTTACCATAGCCGCGGACCCGAGCCGAACGAGTGGAATTTGGGGTGCGGCGGTTTCACAAACAGCCCATCCGCGTCGAGGTGTCGCGCGGGGTTGAACTCCTTCGCGTCAGGGCCCCAGACCTGTGCATATCGCAGGTGAGGAAATGTAGGGGTGAAGCGAGCGCACTCAGGTCATGAGAGGTATTGGCATACGGTGATACGTACATGCTCGCTCCGCATCGTCGAGTAGTCGGACCACAGCAAATATTCACCTCGCGAGACGCGAACGGGGCCATACCCTTCCTCCGGGATCGCCGGGAGCACGTCATCCTTCAGTGCGACCCTTGAGTTCTTAGGGACGCCAGGCCACAGACGCAGAGTCTCATAGAAGACAGCAAGGTGGATAGGGTAGCCCTGCAAGGGCAGTCCGTCAGCTTGCCGATAGAGTAGCACTTTCGACCCACCCCCAAGTTGCTATATTGCACACCCTGTGTAGGGGCACCATTAGAGAGGGCCTCTTGGCGTAGCTTCTTCAACCAGACAGGAGAACGTGAGAGCTCATATAGGGACCATGCCAGCGAGTTCTGTGTGTTGTCTTTGGCCGCGAATAACAACGTCACAAGAGTATCACGAAGGAGGGCGGGATCTTGAACTTGTCCATCGCGTAACAAAGCCGACAGGAAGTCGCCGTTATCTTCCAGGTTCTTTCCAGAACTCTTACGCTCTTGCACTATTTCCTCGATAATATTGAAGAATTCCGTGCGAGCAGATGTAAATTCGCTGCTAACACCGTCGAACTACGCGAGCATCAGTACACAGAAATCATCGCAGACCTGCGATGGACACTCGCCTTCTCAATAAATCGCCACCATGGATTGAAGAGACGTCTATAGGTCATGGAATATCAGCAGTTATGCAAAAGAATGCAGGTGTTGACGATACCCAGATGTTGCCTGGCTGAGAATAGAGAGCGACTTCATCAGTGGGTGTTGCTCCATGAGGGTAGAAGCGTCTGCGGTCAAAAGTCTCATGTCATAATCCAGGGCCATTTTACAGAAGACTTCCAAGGACAGACGTCCGCAGAAATCTACTGGGGCATGAGATGTAGTCTGACAGTGCGAAAGAAGATCCTACCATTGAAATTGATGACAAGTCCTTCTTTCGCAGCATTCTCTAGAGCTTCTCTCGCCGTTAGAGTAACCCAAGGAACACCATTGTGAGGCAAACAACAAACTAAGCATGGTGGATGATACTCACCTCATTCATGCAACGTGAAACATCACGATCAAATGTCGCAGCCACAAAGATCGGCCTCATCGACCATTGACATTGGCACAATGCATTGCAGGTGAAAATATGGAACATACTTCATAACCTTGCGACTGAAGCGCCACTTCGCACCCTCAGATCCGAATGCGCTGTCGCCTCCGGGGAACTCTTGGAAAATGGAGAGTATAAAATCGCCCTTCCCATACGTTGTCCCTTCATCTATGAGACCGTAAATTATATACGCCAGGAGTATGATTGTGGTACAAGTAACTCACTTTTTCTCATGTGCTCAAGCCATTCAGGACGGTTAATGACAATGATTCTTCCGTAGCCAGGCATATTGAAAGAGAAAAGAGGACCATATCGTTCCTCGAGAGTAGACAGATATAACAGCATGTGCTTGCGATGGGGAAAGAACTGTAGAAGATTTCCCAGAAGCGGTACTCCAAAGGGACCAGGAAGACTTCGCTTCTGCAGCCGGATAACGCAGAGACTGTAAACATGAGCGGCAGAAATAAGAGCAAGGAGTGTGCCAACGGCACCCCACGGAGAAACCAAGTTGAGTAGCATTTCATATCCTCCAACAGATGGAATACATCAACTTATTGTTAGGAATCCCACCATTAGCGCGCAGTGGCCGCCCTCGGATGGGTCCATTTATTGTAATAATTAATAAGGGCCCATGTACAGGGGCGCAACGATCCTGTCCAAAGAATTCGAAGTGCAGAGTGGAATGATGTATCAGAATGGAACTGATGGAATTGCACCCTGTTCGGCTACCAGCTCGGGGTCCTCCCAATCGAATGCGAGGTTTAAGCAACGTTTAAGGGTGGCTTCTAAGGTGGGAAAATATTTTTCAAAGAATATGTCGTGATAATAACATTCCTGACGGGAACATACTTGGTCCTGAACTAGCTTTAGCGCCCGATTGCAAATACATCAATAGATATCTCAGCTACGAACTCAGAACCAGAGATATCTAACATATGGCCGGAAACACCTCGAGTCCATAGAGGTGCAATACGTACACAGTCTGGTGCATTACGCACCGTACACGTGTACTGAAAGTACCGCCACAGTGCGGCGAAGTGGACGCCCTAAAATACGGCCGCGAGCGAGCGAGCGCCATTCCATCGCGCGGCCAGTGCCAATGCCGCACCCGCCACAAGGAAGACACCAACAAATATCTGCAGGCCGAGATACCCGCCATTGCTCGAGTCCACGATGGCTGGAGATAGCGGAGGGATCAGAAAGGTGACAAAAGCTTAGCTTGCGAAACGCGTAAAAATATGGCTTACCACCAGCTATGGAGGGCCCCGTCAAAATACCTGGAGACATGGCCGTCCTGCATAGGTACTGCATCATTCACATGTCATGAATACAGAGTGCTGCCGTACATGAACATCCCGGTGCGAGCGCCGATGCGTGAGGGATCCGAAGTGACCTGCGCAGTTGCGGTAGAAGCCAACGATGAGTATGACGCTATGCCAGTTCTCATCAGCACAGAAATAATTCATGGATAGATGTATGCTTGCCTGACGTAAACCCGAATCTATGACATGAGAGTAACAGACCATCAGTACATGGCGATGAGGTGATCACGAGGAGCGACGCTTACATGACCGCAAATACCACAATTTCTGCGGTATGCTGGGACGTAGACCAGATTGCTAACGCGGAGATGCCACATAGGAGTGTGACGGGCACAAGAGTGTTGAAGCGTCCGTACTGCAAAGTCGCCAATGATTATTTGCAAGCATGTGAGCGAAAACGGCATACCTTGTCTGCTACGTATCCGGTGACAACACGCCCAACGAGACCGGTCGCATTCATGATGGCAATCATGTAGAAGGACAAATTTGCGCCAACCCCTTTCTGCAGACTGAACAGCTCGATGTACCAGTATGGAGTGTATAAAGCTGCCAAGACGTGTGCATGACTGGAAAGGTCAGGCTTTTCAAATTAACGAGAACGCACCAAAGGCTACAAGGAAACCACCAAGTGCGTGAAGTAAGAACGTAGTCTCGCGGAAGGCAAGCCAATCGATCAGCGGAACTCCAAGACGGGGAGGGAGGCGCTCCTTAACGAGAGGTATGGCCAGTATTTGACAGCCAAAGTTCATGAATGCTAGGATACGGACTGCCCACGGAAAACCAACGGAGTCGAAGAGTCGCGATAGCATAATAGGGTAGATAATACCGCTCAGACTAGAGCCAGCAACCACCTGGCCGAGAATCATCAGTCAGTCTGACAGAAACTCCACAAGAGGAAAACATACTATCCCAATAGCTGCGGCACGATTGGCGCGGAACCAATGTGATGGCACAGCGAGCTACGGCTGGTATTAGAATGCAAAACAGAGTAGGCATAGGAGAAGCGTCACAATAGGATAGAACCTATTCAACTGTCAACCGGAAAATCGCACCAGTGAGCAACTCAATTAAATCTTACTGCACAGCGATTCCAATTCCCAAACCAATACCTTGCGCGAGCAATATTTGATAATACTTGGTTGCCAGCGACGTCATCATGAGACAAAACGTAGAAAGAAAACACCCTGATACGAGAAGAATCTACACAGAGAAAGTTAACAAGAAAACTGAACCGTAGCGCGAGACCTACTTTTGAGCCATAAATATCAAACATGCGGCCGAGAACGCTGCCAGCGATGTAGCTGATAGTTAGTTGAGTGCTGCCTATCCAGGCGATAGCGGAGACAGAATGTCCCCGCAGGAGAGTCTGGGAATAATAGGTCTGAAATACTCCGAAGGCATTAAGTTGGCCTACGAGGTAGGTGAGACATGACTATTGGCGTCAGGACGACATCGACTGACCGTAGGAGGTGAAGGCCAAGAGGAAGCAGCCTGCTATGTTGCTCCAAGCGCGAAGACCACCATCAGGAAAAGTGAGTGGCAGAGTCTATGTGTGAGAGGTGGAGCTAAGGGACAGAGGAATATTGATCGACGGCAGTACAGACCTTGACAGGTTCATCTTCAGCTTTGGTGGGCTCGATATTGGTAGCAGAGAGAGGCTTGTCCAGGGTGACTTGTTCGCTAGGAGAAGGACTTCGCGTAGGCTGCATGCTGGATTGAGGCACAGACTCAGAAATGGGTGGGGACGAATTCGAGGAGGGGGTGCGTTCGCGCGCTTTGGTCAAGTGACAAGTCGGGAAGGATGGGTGCCTGAGACGGATGTGCGGTGAGCCCGAGTTTTAACTTTGGAATGGATAGAAGATGCCGCATGTTTGGTGCGTGAGCCACCCTGGAAGCTGAGCGCTGAGCGCTGAGAAGCTCAAGCGCACCTGCGCCACGAAGGCGCGCGCCTGATAACACGATGCCATAATTCTCCCGCGAAGCGTGCTGGAGCAGCCGCCGATTGTAGAAATAGATGATTGTTGATTGGTAGGGGAGTAACCTTCCATGGAGACCTTCATTCCTGCCCAATGATCAGGTTTGATCCCAGCCGAGATGCGAAGATGAGGTCGTGTAGGTATACACTAGATCTCATTCCAGATTTGAAACTGAAGAAACTGAACCGTTGTTGTGGTGTTAGGCCAGAGATACATCCCGGGCGCCGCGCGTTCAACCGGTACAGTACTTAGTGTTGCCGCGAGCTATGTAACTTAGCCAAGCCTTCATGCCAGCGCAGTGGCCACATGACGATCGGACCGCTTGCCGAGCTTGCCGAGCTCAGCGGCAGCACTACTTGTGTCACACAGATGTCACGCTCCTCTTGTGACTCAAGCGGCAGCTTCGTCACACGTTTTGTCGGGAGTGCTTTACAAAATGCGGGTGTCCGAGTCTCCAAAACACTTGTCGGGACAGTGGACTACAGTGATGTAGAGTATATTGCTAGGGAAGAGGGACCTACGAATTCTCCTGGATCACACACGAGGCACAGATCTCCCAGGTTATTTACCAGCTCCCAGCTCTTTGCATACCGATGTCAACTGCTGTGGTGTAGGCGGGTTCCGGTTGTCGCTCAAATTGAACGATAGAGATTCGGCCTTCACAATTCTTACTTTTCAACATCTGCAAGTTGAAAGGAGTCTATATAGGACTATGTAGCTCAGCTGGGCACTACGAGCCAAGTCCCCGTACTGTAGCGAAACGACCTTAAGTTCAGTCACAGGTCACACCCCTTGTGAACTGAACTTATTTGGGCGCTTGTCATGGGTCACGAAGGTTTGTGAACTGCAACCAAAACGCAATTGTGATACACTTGTGATCATCTGGATACTGCAACAAGTCTACACGGGCTACATAGGATTATATAGTAGGGACTTGTCTAGCCGAGTGCTAGCCGAGCCTACATAGTCCTACATAGGCGGCTGTAGACCCCCGAGAAAAACACCAGATGATGGCAAGATCCAGGGATTCTACAGTTGCATGCACCGAATGTGAGAACAGCTATTTGATATCTGAGTGGTCTCGCATGCTACAGCTACGTCCACATCATCATGATCTTGATGTGCTGGCCTTGTGGGTGTTGCCCATACTCTGTTCTCATTGGAGCTCCGAATTAGTATACTGACAGCTGACCGAGCATCAAGGGATAGTTGTTCCCTTCAGAAAAGAAGCCTTCAGACTTCAGGGCATTTGACGCCTACCCATAGCAGCAGTACTCGGGCGCATCTCGTCGTATCGAAGATATCGAAATCCCGTAAGCTTGGGAGGCTGTACGCCATGCGACGAAGACACAAGAAGGTGATTGCAAGCAGTGGTCTATACGACGACCTACGTATAGATGCATATATAGCTCCCTATCTCCTGCGGTCCATCGCACAACAGGTCTTACATTTCGCTATGGCCTCTCCGGCAGCGTTAATCGAGTCCACGTTAGGATACCAATTCATCGGCTTCGCTATGGCCACGAGGTAGGCATGCAGCTTTCTCGCCTGAATCATTTCTCAGTAATTGCTCCTTACTGGCAGCTGCTATGGTATCACAATGATTCAAGGGTATATTTACTACTGCAATTATAAGGAAGATCGCCCTGGCTTGAAAGCCTTTGTGAGTCTTAGTTCAATGGAGGAGAACATGTCTCATATTGTTATTTCGATTATTTCCCAGGTATATTTCATCTGGTTAGTTAATATGCTTTTTGGTTGCAGTCGGTCGTATATTGATCATCTTTCTAGCGCTTTGGATACACTGTGCTCAGCCCTCGTGTCTCATGCTTTGTATGTGGTTTTGATCATGGATTGGGGCAATGTCATTGCCCTAGAGAGGTTTCCATGGTGCGACCTTCATTCTGTTGTCGTCCAGATGATTTACTTTCACGCAGGAGTTTTGCTGTAAGTACGATAATCTGGAGTCGCAGGCATAATACTGATGCTCAAGCCCTGTAGCTGGAGAATGGCGTTACAGTAATAATACTCCACTGTGTTCAGATGGAGTCATAGTGATGAAAAATTTGCAGGTTTTTATAACCTTCCTGGTGCAATGGTCAGTCTGGTCTTATGGTACCCTCGCCATGCAATCAACCTCTAGCCTTGTGCAGCTTCTTCGCTGTGAGATTACAGTTGTGTTCGTGTTTAATGTGCCCCGTGATGCCGCTCCTAACGAGACGCTTTCTTTCGCAGTGCGTAAGAAATTGGCGCTTGCATCTGCTGCTGTAGTGCGTGCATTTCCTACATATCTGTTGAAGACTCGTGTCCGCCTGACATAATTGACGTCAAGGCCTTCACTGGACTTGTGGCTTTTGGTCAGTCCATTACATCTGTACCATCCGCAGCTTCAATATTGAATTGATTGGATTGCGTAGGAGCCGGAATAGGTGAAGAACGTACTGCAAAATGGCCGTTATGGTACTGACTAGCACTGCTAAGCCCTGACCTGCCAACTGTTCATAACCAAGTTTTATGACAAGGCAGTGCAAGGCCGATTTTTCTTGGTGCGCTGACTTACCATACAGTGCTTAAAACCGGTATTCGATACTCGTGGAACAGATAGCATGTGGTTTGGATCAGGGAGCCGCAGCATTGTGTGACATCATCGTCACTGTGTCTTTTACTTGGGGCCTTCTCTCTGAACGAATGCACGGTGCGAAACAGTGCGTGTGTCTTCGCATCACCCTATAGCTTCATTGCCTGCTCATGAACGTCTGCGTGCAGGACACGCAGCGTTATTGAACGCCTGATTTCATATACGGTGACTCGTGGTATCTTGACTACGTGCGTGAAAGAGGTGAATTCATGGTCTGCAACTATTAACATAATGTATATCTTAGGATCATCCAGGTACTTATGGTGGTCGTAGTGCGTGTGCCTTCCTCCCATGGTTTCGATTTACAGCTTACATGCAACTCACGAATCTTGGGTAGTTCTGTTCCCTGCCGACGAAAGACGTGTGGATGCTCGCGCATCTGATCTTGAGCAAGGGTGTGTCTTGTGACCCTAACGTGCTACGAATTCACCCTGCTGATGTGATGCTAATATGGTAGTTTATATCAACACCATGCTTGCAATGTGAGCGATGGAATTTCTGGTTCATTTGAGGTACTCATCGTGAACGTCAGCTTAAATGGTCGTCGTGATTTGCGCGAAGTCATAGACAAGACAGTGGTGCTCAGGACCATCGACTTTCGCCACGGAAACACCAGCGTGAATACCTCTGCCGCCATAGATGAATCGTTCTCGAGAGCAGACTCGAACAATCTCCGTATGTCAGAGAACATGAAGGCGAGCGAACACTTTGTCTTTCTTTCATCTCTCTGATCACGAAAACACTCGGTGTTGTGCAGCACGATGTCGTCATTGACATTCATGAACCTATGTCACCGGATGAACATATGGATCCGAATCCAAAAGGTGATGATGTGGTTTGACTAGTCCACAACTTTGCGTAGGAAATATGGGCTTGCCTCGGGTACATTCTTGCGTACTACATCTGTTATGTGCTGTCTCTTATCCCGCTCTTGGTCTGATTCATTCAGTACTTCGCATGTGCTATCCTCAGGTGATACTATGTACCTTGCGTATAAGTTTGTCTATGCGGCTGGTCAGCAATACCAGACGGTCTTCCGCAGCACCTGTGCGGTGCAATCTTTAGTTGAACTGGTGAACCTTAAAGTGTAGATTTTTTGTATGCTTTGGGCTCGCCGTGCGCATGCGTGATTGTTACGTCTCAGCTGCCTCGCCAGAGTATGCGCGCTACGCATCGAAGTTTCCGTCTACATCAGCGCCTCTTGAGGTGAGATATGCCGCGCGGTCAGTGGAACAATAATGACGTTTGGTGGCGACTGCAAGTTTCTCCTCGCGCCGCCTGGTCCCAAAAGGACTGAAGTCCTTCTCATCAGTCCTCGTTCATCTTATATTCGTTCTTTGATTCTTGCCCAAGCAATGGAAGAACAGGCCGTCCGCATTACTGCTCTTTACTCTACCGTGCTGGAAGATCCAAGATCGCGAGGCCTCACAGAAGTCGTACTACACGCCCAGGTGCGCCTTTCCTAACAAAGTGCCTGGCATGGCCAATTGTGAAGGTGATCTCGAAGGCCAGCACTGTGCCAGGCGAGCGATGGGTATACCACAGGCTAACAGACTCCGCCAGAACTTCGGTGCTTGACATGCCGCCATTTGAAGTGGAATTCTTACACATGAACTCAACCTCTCTGAGCCACGTTTTCACTAGCCTCTCATTGTTTGCAGGTCGGAAGTCGCGTTCGACCGTTCGTATACGAGTGCAACCTGGATCATTTTGCTCTCCTGCGGATAGCTTCCTCGGGCTAGCTGGATGTCAGTTCAGCGAACCTTGACTATTTGTGCAGGCTTTGTTCCAGACACAAGGGATTTGAAGTCCGGGTGAGAGAGCTGAACGTGCGATACGTTGTAATCGTGCCCGCGAAGCATGTTCCTGTCATCAGGGCACCCGTCGAGGATGGCTGGTGTTCAGTCCTGCTGGACGTGTAGGTTCTGGAGGTTGCGCTGGCTGAATTGGGTATGGTGGTTGTGCAGGCCGGAGAGCGCGAACAGCTGCAAGTTGCGAAGCCTTCCTTCGCCGCGGGTTTGTGATCTTCGAGAACCGAAGAAGTTCTTCGGGTAAAGCATGTGTTGCTCGGCAGTGCGAGTGTAACATGCATTTTGTAATATCAGGTAAACACAGCAAGTTCGGTGAGATCACGAAGAGGACCAGACACATAAGTAGACCTGAAGAGGCGGACTTTCGCCAATCAATGCGAGAGCGCAGTAGCAATCCGTGATCAACTGAGAACCGTGGACATTGGAAAATGGCTAGTAGAGCTTAGTGAAGGTAAGTATGGAGTATCCTGCTCAGAATTCAGTGGTCAAATTCTGCTTCGTACTCGCGATGATGTGTGAGTCACACACACATCATAGCGGAATAAGGAGCATAATACGGCTGCGAGTTTCAATTTCCCCGTACGGTTGTCGTCTCGGACGCCAACGAGCTCAAGAAGGCTTGCTCTAAGGCCGCAGATGTTGCTAAGTTGTAGCTTAGCAGCTTCTTATAAGGAGTGTGATGAGTCGACATCGGGTAGGCTCCCACAGTTCCGGACTGCATCTCCTCCATTTCGTGATGCCGTCCAGCTCTACTCAAAGACTGCAGACTGTTTGAGTAGCCTAGAGAAGTTAGGGAAACCTACCCCATCACGCTCTTCATGGCGACCATACTTAAGACGATCTCGTCGATCACTCTGCGTTCCTGAACACCATCCTTGCCTGCTGCTATCTTGATCGCAGGATCGCTGTTCAGTTTGTTGTACTGGGTAGCAGATCGCGTGAAGAAAGACACACCCCGAGGCCGCAGTGATACACACCTTCTTGACACTAGTCCAATCTGTGATTCCGTCGAGCGCACTCAGTGGTGAAATATCTCCCGAGACGACGGCTTTCATGAGTTCATCGACATCGTGTAGCTCGGGGGACGCTATCCGCACGACGAAAATGGCGGTGGAGGAGTCGGACACGCCATATCGCCTTAAGGCTTCCGTGATCTACAACGCAACCCGACTTCAGTGATGCAGGCGTTCCCTGCATACGAGATGAGTTACATTGTTACTGGGGTTGAGAGCCCAGAGAATTTCCGAGTGCACGGTCTTGGTGCGCAGCGTGCCCTGCACCTGGGCGAGAATTGCTGCGACGACGGCAGTCTGCAGGTGCAATACGCTGCAGATCTTATGCGAAGGCGTCAGGCGAGGCAGAGAGGAAAGGTAGAACGGACTGACGAGGCTAGCGTCGATGAAGGCGAAGTTGACGGCGGCGCGCTGGGCGTCGGCGTCGGGGCCCTGCGCGAGGCTGGCCTCGACGATGCGGGCGCGGAGCTGGGCGGCGTTGGCGACGTTAGTGAAGAGGGCGATGTGGACATGCGAGAGCTCTGGCGGGAAGTGTGCGTAGTGGAAGGTCTCCATGGACGCAGAAACAGACAAGTACAGCCACCTCGCATCTTCCTTGCTCTCTACTATTTCCACGACTTTTCTTTATTTTTCCCCCGGTTCACTGGCTACCTGGCTGCACTATACTAACCTGGTCCACCATGAAACTCTCGGCTGCCTTGGCGCAACTGCCGTACTCGCTGCTCGTCGCGTCATTGACCCTCACCGCCATCGCAGCGCCAGTCGAATCCGTGGGGCTCGACGTTCTCGAGCCAGACAACTTCGAATCAACAATAGCACAGGGTGTATGGTGCGCGTGCTCGTCTACCCAGTCATGCTGCGAGACTTAGATTCGTGCAGGTTCATTGAACACTTCTCCCCATATTGCCCTCACTGCCGCGACTTCATGCCCACCTGGGAGCAGCTCGTCGCCGACACCCAGAAGAGCGCCGACCCAGGCATTCACCTTGCGCAAGTCAACTGCGCCATCAACGGTGGTGAGCTCCTTATTCTCCTCTTCATTCACCGTTTCAACGTGCTGTGCAGATCTCTGCACCAAGAACGGCGTCACGGGCTATCCCCAGATGAATCTTTACCGTAATGGCGTCTTCCAAGAGATGTTCAGCGGTGCACGAGACTACGACCGGCTCACTGCGTTCATCTCCACGCACGCCGAGCCGACGACTGTGGCCGAGCCAGAGCCAGAGCCAGAGCCAGAACCTACCTCCGCGCCCGCCGCGCTGGTCGTGGAGGACAGGTATATTGCAGAGCACAGAGAGTCATACCGCGCTGCCCCCGCACGGGACCTCAACCCGTCGGGTACGGTGCTGGAGCTGAATGAGAACACGTTCCGGGACGTGGTAGACGATGGAATGATTTTCGTCAAATTCTTCGCGCCGTGGTATGTTCTTCTGGAAGTTGAGTCGGCTTCTCTGAAACTGATTGTCCTGCGATAGGTGTGGTCACTGTAAAAAGCTCGCCCCCGTGTGGAGGGAGCTTGCAGTGGAGATGCAGCACAAGCTGGCGATTGCTGAGGTTAACTGCGATGACCATAACGCACTCTGCCACGCGGAGGGTGTCACCGGTTTTCCGATGCTTGTGTACTACGGAGGCAAAGACGGAGGCAAGACTGAATACACCAGCGGGCGCAAACTCGAACAGCTCAAGGCATTCGCGGAGAAGATCTCTGGGCCGTGCGTGATTGAACACTTAATGCTATGCGTGTATTGAGCGTACTTCGTCCACAGACCGATGCGCGAAATGAACTTTGAGGATCTGCACGCCCGCGTAGAGGAGCACCCCGTGCTCTACCTCCTTTTGCACCCTCCAACTTCTAACTGGCCGATCGTACGTCCCTCACATAGTTCATTCAACACACTCTGATCCTTTCATGCAGAACCACCTCCTTGACGCGTCACACATCCTGTTCGGTTCCCCTCCCATCTACACCTCTACCTCCAGTCGGCTGTACTCCCATTTCGGCATCACTCCCGATGCCTCGATCATCCTCGCCCTGAAAGATGGCGACGACGCCGCTCCCGCAGCCGTGTACCAGTTCACGACGCAGGCCAACGCAGACCACGAGAAAGAGTCACTCACATCCTGGGTAGCTCAGTCCTCTTCCGCTCCACGCAGACACTAACGCGTCCCCAGCTGCTACGCAACCGCCTCCCGCTGAGCCTCGCGCTCTCCTCGGACAACTTCCAGGACGTGATGAATGCGCCGCACAAGCCGCTCGTCGTGCTCGCCGCGGCGGCGCCGTCCGCGCTGCAGGCGGACATCGCGCCGGAGATGCGCGAGCTCGCGCGCCAGTGGCGGGACGCGCGCGGTAGCGCTGCGGTCGTGTTTGCGTGGATGGACGCGGAGCGCTGGGCGTCGTGGCTCAAGGGCATGTACGGCATCAAGCCCGACGCGCTGCCCCGCGTCGTCATCGCTGACCATTCGGTGCGTAACCTTTCTCCGTCGTTCACGTCTCGCCTCTGGATTTGTTGACTTATGCGCGGATCGTCGCAGGGTCTTGTTTACTGGGACACGGACCACTTCGGGGAGAAGATCCAGCTGTCGTCGTCGAGTCTCTTCTCTGCGATCAACGGCGCGCTCTCTAGGACGATTAAGCCTAAGCACTCCGAAAACTTTGTGGAACGCATGGCCCGCGTACGTGCATACTCTGTCTCCTTTTCCGTGTTTGCTCATCGGAGAGCATGCAGTACCTCAACGGCCGCCTCATGGCCACGGAGAAGTACGTGTCCGCGCACCCTTGGAGCACCGTCTGCTTCGTGCTGCTCTTCGTCGCCGTCTTCGCTTGGGCCCTGTTGCGCCTCTTTGCGGACAGCCCTGAGTTCCGCGAGGTCGCGCGGGGCAAGGGTGACAGGCTAGACTGACACCCTCTGTTCGTTTTCGACGCGACGCGTGCACCGCTATGCATTCATTAATTTTGTATGTACGTCGCGCTCGTACCTGCTACTCGGTAATATAACTTATAGCGTTAAAGTATGCACTGGGGTTTGCTGGTATGATACATCTACAACGTGTCCTATGATACAGCTCGTCAAGGAAAGCAGTTTGACTTGGTACGCATGCGGCATGATCAAGGGCTAGGGATGGAGGCGGAGGACGACTCAGTCATCGCCCATGTTGTCGGAGACGATACTGAATCAGAAGAGGGCCAGGGGGATACGGAGTCGTCGAGCATAATCCCGCTGATGCGGTTGTACACCGCAGGGGGGAATTTTCTAAGCGGGAGATAAACTTAGTGTCGAACAAGCTCAACGTACTAGGAGCACCTACCTAGCCTGCACACGGTTCAGCAGCGCCACAGCATTGTCGCGATTGCCGTTGCCGAGTTCCGCGCGCACCATAGCCTCCCAAGTAGATGGCTAAGCAGAAGCAGATGAGTTGTCGCACAGAATTCAAAGCATGGAGATGCTCACCTCGCGATATACCGGAGCGGTAACTGGGACTTGAATAGTATGAGCTGTTTCGTCATCATGTGGTGCATGATTGTGTGGCGCAGCGACACCCTCTGGAGGATCTGCGAGGCTCTCGAAAATTTCGCGCGCACGCTCGATGTCGCCAGTGGATGCGTATCCTTTGATAAGCAGGTTTGCAATATACGCTGTCATATGAACGCCGTACGATACGAGGCGCTCAGTGTAGACGGGAATGAGGTCCGGCCGGCGGAGGGTAACGAGAACATTGATGAGCGCCTCAAAGACGACCGCGTCAGGCAACGCCGCGCCCGAGTGTAGAGTCGACGGGTGTGTGGCAATGGAGTCGAAGATCGCAAGCGCCTTCTCGAGGTTTTTCTGCACACACCCGTAGGCATTGATCAGCGCTGCCCAGTGTGTACCCTGGACCATAGGGTGTTCTCCTTCCGTGAGGCTTTCGAAGTTGCTCTCCATCGCCTGAATATCTACGGGCTCAATGCAACCATAAGCATCTATGAGCAGCTGAGTGAGGAATTAGCACGTCGTTCCTCGAGTAAGACGGAGTGCACTAACCTTGTACGTGTGCGCCGTAGGTTTAACATTTGCCGCTTGGAGAGCGTTGAAGTAGTAAAGAACGCGCTCACGGTCAGGTTTCGTGTGAGTGTACAACTGCATCATGGTGTTGTAAGGGGGCACACGGGGCTTGAAGTTGCGCTGCGCCAACATCTCATCGAACAGAACCTCCGCAGAGACGACATCACCGACACGGCAGCACGCCGCAATGACAGCACCGTAGGTGACAGATGTCGGGAAGAGGTGACGTGTCTTCATCTGTTGAAACAGCTCCAGCGCGTGGTCGGCCTTGCGCGCCTTAGCCAGCTTAGAGATAATCGTGTTGTAGAGGTAGATATTCGGCACAACACCTCGAGCCTGAGATTCCTGCCAGAGCGCCATCGCGTTTGAGGTGTCATCCGTGGTGTCCTTCACGAGGTGGATAAGGGCTCCGTATGCATCGGCTGACGGAGTACCGCCCTGCTCCAAGATCCGCATGCGATGGACATGCGCGGCCTCAAGGTCGCCGGCGTGCGCGAGTCCAATGACCATGTAGTCCTCGACCTGGAACCAGCTCACCGACTGCCACTTCTTGTTTCCTTCCATGGAGGCCAATACGAGTTGCGCAGTCTGGTATAGCTCGTGCATCTTCTCCACCTCGCCCGATCGGCCCAAAGATCCAATGAGCTGCGCAATGACTTCCGGGCGAGGGTAATTGTTGTTGCGCAAGCCCGATTTGTAGCGATGATATGCCACCAGCGGAGACACCTTCGCCTTTGGGCCAATAAACTGATCCACATACTTGCTGTGCGTCATGTTGAAACGAACCGGGGTGATAGGCGGCTCGATCTCGAGTTTCAAATTTTCCGTAGATGCAGGCATTTGCATTTTCTGGTGTCTGAAGTCAGCCATGACTGCTGCCATCTTGTCGTACTTGGGTCCCAGAGATGTAAAGAAGGCCGATACCACTTCGAAGTCATATCGACTCAGTAACGTGTCGACTATGTGAGTCAACATGCCGATGCTGAAAGTAGTGAAGGGGTCAATATCGGTGAGAGCGACGTCACGGAGCAACTCCTCGAATTCAGATACAGCCTCATACGCAGAGGTCTGTCTCTTCAATCCTTGCAAGCCAGCATTAATAAGAGTTCCCCATTGCTTTGGCGACAGCTGAGGTATACCTCCCTGGGATTTGGCCGCTTTATATGCACTGAGCAGCTCTGGGGCATACACGGGAAGCAGCACGCCGATATCGTTATTAAGCGCTGCAAGTCGAAGCACCTGTTCCAGAGACAACTGCACACGCCCGTTGTCCAAGAAGAAGCCCGTGATATCTTCAATGAATGCGCGCAAGAAATCAACCCTGCGATTAAGATCGAGGCTGCCTTCCATGGCCTGCACGGCTTCAATTTCCCGGCTTTGTTCAGCGACGTATCTCTCTAGCAAGCCCAAGGCACATTCCGCGTGATTGTGCGCCAGGCAAAGTCTAGCCATGGATTGCAAGACCATTTCTGACTGGCTAAAGAATCGCACAAGCTCCATGTCACCAGGGAGGACAATGTTGGCCAAGAAATCCAGCGTCTCCACGGCAGCTGCATCCTCGATCTCGGGATGAACATCCAGGTAGTGCAAGTTCGCGCGCAAGACAGATACCCGATCATTCTCTCGGATATGCAGACCATCCTGTTCGGCAAGCTCCAACTGGCGCGCAAATAACCGGTTTAAATCCGCAACCATATCGTGGTCAGCGAGCACACCCAATATAATGTTCCACCCATCCTGAGGAGGCCTGGTAGGTATCTTCGAGGTCTCGAAGGGATGACCTGGGCTGGTATCCTGCTGCAGTAACCTCTCGAACCACGCGAGGGCATCGCGAACGTCTCCTATTACACAGAACGCGTGTATCATGCGCGCGTACGTCGCTGCGCAAGGATTTGGAATATCCTCGGGCGCGAACGCCGGACCGGCCTTGGAGTCGAGCATCTGCTCCAACAGCCCTATGCCGTTTGTCGACTGTCCGCAGCGAATATACGCCTCGATCATTGTGTTATAGACGATGAGATGCGCACAGCGACCAGCCGTGATGATAGCGCTGTCCGTAGTTTCTTCCTGTTTCCAGGAGATCCGATTCGAATGACAGGCGTCCTTGTACTCTTCGAAAACCTCCTTCGCCCCATTGATATCACCCGTTGCAGTGTAGACCTCAATCAGATACCGGAACGTGTCACAAGTTGGAGAAACGTCTTTGCGTTGCTCTAGATGTGCGAAGACGTAAATCGCCGCGTCCACATTTGAGTGGATCGCACACGATCGTAGCAGCCTGTTGTAAATATTCACCGTGGGCCTCGCCCTGGGGATCGCGCACACCGTCTGGAACAGCGTAAAGGCCGAGCCAAAATTATTCTCCGCCTGCAGCTTCTCAATTTCCTGCTGAGCCTGAGACGACGACATCTGTTCGTGCGATGCACGCCACTCCAACACCGGCAAGGCCTTCTGGATCTCGTGGTCCCTGTCCGTGAGAGCGTGTATCAGGATCGAGTATGTCTTCATGTTCGGCAGGATGGACCGCGACAGCATCTCGTTGTACGTCTCCAATATCGCCTGCAGCGATTCGCCGGGTTTCCGCACCTGGCTCAGTGCCACTAGCGCCGCATTGTACAACGCTGTGTTCGAGTACTTGTCGGCCTCCTCGGGCCGCTGTTGCCCCTCCACGCGCTGTGCGACCAGCGCTGGCGGGGGTGGCGCTGGGGGAGCCTCCGCGGCTGGTGCTTCCGCCACAGCATGGAAAGACCTGACGTGCGACTGCACGGTCTTCAGCACCCTAAGCTTTTCGCCAGGACGCTCCTGCGTGATGAACGAGAGACTCTTCCGCCTCGCGAGGGTACGGCCCCGGCGGCGTGAGAAAGGAACATCGTCGTCGTCGTCGTTCCTAGCATCATTTGAAACCGGCTCGGCCTGTGTGATAGCACGGCCTGGTCCCTATAGAAAGTAGTGTTAGTGACAAAGTCGCTAGAAGGAGGGAAGCGATGGTGCGTATCTGGAGAGCAAGAGAGAGACGAGCATCGATACTGACCGTGTATCCGCCCTGAAAGCGACTGCCGGCGTGGTACTTTGCGCCACCAGAGCCTGCGCCATAATTTCCCCAGCCGGAGCTCGAGGAGGTACCATTCCACGAGCCTATGTTTCCTGCAGGGCCAGAAGATGACTGGAGCTGGAGGGCATTGCGAACGGCGTGGGTAGTCTGGGAGTGGACCGCGGCTACGGCCCTGCCGATATGGCTCGCTACCTTGGGTAGCATGGCGCTACGAGGTCGTCAATGTTAAATGAATGATGTTGTAGGAGAGACGTCCAGCGATGCCCCCGGTGGTGTGAGGAGGACGAGGGGACGGGTGTGGGCGTCGTCACTGTGCGGCACGTCAAGAGTCGTCTCGGATCCTCCGACTCATTCCGTGCTCCCTGAAAAATACACGACGCGACTCGTATCGCACGTGATCATTCCTCGGGCGCTCGTCAACGTGAGTCTTCTGCTAATTTCCTACACAATCCATTTCTGTGGCAACCTACGTGTAGTGAGTGGTTCAGATGGCATTACGGAAGTGAGTGTAGACTCGATTGTTCGGATTCGATTGGCGCTCTGCGGGCGCTCATGTCACATCACCTCGGTTTTTAGTTGTACTCGTGCCGGAGTAGTCGGCCCCATTTGCAATAAGTCAATAAAGTCTTGTAAGTAGATTGTAATGTCTTGGGCTGTTGCCTGGGTGTTGGGGGTGTTCCGGTAGCCCCCATACTCCGATGACAATCTCAATGCAGACAGCGATGTCGTGCAGGCTGCAAGTACTAGTATGCACCACTAAGATGTTTGATGTGCTGAACATTCCGCACAATCGTCAGTGTCGAAAGAGGATGGCGCCACGGTGCACCAGTCGGATGTCGGGCGTCGGGCACTGGGCGCCAATTGTCTTATCCCACTGCCGAATTACGGGAGGGTTTCTAATGTCAACAAATGTCTCTAATGAAACCTAAGTATGTCTACTAATTCAAAGATCCGGAAGTTGCTGGACGTGACGTGACCAGGCGCCCGCTGGGCGCCAATCGAATCCGAACAATCGACCGCCCTCTCTTACGGAAGTGCCCTTCTTTCTCGTCAATGTTGTGCTTCCGATACTCTCTTAGTTGAAATGCACCGGCTGCAAACGGACGCGCATCCGGGAGTGGCGCGATACCTAGTATTAGGTCACTGACACATTGAGAGCACCAGACATGTATCTATGAATCTGGGAAGGCGAACATCTGGTAGAGACAGGATTTGCGAATGATAGGCCCAGAGTTATATGGTCCAGCACACTTGAAAACCCTTAGCATTTGAACTTTAGTCATCGAGAAAATCCAGTGAATCGGTTATGGTGTGCGTGTTCTTTCTCTTCTTCAAACAGTCACTTTGCTAATGAACAAAATCTACCTGCAGGGGTCCAACCGATACCCGTTTGTGTGTAACCATCAACAATGTTTCTGAAGGCACGGAGCATTGACGCAAATGTTTACAAGGCATGGCCAGATACCTTGTAAGCCGTGAAGATTCCGCTGTTTTTGGTAGGTCGGCAATCATGGCATATAATCACATTGACATGGCTCGTCTATGCTCAAACTGCCACTAAGGTGAACTTCTGAAAAATTGCGGTGTTCACGCGACTGGCCTTATAATGTTACCCCAAACCTTTCGGTGATCCTGAAATGCTCATGTATGTTCTCATTTTCTTTATTCTAGTACTGACAAGTCCGAGTCAGTCGGGAATGTTTTCGAGGTAATGAGATAATTTTTATCGTCTTCGGTACCTTTAGACATTGTAGAGAAAAGCAGCATGACCAAAGCATGCCGATATATCCTACAGAACCACGCTTATGCATGACATTGCCTGCTACTGCGTTGATTACGGAGTTCAAGCCATGATGTATGTTGCATTGATTCTCCACCAGATATTCTGATGTTCATGCTTGCATAGGTTTCAGCCCTCATCCGCTAAGCCTTCCGTCCAAGCCAGTGCAGTGTGCCTGTTGAACCTATGCTTTTCACAATTACCTTGCAACTTCTGCATCCTATGGCTGTCACCAACAGAATGGCCCACACGAATCATTCAATCACCTGAATGCATCTAAACCCTTCTCTGTGACTGTTTGGACCAATGAGTGTTCATGTCTTACTGCCAGCAATGACAGACACGTCTGTGTATGACCCTAGCAAAACCTCATCAGCAAAACTCCATTTGACCTCATTACATGTCTTACTTGCCTTTTTTGGGCCTTTTTTGTCTTACTTGTCTTGAATTAAGAGGTGGACCTCATTATTTTAAGACTGGCCTGTCTTGCACTTTTTCAAAACAAGACATGATAAAAATCTATGTAGTGTATGTTTTAGAATACCTTTGCTTATGTATATTCCAGACCTAACACCTCCAGAATTCCAGAAAATATGTCCTTCAGAAATGTAAGAAAAGTTGCAAAAAAGGCAATTAAGACCGTAAGACAAAAAGTAGAGGGGAGTTTTGCTGATGGCCTCATCTGCACTTAGGGTGATGCTTGATGGCTCGGCTTGTGTCTCCAAGACAAATTTAGGTCCAGATGATGTAGGACTGCTCTCTGGAGTATTCATCTGGATACTACATACTTTGGAAGTATTACTCCCTCATCTGCATCACAGATCTCACTCATGACCAGATATGCGCACATCGCAGGATATCATTGACCATCAGATCAAGCTTAAAAGGCGGTGGGCACTAAGCTTGTGCCAAGTGTGGTGACGCTCAGAACCGGATATGCACCTGCCATCACAGGTACGATGTTCGTGATGCGGTCAAAGGTGTACTGAAGTGCATTCGGTGCTGAAGCCAGTGTAGGGATTCAACAATGAAGATGAGCCATGGTCTGGCACACCTCCGACGTGTGGTTTACGTGCCATATGTTTGTACATACTTTACACTGATCGAATTATAACTGTATCTTTTGCAGGAAACATGTGTCTCTCTCAATAGTATGGCAAATTTCTTATGCGGTGTAGCTCATCTATAACTTTGAAGACTGCATAGTTCTCGCGATTATGGAACGGTCCGTATCTGCAGAGGAATAAGTTAACATTGAATACATATAATTTCACCACGACGCCGAGAGGAGGATGAGAGGTGTCAATTGAAACCTAAAGCATTAGAAAGAAAACTCATAGTGGCACATCGAGCAACTCCATGAATCGTTCATATGTGATCAGCCAATTTCGCTTAATCACAAGCTTCAGAATCTCGTCTTCAGCCTCCTGGATGTGAGTGGGCCAGTTCTTCCTCCGCGCGTACTCTAGCTCTACAAACATGTCTTGAAAAAGTTCCCAAATTGACATGGCGAAACATGTCGCGAAGCCTGTAAACCCATCTGTTTGCCAGTGCAAGATATTCAGGGTGCGCCTTGGCAAAGACATTGTTGTACACCTGCGTCTGGTAGAGAAAATGATATTTTGCATCACCGACAAGTATGAGATTTGTGTCGTCCCAAAGGCCGTTGTATCGATTCTTGTGCAATTCGGGATCGAAGGTGGCACAGAACCACGTTAATAACCAGAAAAAAGACTCAAGATCATGGCAGTAGTGATGATAAGGGGTATTACTGTAGGACAAAAGATCGAGGGCCATAAATGGGCCAGTGCCGGTGCAATTCTGAGACTGGGTATCGTCGTCAATTTCCTGCTCGTCTTCTTTGGGTACATCCTCCACATGCATGTCTGTTTTAGCAGTGGAACGAGCTTTCTCTTGTAGGCAACTTTACTATAATCTTGTGTTTGGCCAGGTCGCTGTCGCCGTCCGATTTGCATAGTGCAAGATCCCAATCACATAGCATGCCACAGACGGCACCATTCTGCCGATGTAGCATGACGTTACCAATGCTGACATCTCGGTGAAGAATGTTGGATGACACCCATACATCATGGTGTGCTATAGCAATCGAAGTCAGTACTTCGCAGTAATTATGTTGGCAACTAACGCACCTCAAACAACATCAGTGAATAACTTCTCAAACTCCCTCACGCTATTCACAGATTCCAATGGATCGTACCGCGTCAACACCAGCATCCTGAATTCTCGAGCTTCCTCACAACCAATATCCGTGTCCCCATGAACGCCCTCAGTAAATCCATGGCCTCCATAGAGCGAGTGACCGAACACTTGAGGTCAACGATGTGCCTGAGGACATCCATCTTGCCTGTCCTCTCGAGTGCTGTCCAAACGATCATGATGAAGTGGGGTTCTGATGCGCGGTCTTTAGGCTGCCAAGACATCTTAGCCACCAGAGGCTCACGACCAAATCTCGCGGAGCTGGGCACTGTCTTGATGGGCACAATCATCGTTCCTCGACCAACAATCCCACTATCCGTCAAGACAGACTGCTCAGAGTCGATCTCAAATCTAACTTCTGGTAATGCTTCGCCCTTTTTGTCAAGCGCAACCTTGGCGGGAATCTCTAGATGAGCTCCTTTGTAGGTGTTGTAATCTAACGGGAATGTCATGAACGGGCAAATACCCATTGTCTTCAAATCCGCTGATGCCATTGCAGCAACCACGAGGAGTAGTAGATGGGGTTCCTCCTGGATGTTAAATGGTGCCGATTTGATGAGGCTCATGTGGCCCACGTACCATAGGTGCATAGTCATGTGGTCAATGGTGATGCTAGAGGAGAATGAGCGCACACCATGCAACAGCATCTGCGACTCGTAATGCACGGCCTCGAATTCTGTGGTGGCAAGTCTCTGACAGTCTCTCTGGTCCGTGCATGACCTTTTCTCTTCTAGAGTGCACCTCCAGTTGCACCGCAAGCGCCTCGCTTGTGGCTGTAGATCATCAGACTCGGAGGAAGGCTCTTTCTGCTTGAGGCTCTGTGAGCGTGAAGGCGTAGAAGGTGTGGTGCTATGAGTCAATGGCCGTGAGCACTTACGTATCGGTCTCGATGATGGAGAACAGCTGTCTTCTTGCGGTACAGCTTTCCACTTGTTGGTGGACAGTTTATGGTAAGAATGTTTGGATATGAACTGAATGGGAGACATTAGCAGTATGCTTTTCATAGAACAAGGGAACTTACCTGGCGAAATGTGCTCAGGTCGACCTCAACATCTTTCAGATCCATGGCGCAGAAGTTCTTCTGATGCTCCCTTACCTCTACACAGGAGATAGTCCATGTCCACCTTTGCTCCCGAACGTCATCAACTGTAGTCCACGAAATGTCTGGCGGTGAGCCGCCGTAGCCACTGGCCGACTGCTTGTGGTGAAATTCTGCGGGTATAACGCATGCACCCGTGCCAGAGATTTGATACAGGATGTCGGTGAGTAAGGTTGTAAAGACTTTCATCGCGGATGATTGGTGTTGACGCAGTTTGGTCCAGTAGTCGACATAGGATCTGATGGGAATCCTAATCTTGCGTCCATGGAGGATGTCTGCTAGCTTTTCGGGAGAATATTTCCAGACCTTCTCGATGAATTCGAGAACTGGAAAGTGACGCTGAATGGGAGAGGCCATATCTGCTCCCAGAATTTCAGCAGTAACGTCATCCGGAGTTGCACCTTGCACGGTGAAAGAGGTCTTGCAGTGGCCTTCCGGGAGATTTGGCGCTGCGCCGAGAAATGATATATGATATATCTCGTTAAAATCCACGGGAACGACGGCGAGTATAGGTTACTCACCCACAACCGTGTAAGCCTTCCGTCTAATAGTCGGCACGGGTTGAGTGTGGTTGAATGCTTGTAGAGAATATAGTGCATGCGCTGCGTAGCGCTCTTCGGGGGTGTTGTTCATCGTAGAGTGCGCAGGCTCGACGTCGTGAGTGATATCGACAATGTTGCTGAGGGGAGAGTGAGCGATGTTACGCCAACAATGATGGTAGATGTGAGAAGAGGGAATCACATCTTCAAAAGGACGGCCCATGTTTAGACTCCTGTGTAGACGTGGCCTATAGAGGCTAAGTCAAACATTAATGGACAGTGGGAACCGAGTGCCACAACGCGGTCACGTGGAAGGCGTGGTGGTCCCGAAATGGCAGCTAAGTAGGAACAACACGATCCGATTGGACGGAAACAATTGCCGATAGACCTCTCAGCTGTGAGTACGTATCCTCATGCTGACCGCCTACACCCCACGACGTTCGGAGATTTTGTCTCTTAGAAACCAGCAAAGTCAGATTGAGGTCCGTATTTCTGCCTCGGAAGTGATCTACGATGTGACCATCAGCGTGTTAAAACTTTTGCGCCAGTGCTTGCGGTCCGACCTCTCATGCAGGATCCTCACGATATTGACGAGAAGTTCAAGGTGCATGACTCCATATTCCTGGATGCTTCTTTCCCCTCAACAGCTAAGGCGTTGGAGGACGAGAAGACTGAGATCAAGGATTCCAAGCTACAGATCGGAGCTGGTGTGTTAAAGCCGGAGGAACGCACGTCGTCGCTCCTCGATAGAACCCGGCCGACTGCCTACGACGCCCTCAAGGAGGAAGAGAGGGAGATAAAGGAACCACTCAAAAAGAATCGGAGACTTGTAGCGGAGGTTCTCTTGACTCCGTGGAGAGACATAAAGCGTATTCTGAAGGAGCGTCGTGGTACAGCGTTAGCTGAGCAAAACCAAGCGGCGAGTGCATCGCAAGATGAAACTAATGCGTCGCCACCGATTGCGGTCAAGGACGAACCTGTCGAGGTGGGAGCATCTTCCATGGTCAAAAAAGAAGAGATGACGGTAGAAGAGATAGACGAGGCATTCAGAATGATGGTGGATGTGAGTGCACCGGCCTGATTTGTCCATGTCTTGTCCCTCATACAAGAGAGACATCATCCAGCCAGATGTCAAGATCAAAAAGGATTCCAAGTTCAGTTACGAATTCGTTAGAGACCGCTTGAAGGCGGTTGGCTTTGATATCTATCCTATTCCCCTGGATCTAGAGTCTACCAAGCTCATGTTTCCGCGGTTGTATATCTCCCAGCTGTACGGTGGGAGCTTCGTCAACACTTTCCCCAAGATTTCCGAGGAGAGGCTAGCCCTCCATGGGATCGACGATTTCATGTGCTTACATACTGACTACAATCCTCACGCACCTACGACGGCGGGAAGTAACGGACTATTTTTCACTCGACAGCGAGCGGAAGGAGCATGGTACCGGCCCCATCCCATGCGAGTCCTTGTTCTCTGCGCAGAAGGTCGATGGCGCTATGTTGGACAATACGCGCTGTTTCCTTCAGAATCACTGACCACAGACGAGTTTAGCACCCAGACTGACAAAGTGAGCACTTCCAATGCTCATTTCATCGGCCGATATTCAATCTCGCCACACAGGTCAAGAAGAGGTGGTCAGAAGAGATGCTCAAGAAGGGCTGGGGGGAGCAAGTTCGCATGCGTGTATATCTCCGTCGGATCCAAGTTGAATTTTCCGACGCCGAGGTGATGGAGCTATGCAAGGACAAGCCGTTCCTCAGGAAGATCACGGCGAAGTTGACCTGGCAGGACATCATGCGCGCCTATGAAGTTGGAGAAGAGGTGAGCGTCTTATCGAAAATTTTATTGGATGTCACAGTTTCTGACAGTGCGTCTCAGGAAATCGGAGTATGGGTGATGAAATGTGTGGGTTATGACGTGAAATTCCAGAAATTTCTCATCAACAACTTCGACATGTTTGTCTCCTCCATGGAGAAAGCGAAGAGGGGTGGCCGGAAACCGAAAACCTCTGGCAGAACACAACGAGGCAAGAAGAAATCGTCGGATCAAACAGCTCCCAAGACAGGCTCGAAGCGTAAGCGAGTTGTAGACTCCGAATCATCTGACAAATCGGACGAAGATGTGGACGAGGAAGGAGAGGAAGAGGACGAAGTGTCCGCGTCGAGAAACCCATCTACTATCCCCGAAGCACGAGATCGCGACCTATCATGATAGCTTGAGATCACCATGCAAATTATACCACTATCTCGCGCTGGACGTTGAATGCAAGTAGTGGATTATGCGAGATCCCGACAAAACATATGCCACCAATAGATACACATACACGCCCTATGCCTCCGCCTCTGCCTCATCAGGGAATAGCTCGACCCGGGCACGCTCAGCCTCAGCCTCGTCTTCGAGCAGAGCGCCTTGCGTCTTCCCGTCCTCCGCTCCGCGATGGGCTGGCTCCGGTTCCCCAGCGACCTCCTCAGGCGTGGGCACGTCACCAACAAGCGGTGCGTCTTCTGCGTAATGGTCGCCCGCGACGAGCTCGGGGGATTCTTCCGCGGTCTCAGCTTCGAGTGCCGTGGTGGGTTCCTGCCCGATGACAGAGCTGATCTCCTTCTCTTCAGAAACGACCTCCTCTGCAGCGGGGCGCACGTGTGGCTGGCTTTTTAGGTCTTCGTGTGGTACCCCTGCGAAGATGTCCCGCCCTGGCTCAGCCTGTCCGACGGCGACGGTGGTATCCGCGGAGTCTGCTCCGGCTGCTTCTACATTCGGCTCCACATTGTTCTCTACGACGACCGCTGCGCGGCCGCCGGGCTCGCCACCGATGGTCGCAGCGGAGGCTTGAGATTTTTGTGGTGTGGCGGCGATGAGGCTGTCGTATTGCGAGTACTGTGGATGCAGACGAAGGGGTAGTCAGAGCGATGACCACCTAGGAATGCAATTTGCAAACTCACATTGTCGTAAAATTCCTCGCTGGAAAAGAACTGATCAGATGACAACGGCACGAGACTTCATAGGGTGACCTACCACGCAAAGTCCCACGTCTTCATCCACTGCGCACTATGGCACTTCGCCTTCGTCCACGAGTTGCCATACGCCAGAGGGCTGAAGTATACGAAATTCCAGATCGCGATGATCAGCAACACCGCCGCAATCTGCAGCCGGATCTTGGGCCGCAGAGCCGACGTGACCAGATCGAAGACGACACATGACAGTAGAATCGCGAAGTAAAGCGCCGGGAAGTAGTGGTGGAGGAAGAGCTGGCGGCCCATGAGGTAAAACGGGAAGTAGTGCAGGAACCACCCGACGAAGAGGAATCCGCACAGTGTGTCGTATTTGACGACTTTTGCTGCAGCGCCGTGAGATGCGATTGAATATTACCTACGTTGGGACTTACTATTCTCGAAATCTTTGAAACCTCGCTTCGCGCGCAAGATAAGGAAGCCGCGCACTGCCGCGTAGCCAATTACGGCCGCGGTGCTGAGCCACCAAACCATCGGATTGCCTAGTAGGTAAATTTGACGATGGTCCTTCACCCAAAAATTCTAGGATAACAATTGAGAAATGGTGTTGAAAAATATAAAAGGAAGAGAACTCACGATGCCACGACGTAAACGGGGCCATGCATCAGGGCGCGAGTCGAACATATGGCGGTCAGTCAGACCGGCGTTCGTCATCCACATCACCTGCTGCAATTCCACGAACTTAGAGACGAAGCCGGGCAAGCGGTAGTTGACCTTGGGCGCATTCGCAGGGACTGCACAGGACGCAAATCCGTTAGTACAGTCATACTGATCGTTACTGGGACTAACGCTGGGGGTGTGCGGCCGTCTCGATGACCCATAGGGAATTGGGCTTGACGGCGTTCTTATTGCAAGTAACTTCCTGCTGCTCGAAGCCCCACTCGGGCAACTTTACCTTGTGCGAGAAGAGGTAGCACCCCGTCATCGCGTGCCTGAGCCTGAACTGCGTACGCAGCGTCCTTACGCGCTTGCCTGACTCCTTGTCCCGGCGGTCGCCCTTCTCGATCTCGAGGAACCAGTCGTCGTTGGCGTCGCCCGCGAAGCCCGCCATACCGTACGCGGAAACCTCGTTCTGGAAGTCGACATCGGACACGGGCGGGCGAAAGTCGTGCGAGTGCAGTGCTTTGTCCGTGCTCAGGTGTCGCAGCTTGATTCGCATGCCTGGCGTGATGTAGTGCAGGGGCTCGTTTTGCCAATCGAAGACTGGGTCGGCTTCCGCGGTCGCGTTGAGCAAAAGCCAGTCGTTGTTCTGGTCGCGGTGCGGGTACAACGTGACCTGTTGTTCTATATAATGCAGTTGGAATAAACGCGCGCGCAAGGAAAGAGTTGTCCTTACGCTTGCTTCCTCCTGGATACACGTGAGCATGAGAGTGTAGATATCCACCCTGCGTGTTGACGTGCCGAATGGTGACGGTGGATCCAACACCGATGTCTACAATTCAAGTCGATATAGACGAGTCATCTACAACGGTAATAACTCACCTGCGAACGTGTCTGCCATTCCACGGCCGTTGAGGGTATGCTGGAACTCGGAGCTCATGAAACCATCACCGTCACCGGGGTTCTGCAAGATCAGGAAATGTATCCAGAACATGAACATGTAGAACAGAACAGGTACGGCGATCAGGCAGAGCGCCCTCGCCGCGAAGTGTCTGAAGAATTGTTTCGGCGTGACGCGCAGGTCACCGAGGAGTAACCAGAGCTGCTTCAGAGTGCCTAGTCCGACCGTCGCGATGGTGAAGAGCCCGACCCACTTGCAGCTGACAACGGCTCCGAGCGAGAGGCCGGAAAGTGTGAGCCAGGTCCACCAGCGGTCGGTGAACGGCTCGTGCTTGTCTTCGTTGCAGAAGCCCGTCCAGAGAAATACCGTGAGTGCGGTGAAGAAGATGAGCGGGGAGTCAAGGAGGATGTGCCTGGACTGGGTGATTAGGCCGTTCTCAAAGGTGATGAAGAGCGAGGCGAGGAGCGCTGTCGTTGCGCGGCAATCGAGAGCGCGGAGAGTCAGATACGAGAGTGGTACGGTGGCCACGCCAAGGAGTCCTGGAACGAGACGCATCGCGACATACGGTGTGTGCTCGTATGGCCTATGATATTGTATAGCACGTGTTTACCGGAAGATAATGCATACACTCACTTGCCAATGTCCTTGAAGTCAAAATTGCCGTCAAAGCCAAAGATAAATCCAGCTAGTGTGATGAGTAGCTTGGCGAGTGGAGGATGGACATCGACGAAGTACTGCGATTTGATGTATTTAGCGGCGAACCTTCCGAAGTGGACCTCGTCGAAACTTGGAGGGATGAGGGCGCGAAGTTAGAGAATGGTATAGACGACATACACGACACTATCCGGCTTGGATATGCGGAAGAGGCGGACGACCATTGCAACAATGGTAATGACGGCGAGCAGTTTCCACTCCGCAGCAGTGAGGTTGACACCCCCAGACGAGTGAGCCTTGCGTGAAGGTACGAATCCCCGCGAAGCAGCTTCTCTTCGCTCATCGGCGTCAAGATGTTCGCTGCGCGGGTGAGGGAATCGCGGGGTAGCATGAGGAAGGCCGGGGGGTGGAGAAGCGGCCCGTCTGACCCTTACCGACATGGTGTGGGGACACAGTACTTTCAAAATACAACTAGAGCGCCAGCACGGAGAGAACAGAGATGAAAGCAGAAGGAGAGCAGGGTGATGATGGCCAGCGGCAGAGAGCGTACGGTGCGGTATGCGGTGTCGATAATCGACAGTCGATTGAAGGGGTATCGTTTATAGCCCTAGAATAGGGTCTCGGTACTTATACCTGCTTTGCTCCCGCCGGCTGACTCTCCATCTCAAAACAGACCGGCGGGACGAGTATGCTCTAAACATTGGCATACAATACTAAGATTCCAGGTGGAACGCCGGTCAGATACTTAATCGTGTACAATTTGGCCAATGACCTTAAGTACTCGTGCCTCGACAGCAGGAGCCGTGAGGTATGTACTGGTATCATCCACACATGTCATAATCTGCTACAGTACCGGTCCTGAGAAAGTACTGGTTAGAATTCTGGTGGTTAATGAGTGCGAGCCTCCCTGTCGCCCATATGGGGAATGTGTATCTCCCCAATGAGGTACTGACTTCAAACTCAGCCCATTCGCGGACCGACCGATCTCGGTCAGAAAGCTGCAGCCTTCTACTTTCCATCTTCCACAGGAAACATGTCCATGAACATTTTTGGTGCAGAGGTACGTTCAGTTCGCAATCCTACGGCGGACATATTCACACTCTCGCTTCAGGCAACAGAGGAGAAGGCAGAAAATGCGCGTCTCTCTTCCTTCGTCGGCGCGCTCGCGCTCGGCGATCTCGTCAAATCCACTCTCGGGCCCAAAGGCATGAACAAGATCCTGCAGTCCGCATCTACGGGAGATATCAACGTGACAAACGATGGCGCCACCATCCTGAAGGCCATCCAGCTCGACAATGCCGCCGCCAAAATTCTCGTTAACATCTCCAAGGTGCAGGACGACGAGGTCGGCGACGGCACGACCAGCGTCTGCGTTCTCGCGGCGGAGCTGCTACGTGAGGCGGAAAAGCTCATTGCCCAGAAAATACATCCGCAGACGATTGTGGAAGGATTCCGGATCGCGAGTGCGGTAGCGCTGAAGGCACTGGAGAAGTCAGCGGTCGATCACAGGTGAGCACCATGTTTTGGATTTCAACCGCGCAATGCCTGTCGGTGGCGCGGATGATCCACGATTGAGCTACAGTCAAAGTCGCGTGTACATACTGCACATGTGCAGTGTCCCCCTTCGTGAATAACTGGACGGGGAACAGATTTGGTGGGTTTCAAAAATGCATGAGTTGCGGTGGTATGTAGCTGCGGCGAGTTCGCAGGGAACGTTTAACCTGCGTGCGAGCGGATCTATATGGTCCAAATTACGCTCGCGGAATCGTGATTTTACCTCCGACAATAGGGATTTTTCTGTGTAAAATTCAGTGCTGAGGCTCATTGGAGATGATGTAGCACCGACCCGTCCCAGTTTAGACAAGACCTGTTCAACATTGCAAGGACAACACTGTCATCGAAAGTGCTCGCTCAGGACAAGGACTACTTCGCGAACCTAGCAGTAGATGCTGTCCTGCGTCTAAAGGCGAGCTACTAGCGCTAACTTTGCGGACGGTTGTGTCTAACGGCCGAATGCTGTCAGGGCTCGACGGATCTTGACCATATCCAAGTTATCAAGAAGGTCGGCGAAAAGCTCACAGATTCGTATCTCGACGAAGGTACGATCTCTCTCACCATACCCCAGGGAAGCTCAGCTTGACGCCATGAACACAGGCTTCATCCTCGATAAGACCATCGGCATCAATTGTCCCAAGCGGCTGGAGAATGCGAAGATTCTCATCGCGAATACATGTGAGTAACGGATCCTTCTGTGGCGAGGGCGCGATCTGATAGTTTGTGTGGGCAGCGATGGACACGGACAAGATCAAGGTGTTCGGTGCACGTGTTAAAGTGGACAGCACGGGGAAGCTGGCGGAGCTCGAGCGTGCGGAGCGGGTGCGCTTTGCTTTTACTTTACCCTGGTGCATGTCTCTCTAAAGCCTAGGACGCCGGTTACAGGAGAAGATGAAGGCGAAGGTGGAGGCTATCGCGACACACGGCATCAACTGCTTCGTTAACCGGCAGCTGATCTACAACTACCCCGAGTCTCTATTGGCGGAGAAGGGCATTCTCACTATCGAGCATGCCGACTTCGAGGGTGTCGAGCGCCTGTCACTCGTCACTGGTGGTGAGATAGCGAGCACGTTCGACCACCCAGACAAGGTGAAGCTCGGACGCTGTGAGCTGATTGAGGAGATCATGATTGGCGAGGATAAGGTCAGTCCTGCATACGTCAAACGACGTGCATAAAAATGAGAGTGTCCTGATCACTGTTTGTGTTAACTTGCAGCTCATCAAGTTCTCCGGCGTAGCGGCAGGTGAGGCATGCACGGTGGTGCTGCGCGGGTCAACGTCACAGATGGTGGACGAGGCCGAGCGCTCACTGCACGACGCGCTCTCCGTGCTCTCGCAGACAGTGAAGGAAACGCGGGTCGTGCTTGGGGGAGGCTGCTCCGAGATGCTGATGAGCTGCGCGGTCGAGGAGGAGGCACGCAAGGTTACGGGGAAGAAGGCGATCGCAGCGGAGGCGTTCAGCCGTGCGCTGCGCCAGATTCCCATCATCCTCGCTGATAATGCCGGCTTCGACTCGTCGGATTTGGTGACGCGGCTGCGGGCGGCGCACTATGAAGGGCAATCTGACGCGGGACTGGGTAAGTGCTGTGTTTGTTCCGTGCTCTGTTGGGTGTTGCTAATGTGCTCTGGTGTGGTGCAGACATGAATGAGGGCACGATCGGGTCAATGCAGAAGCTAGGCGTCACAGAGAGTTACAAGCTCAAACGCCAGGTGATCCTCAGCGCCAGCGAGGCGGCAGAGATGATCCTTCGGTATGTACTATCTCCTTGTCGGTCGGCATGGTTTATTGACACGGTTGCAGGGTGGACGATATACTGCGTGCGACACCACGAAAACGGGAAGCGGTATAGAGGTCGGGCACTGTCTTGCATGCCGGGTTGCAGCACTTTCCAAAAGACATTATTGGCACCGCGAGGGATTGCCACTGTTGTCGTCCTGGGGGTTTTGTATTACATACCAGTTGATGTCGGGGGGAAGACATCGCAATGCATCGAGGAGTGCAGCGCAGTGTCAGGAAGGCGAGATCTCGTGGTCGTGCGACCAGAAATGCACTTCCCTCGGGCTTGCACGAAAGGCATGCAAGGATATATACTTTCAACGTCGAGGAGATTTCTGGTCTCTAACTCGAGATAACCGACAACGTATGTTCGAGGTAGACTGAAAAGTCTCCGCGAAGAACACAAGAGGGTTTGGATCCGCTCCAGCTGCGCGGTCCAACTTTGTTGATAACGACGATCCCCTCTCGCACCGTCTCCTTCCAATAAATCGCACGACGCAGAAATGGTCGTCCAGCACGCGCACACATCGCAGACAACGCCCGCCTCGCTGCCGCCGTCGGTCTTCACGCTCCCCCAGACCGCCCAGCTCGAGGCGCTTTACACTATCATCCGCGACAAGACGACGAGCCGCGGCGACTTCCTCTTCTACTCGGATCGCATCATCCGCCTCCTCGTCGAGGAAGGTCTGAACCACCTCCCGGTCATTCCCAAGACCGTCGAGACGCCCACGGTCAGTAGTGCTTCGGTCCGCTTCCATGCTCGGTGATCGTAAGGCGGCGCCGCTTCGGCTTGCGCTGAACAGGGTGCGACGTACGAAGGCGTCGGGTTCGAAGGCAAAATATGCGGCGTGTCTATTCTGCGCGCTGGAGAGGTGCGTGTGCTTCCGGGGATCGTGTATGACCTGGTGTAATTTTTATTTGGTCGCTGAACTGCAGGCAATGGAAGCCGGCCTGAGGGAGGTGTGCAGGAGCGTCCGGATTGGCAAGATCTTAATTCAGAGGGTGCGCGGTCCCGTTGCTTGACGTGTCTCTCAGAAGCTTAATGCGCCGGCGGCCGCACAGGATGAGGAGACGGCGCAGCCAAAGCTGTTCTATTCTAAGGTCTGGACACGTTCACGATGCCGTGGAGATACTGCTGCTCATCCGCTGGTTCTCCAGCTTCCGCAAGATATCAAGCAGCGGTACGTACTACTGCTGGATCCCATGCTCGGTGCGTTGCGCAATCGGTCTATTCCTCTGTACGAGCTCTGATCGGTGTTGTCCCTGGCCGAATGCAGCTACCGGAGGGTCGGCCATGAAGGCGGTGGAAGTGATCATGGAGCAGGGTGTGCCAGAAGAACGCATAATATTCATTAACCTGGTACGCACGGCATATTCGTTCTAGCGATAAACACTACAAAGCTGAGGACATGCAGATCGCGTCGCCCGAGGGCCTGCGGGCGTTCTGCACGAGATATCCGACGCTGCGCGTGGTGAGTGATGGTAAATCCCAAGTGATTTGCGGACTGATCAGTGTGGTACCAGATCACCGGGTGGATTGATGAAGGGCTGAATGAGAAGGCGTACATCGTCCCCGGGCTTGGCGACTTCGGTGAGAGAAGGTGAGATGGTTTTGATGCTCCCCAGTGTGTGAGGATATTCACGCAACTGGCGTGGTAGATACTGCTCCTGAAGAAGCGAGCGCTCCGCTGCCGGGGAATCTGCCACGCTTCTCGTTCTCATGATGTAGATGACTAGGAAGGATGGCTGGGGAAGGTCCTCCAAGAGAGCTGCGCAGTGTATGATATCAGAGAGATAACTTGGGAGCTGATATGCGGGATGATGAGGAGCCTGGCCATGGGACATTGTACGACTAGATAATATCTATCCCTCGAGCGCTTCTGGCGTGTATCCACTCTGTTATAAAATTTGTACCTCCCGCACAAAGTACCCTGTCCTCCTCTCTCCCACCACCATCATGTCCGACGTCAACGACCAGCCCGTCCTCGCTCGTCGTCGTCGTCACTCGGGCAACATCCTCCCTCCGCCCACCAGCGTCGTCGAGAGGTTCATGGCATCTGCATCCGACGTGCCCACCCGCCCCAAGTCCACCCCGCCCCACGAGCGGCGGCGGCGGCGTAGGCACGAAGACGACAACGACAACGGCGGTGACAACGGCGGCGACGACGACGACGCTGTTGTAACGTCGGAGTCGGAAAAGGAGGCCATGCAAATTGACGGTGCCGCTGACGGCGACGCCCGGGGCCCTCCGCCCGACGCGTCTTCCGTTCACACCAACATCCTCTCTCCCGCCAAAAGCAATCTCGTGCAGCCCGAACGCCCTACAAAGCCTCTTCCGACGTCCAAGGCCCGCAAGATCATGAACAACGGCTCGCACTATCCTTTCCCCACACCCGCGAACCCGCACATGCTGCCCGTCCAGGCGCATGTACCCAGGGGCGGCGCCGCGTCCAGCCAGCGGAGGCTCTTTGTTGTCTTGGAGCAGGCGTGCTTGGAAGCATACCGCGTCAGCAGTGGAGGAAAGGGAAAAGGTGGAAGGGAAGGCGACGTCAAGTATGCCCTTTTGAACTGCGACGATCATCAGGGCATTCTTGCCAAGACTGGGAGGGACATTGCGGATGCACGCCCGGATATCACTCATCAGGTATGTGAAGCTAATATATGCGTCTTCAGTGTCGCTAATCGCCCGTGTCGCTAATTGCCCGCAGTGCCTGTTGACGCTGCTAGACTCGCCTCTGAACAAGGCCGGTCTTCTGCAGGTCTACATCCACACCGCAAAAGGCGTTCTTATTGAGGTCAATCCTCATGTGCGCATCCCACGAACGTTTAAGCGATTCAGTGGGTTGATGGGTGCGTTTAAGCGCTCCGCTCGATGATGTCCCTCTCTGACCGTCTGGCAATGCGCAGTCCAACTACTGCACAAGATGTCGATTCGAGGCGTCAATGGGCCGGAGAAGCTCTTGAAGGTCATCAAGGTTTGTTTACATTGTTCACCACGACGAGTCCGTGTACTGATATTTATGCAGAACCCAGTCACTGATCATCTACCGGTGAACACAATTAAATTGAGTATGTGGCTACTTCTGCTCGATCTCGTTGGTATGTGAATGCTGACTTGTTTTGTGGACTGTAGCGCTGTCTGGTGATTCTCCAACGATACGATTGTCCAAGTACCTACCGACACTGCCCGAGACACATTCAATTGCTGTCTTTGTGGGCGCTATGGCGCGAGGGAAGGACGACTTCGCGGACGGCATCGTGGACGAAAAGATCGGTATCAGCAACTATCCACTCAGCGCATCCGTCGCGTGTGGCAAGGTCAGTCGTCTGCCTTTATCGGGAGTCTGTCCTCGTTCTGACGCATGATTGGCAGTTCTGCTGTGCCCTCGAGGAGCTATGGGACATTGTTTGAATATTCTGGGATCTGTGGTATTCTCATCTATCTCTCCTACTATTTTGCAACCATTGTATCACCACCTGCATTTCAACCTGCGCTGACCCTGCCCCCCCACTAACCAACTTCCGTCCCTCCTTCCCCTGTGGATGCTGTCCACGACGTAGACAGAGTTGCCCGTGTATGTACTGCGACTCAACTTGCAGATCGGGCATGTAACATTGCAGCTGTGTGTATTCTGAATAAAAAATACAAATGTAGTGACGCGTACGAAGTCTATCAGACACGCGGGAGTTCCCTTTCCGAGCGCTCGTGTGCCGCACGGCCAGCCAGGCCAGCCACCTACCTGCCTCCACTCACCCATCTCCTCTTTTCTGCCAGCACTAGCCTCCTCACCCTCCAGCAACACACGATGGAATTCGTACAGCAAGCCAGCGCGAGCCCCATGCCCGACGGCGTCACAGACCCCGACTACAGACCCCTCCCAGGTCGCCTCGGTAATCTCACCGTAGGCCAACAGCACATACTCGACAAGTTCCGCAAGGAGCTCCAAGATGAGGGCGTATTTGTGCCAGAAAGGATGAACGATGCCATGCTGCTTAGGTGCGTCAATTGGTGCGCCATCGCGCAAGGGGCTGTGCGTCCGCGCCCGCAGTGACGACCATTTGTACATACTGAGCCCCTGCTTCGCCCCGCCCAGATTCTTGCGCGCGCGCAAGTTTGACCTGGCGAAGGCGAAGGCGATGATCATCGCGTGCGAGGAGTGGCGGAAGGACTTTGGCGTAGATGAGATTTACAGGTGAGCGCGCCTGCCGCGCTCTCATTCTTGTACGCTGAACTGAGTCCTCGCCCCTCCCGCCCGTTAGCAACTTTGATTTCCCGGAGATCGCGGAGGTGGATAAATACTACCCCCAATATTATCACAAAATGGACAAGGTGTGTCCGCTTTACCGTGAGGGGACTGGCTGACTGATGGACGGACGACGGTGTACACAGGAGGGGCGGCCGGTGTATGTCGAGCGGTTAGGGCTGCTCGATATGAAGGCGCTGTACGCGATCACGACGCCAGAACGGCAGCTGCAGCGGTTGGTGTACGAGTACGAGAAGATGCTCAAGGAGCGGCTGCCCGCGTGCTCCAAAGCGATCGGCCACCCCGTTGAGACGTCGTGCACGATCCTCGACCTCCAGAACGTGTCTCTGTCCAACTACTACCGCGTCAAGGACTACCTCATGTCCGCCGCGTCCATCGGCCAGGATCGCTACCCGGAGACGATGGGCAAGTTCTACATCATCAACGCGCCCTGGGCATTTTCCACCGTCTGGACGTTCATCAAGCCTTGGCTCGACGAGGTCACCGTGAATAAGATTTCTATTATAGGTGCGGCCTATCAGGACAAGCTCCTCGCGCAGATTCCAGCGGAGAATTTGCCAAGGGAGTTTGGTGGGATGTGCGAATGCGCCGGCGGCTGCTCCCTCAGCGATGCGGGGCCATGGCATCCGCAGTGAGCCCGCGAGGCCCAGGACCTGGTTACTCTACCCTGTATACCTCTAATAGATAGCACGTCACATCTTAAACGCCGATTCTGCATTGGACTTTTGGGAACCATCTGCGGGCAGACGTCGCAAAGTATGCAAATTATATGTAGTCATGATTCTCCATTGTTCTATCCACGCTATCGACCAACTACACCCGCAGAGACTGCAGGGGGAAATACAGTTATGAAAACGAGCAGTGCATTGGAGAACCAGGCCAGCGTAAAGATATCTACATCGCGATTCATTAAACCTTCTTACCTTCCCGACGCTTAGAAACACTCTGCAACAACAGGGGGTGAATTGTGCTACGCATAACAGGTAAGACACCAGATACGCACTGCGGTGAACAATCCCAGGACCGGACTCATCGTACTCCTGCTTGGAGCACCACAAGTTCTGGAAGGTGCTCAGGGATGCCAAAATCGAACCACCAATCCAGACGGAGTACTTCCTTTCCGGAGGAGCTACGATCTTCACCTGCGAAAATAGAACAATTTATTGGCACTGATCACCACTGCTAGTATATCAATCACACTAACCTTCATGCTTGAGGGGGCCAGGGCGGTGAGTTCCTTCTGCATACGGTCGGCAATACCAGGGAACATGGTAGTACCACCAGACAGGACGATGTTACCGTAGAGATCACGACGGATATCCATATCGCACTTGTAGATTGAGTTGTAGCTGGCACCACTCGTGTGTCAGATTGTTAAGTACCAATAATCACCTATAGCAACGTACCATGTCTCATGGATACCAGCCGCCTCAAGACCAAGCATCGCGGGCTGGAAGAGAGCCTCTGGTGCACGGAACCGTTCATTACCGATGGTGATAACCTGACCATCAGGCAGCTCGTAGCTCTTCTCCAAAGCAGACGAGTGCGCAGCGGTCTGAAGCTCCTGCTCGAAGTCGAGTGCGACATAACAAAGCTTCTCCTTTATGTCACGGACGATTTCCCGCTCAGCAGTGGTATGCATCTGGTAGCCACGCTCAGTCAAGTTCTTGACGAGGAACTCTGTGAGGTCACGGCCGGCAAGATCGATACGGAGGATGGCGTGCGGTAGCGAAAAACCTTCGTATATGGGTACGGTGTGGGTTACACCGTCACCTGAGTCGAGCACGATACCCGTCGTGCGACCGGACGCGTAAAGGGACAGCACAGCCTGGATGGCAACGTAGAAGGCGGGCGCGTTGAAGGTTTCGAACATAATCTGCGTCATTTTTTCGCGGTTGGCCTTTGGGTTAAGAGGGGCCTCGGTGAGAAGGATGGGGTGCTCTTCGGGGGCGACACGAAGCTCGTTGTAGAAGGTGTGATGCCAGATCTTCTCCATGTCATCCCAGTTCGTAACGATACCGTGTTCAATGGGGTATTTGAGGGTAAGGACACCACGCTTGGACTGAGCCTCATCGCTGACGAGGTAGTATGAGCTGGCATATTTGCGGATAAACATGCAAGCGGACGCACCCAACGTAGGAGTCCTTCTGACCCATACCAACCATGACACCCTGGTGGCGAGGGCGACCAACGATGGAGCTGAGTCACGCAGCGAATTAGCTGCTGCGGAATAGGGAATGGAGAGTTAAAAAAAAGCACTCACGGGAAGACGGCGCGAGGGGCATCATCACCTTGCATGCGTGTGAGATTGCTACTGAAGTATAGTTGTAAATTGAACATGTCTTACCAGCAACTGCACACGAAGGGACCGGTCAGTATCGTAGGATACGAGAAAGACGGAAGAGCAGCTCACAGCCAGCCTTGCACATGCCGGAACCATTGTCAATCACCTAACGCGGCATCAGTAGTGAATATACGGTAGATGTGCAATTCAGAGGTAGAGACACGTACGAGCGCTGCGACCTCGTCCTCCATGGTTGTAGAGTATAAGCGTAAGGAAGGTTGTGAGTGAGACTAAGTAAGATGCAAACGAGGCGGAGCTACGCGGGGAGCTTATAAGCGGGGGCACTGCGCAGCGTGGTAAAAATGATGGGAGTTAGCGACTGCGCGCTGTCGACTGCGGCGAGCAAACACACCTGGAGAACGGGCGGAACGACGAGGGGCTTGGGCAAAGGGCGATGATAGCGGTGCTGATATTCCTTATCCGATCCCCTTCAGGGCAGGCACGCGTCCGCCCTTTCTAATCATTTGTAGTGGCGTGACATTTCACTTACAACGTCACGTCGGGTCACGAAGGCCCGGTCCCGTCACGCGGGCGTCACGCGCCTACGCGTCGAAGTCTCTGATCGGCCAAGTACACTCTCTAAAGTCCACCTCTTCGCCTCTGCCCACCATGCCGCTCGAGGCGACGCTAATGATTATCGACAACTCAGAGTACATGCGCAATGGAGACTACCAGCCCACTCGCTTTGACGCTCAAGCAGACGCAGTCAACACACTCTTCCAGACCAAAATCGACTCGAACCCCGAGAACACGGTCGGCATCATGACCATGGCAGGCAAAGGGTGCGCTGCTAGCAGTCTTCTGACCTTCCACCGCCCGCTGATACATCTCTAGCCCTGAGGTACTGGTTACACACTCGAAAGACCTCGGCCAGATCCTCCAAGCCATTCACACCAGCAGAGACAAGATCAGTGGTACTGCCGATATCACCACTGCCATCGCCGTGGCCCAACTGGCCCTCAAGCATCGCCAGAACAAGAACCTCCGTCAGCGTATCGTCGTCTTTGTCGGGTCACCCCTCAATGGTCAGTCTGCCGACGAGCGCGCCATGGTCCGCCTCGCCAAGAAGCTCAAGAAGAACAACGTCGCCGTCGACTTTGTCGCGTTTGGCGATGGCATAGAGGAGGGCGAGGGTGGCATTCTCAAGACATTTATCGAAAATATTACGAGCAGTGACAACTCGTGAGCTTTCCATGTCAATCCATTCTTTCCAGCACTCCCTTCGCTGCGCATGCTTGTTGCTTATTGCATCGCATCACAGACATCTGGTATCTGTTCCACCAGGTCCACATTTACTCTCCGACATCCTTCTCACTTCTCCCGTTCTCGCTGGTGACCGCGGCATTCCAGAAGAGGCAATGGGTATGGGTGACGCGTCGGGCTCCGGTGCCGTTGGCGCCGGCGGTTTCGAGTTTGGGGTGGACCCTAGTCTTGATCCAGAACTTGCCATGGTGCGTCGCTCCCTTCATCTTCCTCCTGGGGGTTGACACTGACTGGTGATCGCAGGCGCTGCGGATGTCGATGGAGGAGGAGCAAGCGCGTCAAGCAGCAGCGGCGCAGGCGAGCGGGGCTGCGGGGGCAGCAGCAGATGCACCAACATCTGGGCCGTCGACTGCGCCAACGGAGCCGATGGATGACGAGGAGGAAGCGATGCTGAAACAGGCGCTGGCTATGTCGGAGGCGCAGGACGTCGAGATGGGCGAGCACCCAGTGCATGAAGAGGACGAAGAGATGTCGGAGGAGGAGGCGATTGCTCGCGCCATCGAGATGAGCATGAAGGGAGAGGGGGGCAAGAGTAACGATAATAACAAGAAGTAGACTTGTCGCGTACTGTCCTCCTTCACTCATTTCGCGACGATATCCTACTTTTCGCGCTGCAAGCCATGCACTCGGTGTATTTCTGTGAGGAATCTACAGTATGTGGGGCCTTGTGGGTGTCATTGTTGCCGTACTTACGGGAGCGGAATATTCCCACGACGGCAATAGCCTCGGATAATCTACCAATGTTGCAGGTGGACTGCAGTGACGGAATTGTCTTAATGAACATCGACTGTCCGTCCGCGCTGAAATGCATAGGTGGACAAGCGTTTAACGTTTAACTGCCATGACTATCATAGCGGAGGATACTCCCGACCTACGATCACCTTCCATTGTATGGCGATTACTAGCCTGTTCACGCTGGTGTTGCAGGCCGAACGTATCCTGTTGTCAGAAAAACTATATTTCGGGTGGCTATCAGGATGCTCAGAAAAATGCTTTTAAGACAACGGACTCTCTGCTATCTGCATTCGCGGCTGAAGGTAATAAGCAGCCATGTCCTCCCATCACGTCGGGATCTCAATAGGATCAAGTCAATCATACTTATGAACGAACATATTCACTTGCCATTCTGGGAATTTGTGCTCCTACTTGCGCAGAGGTCGAATCCAGATCGACGCACTTTTATTGTCCGAGATTAGCAATCAGCTATTGTAGCCATTGTATTGATCTGTATACGGTCAAATGAAGTACATTGCACGCAGAGTATAATAACATCACACCGGTGTGACGTCAGCTCTGCGAGAGCTTTCCTTTGTGTCTTGTCCAGCTGAGCGCTCCACACTGCATACATCCGGGACTTGATGTCAATGATAGGTAAATGAGTGACCTGCACAGGAAGCATTACCACTTTTATCCATTGAAAATAACCTGGCAAAAAGCATGGAAATCAATAATATATTTTCAGAGGAAAAACCTCAAGAAAAAAGTGAGAAAAGAACAAAACATTCTCACAGTTTTTCCCTTGGAAATAAGTTGCCTACCATATCAGGCAACTGGACATGCCAGGACATGCCAAAACCCGGACAAAACTACCATATTTGGCGACCAACTTATTTCCAGTGGAAAAACTGCGGAAATGCTTTGTTCTTTTACACATTTTTTCCTCATGTTTTTCCCGCAGTATAACTTTATTGATTTCCACACATTTTTCCAAGTTATTTCCTCGGGAAAAAAGGGGTTATGCATCCTGTGCTGTGTGCCATAAGTCCATTTGACCTCGGAGACAGCCAGCTGTTGTAGCCAAGTACTCTCCTCCGAATTTCTCGGTACATATGGAAGAAACAGGTTGCATTTGACACTGCTATTTACGCATACAGATGCGGCTGGCACTTGGTCCTCCTGCCACCCTCGGTGCCTCCGTCACTCCCGCCACTTCCGCCATTCCCGCCACTTCCACCATTCCCGCCGCTCCCGCCATTCCCACTGTCGCTGCGGTCACATCGTTGGATCCACCCGACATGCTGTGATTCCTCTTCCTCTTCCTCCTTCTACCTGCGACCTCCTGCGATACCATCGATGGACCGGCAAGCTGTGCGCTCTCCTGGGCCTGTTGTGGAGTCATTATGGGTCCATTCGCTGATTGTGCATTCTCTGGGGCCTGCGATGGTGTCTGCGCCGATGGAGCTATTGGCTGCTTTGAATTTCCCTGAGCCTGCCTTCATTCTTCCCGCTTTGCCCCCTGTGCTTTTCCGCTTGGCATTCTGAGAAGAGCGGAGCTGCGCCGCCCACTCGGCATGCTTTTGCTCATGATCGGCATAGACTGCAATCGGTGCAGTCAGGTATCGAGGCAAAAGGCGACGGATTAGGTGGGGATTGTGAAGAGAGTGGAGGTTAATAATGAAATGGTCATCAGATTTATGCTCAATGAAATGGTCATCAGATTTATGCTCAATGAACCGGTCATTGATGGTAGTGTCTTGCCTCTCCTGCTTACGAGGTCGTTCACCAGAGGCGGAGCACTTGCACTCACGACAATTGTGTTGTGCATTGAATGAAAACTCGATGTCCTAAATGTGTGCGCGTTGAGATCTGCATATGTTCAGGAACTTTAGATCACTCACCGAAGCTGGTAATATGACATAAGTCTTTTCACCCATCCTACGGTGCATTGTAGGCATCGCAAAGACTGCATCACGAGCATCCGAAAGTTCGAATTGATCCAATATAACGATTGCCATTGGAGTCACACTCCTGTGGAGAATTTCCACGATCCGTCCAATGACGAGGGTACCCTATATGTAATCAGCATGCGTGACAATATCCAAGTGATTGACTTACATTTATCGGCGAGGTGGCGCATACCCACGATTCCACTACGCATTTGTCTTGAGACTTGGCAATAACATTGATGCACGGAATCCATATCTGATCAGCATTGTAGGCATGTGCATTGACTGCTTGAGAAGCTTTGGTTTCTTGCCACTTGATGGTAGGTCGTTCTCGAGTCTTCCATTTCATTGGAGCAAATTTTGTTGTGCCTGTTTAGGAAGACCAATGTCAGAAATGACCAGGATGTTCGTGTTTTGGCACTTACCTGGGGCAAATACTTGCATTTCTGTCCATCCTAGATGCCGCTGCAGTACGGAATGATTGCGGATCGCATCGCGAACTCGAGGACCTGCTTGCACCCACTCACCGCCATGTGACTTGGATGGCCAAAATCCACCAAGAAGACGATGTTTTAGACTTTCTTGGCCAGCAAGATCCACTGCAATATCTCGACTGGGTGCAAGTCCATTTGAGAAGATCGATGAGTAGCGGAAGACAGCATTGTAAGACTCAAAACTCTCTGTACTTGACCCGAGAAGAGGGCCCAAGCGTTGAACATCTTCATGCATATGCGAAAGAAGGTGGAGTTTAATTTTCTGTACCATTTTCGTCGGGTCAATGATTGAGAAAAGGTCGAGAACATTTCCAGCAGCAATTTCGAGGTCATCCTGTCAATAAGCGTAGGCAAATTGGTTCTCATCTTGCCAAATCCACAGGAAGTAACAGGTATGCACGAGATACTCATCCATGTTGTGAATCTCCGGAAACCAGAGTAATGCCATCAACTCCCCGCAGGCCTGCCAAAGCCGAAAATGAGTCACATCTACAAGATCGTGCGTATGAAACACTGTTGTCTGGGCAAGTGTCTTTAGCTGGCGACCAATCAGGGATTTCGCACACTGCATAATGTAAGCAGCTCGTATTGGATGAGTGGAAAGGCTGTCAATAGACGTCGACTGGAGTCGAATCATATATGTTTCTTTCTGTGAGTCCTTCCACGCAGTGTGAGACATATGCCAAATATACTTGATGATACCAAGCAGAATTGTGTGCAGGATTTCTATGGGGGTGTCTCTGGTAGGATTGAAGCCTGCACCGATAGTGTGATTAGCAACTGATTCACACAATTTGACAGGTGCACGTACCCTTCATCATCAAGAAGGGGTTAATAATGTCATCCTGGTGTTGAGCGACCCATTCTCGAAGCTCAGTTTGAATACTTTCTGCAGAACGACTCCGATTTTCAGATTTCATGCGACGGGCACGCTCGATGAGGACCTCAATCCAGTACTGTGTGTATGCCTGTATTGGTCTGCATCTTCTCGACATGCGCTGCGACTCCAGTACAGGCAGCATCTAATTGTCGCTGCACCTCGCGCAAAGTCTCAGTGCTCGAGCAAGCTTCCCCGGTCTGTAAGGTCAGCTTATCTTAATATATACCATTTCATCAGGCACAGAAAGACTCACCTGGAAGAGCGCATCATAGCCTGTGTTTGATTCCTTCTCCTTGTCAGTCCCGCCGACTGTGCACTTACGGCATGGAAAATTCCCCTGTCCTCCAATGTGCCCAGAACACTCACTCTGGGACGGATTGTCACCTGGACCAGTGTTGACAAAAATTTGGAATGTGATGTTGTCACCAGTTTCGGCATCACGAACCGGCACAGGATCTCGGTGCGTGCTTCTGTTCATTCGGGTCAGATCTGTATGGTAAATATGGCTAAAGTAGCAACATACTCTGCAACTTCCTTAAATGCTTTGAACTGCTTCGGAGCTGTGGCATACTGCGAGGTTGAGATTAAATGGATGTGGCATTCCTGCTGGAGCAAACGACGAGGCAGGTTGCGGTGTGTTATACAACAATTCCAGTGCTTGTTGTAAGCCTTCGATCGATTTCCGGATACGTCATCTGACCAATAATCCACAAAACTCGAGTACAGGGGATCGCCATCTGCCATGGCACGAAGAGAATTAGGCATTTCAAATTTACATTCATTTCGTGCCTTGTCTTGAAGGTGAGGAATCATTCCCGTTTCCTGCAAGTCAAGAAAGTTCACTTGTAAGTCAGTTCCCTTGATTAGAATTGTTTGTGCCGAGTTCACGATCATGTTACCCTTCAGGTCACCTGTTAGACACAAGCTGTACGGAGTGAGAATATCTGAAGCACGTACAGTCGCTTCTATCTCGACGTGATGGGCATCCGCATACACCTCACGTGTTTTCTCCATTTCCAACCACCTCACAGGTATGACCAGCCCACCATTTTTTAGCTGCGCCAATTCTTGAACATAATAATGCCGACCATCACCGGCATCATACATGGGACTGAGTATAGACACATCGAGCTCCTTGTGCCATTTTTGTGCGTGCCAAATCTCTGATATTGGACCAATGGGAATAACTGGATAATGGCGAATTTCTTTGCGAACAGAAGGTGTCGACCAATCCTGCATGTCTAAAGGTCAGTAAATTTGCTAGAAAAGATTGTCTCGTGAACAAACCTTCACAATAATGGATCTTGGATCATTGTAATAGAAGACATTCTTTTTTGGTGACTGGTATAACTTTGTCGGAATCCCGCATTCTTGATGCAACTTTTTTTGCAGCTTGCGTAGACGATCAAGAGAGGGAACGTTATGAGCCCCCGTCTCACGCAAAATCCATAGAAAGACTCGCATCAATGAATCTGATACCGCAATTCGTGGAAGGTTGTCCAATGTGTCAAGCAACATCATCTGTTGAATAACAGGTATGTCAATCAACGCTTGCTTAGGATTATAACTTCAAATTTACCATTTTGTTAGGGTACGGGAACCAATCAGCCAATATGTCATCCTCCCGCTCTGCAAATGAATACTCTGCATTGTCTTCTGCGTGGTTCTCCAGTCCTGTACAGGCTGGCAAAAGATGTCATTGGATTTCACAAGGAAATCCACTGTGTTAACTCACCTGCCTGCTCCATTATTTCAGCTAATTCTTCATCCTCCCGTAGGGCTTGTTTCCACTGCATGGTGACCTCCAACTCCTCATCTACGGCTTGCTCTTCCACCTCATCAGCAGCCCATAGTGCAAGGTTCTCGATCGCTTTCTCCAACCACTGACGTTCTCCGAATGTAGTGTCTGTGCCGCAGTCAAAATTAGTTTGGTTCAGTTCAAATTCATCCCACATCTGGACTTCAACGGGACCGGGGACTCTCGATAGTGTGGGTTGGATGCTTGGCAGTAACACCTCATGCAGTCGTGGCTCCATCGGTGTGGCTTCACCTCGCAGTGCCATCTCTTCATCGGCAAGCCTGCGTTGAAAGGCTGCCGCTTCCTGTTCTCGCAGCTGATAAAGGTCTGCATTCTGTGCATGGCTCTGACTCTTCATATGCTGACTGATGCTTCTGCGCTCAATCCACTGGCGATCTTCTCCTGCATGTGGAGCGCAAAAATGACACTGGTAGCGTTTTTTGTCATTCTGCCTTTTCTTCTCCTCTGATTCTTCGAAGCCTGCAGAGAGTCAATCTAACAAGCAATTTTGCTAATCCGAGATTACGCACACTGAGGTAAGGGGCTTGCTTGAGTCGGCATGTTTTCCCAACTCACGACACTTCGAAGTTTGATTGGAATGCCACCCAAATCCGCAGCTCGGCGCTGCAGACAGCCGAGACAAAAGCGGTTTATGTTTGTGGCATTCACAAACATATAAAAGTGGTCTCTTCACGTAAGCATTCCCCAATCTCTTCTCCTTCCACTCTTATCTCAATGGCTCAACCCACTTCAGCCGCTAACTCACCTACCAACGGTGCCACCACACCGGACGTTTCGTCAACCGCTGCACTGGCTGCTTCAATGTTTGCACTTTCCAGTTCAGTTTCACCACCGTTATCACCCATCAAGTCCACACTCGGCAAGCGTACACGTCTCATGCACTCACAAGATGAGGAGGATCTCAATGATGATGTTGATGAGTTACCAGTGGCCTCCGACAATGAAACCACCGATGCCACGAGGAATGTGATGCGCCCACCGGTGGCACCAAGTCAGCCGGTGCAGCATATTTTGACTTCAAATACTTTGACTGCCACTCTTGGTGGCCAGTCCTTGAAGCAGCTTGCCAAGAAGCTCGTGAAGAAGACCAAACTCGGCCAAGACCAGCTGACTGAAGTTGATGTGTTCACGTCCTCCGTGCGTTGTCTGTGGCCACTTTGAACACTTTCCTCATTTACACGTCGCACAGGTGCTGAATGCTGAGCAGAACTTGCATCTGTTCATCAAACTCGAAGAGGTCCAGCGTGAGGTGTCAGAGCTGCGCAAGTCCCAGGCTGAATACCGGGTGTCGGAATCTCTCAGTGTAAGTCTCGCACTTATGATTATACAGTTCACCGATATTCTGCTGACCAGCACCCAGAAAAATATCCAGAAAATCTCGACGGCCGTGCTCCTCTCTGTGAACCTCGCAGGCTACATGGATGCCGCTGCAGTCGGACCGGTGCAGGTAAGTCGGCTGCCGGGTGCCAGACTTAAGGCTGACGTTGGTACAGGAGCGGTTGAAGTGCGACCGTTTTGACATGCCGGATAATATTGAGCACAACCCAGCTGACTGGGGAAAGGTCAAGACCGTGATTCAGTACCATCAGACTCAACTTCGCTCTGCGTGGAAGAAGGGGGTACGTGTTTCCTTACCATACACAAAACTGTAATGACATAACGTACAATATTCTTCATTTATACAGATTGGCGAGAGCGTCACCCATGAGGATCCTAAAGAACATACCGACATCTTCACACTGACTACGACAATCGCCAATGGTAACTGCACTGTGACCATTGGTCTGTGTGCCCGCGTGGCATTGATGGCGAGTGTGATTATCTGTCTACATTTATGTCTACTGATCTCACCTTACAGCGCGACATCTTCTGCCAACGTGCTTACAGTGAGAAAACCTACTGGCGCAAGGTTAACGAACGTGTGGCATTCATCCGCCAGACAGCCAACGAAGACCAGAAAGCAGTCAATAGGTGCATGGTATTCTTTTTCCTCGCAAATATAAACTAACGACGTTATAGGGCAATGCGGCACATTCTCAAGAATGATCGCAACCAGCATGGTCAGTGCAGCGAGAAGATCAAGGTTACAGAGCAACCCAACAATTCGTTCCAGGCCAGTATTGACAGTTGTGTCGCCGCCGTGTGAGAACGGTGCCCTCTCGGGTGGTGGAATCTTTGTTCTGGTGCATCGGAGATATTGTCGTGTATGAGTTAGTGTTTGTATGCGTGCGGCATGCTTGTGTGAATATTAGTATTTTGATCATGGATATGGCGGGAATTTCAAAAGCGGCAATTGCAACACGTTCAGCAACGCGCTTCGAAATCGGGCAGCGGCGGTATCAACAACGAGCTCAAAAGCAGGTGGTAGTGCCGATGGCGACGAGCATAGATGGGGGCTCCGTAAGATGCAGAAGGATTGCTCGGAATCATGTCAAATAAAATATTGCTCGAGTGGAGGTTGTAACGTCCATAGACCATGCCGGGTGATGCCTTAACCACCTTGAGACTGATATTGACACAAGAGAGAAATACTGAGATCAAAAATATATTGAACTGTGTCCACTGTGAGCTGAGAGACGATGACATGTTGGCACGATCTCGAGCGCAGGACCATACAATCTGAGGACAAGAGCTGTGTGACATGACCATGTCACATGGTTTCTACGTGTGCACAAGTTGGCGGTGTAGTTACATCCTCGTTGAGTCGTTATGAGCAGTAAGTACATCCGGATTATCCTCTATCCCTTCGCGTAGCAGACTCATCAAACTTGACGAAGTTTGCACGGTGCGGTCTTAGGCATATCATGATCTGACGCAGAAATGGTCAACAACCATTGTCAATCAGCAAGAGTGCAAAACAGATTAGATGGAAGGCAAGATCTCGGGGTAGAAGCCTGAGGCCTGAAGCTTGAAGGGCCTGGCAGTAGTGACGTTGAGTCCAAGAGGAAATCATTGTACCTCACCGGCACAATTCCATGCATGGCTCTTGAGTCCTTGCTTACGGTGATGCTCCGAATCATTGCTATAGCCATGACCTCCATTTTTTTCCCCGGTTGTTGGCGTGATTTTATGCTTTCGATCCTGGGATGAACCTGCAGTGCTGCCATATCAGTAAGTGGTAAGGAAATAACATCGTAGACGGCGATGAAAAGGCCCGTTTCACAGTATCGCAGGAAGATGTTTACACACACCTTCCTCTTCTCATCCCGACTTTTTCAATATTGAATGGATATACGAGTCGTGGGAATCGCGTAACTACTTGGCTGCGATTGTGGTACAATACAGAATGCATCGCCTAAGTTGATGTAGATGCGTTACGTAAGCGCGATCTTTCATCGCCGGGCTGTTACTAGCAGCATCTCTACCACTTAGACTGTCATCTCACCTACTTATGGTCACTCCTTTCATCCGTTCTTTCTGCTAATGCAAAGCGTAGAAGAGCATACTGTCAGAAGACCGACTCGCCACGATACGTTTGACCTCAGGGATCAAATGGCTTCAGAAGACGCGCAACACAACACGGCGCATAACGACCACACATATCCCTCCGATGAAGAACACTCTGTCCTCGAGGATGACTCGGACAACGAGGACAGAGACGCGGAATACATGGAAGAAGACGACGGCTCCTCGTCACTCTCTATTCCAAACGAGTCCATCGACTTCGACTTGGTCTATGCGCTTCACAGTTTCGCAGCTACCGTAGAAGGGCAGGCGAACGTCGTGAAAGGAGACAGTCTCTTTCTCATGGATGACAGCAACAGCTACTGGTGGCTTGTGCGTGTTCTCAAGACTGAAGAAGTCGGATATATACCCGCTGAGAACATCGAGACTCCGTTCGAGCGTCTCGCGAGGCTGAACAAGCATCGGAATGTTGACGTGCGTACGACTACCTATATTATCATCTGCACTCATCTTAGTGCTCGCAGCTGGCGTCCGCTACGTTTGCTGAACTGGAACAAACGCGCGATCGGCTCCGCGACAACCTGTCATCCCGCACCGGGTCCAATCCGACGCCCTCGCCCACACCTGGTACCCGAGGTCGTTCGCGGCAAGCCAGGGGTGTCGCATTTACCCGTTCCTTCTCAGTGCACCGGTATCCCCCTGCTGTATGGGGTGATGAAGAGGAGGATGAAGACGTCGAGTGGGACGACGAGGGCTACGAAGACGAGGATCCAGAATTAGCGGAGGCGCAGGACGAGGACGAGGACATGATTAAAGAAGGTCCAGGTACAGGTGAACCTTCATTACCCGTGGAGCCGGATGATGGTATGAGCTGGGAAGAAGGAGCGGTGGAGGCAATACAGGCGCGATCACATCCCGAGGTTGCTGCCGAAAATACGCAAGCATTGCAACAGCAGCAGGACTGGGTTGCTGCTTCGCAGCAGCAATTGCAGCCCCTACGTACTCAAACGTCGCGCGAAAGGCTCACTATCGTTGTGCAAGATGATAGTACACGCACAGTCTCGTCACCCACCAAAACTATGGATCCAGCCCAAGCGACAGAGACTAGGAAGATGTCGATTACACCCCCGGTAGCTCGCGCCGAGGATCAGCGCTCGCAGTCTTCACCTGCTCCTACTGGCCCACTCCTTCCCAGTATGATTATGCAGCAGCAGTCTGAAGAGAGAAAGCGTACGCGTGAGGAAATTGAGGCCCTCGAAGAAGCTGCTCGCAAGAAGCTCAATACCAGTGCAGGTCCAACTGGCGGTACTACTGGACAAGGGAAGGCCGCACAGACCTCAGGCTCTCCAGGACGTCCCGCTGGCGGTGCCAAGTTGAGAAAGGAGCGTGAGCCTACGACAGACGATGAAAGCGGGAAGGAGAAAGACAAGAAGAAGAAGAGTAGCGGTGTATTTGGGGGCTTATTCGGAAGGAGGAAAGACAAGGAAAAGGGGAAAGACAGGAATTCAGAAACTGGCAGCGCAGCTGGAAGCGACGCTCGCGAATCAGAAGAGTCTGGAAGATCCTTCAAGGAGTCGACATCGGTCGGTCCGCCACTGTCCCTCGCAGATACCGCTCCGTCAGTACGACAGCCGCAATCATCGCAGCAGCCAGCCAATGTCGTTGACAGCAAACAAGCTGCTCAGAAACAACCTCAGCAGTCCTCACAAAGGGAGCCGAGCTCAGCGGAAGCTACGCCTCCGGCTGCCATACAGGTGCAGCTGTCGCAACACGCGTCGCAGTTGCGCCAGCGCGACCAACAACAACAGGCGCTCTACCAGCAGTATCTCAACCGCTCACCTTCAACACCACCAGAGGCACAACCTTCGTACGGTCTCCAGTCTGCGTCTGCCGTCATGCAAGGCTCACTCTCATTTAGCTCTACCACGAGTTCCATTTCGAGCACCACTCCTTTGCGCCCCCGTCCAACCTCTCTGGTACTGTCGCCTTCCACAATGGATGGTCAGGGGGTCGGACTCCCAGACTTGAGTGTCATCCGTGTCTTTGCAGCCCCCAATCTACAGACAGAGGCTACATTCAAGACAGTCTTACTCAATTCGTCCACGACAGCATCAGATCTCGTCCGTCAGGCGATCCAACGGTTCCGCTTACCTGCTGGTGAGGACGAGAAGAATTATTTCTTGACCATCAAACAAGTGGAGGGTTCGTCCGCGGCTCTCCTGCCTCATGAGAAGCCCCTTGGAGTGTTTGAGTCACTCGTAGAGGCCGCAATGGAGCTGCCGAAGGTGAAGCGAAGCAGTGTGGGCAGCATCAGCTCTGTTGCAAGCAATCTTTCAATGCACCCCGCCATCAAGAGTTTATCTATGAACGATTTCACAGATGATTCAGCGGTCAAGTTCTACTTGAACCGCAAAGGCGACGACAGAGACAACACTTTCCTCGGAGAGAATGGCGAGGATACACTACTTGTAGAGAGCCCCCAAGAGGTGAACATGGAGTCGCCGCAGTCACGCTCTCAATATCTCACAGTATCCCCTACAACCGCCAACACGCATACCGTTACTCCAGAGCGTTTCAGCTCCCCTTCATACAGGTTCGCGTTACAGTTAGTCATCTACTCAGATGATCTGCCGGACGACATGGTGTTCGATACTCTCACTGAGGCAATTGTCTTCAAGAATACCTCGCGTGATAGATCACAATCTAGTGTGGGCGCCTCCTCTGGCATCTCTCAAACGCACCGGCGAAAGGTGTTTGTATTCCCTAAGAACGTGACAGTCGCTGAGGTGATTGAATTGGGGCTGGAACGGTTTGGTATACTCGAGGGTGTAGTAGATGGCGGTGACGAAGTAGAGGACAAGCTGACCAAACGGAGGAGTTCGTCTCGCGTCCGGTATGGTCTCTCGGTGGACATTGGCGGGAAAGGTGCATATTTTGCAATCATTGAATCTGTCGAATTTTGCAAGCTGATTGAGCTTGGCATTCAGAGCGAGAGCTTTCCCCCTCTAGTAAAGTGGTCGATGCTTTCCCGCGCCCACCTACTTATCGAGCAATGGACCGCCGTTTTGGTGACAGCAAACGGCGCTCTGTCGATTCTGCACAGCTACTACTAGGCAACACTGAGGACGTAAACCCTGAAGATCCTATGTTCGTCCTACGCCGCGCTGTGTCATATCGCACAAGTCGGCGTAGGTCGTCGGCTCCTCTCGACGAAATTGCATTGCAGCAATTGCACCGTAACTCTGTTGCGAGCTCCAGCGCAGGTACTGATTCCACAGCTGGACCTTCAGAAGAAGCCAAACAGCCGCAGACGTCTAAACAAGCCATCATAGCTGCTCAGCGTGCAGCAAGTCGGGCTAATCAACGTGCAATTCTGTCCGCGCAGGCCAACTCTGCCCGTGGTTTGGATGTCCTTCTTCCTGGAAATGCGATGATCCGTAGTTCTCGCTATGAAGTCGACGACAAGATGCGTTACTCATACGTTGAACCGGGTGGAGAAACCTACGACATCAGTGACATCGTCGAGGAGGAGTGGCGAGGTGAGGTAGGGCCTAGTCAGAAAGCAAACCTTACTGGCGACGATCTGCTGCATGGGGTGCTTGCGCGTAAGGATGTTCTTGGAGCAAAATTGGACCGTGTATTGAGCAAGATCAAACATGAAAAGGGCACTGGCAGGGTGCCCGTCTCTCAATCAACATCCGTTAATACTCTTTCTACCGTGGGGTCGAGTTCTCCTTCCAACTACTCGAGTGCAGAAGGTGGCTCTGGTATATCTGCTTCTCGGGAAGTCACTCCGACCAGTCGCACGTTCTCTGGCAGGTCCGAATCCACTACTCAACGAGTTACCTCCCCCTTGTCTCGCCTTTCGAGTTACCGCACGGCGAGTTCTGGAGACTCAGACGGTCACTTTGGTACCCGGAGTACTACTCCTAACGCTGCTCAAACCAAGTCTATGCCACATGAGCGCCAACCGTCAGCGCTCTCAGAGCTGTCCGTGTATCGGACAGCTACGCCTACGACACCGCTGGGAGGCACACCTACTGCCACCCCTAAACCTCAGCGTCCGCGTCTGACTCTTCCCAATGATGACTTTGGTCTTTCACAGATGATGGCCATCATTGAATTGAAGGCATCACGCCACAAAATACCCGAGCCACCACTGCTTCCAGCAGTGGATGACTTGCTATTTGGCAGGCCCTTGGATGTCATTTCTTTGCATCCTCAGATTAGAAACATCTACCATAACACCTTCAAGCAGCTTGAGGAGATGGATGACGTATGTTTACTGTGTGTGTATGTGTATACACCGTGTGCTGACAATTTATTGCGTAGGTGTTGGACAATCTATTGCAGAGTGTGGGTCACACCTTTTGACAGGTATATCTATAATGTACTATACCTTTACTCACTTCTGTTGATATCGTACTATTCATCTATTTATTTGCAATGGAAACTATGAGTTTATTGTGACGAAACATTGTTTCTGAAATGTGACATTTATGCTTTGCAGGCAAACTGTAAACTCATAGCTAGTATACTGGTCTATGAGATGGCAAGAAGATTATGATTGTCAGTGATGCTATGCCCATTACGACTCCTGAGGTACGAAGGAATCGTTCTTTATGGGATAGGGCTTCCGCCAAATTTCTGAGGGACAGATCCAAGTGCCCCTATGCGTGAGAATGACTTTTCAATACAAATTTGTATGCATCAGATGCCCCTAGTCCTGGGTTAGGTCTAGGGTTTGACTACAAACTTTGCAGTCCCTGTTGTTACTGTACTACATCTTGCCTACAGTCGGTCTTTCAAAGTGATTGTAGTGAAAACCAACACGACTTGCACAAATAATAATCAACAGAAGTGCCACAGCAGCCACAAAGGATCAATGCATCATAGTCAGTGAAATTATAGATGTACATACTAATTTCAACACATGAAAAGCAGGATGATTGAAATCTGTGCAGGAAATGGAGCATAATGCTCCCTTAATTCAAGTAAATCTGAGTGAAACTGGCTGAGATAGCTTAGTTTTAGATTGGAATGCTCAGTGTGAAGTGTAAAAAATTGTATAAATGCCAGGAAAATTTGAGAATGATTCTAAAATGCACATAAACATGTTAGATAGGGCGCTTATTTTTTACAAGCAGTGTACATTGAAGACACAAGCAGAAGTGAGAGAAAACTGAGGAAATAGATTCTAGCGCTCCAGCAAGTGATCCTGATATTCTAAGAGTGACACCGTCAGATTCAGCTTGAAAATCCGGTCAGAATGCCTACCGGGTTTATCGAAATCCGAGCAGAATTGAGTGAGCTACCAGCCTGGCAAGTTTGGCTACAAGTGTGGTAACAAGTGTGTCATGGGCACTCAGGCGATAGATGTAGTGATGGCCCCAAAATTAATTAAATTAATTTAAATTAATTAAAATAATTCGACGCGCGGAAAGTGGACAAGAAAGGCGAGAAAATGGCGCGCAACGAGGGCAGTGGAAGAACAGAAAAAAACAACCAGGCTACAGAGTAGGCCCCGGGACTGAAGTAAACAAGGGAAGGGGAACATAATACCTAATGAGATTGTGCAGATTCTGGTACGGCTTTGCCGCCAACCGCGCACCCCCCCTGAGCGTTCTGCTCTGTCAACATCTGCGTTTCCTGTGTTGGCGTGACATGTTGAGAAGTGGACAGCCGAGATTGGGTGATCATGACATGAAGATTCTGGTTTTTGGTTCTCTGAGAAATGGCCAGTTTGAATGACCTCGCGATCGGAGCAGAAGTACAATACACACCTTATCGGGCAGGAAGATACATGGACGACTCTTGAATCTGCCTGGACAATCCACCCTCTTGCAATTCGGACACGTACGTGGCGCGCATTTTTTGGCATTCACTGCGGGCACGTTTGCTGTGCTATTGCGATTTGCACCGGCGTTCTCGGCATCTCGCACACCTTCCTTGCATCGTTTCTCTCTCGCACTGGCACCACTGCCCGAAGTGTCCGTCTCTACCGCTCTTTTTGTTCCTTGGCTGTTTGAACCTTGTTGGGAAGATCCCTCGCCATATTACAACTGCACAACAGTCTGTCGAATATCTGCCCGGCCAAGAAGGAGGCCAACATGCCAATCGGACATCATCTCTTTATCAGTGAGGACACACTGACTTCGGCTGACTTCTTGATCGAGCATGGCGCGCGATCATGTCGGTATTGTTGAGATGGAAATGGGAGGGGCTACTAGTGCATTTTGAATTCGGATGTAAGCATCCTTGTGCTGCTCGACCGAGTTTTCCTTATTGCGGATCTCATTCCAGGTCTTGTGATAGTTCTTCAGGTGCTCCGGAAGCTGGTAAAATGGTGAGTCACATCTAAGATCCCCAAAACCACTTAAAGGCCATACCTTATAGAAGACGTGAACACCGTTGCAGTAGCGCGACCAGTCCCTCGCAAGTGAAACCCAATTTGGCTGTGTCTTTCCCGCAAAGTGGCCACCAGGCTGCTTCACGAGCATGCGGTACAAGGCGCGCTCTTCTGCTGTGTGCAGAGGAAGAATGGGGATTTGAGTGCGCTGCTGCATCGCTAGATGTTGATGTCGAATCTTCTCCTTCTTCGCAAACTCGGCATCATACTCCTGCATCGCAAGTCTCTTGCGGGCCGAAGATGATAAGGGAAGGATACCAAAATTCTCATTGGTCTGCTCGTAGTCATCACCGTTGATCCAGCCAGTCAAAGATCCTCTCGAAGCCATGGGGACAAATGCATCAGCAGTCTGATCTAGCAACTGCACGATGCGATTCCTCATCCAGATATATCATACGAGCCTTTGTAATCCTTCCCAGTGCGATTGCGAGTGCCGACCTTCCAATATTATATAAGAATGGTCAGTACGACACAGTGCTAAATGAGAGTAAATGGGTGCATACCTTCAAGTTGTGCGAGAGACAGTAATCCCGCAGCAAGTTGATGGCAAAGCGCGGACATGCATTGTATGATCCAAATCATTTTGCAATATTTTGATGCACACCGCCTTCGACATTGTTAGTGCCTCGGATGCATCTGTAGACGGTAAGTCCATCACCATCTGTCCGATCGATGATGTACATCTTCACACCCGGAGGATCTGAGTAGTATCTGAGCCTAATGTTTTCGAGAACATTCCGAGCCTTCTCCCATGAAGCTTCATTGAACAAGGGCTGTCTTGTTGTTGCATCAACTGCTGGTCTGCAGGCATCGAAGACATCAGTGACACGCTGCAGTAAGATCTCAGGTGGAGGGACAAGGCGTCTCACACGCTGCCAGACCCAATCAGACTTCCACAGGACCATCTGATCCCAGGTGATACCTCGACTTGACAGTACTTCCTCGATAGCACTCTTATCATTAGGATCTGGAAGGAGGAGTGCATCGTGCAGTGCACGTGCGAACGGACGACGCATACCGTGATGAAGAGGAATCTTGAACTGGTCCATGAGGTGCCAGATATCTCCAAGAACCCATGATCGAATGGTCTGGGCTTCATATTCACCCAGTGCAGGCATGGTGTTAAGAAGATGCTCAGCATGTCGAGCAGCAGAGGGGTCGTGTTCAGCATCTTGAGCACTGCCTTCGACGTCCGGATCAAAATCTAAGTCATTGTGCCAAGAATAGAAGTCCGAATTCTCGCCACATGGTCCATTTGATCCAGTGACAGGGCTACAATCCTCCAAGCTGCCAGAGGCATCTTGGGTGGGTTCATATGTTGATTTGGATGGGACAAAGGGTAGCACGGGAAGTGGAGCTGTCTGGGATGGTATGGGAGGTTCCAGCATGTCGTCATTGTTGCTGCAAGTCTGCAGGTCCTTCATGTAGCAAAGGAGCTGAAATGGTAGCCCGGAGTTGCCAAACTGAGTGATTGGAATATCCACCTTTGAGCTCAATAAATCCGCACGGACAAGATAACCCAACTGCAGGATAGCAGTAATGTTCACGATAACTCGAGTTTTTGATACATTGACACTGTTGAACTTTTTGGGCCGATCTGGGGTGATGATACCATACGCCACAATGGAATTGCGGTCACGGGACATCAACTTGACCTTTGTACCGGCCGACGTGGCATCTGTCACGGCTTGACCTACAGACACAGTGGAGAATGTCTCGAAGATGGACCATGCTGCATACACATCCAGAGATGCATAGCTGACCTGCTCCGGAGTCAGTTCTGGATTATCCCATGCAGTGCTAACCCGAATAGATTCATCCTTCAGTAGATAGCGGTGGAGAACTATTGACATGAGATCTGTGAGGCTAACATTGGCCAGTTCAGTCAGTTTACGTTCTTTTGCCATTGCACCAAGTTCCACTGCACCCACAAATGGTGTATCGCCTTTTGTTGGGTCGAATTCGCAGTCCTTATAGAGTCGTGTAAAGTCAGCCTTGATGTGTACGCCGACCTTGTGCACCTGAGGGCTGCGTAACAAGACGAGTAATGTATAGGGTAATTTCAGGAAATTATTTTCAACATATTTTGCAACCTGCACAGTTGTTGTGAGTGTGATGCACAGTAAAGGGTTACCAACTTCTGCCCACCGGAATAAGGTAGATATAACGTTGATATGCAACAGTGATAAGTGCAACTCGACCATGTATTCCATTGGATCGATCCACTGACCACTCCATGTCCATTGCGACATGTATGGAGTTCTGCGAAGGAATGATTTGTAGATCCTCCATCAGGTTATTGAGGCGACCATTAATCTGGTACGTTGAGCTCAGGGAGCCCATTCAGCCAATATATATCCAAATGTCCATATAACCGAGGTGGAATATTTTGTGTAAATTTCCATTAAACAGAGTGTTGGCCAAGAATATAATATAGGATGGAGATGTAGGGTTGGCCAAGATAAGTAGGCTATATAGGCTGAGTCGCATATTTGGGAGTTAGCCAAGGGAGGTGCAGTTTAAAGTCTATATAGGTTGTCGGGCATTTTGGGGTCGGCCGCCATTTCTCTATATAGATTGTAGCTGAAATAGTGCCATTGGCCAAGAGTCATAAAATTCCAATCCTATATAGAGTTTGCAGACAGTTGGGCTTGGCCAAGTGGACCTATATAGAATCTTTGTGTAAATGTTCCACTCGGCCAAGGCACATGAAATTTTGATCCTATATAGCATTTCCTGACATTTGGCTGTGGCCAAGAGTACCCTATATAGATTTTTGTGGAAATAGTGCCTGCGGCCAAGGGTCAAGCAATTTGCATTCTATATAGGATTGTCTGAAATTTGGCCTCAGCTACAGATACCCTATATAGTTCTTGTAGAAATGGTGGCCTCGGCCAGGAGTCATCAAATTTTAACCTATATAGAGAGATCTGAATTTTGGCCTTAGCTGAATATACACTATATAGTTCTTGCAGAAATGTTGGCCTTGGCCGAAGGTAGTAGAATTTCTATTCTATATGGGGTCTGCTGAAATATGGCATTGGCCAAGGATGCACTATATAGGGTTTTTGAAAATAATGGTCTCGGCCGAGACTCTTGAAATTTGTATCCTATATAGGATTCTCCACACTTTGGCTTCAGCCAAGTAGCATCTTCTATTTGTTTTGATTAGAAAGGGCAAAATTCTCTTCACACATAGGAGTTTTAAAGCTGGGGCCTTCACCAAGTGTATATATACAGGTTTCATCACATGTGATGCCATCAGCTATAATGAGCCAGGTCAAACCACCTTCAGGGTTTGTGTAGTAGTAGTTGGGCCATCCTTTGCTATCACATTCTGAGACCAATATCCTTCATATCAAATGATTCAGAGCCACTGAATTTAATCTAAATACATATGATCAAATTTTTGACACTATGTTGAGCATATGAAGATGATGACCTTCTGTTGCCTCTGAACCTTCCAAGTCAAAGATAACATCCAGCCAATTTAGGAACTCGCTGCGGTTAACGTAATAGGCTCGAAGGTACACCTCCACAAGATTGGCGATGGTATCATGCACAGGCAGCAAGTGCAGGTGCAGATGAACCAAAACCAAAGAGGTGGTATCCAACCTTGTGGTCAGTGCTATCTCCCTCTTGCCAACAATCCAAAGACCCTTCATCAATGGTACCCAAGATTTTTCAGTGGATGGGACACTATACAGGCCCTGACATCCCTCAAATATCAGCTTTTGTGCGAGTAAAGAATTCATATTAAACCTACATGGTATACCTGCATTGCACCTCTGTCACACTTTATGGTGCAGGCCAGACATTCAAACTGCATCTGCTCAGTCATATTCCACTGTCGGAGATCTGGAATGCAATGCAAGCAAACAGCTCTGCTGCAGTTTGGACGGTCACAGTCGACCAAGTTTCTGCCTTATTGCCAGAGAAAGCAATACTAGGTGCATGGTGTTAGCAAGATGCATATGTTGAAGAGAGAAACAACACCATATCACAGACTTCTATGCCATCTGGAAGATCTTGTGACGTTGATGCTTAGGAGCATGAGCAGAAGGAGGTATAGTTGGATTGGAGGTGAGTAAGCTGTTCTCATGTTCATGAACAGCAGCAGTGATAGACACTGCAGGATCACGTATGGGTTGACTGCTTCAGCATCGAGGGACATCCATTTTAGCAGCAGATGCACATCCTTTCGACCTGCATATGACTTCGACAAATGGGTGGCTCTGAAAACACATGAGGGCAGAGCAGGAACACTTGCCTCATCCTCATCCTCATCCTTGGCCTCGGCCTTGCTCTCCTCCTCAACATCCTCCTTGATATCCTCCTCGACATTTGACACAGGCACATAGCTTAGTGGCTGGTGGATTGTCTCCTTATGTTCCTCCTTGGTATTGTCCAATTTATCACTCTCCTTTGATTCATCATTACAGAGGTGGGCTACCGGTGTGATTGTGATTTACTAGAAATGTCTCACCTCTGTCCGAGTCATCATCCAGAAACTCCCCTTCAACTGACCATCTTCATTGACATCTTTATACAAACCTCTATACACAATGCTCCCCCTGTCATCTCTGCTTTCTCTCAACTGGAACTGCTTCTAATTATCCACGTCCTTCATCTCATCCACACTCAGAGTCAATTGCAACATAGTATCTGCTTGGGGGGTCATGTGAGGTGTCAGCGAATGCAGGGTAAAGTCTGTCATCACAATATCAAATGAAATGTTGCTTACTTGACAAACATATTCACTATTAGAAATATAGAAACATACCTGGTCTGTCCTTTTGCAAAGGTCGGCCATGGTAGTAAGCTGGTGGCACAGATCTACAGTATGAGATGCCTCCTCCAATTGGCTGATTGGCCTGATCGAGATTGAAACCTTGATGCTGGTCCTGACTTGTACCCACAAATGCAGGATTCTCCAGGATTGAGTGCAGATTAGAGGTAGATTGCCTAACACCAGACTGCGGGGTATAGGCAGGGACACAGGTCTACCTTTGTAGTACAAAGGCCTGACCCTGACTATACATACAGGTACATAGACCTGCATATAGTACAGGTCTATGAGGGTCACAGGTTTATAAAAGATAAACCTGTACTATGACCTGTACTATTACTATGTATGTACCTATGTGTAGTTTACTACACATCCTGGACATGTCTTCAAGTAAAGTAGTACTTAAGAGCAAAGTTTAACATGCAAAGTTTAAGTTTAAGTAGCTCTCTTACAGAATATATGTGTTAGCATTTGTGCTTCAATTTATTTAGTTTAATTTGAGTCTCACTCATATATTTATAAAAACTCCGCAGGTTTATATAGTCGGACCTTATATACCTATACTATGTGTACAGGTTTCACAGGTCCAACAAACTCATACCTGGACTATAACATTTACTATAACTATACTTGGACCTTTGCATAGTTTATTACACTACTATGTCCCTGCCTAGACTGAGGTAAAGGTCTGACTGGCAGGCTGAGCAGGCTGTGCATGCTTCTCAGACTGGCTGTGCATGGTAGAATGTACAAAAGTAGCCAAATAGATGTGTGAGAATAAGCAGCAGAGGCACAGCAACAGAAATATAGCAGAGCAGAGACAGCAAGGATAGAGCAAGAGAGAGAGAGAGAGAAAGACAGATCAGATTACAGTGATTGCAATCAAAAGGACTTGTGCGCGCGAGCCCATGGAGATCACGTGATATGCTTGGAGGGCCAGACTTCCCGAAATCTAGTGGACAGTGGCTGAAATTTGATCGGAGTCCGAAAATCGTCCAAATATAGCAATATTCCAGCCACCAGTGTACACCTTCTGCATATGGAAGGTGCTTGACGCATCTGGTGTCTGGGGCACATGACCGAACAAACATGGCCAAATAGTTGGTTTTATGAGCTGGCGCAACTTCCTCTCTCTCTTCCTTCTCTACCACCACCATCCCCTTCCAGCAAGCCGGCCACAAGTGGCTGAGCTTTGTTGCTGCATGTTGCCATGGGCATGCAGTGTCAAAGCTTAGTTATTTGTGCATGCCTTTGTAAGGTAACTGTTTCTTTTCCTGTAGATAGTATTATGTAATATGCACTTTACTGACATCATCCCATAGCTGGTCTTTGGTCAGTCATGGGGTACATGTGGGTTTTGGGGGATCACTGGGCATGCGGCAGCGAGCTGCAGAGGGCTCCGCGTTGTGGGGGCGACCCACTCGCGTCCCTCACCTGGTACTTGAGATTTGGGGGATCACTGGGCATGCGGCGGCGAGCTGCAGAGGGCTCCGCGTTGTGGGGGCAACCCACTCGCGTCCCTCACCTGGTACTTGAGCTTTGAGGGATCACTGGGCATGCAGCGGTGAGCTGCAGAGGGCTCCGCATTGTGGGGGCGACCCACTCGCGTCCCTCACCTGATACTTGAGATTTGGGGGATCACTGAGCATGCGGCGGCGAGCTGCAGAGGGCTCCGCGTTGCGGGGGCGACCCACTCGCGCCTCTCACCCAGTATATATGGGAATTGAGGGATTTTGCACTTCAGTGCCAATGCGCTTCGGCGTACTTGCGTCTAGGCGCATATGTGCTCTGCACATTACATTATCGCCGGCCATCAGCCTTGTGCTGTGCGAGTCGTGCGTGGAGCCGCCATTGGCCTGCTCCACAAGGTCAGTCTTTTTTACTTGTTTGTTTCTTTTTGCATGGTATGGTGCGAGTACAGGAAGTGTAAGGAAGATGTGGTAAGTACTCCACAGCACATCATACAGATACTGACAAGGGTTCTTCAGCATATGGTGGGTTTTATGGCAGTGGTGAAGACCAGGCCAAATCCTATAGTGGATTGAAAGAACCGGTGAGTTTTTTTCCTTGCATTTTGAAGAATACTGACCTCTTGATGTTTCCACAGCCTCTTACACATGTACTGAAAATTGACGACGGTCACTGCAGCGCGAGCAATGCAGCGTGCAAGGTGAGCATTTTCTAACGTTTTCTGACTGTTTTCTGACTTCCTTTTGGTGTTTTGCAGATTGTATTTGTACTTTCCTTGTAGTCTATTTTCTTTCATTTTTCCCTTCTTCCTGGTGCTTGTGGTGAATGAGGGAGGGCCCACCCTCAGTCATCACAAGTCACCTTTTGTTTTCCATCTTTGTAGTTAGAAAAAATTGTAATACTTGAGTTTGTATCCATGAAGCATGAATAAGGCGAAGCCATGCCGGTATGCCGGACGATGCACGGGCGCTTAAGTCACGTGATCACATCACGCGCCACCGTGTGCACTTTTTGAACCCTTGGCCCTGCCCAAATTTCCATCTTGCCTCTTCCCACCATCTGCTACAACAGCAATTCCAGTACTTTCATCCTTTCAAAAGCCCTACTATCAACCATGGCTGGCAAAGCTCAAGAGTATGTGCTTTCTCCAAGCCAGATTTCATCTGATTGAGCAAACTGAACCATAGCTCTGAACTTCCAGACCCTTGTACCCCTGGAGGGTATCACTGCATATAGTATATATAATGTAAGCAGTAACTATATAATGAATCAAGCCTAAGTACAGCCTAGATACAGCCTTAAACTATGTATCCAGAAGCTCCAAAGGGAAAAGAAGACTGTTACAAGCCTTAAACGTAATGTGTATAATGTCATTCTCTCAAATAAGGCAGATATTGAGGGGTATACCCTCAGGGTTTAGTACCCTTACCCATACCCTTACCCCTGGTGAAGGGTATGTACCCTTGGAGGGTAAGAGTAGAGGTACAGCTCAAAGTACCCAGGGGTATACCCCTGCTCTGCACTAGCCTGACACCATGCTTCTTTAAGGTCCTGGAGGATACACTCGTTCAAATTTAAATAGCCAGTCACACACATTTATTGACTACTTTGCATACCTACCTTTGCAACTCGCAAACTATCTGACAATTATTTGACCATTGAATGCCTGTTGTGATTGAAGTGCAAAGTCCTTGAACATTGCACCTTGCTTTGCTGCATAGGATGCATGATCACATAGACCTGCACTCACCGCCTCCATCTCCCTGGTCTGCCACTCATGCTGCTTGCGTTCAAACCACAGGACAGTCTATAACATCTCATATTACACCTTTGGTACCTCCTCCTTGTATCTTGTGTCTTGTGCCTTTGCTCTCAGCCAGTTAACTCGATTAACTGACATGCTAATTACAATCTGTGAATAAGTTTAACCAGGCATGAACAGATAGTCACTCACCCTCCTTCATCACTTAAGGCCCTAGTGCAGAGCAGGGGTATGCATAACCCTCAAGGGTAAGAGGTAAGGGTATTGGAGAGTAAGGGTAGGGGTATGAACTTTCAGACCCTTGTACCCCTGGAGGGTATCACTGCATATAGTATATATAATGTAAGCAGTAATTGTATGGTGACTAAAGCCTAAGTACAGCCTAGATACAGCCTTAAACTATGTTTACAGAAGCTTTAAAGGGAAAAGAAGAATATTACAAGCCTTAAACTTAATGTCTATGATGTTATTTCCTCAAGTAAGGCAGATATTGAGGGGTATACCCTCAGGGTTTGGTACCCTTACCCATACTCTTACCCCTGGTGAAGGGTATGTACCCTTGGAGGGTAAGGGTAGGGGTACAGCTCAAAGTTCCCAGGGGTATACCCCTGCTTTGCACTAGTGTCAGCAAGACCATTAAGTTTGGATGCCTTAGCCTGAAGCCCCATTTGTGTAAAAAGCTATATGGCCAAGGCCAAAGTGTGAAAAACTCTTTATAGAATGAAAATTTCTAGATCCTTGGCCAAGGCCACCATTTTCACAAAAACTATATAGGGCATTCTTGGCTAATGCCAAAGTTTAGAAGACCCTATATAGAATATAAATTTCAGAACACTCAGCCAAGACCACCATTTCCATAAAAACTATATAGGATATTTTCAGCCACAACCAAATTTCAGACAATCCTATATAGGATTTCAATTTCTTGACCCTTGGCCGCAGGCATTATTTTCACAAAAATCTATATAGGGTACCCTTGGCCACAGCCAAATGTTAGGAAATGCTATATAGGATCAAAATTTCATGTGCCTTGGCCGAGTGGAACATTTACACAAAGATTCTATACAGATCCACTTGGCCAAGCCCAACTGTCTGCAAACTCTATATAGGATTGGAATTTTATGACTCTTGGCCAATGGCACTATTTTAGCTACAATCTATATAGAGAAATGGCGGCCGACCCCAAAATGCCCGACAACCTATATAGACTTTAAACCGCACCTCCCTTGGCTAACTCCCAAATATGCGACTCAGCCTATATAGCCTACTTATCTTGGCCAACCCTATATCTCCATCCTATATTATATTCTTGGCCAACACTCGGTTTTATGGAAATTTACACAAAATATTCCACCTCGGTTATATGGACTTTTAGGTATATATTGGCTGATAGGTGTGGCTCAGGATGACCACAGTCCACAGATTAGGAAGTGCCAGGTGTGTTTGTGATGTACTTGGCACAGGAGAGACCTGAGACGACAGAGATGGAAATACCCGCTCAAGCTCCGCTTTGTCCCCATGCACATTGTCAGTGAAGACAAGCTCCACGTCAGTATGACCATACTTCCGTAGTGAGTGAGGAATGAGTGATAATGCAGGCATGAACTGATCGTGAGCCTTTGTTGGTGTGAAGTTGATGGCACGACATTCTCCATACTCGTTGACAACGGTATGCAGTGCACCAAAAACGGCCTCGCCATTCACCTTTCCGAGATGCTTTGGAACCTGATTTGGGCACTGTTAACTGTATGTACATGTTGAGCCATTATCATTGACACACCTTATGGCTATGATCAATGCTCAGAACACATGCTGGAAGCATTGCGGTGTACTGATCCATTTCTGGAGCATGGCTCTCAATGTGCATATCATAGAAACTGTGAAGATATTTTGCTGAGGGGACATAACCTGCATAACCTTTTGGGTCATCCCAGGCACCAAACTCTTCATGCAGTGCAAGTAATCCAGTTTTAACAGCGAGCATGCACAACTTGACCATCTCGAGATATTGAAGATGAAGGCGATCGAAGTGTCGTACATGCATCGTTCTCAGTGTCTCCGCAAAAGGTACAGGGCCTAGTCCTCGCTGAAAACATAGTCGCAAGAGGGCGACAACTTGATCCGATAATCCATTTTGATAAGTAAGATGAAAGGTGAATTGCTGCGCGAGCGGAGCCGGAAGAACGTTCAGAATGTCAGGTGACCAGCTCTGGTATGTTTTGTGACAGTCTGGGTGGCCGCAGTAGTATCGATAACCTATAATAAAGATATTGTACTTGAGATCGACAACACGACGGGGACTGTTTGACCACGTGAGACGTCGGAGAAAAACCAAAGATGAGTTCTTTTGAAGCCGTCCAGCCACCTTACATGCAGGGCATGGGATCCTATGGAACAGGTGCAGCAGCCATACAAAAAATTGTGGTGAGTAAAAGATTGCTGGTGAAAGCTGGAATGAAGCTTCTGCGGCAAATACTGGCTGTTTCGGGCACAGCATAAACTGCCCAGCTTGATAGCAAACAGGCTTTCCTGCCGATACGATCTCTTCTCGCAGCGTCTGGCATACATCCTTGTAATCGTTCGCCAGCCATGTTGGCAGTGAGGTCTTCGCTCGTGCTTTGTGAGGGCGACCTGCTGTCATGTCGCTATCCTCAACGTTTTCGTCATCACCGGACAGTGGACGTGCATCTAGATCATCATTGGACTCGTCCGCGAGCCCAAGCACCGAGTCGATATTGTCATGCTCCCTTTCGAAAATGTCATCACTGGCATCACCTATCATTCCCAGGTCAGCAGAGTCATTTTTAAAGGCATTTATCTACGACATACCTGACATGGACGCAGCCTCAAGTGGCACCGAGGGTGATACGGCTGCCGGGAGGGTCTGAGTGATGGAAGATGTCGGTGTGGGCTCAGCCGTGACTGACACCGGTGCTACAGAGCGCGAATGCTCTGCGTGATGTTGCAAATCTTTCATAGCCCAGTTCAGAGTCTTCCGCGTAATGTCAGTAAGTTGCGAGTCTGAATTGCTGCACCGAAGCCGACATCCATGGGAGCGTGCAAACCCTTGCGCAATGGTCACATCCGGAAGGGGCTCAGTCAGGCCTTGTAGGGCTGGTGCTGCAGCGAGTAGGGAAGTTAAACCGGAGAGTATGGGGGATGATGCTGTGGGCCGGGGGGTGCAAAAAGGCTCGGACTCGTGAAGAGATGCTGATGTTGTAGCAAACGCACTGGCACGTGTTGTGTACAGGTCAGATGCGTGCACATGCACGGATGGTTGGCTTGCTGTAGTACATGTCATGCAAGGCGGGAAAAAACGGAGCAGAGCACATACCTGTTGGAATGTCATCCATCGTGTTAGTGCTAACCTCTGCATTTTGTGAAGTTACCGGTGTCGATGATGAAACCGTTCGAGTTTGAAGTGGTTGAATTTCCCCTGGCAAAGAGTAAGTTGGGTTCCACCGAAAATACATGGTGCATCCACTGACCTTCGACTTGCACTCTAGTTGGGTTTGCACTAATTCGAGGCGTTGCGGATGCGAGTGGAGAACAAGTCGCATCTGGAATGAGTAAAGTCAGCCCAAGCCAACGGTGAGTGATGGGAACTGTGATTAGAGAACAGTGCTCACATTTGTTGATTCCGGCAGATCCTGCAAAATTATCGGAGGCCCCACTAGGCTCTGTTGATGAAGTCAGTCAGTCAGAATGTGCGCGCAGAGTTAAGCATGCATAAGACGTACCTCCAAATACAGGTGGCTGCTTCCTCGGGCGACCAACCGGCCTTCCCTTCGTCCCAGCATTCGGCTTATTTTTTGATCCCTTGGGCCTGCCTGGTCGACGCTTCGCAGGTGCGTCTGCTGTCATGAAATCCATCGAGGCGAGGAGAATGATCCACGTATTTTCACCGCACGCGGCCCCTGGCGCGGTTGTGGCTTCTGTTTATTCAAGTTAGCCCTCACATCCTGCATGTGATAAGTCGATAAAAGTGGTAAATCGTTTCAAACTCAGTTATGTCCTCGTGCGCTACACCTATCATCTGTGTGCCGTGTCATGTGCCACCCGAGTCATGTTTCCTGCTGTATGGAACGTTAAGCGCCCTAGAGCGCTTAATGTTTCATATGGCCGGAAACATGACCTGCAGGGCATGTGACGTGCATATGGTTGTGGCTGAAGACAAAACATGCAGAATAAAATCGCAGAAATACCAGAAAAATTATGGCATGACCCTTTCATGACATTAGACTTGTAGAAATAACTAGACAAAGTCCTTACAAATCCATACTAGATGGCATATTAGAATATTGTAAGGCCTTACAAACTAATACTAGAGAGTGCAATAGAATTCAAAAAATGGTATAATAAAGCATTGAAGCAGGGTTACTAAACACTACTAGACATATTAGGGGTCAATATACCACTTTGTAGGCTATTATAAGGCCTTTATCAACTAGTGGTCAGTAGTATACTAGACTATTGTAGACTTGTAGAAGTAACTAGACAATATTGTGAGCTATTGTAAAGTCCTTACAAATCCATACTAGATGGCATATTAGAATATTGTAAGGCATTGCAAACCAAAACTAGAGGGTGTAATAGAATTCAAAAAATGGTATAATAAGGATATGTTGCACGGAGAATATGGTGGGCAAGATGGATATATTTTCTGCGGAGAATGATGAGCTTTACGTCTTGGAGGGGGATCACTATCTTGGAAATGGACTCGTGGTGTGGAAGCAGCAGTGCCGCCGTGAGCGTGCAGAGCATTAGGCGCTGAACACTGGGAGTGGGGTACGTGGTCGCAGAACTAGAACAGCGTTGTGAGGCCGCTGGTGCTGAGTGATGTGGGGGGAGGCGATGAGATATAAGATATCACTATGTATCTCGGACATGCACAGGTTCTCCAGGCTATCACAGAGGCGGACAAGTTCGATGGACCACTTTGGTGAAAGGACGACATCAACACGTCTAGCTATAAATTGCATGGTTCTGCACAGTCTTCATGAAGTCAGACTTCATTTATAAGCGAGCCAGATGCCAGATGCACTGGTCCTGGTGTGTCTGAGACTCCCTCTGCAAGCCCAGGCATTGAAGCAGGGTTACTAAACACTACTAGACATACTAGGAGTTAATATAATACTTTGTAGGCCTTTATCAACTAGTGGTCAGTGGTCTACTAGACTATTGTAAGCATCTTATAAAGTGATACTAGATGACATATGTAACTATTGTAGGGTCATTGTAAACATGTTTACTATAACACTTATGAGAGATTACTAGAGACTATTGAAGGTTACTGAAGATTCTTACAAAGTGATGCCAGGTAACATTTCCGACTATTGTAAGCTCATTTACAAACTGATACTATAGGATATATTAGGAGCCAGTATCATAAGGTGTTGTTGACTTGCTGAAGATTACTAGACAATATACTAAGAGTCAGCAGGTGACTTTGTAGACTATTTAATAGTATGGCCCTTCTCAACCCACACAACTTATCAATGTATAGTGGGACATTGTAGAACACTTACTACATGGTATTAAATGGCACACTAAGAGTTAGTAGAGAATACAATAACAATTTCTTGTATATATTTAAATATATTGTTATAGGTACATTTGTAACAGTTTCGAGTGTCATTTTTTGTAGTGATTCTTATAGGCACATTGGTAACAGTTTCTATGGTCATTTTTTGAAGTGGTTCTTATAGGCATATTAGTAACAGTTTCTAGGGTCAAATTTTGTAGTGATTCCTATAGGCACGTTTGTAACAGTTTCTAGTGTCATTTTTTGTAGTGATTCTTATAGGCACGTCGATAATCTTTTTTGTAGTGATTCTTGTAGGCATATTTGTAACAGTTTCTAGGGTCATTTTTTTAGTGATTCTTATATACTAAGAGTCAGTAGATAAATTTGTAAACTACTATAAGGCTTTTATAAACTCAGACTACTCAGTGTAGTAGAATATTATAGAATGCTTACTAGACATTATTATACAACATACTAGGAGTCAGTAGAAAATATAATTGACTATTCATAGTTTCTAGGTGGTAGATTAGGATTTAGTAGATGACATTGTAAATTGTTGTAAGACTCCTACAAACTGATACTAGGTGCCCTTTCAGACTATTATAAGGCTTCATAAATAAATACTAAGTGGCATACCAGGCTATTATAAGGTCATTACAATACTGAGCAACTTGCTAAAAGTTAGTAAACTATGTAGTAAGATATTGTAGGAGGTTACTACACATTACCAGATCACATTATAGGGCATTGAGGGGCCTCTATTAACAATAAGAGGTAGTATGTCAGACTACTGTAAGGCACTTACAAATGGATATTAGATGTCATACTAGAAATCTGATGACATAGTAGACTATTATATGTATAAAACTTTCAGACATTTTTTTATAGGATGAAAATGATTTGAGTCATGTGAGACCCAACACATTTTTGCTGTTAAATGAATGCTTATCAGAACAAACACTGAGAAAAAAATCCGGAAAATTTATAAAAATATTAGAAAAATTGTGGCATGACTATACTCAGAAACTTCTATCAGATATTTATCTTAGAGTAGGTACATGACATCATAGGTGATTAAGGTAATTCTTGTAAAATAAATATTAACAACTTTTTAGTCCTATTTTTATATAGATTTTATAAAATGACATAATAATATCATTTTGAAGCCATTTTTCAGCCGAGTCTTTTAGAATGCACACTAATCACTTTTTAGTAATGTTTTTATATCCATTTTATAAGATGACATAGTAGCATCATTTTAAAGTCATTTGTGGACCAAGTCTTTTAGAATACATACTAGCCACTTTTTAGTAATGTTTTTATATACTTTTTGCAAAACAACATAGTAATATCATTTTAAAGCCATTTTTCAGCTTAGTCTTTTAGAAAGCATACTAGGAACTTTTTAGTAATGTTTTTATATACTTTTTGCAGAACAACATAGTAATATCATTTTAAAGCACTTTTGAAGGTGATTTTTAGAAGAGGTGTAGTAATAATGTTTAGCAACATTTTTATGCAGTTTTGATAAAAGGACAAAGTAATGTCATTTTAAAGCCATGTTTTAGATAATTCTACTGTGAGATACTTAGCAATATGTTAGACTATTATCAGACAGCTACAAATAAATTATTATCTACATTATACTACATTGTTAATTGATATTAAATGGTGTGGAAAAAGTTGGTAGGTAACATAGCAGACGTATAAGACTCGTGATAACATAACATATTATTGCTGTAAAGTGTGTTACATACTCTATTACACTATTATATACGCTCAGATGACATCTTATAAGTAAGTCAAGAGTGTAATATTGTTACAAGCTTACTATATATTATTAAGCAATATACCAGTCATTGAATAACATTATAGATCATTATAATGCTCTCATTTAAAAAGCACTAGCATTTTCTTGTAACCTTTTTATATAGCCATATAGATGGTATGCTGAACTATTGTAGTACTGTTACCAAATATTTGTAAGTAAAATATTAGATAGCATACTAAAATATTGTCATGCAGTTGTTGGTGATACCTAAAGTATCTAAATAATATTATGAGTTATTTTAATACTTTATTTCTTTTTAGTATTTCTATAAAATAAATTTTTACATAAATCTAGTTGAAATAAAAACAGGGTTTCAGAGCTTTCAAAAAGTAATTCACTAACAAGAAATACTTGAGTTCTTTATACTTATTAGTATAACATTAAACTTTTCTAAAATTTCCTCTAAAGTGACTGTTTTAAGTGAATACAAATGGTGAAACCTCTAAATAGATACTGAATACAAGATGCTATATAATGCAGTGAATCACTCTTTACAGTAATCAACTACTAAGGAGTAATACAAAATGATTCATGTATGTGAAAACAATTAAATGATGAGAGAAAAGCAGAAACACTGGACCTCAGGAATTGTTCCTGCCATGCAAAGCAGTGGCCTACTCCCCACAAGTATCTTGTTGTGAAACCGGTCATTCCATCTCCTCACTATCATCCCGATGCAGAGAGGACCAATACAGTGCTTTGCACAATTGGGCTTAATCAAGATGTGCGAGATGATCTGGGCATAACAGGACTGCAGGACGCCTGATAATCCATTAAGAGCTCTGATGCCACCATCCCCGAAAAATGGGCTGCTGGGGGCAAAATCTTCGACCCCTCGAGAATGGCCCAAAAGTGATCAAAGGTTGGGTGCAAACCTCCAAATTTAGACATTTTGACTGAGAAATTTTCAAAATAGCGTGTATCTGCTAGAATACTTATTGTGGAGGTAAAGTGTAAAATGAACCACCCTGTAATGAAAATTAAATGGCATGACTCAGTAGCAGAACTTGGCCCGAGTGTTGGGGTCTTCAAAATGTGCTCACGTGACTATGTTTTTCTGTGCCTCGCAGAATGTTGCTTTGTGTCTCATTGTACATGGTCAACATGAAATGCCTTTCACTTGCTCTTGGTCTCACTGTTCTTGTTACCACGCTCCTCACTTGTGGCGCATCTTTTCTTTTTCTTTTCCTTGTTCCCTTTACGTTACCAGACCACGTGATCCAACACGTGACTTATCGGAGCGCAACCTCCGATTCTTTACCCAGATGTCTAGAACCCCTAGTCTAGGGTTACACCGGATCCAACTCTGGACCTTCTTCTTATCGCACATGCAAGACGTGCATGTACACCTCATCTTTACCTCGTTCTGATACACGACTCATTATCCCCATTAGTACTGATTATCTCTCACGACCTTACTCAGCTTTCTCATACATATTACTTCCTCGCCGTTACCCTGCCCAGATATCGTTTCACCTTATCTAGCCAATGAACGATCCCGCATTACTGCGTAGT